GTTGATTGCTAAACGTCCAGTGGCAAACAGTGACAAATGTACAATAAATACAACAGGTAGGTCCTGTCAAAGGGGTCGTCTAACATGAAGGTCTGGAAAGTTGGAAATGCCATTGGAAAATGAAGGTTTATTCAGCAGACCAACTACGGATCCCTCAAAGAGTTATTGCAAGTGTTCTAAACGTGCAGAGCGCGTGGCATTCTCTCTACACTAGTCATCGGATTTAACGTTCCCTTTCTGACCAGATGTGACTGTGTATTTATACATCCCGCAAAGACAAACGGACGCCCCTTTTGGCAAGGGTTTTATTGTAGGTCGGATGAAGACCAAGTGGAAAGCTAGATGAAAGCCAACAACAACTTATAAAAAAATCATGTATCTAAGAATAAAATTTCAGGGTTTTGAGCATGTTGAGGTTCATTCAAGTATTTGTTGATAAAAGTGAAATGATCTGAACCAAAGTGCTAGTTCATTTTAGTTTCTTTATAAGGTGGAATAAAATATACATACAATTCTATCAAATAATCCATTCACTGAGAATGATAGCATATGATAGACTAGTGTACAAATGACATTTGACAATTAAAGAGTTTTGACGACTTCATGTGCATCTACAGATAACGTTGTCAATTTTTTGGGGATAAAAAAAAAATGTTTGTGAAAAAATTATGTGTAGGCACGTGCATAAAATGCCTAATGACAGCTACGCCCCTAGCTGCAAAAACACGCCCTTCCAAGACTTGACAAATTGTATACCATAAAAGATCCCCATAAACCAGTTTTGAAATTCATGTTAATAAAGTTCTACAATGAACGTTATCATTTCATTATGACAAAAAAAGGGCGAATATAACGACAACCACTTGACTATAGGGTTGGTGAGAGCATATTATTGACGTGGTGTTACAGCAAAACAAAAAAACAAAAAATAGCTGAAATTAAAATAACAACCTGAATTTATCTTTGTTGGAATACCTTTCCAGACAGAAATCTTTAGATTGTTTGCCTCACTAGAAATAAGAGTCAAGATACGCCACATGTCACAATGATCCTATATATATATAGTATATAATCATGAGCAGCTCTGATTGTGTAGTTAGACCACCCGAAGTAGGACAGAAAGCATATTTGTTACACTTTTTATTTTCAAAGTTCTGTTCAGTCAACATTTCCGATTGTCTCTGGTCACGAAGTGAATGGAATGAGGAGTTTTTTTGTAAATTACTTCCAATACACTACTCTTATTACTAGTTTTGGTTAACATTAAGCATTATGTTGAATTTAGAACGCGGATAAACTTCCGAAAGTTACTAACCCCCACGTATCCTCTCAATGAATATAATATGAGGAACTATTTTAAAGTGTCTCTCAAAATCATAAATCATATAAAGATTGAAATGATTTTATCCTGTAGTTTTAGACAAAGAAAAAAAAAAAGAAAAATGACTTATCAGAAATTAAGAATTGCCTCTGTCGATCATGTTTCGACACGAAATGAGAAGTTTTTATAAAGAGCCTTCCATATACATTACTCTTGCTTATTTAGGGCTTTCATCTGCGTTGCTGACGGCGAAATTCATGTCTAGTAACCGCTCGACTGTGTCCGTCCCGTCCATCCGAAAGACCTTGGATAGAAAACTTTCATCAAAATCTCCGTGGCTTCTATGAATAATTTTATATTTGGTTTGCAGTTTGATAATGCTGGGTTGTAGCGTGTAAACGATTTTTACACCAGTCGTGCAGCCAGTTTGGAATATTACATCTCTCATTGTTCAAGGAAAATTTTCTTGGCTTCTATGGAAGGGAATTATTCAAGTTATATTTGGTCTGCAGCTTGATAACATTGAGTTGTAGGGTGTAAGCAATTATTACATCTGTCATGCATCCACTTCCTATTTACTAATAGCTTGAAAATTTTCAAAACTCAATGCGCAAGAAAATTTTCATCAAACTTTTCTTGGCTTCTGTGGAAGGGGTTATTTTATATTTGGTCTGCAACTTGATAACATTGAGTTGTAGGGTGTAGGCAATTATTTCATCTGTCATGCATCCACTCTTCCTGTTTGACAATAGCAATGCGCAAGAAAAAGTTTCATCAAACTTTTCTTGGCTTCTAGTATGCATGCAATTTTGACATCTGCTGTGAAGCTGCTCCTTGCTTGTCGATAGTTTGAAATTTGACAACACTCATTGTACAAGGAAAATTTACGTCAAACTTTTCTTGGTTTCAATGATTTTATTTAATGATCACTCAGTTATGGTTCAGTATACAAGTTAACTCAATCAATTGAATGCCGAGACTCTGAGGTCCAGACACGGTATTGGTCTTGCTTATCAAATTTGCTCATAATGATATATAATAATAATAATAATATAATAATAATAATAAATACTTTATTTAAAGGAGGTAAAATCAGTTAGTACAATACTAATCTCCCCTGATGCCCTCTGAATAACTCAATATAATAATATAATATATACATATACATACATACAGCTTTTTATGCAAAAAAAAATGGTGAAAAACATACAGATTCGTTTCATGAACATATTTTCTTACTGATGTACAAGACAAATATATGGATTTTTAAAATATAGATAAATTTCTGTGATAATCATTATTTGGTCGGTTTTACATGTTTGTTTATGAAACTGATAATTAGCTTTTTGTTCTAGAAACAATAAATTATGATACCTTTGTTTGAACTGTTCTATCTTTTCCATCTTTTTTTTTATTTCTACAGGAATACTGCGGTTCCAAAGAACAGCATGTGTATGTGTGTGCCTTTTGATTGCTTTCTAAACGTCAACATGTCTTTTGCTCACACGGTAGAAAAGATGAAAACATGCATAAGAAAAGTTAAAAAAACGGTCAATAGTTCCCACTGACCCTTTTAGCTAGATTGATTGATTGATTTTTGCTAGATGAGCAAAAAATATGGATATTTGAAAGGAGGAAAAGTGAATAAACTTTTCACCGATGATTATATTGAAGATTGCATAATGCTCTCTGGATGTCTTTTTTGGGTATTTTTGTCGTTTGAATGCTGTCTCATTTGCGTATACCAGACACCACACTATTGTCCTATGCAAAAGACACGAAAAACTAAAAATCTTCGTATTCTTTCTCGTCCTCTCCAATTTCGTGTATCTCCATTTTCGCCTGCTTTTGATTGCCCCCCCCCTCATTGCATGCGTGTGTGTGTGTGCCTTTTGGTTGCTTTCTAAACGTTAACATAACAAGACATTTTTTAAATTTTAATTATTTGATATTGTTGTGTTGATACATCAGAAGCAACATTTAGCGACATCGCTTCAAGTGTAAATAGTTCAGTAATTCGAACAAAAACAGTTTTATTGCGTTCAACATCATAGCGGCCTCATAGGGATACGTAGATTTATGACTAGTGAACGTGTAGCTAGCCTAGCTGCTACATAGGTATTGATAGCAGCTAGGCTAGCTACTCGTTCACGGTAGGAAAAAATCTACGTAGCACTATGTAGCAGCTACGATATTGAACGCAACCCAGAATTAAAAGTTTATCGATAATAATTAAATGGCACTTTTTGTATTTGTTTGTTTTCAATTGTTCTTTGTTTCCTAAGTATGAAGTACGTGAGGTGAAACCTATGTCGGGCCTTTAAAGTAAAGTAATGTTTGTTATATGTTAAAATAGTCGTTACAAACACAAGTCTATATTAATTTTGTTGGGGCGTATAATCTTTCCGGTATATTAAAGACCCATACAAAGATCCACCCAGTAGTCTTTCAATACAGAAAGGCTATATTGAATGAACTACCTATGAAATATTTAGAGCGATATGATCCGTTCTGTCATAAACTTTATACTCCATATTAAAACAATACAAAGGAAAAAATTGTTCGTCAGAGTAACCATATTCAGTCAACCTTAATACAAACATATACATATGTATTATGCTTACATTGAATTTAAAGTAGTGAAGATTTTGGAATTAAGTTGATGTTTTAGGAATGTATGATTTCAGTGATTATTTTGACAAGTTCTTATGGCGCAAAGTTATCAGTTTGCAGGTAATATTGATATTTTATATTTACATTGTTTAACATTGTTTTCAGAGGCATGCATGGTTTCTTTTATCTGTGATAATTTCTGAATTTACAAAACTAAGTGATGGAAATAGAACATGCTACTATCATGTAGGTATTACTTTCATGCTATATATAGTTAAAAATAACATAACTCAAATGTATGTTTTTACATTAGTTTTTTTTAAGTTTTTCAATTTCATTTCATAAGAAGTAATTTTTTGTTAACTCTCCAAGGGAATGGAGCCTTTACGCTTAAAACTTCTGACAACTGAGATTTTAGTTGAATAGTAGTAGTAGAAGAAAAAGTAGTACTCTGAGCATTAGCGCCATCATTATCTGTTCAAGTTGCTTTCCCTTTTGAATCAATCTACTGGTTGGTTCTCGGTTCCATTCACTTTAAAACAATGCTACTGTGTCTTGTCAGTCTTATTTTCTTTCTGTAAATTTCTACCGTTGTTTTTGTCATACAAGGAAAATAGAGATAAATGAAGATGTTGGTTTACGTTAGTGAAAGTAGAAAAGTCACCTAGCTATTGTCGAAGGCCAATATTAACCTCTGTAAAGATGTCTTTGATATTTATATGTTGCTGAGTTGGTTTGGCTTTTTTTTCCTTTTGGTTTTATCAGCTGTTCAACGTTTGTATTGGGTTTTGACCTTTCAACTATTTTGGCCTCGAGCATCACTGAAGAGACATAATTTGTAGAAATGCGCATCTGGTGCATTAAAATTGGTACCGTTAATGTTATCGCATGTCTTATTGACGTATATCACACATTTCTTTTTATTCATATATAATGGCAAAAAAAAACATAGAACGGTGTAACTTCTATATGTATATAACCCGATGTGCTAATGAATATTACAGTCAATGCAAATACGTTTTTTCTTGTGAGATTTTTATAATAAATATGAGGCGCGGATTTAGAGAAAATTATTGTACTTAAGGAGCTCATGAAATAGTCCAGGACCTCCGTAATTTCGAATTCGGGATACCCATAAATCATTGAACACCACTTGAAATATTCCAGGACCTCCGTAATTCGAATTAAGGATATCCATAAATCATTGAACACCACTTGAAATATTCCAGGGCCTCCATAATTGGATTTCAGTATATTGACTGCCAATATAATATTATTTTGTCAGAACTGTGGAACATCTGTTGTTGCAGACCATTCCAGTAACTCCTAGGAATCAAGCCGTTCTTTTTAATAAAGAATTCTAAAATTTCCCCGCACTTCCCTATTTAAGGAAAGCTTTTCTGGCACATGAAATAATCTAAGATGCCCACTTCCCTTAGGCTAATTGTTAGCGTTAATCCATCAATAAAATTTAAATCCCACTAATTACATTCATTATCAATATTACTTAATACCGTAAAAAATTAAATACCACCAGTTCAATCAAGTTATTTAATAAACAACATGGCGCATGGGAGTTCCTAGCAACAAACAATTGATCTGTGACTATTTTAAATGTCATTGATAACTTAAAATATATTTTCATCCTATATGTTTAGAAAGTGAAATTAAGGATTAAATGAAACGGGATGATTTGTCTGCGACGACCGACTGTAACTCGGTATTCAGGATGAAAGGTTAGTTAACTCTTACACTTCAGACCGTGATCATGTAACACCAGTGCTTACATCAATCATCAATTAGGCATACATGTACATGTAATTTAAATATCGACATTTAAATAATAGTTTAAATAATTCATTTGTTAAAAATTTAGGTCAATAATTTTTCATGTTTGTTGTGAATTAAAAGGCAACGCGAATACAAATTGAGGAATGTATAAACTTTTATCAAACAGTTATGGCATAGGTTTACTTTAAAACTTTTTATCGTTGACTAACGGACATTTCAATAATTTTAAATAAATAAATCCACCTGGATTACACCTTTAAATGGTTTATTTTGCTACTGGTATTTATAGTACTCATTTTCTGTTATAATTGACAAATATATATAAAAATACCACCCAAAATCAATGTGTTAACATCAACTACCAGCAAAAAGTGGACAAGTAAAAGCTTATCCAAGACCCTACATTTGACTAAATGTACGAATTTAAACGATTCAGAGTAAAGCTGATGGACTTTACAGAGTATAAGCTTTGTATAGTTGGTGCCAGTAGGGACAGACAGCCGCGAGTTCTCGCAGTATAATCGGCTGTCAACTTTGGGTTTGGTGTGTTGGTGCCAGCATACATGGATGGTGTTGTACTTATCTAGCTTATAATGTTTTTCGGATTGATTTGAACAGGAGTGCACTTTATCATGTTGACACTGTCAAATTTGTCTGGTCATGATGATTGGCAAAACAATCACTTTGATGCTGGCGATTGTTGGTTCCCGGTTAGTTTGAAGTCAGTAAAAATGCACAAGTCATACTAATTTGTCAATTTCATGTTGGTGCCAATGAGAACATATCAACATTATTAAGCCAGCCAGCTTGTTTTTGTTGATGCTGTAAACGGTTGTTTGTTTATACTATCAACTGTTGTTTGTTGATGCTATCAACTGTTGTTTGTTAATGCTGTCAACTGTTTTTTGTCGATCAACTGTTTTTTGTTACTGTTGGATAAACTTTTTTTTTTTGCTGTCAACTGTTGCTTGTTAATCTTGGAGTCCGTATGGGTTCAATAATCATGCCAACGCAGCTATCTTGTCAATTTTAAATTGGTTATGTCGACATCAGTAGAACATATATATCATGCTGTTTTTGTTTGAGGAGTTTACATTGTTAGCAATAGTCATATGAAAGACTCAGTCTAGACATGTGAGTGTTCTCCGCGTCGCTGCAATATATTGTATATGGTGATGCTCCAACTCAGATGTAATAAAGTGCAACACTTCTCTGGCTTAGTCGGGATATCTGTGACTGTGCTCTGATCTGACTCAGTTGTAATTCAATATAAAGATGCTCCGACTTTGCCTAGATATGCATGTTAGTATGACGAAGCTCTGACTAATTTGAGATGTACAGTAATACTCCAGTTCAGTTGACATCTTATATATATATATACCAGTATATATTGTATATATCGATGCTACGACCTGTTTGTGTATAGTGTGGTGAATCTCCTACTCAGTTAGTTCAGATAAAGGACGACGAATCTCCTGCATTGGCCCATATGCCCCCAGCATAGTACTCAATCGCCATTTCGAATACATAAATTAATACGACATTTTATTACTTCAACTCCTTAAAAAGGTTTTGAATACATTTCAACCATATATCACTCCCAAATTTGCTGTTTAGTCGAGAATTCAGATCTTGTTGAGCAGGAGTGCATGGTCTAGAGATCGAAAACTTCGTTCACCCGCTCTTAAGACTGACGATGTATGATCAGTTGCTTCCATATATACTTGTGTATTGTTGTGTATTGAGTCTTTGACAACGTATACTTCATTTTGTAAGGAACAAAATTTACTGTAATATTTCTTCCAGTGAAAATTATATTCCATAATATTTCTGCCAGTGGAAATAATATTCCATAATATTTCTTCCAGTTGAAACATTATTCCAGAATATTTCTTCCATTTGGATCTTATGTTATAAAGCTAAAGAAAAAACTTATCTTCCATGTGCATGCCATCTTGACCTTCATATGTCGATTTATTTGATTATTATTGATATAGAATTATGGTGTCCTGGATACTTTCGTCGTATTATAACACGATGTACTGGAAAACACATATCGTCGCTTCATATTGTTAGCCGTAAAACACATGTGTTTAACTCCTCTGTACTATGTAAGTATTATGTCCTCCAATGTTTTCCGAGTGGAATATATGGTCGGTATTTAGACCCAGAGATGGTTTATGACTGCTGTTCATGCCTGGAGCTGAGATGTACTATTCCCTTTTCGAGAGTAGTTGTACTCCTTATGCTAAGGTGAATGGAGTTCATTACCAAAAACAAGTTATCCCATGCCTAAATCCAGTGACTACCGATGATAAAGCAGTGTGAGAGGTCTTACTAAGGACTGTAACCCCTATAGTTAAGACAGGTATTTGGCAGTTTCTAAGCACTGACACATGTTGCACCATTCTAGAACAGAAAAAAGAAGATTATATAAACATATATCAATGGTAATTGTCACTTTATTTGCATAGAACTTAGATTAAATACATATAAATGTTGTCAGTGTCTTATTTAGGTTGATACTGTCTTTGTCATACAGATTTTGATTAGTTCTAACATTTAAGTAAATAAATCTTAATGTTTGCGCGAACATCCTTTACTGGTGGAATGTATAGGACGGTGATTTACTTTTCTATGTGGAAGACAAATAGATGTATATTGTATGATGTTAATCCCACGTTTTAAATTTATCTAATTACTTATGGGTTACTTGTCTGTAGCACAAAGTATTCATTCATCAAACAATTTAAAAGAAAAATGATAGGAGGTAGTCATTGTTAAAAATACCTTGGATACATGTGCGTATGTGTGATAATCTTTTATTTTTGTTCGAACTAAATGCATATCAAACATGGACGTCTGTTCGAACTAAATGCATATTCAACATGGACGATGAAGTAGATTTAGTTAGTATTTGCTCGACTGTGGGCTCAAATATATGTAAGTAAATTCATATTTTGTTTTTATATGAATAAAAAAAAAGTGGGGTATATGTCAATAAGACAACAACCAAACAACACCGTGAGTGACACTAGAACCAAAAAAGACATCTTAGATGTTGCCTGTAGTTTAAGACCACAGAAACACGGTACTGGCCTCTCAGAAGTAGGTTTGGTTTTGTTTCTTGAAAACGGCGAACTTATTTATTTGATTTGCAAATTCGGAATCGCAATGAGTATGCAAAGAGTTCATACTTTCCTTAAAAACCTTCCCATTGACAAGCGTGAAAAATATCGCATCTATTGTGTCTTTGTCTTTCTTCGCTATTTGTCTGTCCATCGGATTGAGGTAAACTACAAAGAAAAGCTAGGATAACGGCGTATGTAACAAGAGATCACTATAACACCCGTCCTCTCCCCTGCCGAATAGGCATACGTTATAGTAGTATTCTCATTTCATGACGCGTGGAAACCAAGCAGTTTTCATTGAATTATTATTTATGCAGATTCGCTGTGTCTTATTTTGATGAATAGAATAAATCAGATATATAGACAATTATTATTCTCTGAAACCCACTCGATTGTCAGATATTTATTCAGGACGTGTTAAAAGTGATAGTAAATATTTTCACCGTAGATTCTATCGAGCTGGTATCTAAATATTTAAAAAATCTAAGGTCGTTGAAAGTGATGCGATTTACAGAGAATATTGATTCAAGTTTCAAAGTAAATATTGTCTTAATTCAGAAAATAAGGTACCGCTTAACAATGAGGATGGTAATGACATAGAAACCATCAGTTGAAATTTCAATTTCGGAATGGCAGTGGGTTGAATTATATAGGTGTCTCAATGAATACTACATTCGGAAGGTTCTCCTCTGGAACATCATCAGCCCAGTGTAACATTGGAGAGAACATACAGGATGATTTAACTGATTTTCAGGGAGAACAGTCATTTCCAGGTAGGGTAAAATTTCAAGAACTTGATCCTTGGTCGACAGTCGGATGATGATTTTCATTTTTTTTAGCCGGACCTTTGGTTCTGATGAACAAAGATTATTTTTCAAGGCACGGGTGTAATAGGTAGAATATTTTCATTTCACTGGATGTGTTGGTAAACGCAACAATGATTGGTCAAAACACACGTTATTTTGGAGTCGCACGCAAAGTATTGGAAGGAGAGGACATAGGAGAGTTGATAAGACAAAGTGTAGACAAGTTTATGCGCTATTTATTTTAGAACCATTATGAAATATAAAGTTCAGGTATCACTATAAATGAATCATGCTTCATTTGATTGTTTTAATTGTTGATGTAATTTGACTTATTTTTAAAATATACCGTGCACAACCACTAGCTTGAACACATCCTCAAAGATCATCGTGACAAGTTGTTTGAAACTTCAGCTCGAAAGCTTCTAGTATGTTTATTGTTACTGTGTATGTTCTTACTATGTTATGTTTATACTGCCAAGTTCGAATGAAAAGGGTCAGCCATGTCAAGTCGTCAACTCTGCGACCTCAGTTCGCAGTATGTCACTGATCAATTTTATCGTTTTTATCGTTTTTGGTCGTGTTACTATTTTTTCTACCTTTCTTGTCTATTTAGTTGTTTACATACGATATATATACACAAACATCCCCGTATGATACAAAGTGATGAAATATTTAAAAGATAATGGAAAATTTCAATGAAAGTTGATTTGATAATTCACGGAAAAAAATGACCTCCGTACAAAATAAATCTTTTGAGAAAAATATGTACATATATGAATGCATTTATATCGATTGTCGATAAAAATGCTTCTAAAATGCATTAAAACCCTATTGCATGCCGGTACTCGTCACATTTTCACTAAATGTGAACGGTAATAAAACCATCTAAAACAAATACCAAGTGACTGAGTGGAACGCAGTCTTCATAAAAAAAGACAGTAATAATGTAAATAGTGAACCTTTCTTGCATCTTTAAAAATTTACTTGGCAAACACTTAGTAAGTTACAGGTTTGCACCACGTTGTAGGTCCTCGCTTGTCTTTCCGGTGAAGAACAACAATAAAAGCACTCTTCTGGCTTTGCTTTTTTTCATGGCCGCCCGGTAACGATTTTGTATTTTTTTTAATTCATTTTTTCTCAAATAAAATTTTTGTTATCAAAAACGCTAAAAGTACTCACATGTCGAGGCCAATGATGAATGCTGGCTTTTTCACTACTCCAGGTTTCAATAAAAAAGAAAAACCAGCTGGCCATCAAAATCATCCATTTCTCAGTGTTTGCTTAAAGATTGACAAAGGATCAAGTATGGTATCTTATCCGTAGTTTCGATAATCCTAGCGTGTTTACCAAAATTCTGATTATTGTATTAGCAACCAGTGACATTGGAATGGGTAAACCAATAGCTAATTTAATTTCGTTGAGATAGTAATTCGTTTAAAGTATATGACAGCATATTGTAATTTTCTCTCGTAAGGACACTGTAATTATTCAGTTCTCCTTGTAAAAAAAAACTTAATAAGTTTCAACTTAATTATGAAGGCTTTTCTCATAAGTGACAATATACATTCTATTGATAAGATTTAAAGGCAAAGGTGGTCGAAATTAACATACAATTTTGTTTGTGCGTTTTGTTCCTAAACCACCGTATTACACAAAAGGCTGATAGTATTTATTAAAAAATCGAATCACATTTATGCTGGATGAACGTTGCCAAGAAACTTATTCTGATGTGATGCTTTTTAACTCAATCGATTTCACTTTACAAATGTAAATTATTTCAAAATGAGTTACTCCAACATAGGATCAGAGGGTTCTCTCTGGTTCTCTGGTATCTCGGAATATTTAAAGGAGTTAAAACGTTTACCACATACCGTATCATGGACTCCTAATATGCCATGGACTGCTTGGACATTCTTAAGTCTTAAAACAGGTCAGTCCACTTGTACGCTTTCTAATAAAACTGAGTGAAAAAAAAAAGAAACAGTAGAAAATGGAATAAAAAATGTATATATGTTTGTCTTTTCTTGTTAAAAATTACATCTAATCATATTTATTAATTTACTGGTATTACATGATTGGTCGAATACCTTTAGCATTTTGGTTTATATATTATTTAAACAATCTGATAATGTTATAAATTAGTCTACCACACTGTAATAAAACTTTTTTTTCCATCTGAGACAAAACGTTACATATAGTTTTGCATGATGAAAGTTTTGGAATTACTGTACAGATTAACGAAACATAATTGTTTGTTATTAACAGAAAATTTAAAACAAAGTAGTACTAAACGTATTTTTGAATTTTGTGCCGAACAGGCTATTTTTGGTAGCAAAAGAAAACATTGTTTGAACGAGGTAGTTTAGTTGTTAACTTGTTGGGTCGAGATGGCTGTAAATAAGCTTTTGTTATAGGAGAGGCAGTCATTCCGGCGGGTGTCTGAGAGCTGCCCAGGCCCTGCGAAGCTGAAAATTGAACTTTTTTGCATGGTTTTGTCTTTTGAAGTGTCTACAGTTAACTGGGTTGCACAAAAGTATATTATTCTTTCAAACTTAAGACATCGTTTTACCTGCATTATGTGTTTGATAAAAAGTATCTATGTAATTTATGGCCTTCTCAGTGTGACGGCCATTCGAGGTAGTTTGTTATAATCATTTTTTTATCTAAAAAAAAACCAGTAAAATACGAGCCTCCACTAAATACTTGGAATCTCATGTCTTACGTCACAATACTGTCATTATAAGTTACTTTAATAGTAGTGTTTAAACGCACATTATCTTGATTCTAAGCACATTACAACATAATCAGCTTCCCAAGCATGGATCGAAGCTTCAGCCTTGCAGAAGATTGTCATCCGTATTCAATCCTAATCCGATTATGTATTTAGAAAATGAATTTCCGGTGTCATATATCATCTATCATCTCGAAAAAAGCACCACAGAAATCAAAGTTAACGATAAAAACAATGCCATTATGGTATTTACAGTTGATGTCATTTTCTATCACTCATTGATTATCATTGACACTGCAGCTATTCAATGTATCAGTTGTTCAAAGTACAAATACGACTAGTCCCTACACGACTTCTACTAGCGATCTCTTCATGCTGAGCCATTTGAAAAACCATTAATAAACATTCAGCCCATCAGAGCCACTTTCTAATTAACATGCATACGCTTAACTGTCCTCTGAAACGGATGTTACCTTCAATAACCATTTGTAGGAGGTCATACCTGGAAGCATAAATTTGCCACTAGTATCAGCACTCCTTTAGGCTTTGACCCCCCTTTTTCTCTTTTTTTGTGTGATTTTAAAGACTTTGTAAATAAATTTTCTTTATAATGTTTCAACTTATATTCTCTTATTTAATGTTTACATGCTCTTACAATAACAATACCCAATAATTCTTATTTTCCAAAGAACAGATCCGAGTAGAGAAAGAACACAAAATAAGAGAAAATGAGTTGCAACATTAAATAGCACAAAAATAAGAGCAAAAAGGGGGATCAATACCCTTTGCATATGTACCTTAAATACAAATTTTGGATTTCCTCCTTTGGTTGGATGCCTTGGACTCTTAGTTTCTTTGTGTACAGTGTATCAACTAAGAAACCCCCCCCGACACTAATTCCAGAAGACTAACCTTCCTGTCTTTTGTCTTTACACTGTGTTAAATGTGTTAAATGTACTGAATCACTCTTGTAAAATAGCAGTCTGTACTGAATCACTCTTGTAAAATAGCAGTCTTCAATGATGTTATCAAAACTGCAGTTGAATATTGAAAATTTAATTAGTCTTTCCAATGTCTCTTATTTTTGATTTGATTAGTTGATTAATGTCAGTCAGCACACAAGCACACGTTCATGAGTCGTTGGCTATGCCATGGGAATAGAACATTTTTTTTATCAAAATGAAAATAATATTTAATATCAAAACTCACCTATACAAGTATATCAAATCATTGTATAAACAATATGAACAAAAGCAATAATTCACTCACTCACTGCAGTGGAAGAAAATGGAACCATATCAGTTTATATTTATACATACAAGCCTTGAAAAAAAATTATTTATAAAGTCTATATACATTTTGTATGTGGAAGGTAGAAAGGCACACTAAAGTCGGGAGAACAAGATACACTTGTGAACCATTTAGTTCACATATGTATAGCAATTACCGGGTATATGCTTTTCCATGAGGGGAATTTTTATTTTAAAACAAATTTAATTACTATCATATATTTTATCACTTATACACATGCTTAGGCTTAAAAAACTGTAAAGAAAATCAAGATATTCACTGATTAAGTATATTTCTTTGCCAAGTTAAATTTGAAGTCAACATTTAGGTTATCAAAAAATGTCAAAAAATCAAATAAATTATTTATCAAACAATAATTAAATTATATTTAAGAAATAAGCAGAAAATTGTTGATTGTATAGGGAGTAGTCATGAATTCTTTTCAATTTGATTTTGATTTTTTGTGTTATGTTAGATTCAGCTACCAATTAGGTAAGAATATATTTATATTTTGAATTATTCATATTTTTTTCATTTTATATAACATAGAGAGAGAAGAAAATGTCTCCTTCTAAACCCAACCCTAGAACATCAATGTTCACGTGACAATCTTTTTCATAGCTGCCATTTTGATATTGCTGTAAAGAAGGGAAACCAGTGATTCAGCTAAGAACTGGTCATAGTACATTTGTCCACCTTAAATTTTTTCTAAATGTCCTGAATGTCTTGAAAAATTTTTGTTATAAAAATTAAATTGACCTGAAGCTCCTGCGTCTCTTTTCACAAAAAAAATTTACAGCAATAATTGATCATAATTTATACTAGAATGTTCATGACTTGCAAGTAATTTTTCTTGTAAGACTATTTTTGTGAAAAGACTTGCTGTTCAAAGTCTAATTGATTCACTGGAAAGTTTGAAACCTAAAATGGATATAGGGATAAGCATTGTGTCTGCACTACTGGTGTCTTGCATTTGTGGGAGAAACTTTTGCAAATCTAAGGTAAAGTCATCTGAATCAAGCTTCTTTAATGTGAACAATATTGATTGGAATGATATATATTGAAGTTAAATTCAAATCAAACTGACCAGCAGAAAAAAAATGGGTAACACTTGTATAAGTTTGTATGGAAGTTTAATAGTTCATCTAGAGTTTGATTTCTGTATGATTCTTTAAAATGTTACGATTTGTTGTAACCCACCCCACCTCTCTCTATGAAAGTGTGGATCTCCCTCCAAAACAAATTTACATTAATATAATTCAATCATTGCATTATATGGTAGTCCTGACTGAATTCCGCTGACAGGTTGTGCAGTCATCAATTGCCATTTAGGAAATATAGATCATTAATATACAATTTATGAAATTTTAATTAAAACTTTTTCTCTTTTATTTTTCAGCTCTTGAAATAACCGGAGAAAATTTAGAGGATCTTTTAGCCTATGACGATTTGTTTCTGGATTATTTCAATGCATTCCTGTCTCTCCCTGTAAGTATGTTGATCCCTGTACTGTTAAACGTGTTATGTTTAAATCCTGTATTATTATCCACAGAACCTTCATTTGTATGTAACTCACAGCCTAGGTTAAATCATTTAAACCGTTAAGTAAGTGGGTAAACTTCCAAATTCAAATATTTTAATGTCATGAATAGAAAGTCCAAACAGTTTTATCTGATTTATAAGATTGAATACATTAGAATTGTATAGAAAAAGATAGTAGGTTGTCAAAATTTTATTGTTTGCATTAAATGGGAAAAAACAATGTATACTGAAATCCACAATAATCCAAATTTTCTTTTTCCTGATGATTTGAATGCATATCTGGTATGGGATTTTGAAGAAAACAAATAGTTCAAAGGGTTGATACTTTCTTTTCATCTGAATTCTTAATGTAAGGCATTGTTGTTAGGACATTACGCTAAGTGTACTGTAGTCATAGTTCATGTGTGAGAGTACAAATGCAAAGTTATTTAGGATTTGTTTTTAAATTTAAAAGACACAATAATGTTAATTCCAAAATTGGATTATAAAAAAACTTGAGCAAAGTCTTTTATTTGTCTCTGATTTAACGCAAGGAACAATATTAAGATATTTTTGTTGCACCTTTTTACAGGTTTATTATATACATGTATATATCAAATGAACACAGACGAAAGATAAACATTGTAAAAAATATGGATATCTACATGTAGGCACAGTGTCCTAGAAGACAGACTTTTTTATTGGACCTTTTAGCAGTGGCCCGACTTTAAAAAACGGTCTAAAACATTCTCTATAGCTATCACTCTTACTGTGAGAATTCTTGTTTCCCACTTTTGAGGTTGTGAACTTGGGACTTTCTTTTGGTATTTCCATAAAAAATGGTTTCTCATAATCAGAAATATATTGAAAATGTCTTGAGGTGCTAAATGCCTATTTTTGGTATTTCTCCAATTATTTGAATATGCATCTTGTTGAAAAAAAAACGAGTTTCATATAGCTTAAATAAGTTGAAATGGTCACTCAACTATTCAAGTTAGTGGTAATGATTGTCTAGTGTCAAATGCCCCTCAGAGGGCAAGTTTTCAGGGTTGGATCCTCCTCCTTTTGTTTTTTTCTCCCACAAATCATGTAAAAATTGTTGAAAATTAGACTGGAAAGCCGCATAATTAGCCGAAATTAATTTCCATCATATACTGTAGGATATATGTGAACAATTTTCATGTATCATTAGAAATTTGTACAGATTTGTCACAAGTACCAACAAAATTACCAAATTTTATGAACTATATAGGTATATTCCATAAGATATCAAGAATTCCATCTTAATAAGAACTACTTCTTTTTTCTAGTAAAATCCCCAGGTACTCAATTGTAGCTATTTGCATTATGAGGGGAGTCAACATAGTTCTTCTTTGTAACAACTTTTGAAGGGTTCTGCAAACAAAATCGATTTATATGTAATATTAAGTACTTACAAAAGTGGTACTTTGAGATATTATTTTAAATTTTACAGCATTTGTTGTTTGTGGGAATAATTGTTTAAAAACATACTATGTGTATGTCCTATTTAGTCAGGAACATAAAAATGGTTTTCATCTATCAAAAAATGGTTTTTTGTTATTTGTAGAAATTTGTGTTAATGGTGGATCTTTGATTGTATCTGTAAAGTTTATTCACAACTTTTATAGACTTTCGGAGATTTAGAGCTGGACAAATTTTATAGACACTTTTTTTCTTCCTGTTGAAGATTTGAATTTGACCTCTAGATGTCATTTAGCTATTGGTGTTGTTAGATTGTTGTCTCATTGAAATATACTGACCATCTTTTATTCATATTGGAAGAAACTGAGTAAATAAAAAATCTCTTTGTAAAGGACAGATAATATATCAATAGAAGTTATTACAATGCATTGTGGACATTCGCGCTACTGATCTATAAGTCTTAAGAAAAAGATGATGTCTAATTTACTTTAAAAGTAGTTCTTTTAATGCTTAAACCTTAAAACATGTAAATGGATCTGAATTTGATGTAGTTTTTAAATCCCATTAATGTTTTTATTGTTATCAGGTTTCTATATTGGTTGATTTTTTCATATCTAGAAGGAAAATTGAATCATAATTTTCTCCCGATTTCCTTCCCATTGATTAAATACTGGACTATCGCTGTTCGAAAATGGCTTAATTAGGATGGAAATTGATGTTATGATGTCATAAATAAAAGTTTGTCAACAGATTTAACATCCAAATGACAATCAATAAATAACTTATAAGCATAATTGATTAAAATACAACCCGATATTAACTTCTTGACAAAAGCGAACCCTTAAAGTTACAACCATGTATTGATTTCAGGTGGAAACTTTATTCAGCGGTTGTTATGTTATTTGATTAGAATTAGATTTCAAATGAGAAACACGAGTTATGTACAAAAAACAGGAAAACTTTTGTTAGAAATGTGTTTGTATAGATGCAGTTATAGGTTATCAATATTTTTGTACATGGTTGTCATTGTTTTGCAGAATATTTCTACAATTTGAAACGGTTGAATAATTAGGTTCAAAAATGCCTGGTGACACAGATACTTTCTAGACTTTTTTTTCTTTGCTTTCAGTTCAAATGTGTATTTTCATGATGACTTATTACACTAATCTATTTAGAGAAATATATTCATCGGGGAAAAAGTTTGGTACTGTGGATTTGTGGTTTTTTTTTATACTGATTTTCCTGGATTTCTTGGGTATAATTGAAACACGAAGTCGATGTATCAACAGAATACTTATTTCATATACTAATGCTTTAACATGCAAAATGAGTCAAAACCATGAAATAAAATTTTCCCTCAATTGTCAAAAATTTGTACCCTTAGAAATAGATGAATCTAGAGTAATTTAATATACATGTATATGCCAAAGACAAGGCTGTATTTTCAAATATATAAATTGCAAAATCCTAGATCAGTGTCCACTTCAAGCATTGGTTCTTGAACTACAATATTTTAAAATGAGGACGTTCAATGTTTACAATGGACAAAACAAATTTATATAACAGCTTATTTCGTACCATGTAAATAACTGTATATGGTTAATTATAAGTGTACACTGAAGGTCACATGCCGTATTGTCCTTTTGGGTTTTAAAGTAAATTAATCGGATCCTTATGGTTTGAAGACATGAAGTCATTTTAAATGTAATACTTCGAATACATATTTCTCTTCATACAATTCGGTAAAAAAGTTTACCGTTGTAATATTGTTACGGTATATTGCTCCTGTTTTATGTTTTCTGTCACTTATTTATTTCTGTTTTGAATTAAGACTTGAAACAGAGGTTATGATAATCTTTGATTACTGGTAGTGATAATTAAACATTATAATTTATTCAAAATTTTGTAAAGGATAAGAATCAATGAAATATATCATCTCCTTACTGAAATTTATTAATTGTGTTTCAAATCTTTTGTTGTCTTTTATTATTTAAAACTTGGACTCTTTATAGCTTACTGTACAGTTTAATCACCTGCATATTTTCTTAGGACATTTAGTGACCTTCAGATGCTCTTTACTGTTGGGTTGCTGTCTCATTGGTGTTTATCAACACCCCCTTCTATGTATGATTACTGTTGATTTTTGTGTCATTTAGAGCTTGTTTTCATTTCTATATTTCATTTAGCAGTAAAACCAGTTTAATAAACTAATTCCAGTTCTACCATTTCAATTTGATTCTATAAATCCAAATGATGATCATACTGAAATTATTTCTGATGAAAGTTTTAGTGTTTTTATATTTCTTTAAACACTCAGAGAATTTGCAATTTTGTAGAAGTTTATTTTGATTTGAAAAGGGCCCAGTACATATGAAGTAAAAAAAATAAACTGATGTCTTTTGGGGTTATTTTAAGTCTGTCTGATAGGATCATGGATCTCACAGTTGTTGTAAAATAGATTAAGAAGCTTTTTTAATGAAATCTGATAAATCTTAACTTGGGGAGCTACCATTTGATTTTTATGGGGGGGGGGGGGGGGGGGGGGGGGGGCTAGGATGAAATTTGAAAAAAATAGGCAGGACAGGAGTTTTGAGTAAAAAAAAAGGCAGGATGAGACACTTTGTTGATTATGTTTAGACAACTGTCTATTGTTGATTATGTTTACCTCTAGTTCATATTGGATAGACAACTGTCTATTGTTGAATATGTTTACCTCTAGTTCATATTGGATAGACAACTGTCTATTGTTGATTATGTTAACCTCTAGTTCATATTGGATAGACAACTGTCTATTGTTGATTATGTTTAACTCTAGATGTCTTTTGGTTTTGTGTCATTCGTTTGCTGTCTGATTGATGTACACCATGAATCTCCTTTTATGCATATTTCAAATGGGTAAAATATTAATTTGATCTTTTTTACTAAAGTTATACAGCATGTTTGTACCAAATGTTTCTTAAGTGGTTGTACATACTTGGTACATACTTCTAGGAGCCTTTACAATATTCAGAGGTTTAAGTTAATAAACTTTTCTTATATTGAAGAATGGATCCTTACAGCTTGCTGTGTGGTATGAGTTTTGCTCATTGTTGAAGGCCATACTGTGACCTATAGTTGTTAACAACTACGTCATTTGGTCTCTGGTGGATAGTTGTCTCATTGGCAATCATACCACATCTCCTTATTTTATTCTAGTTATAAAATGAGGAAAAAAAATTCCTTAATTCTTTAAGCTTACAAAAATCTTCAATGTTTGCGTAATGAACCAAAAATCAAATAAGCAAGGATCAAAAGATAGTATCTTAAGTGTGTTACACCACTGTCAAAGACTAACATTTTAATTGATTGATTATATTATATTCAGTAGAGAGCACTTTATCAATTCTTTAAATGTTATGTAAATGATAGAAAATTGATATTTACATATTTTGCCTAGTCATGTGTCAAGGTATAAATATTACCTATGATTATAAATTCAAAATTTTTCTATTGAACCACTTAAATTATTGGTAATATTTCTCTGAAATAAAATTGAGTTCTTTTTAAATGTCAGATCTATATTTATCCTTGTTTTTAAAAGTCGAGAATATGACAGAATAATTTTGGTTTGGATTTTAAATATTATGAATTTCTTATTTAATGATTTATTGATATAGATCTTTTCATTTCTGTGCTATAGGTACTCAGGTGATGAGCCTCTTTATTTGATTATTACATATTGTGGTTGAGTGGTAATCCATATACAATTGATAGGTTGATGGGTACTTAACATCCAGTGGCAGATATAACATGCACACTCAGGATGATAATACAGTAAAACCTGCTATAAATGTCAACTTTTTTAAACAAACAACATGTCTTGTCATGTCACCTTCTTCTTGTTCCCGCTGAAATAATATCTATGCATTTTGAACCCCAATTCAAAGGTCACTTTTCTTATAAGTTCATTTTTATTTTGTCCCAAGGTTGACATTAAAATGCAGGTTTTACTGTATGTTAGTGTCTTATGAGTATCCATTGCTTTGTACCTAGACTGACAAACTGATTTTTAAAGTTTTAGCTCATAGGGTAAAAATCCCCAGAAAGTCATGGAAACAGACCAACCAGGCATTGTCAACTCTCCAAACTGATGATTTTGCTTTGTTGTAGAAGCAGCAGGGCGACATATGAATTAATTTCTGTTACATGTACTAGTATTCAGACTAATTTTTGGAGTACAATAAAGTAAAATGAATTATTACTTGCCCCATACTGTCTCTTTGATAAAAGGAGATACTAGTTATTAAAAGCTTGGTTATTATTAAGGCATAGATTATTGAGTTATTTCCCTTTGCTTTTTTACATTGATTTCTGTTGAATTTGAATGAGACTCTCATAGAAAGACTTCTTCACGATTATTCTAAACACAGTGACTTAAGGATGTACTTAGGTGAGGTTTAGGAATTTGTGTCAGATGTTCGGACTCCTTGGTTTTTTTCCTGTGATACAGGGTAAAATATTTTGCCCCATATTAAACACCCAATTTTCTTTCATATAAGACTTCAATAGCTCATAAAAGGTCATTTACCAAAATTTAAGCAGATTCTAGATTGTTTTTCTTTCGATTTGAGACCCAAATAATACCAATGCAAATAAAAAGTAAAAGTCCGAGTCAGCCTTTTCCCGCCATTTTTTAAAACTCAAATATCTCGAAAAGGAGCTCCATAACCTATCAATATTTTTAGCTTATTTTGTTCCTTAACTAATGCTCTTCCGACTTAATTTATCAATTTTAAATTCTAGATTTTTTTAATTTCACCTAAGACTTAGTAAGTACATCCTTAAATCATTATTTGTAAGCTTTCCAAAAATGGATCACCAGTTGTTTTATTCTTTTCTGGAGAGATACTAACAGACCACAAAATCTGTTTTCTTCCAAGTGTAGTTCTATTGAGAATTTGAGACTGTTACAGAAACTATTTTTTAAAGTGAGAACTGTTGAAATAAAATTGTCTGTGTAAACTGCTGTTTGAAAACAAATTCCAAATTTACAAATAGGAGAATAAATATAAAATCCTCATTAGATTTTGTTAATAAAAAACCAAATATTTATTTTCAGGTATTTCCACAACGCCTCACGTACAATCGTTTGACTGGTGCCTTTGAAGAATCTGATATAAATGAAAGGTCAATCCATAGTAGTAGTACCCGTGGTAACAACAGTGATGGTCTGCCCTATGGACCAACAGACGAAGAAAGAGAGCGATTGTTAGAATGGGCAAGAACTGACAGACTGCCACTTTTCCTCAGGTAAAGGTTTTTTTTTTTAAGAATTAAGGACATTGTCTTTTACTGTGGACTGGTTATTATATTGGGAGAAACCAATTTTCGTGGATTTTGTGGGTTTAGGTGAACCAGGAATTTCAATTTTTGAGGAAGTACAATTTTCTATAGGCTAGTGTGCAGACTTTGGCAAAACCATGTAATCAAATAGCTAAGAGAAAACAATTTTTCCTCAATCAAAGAAAATTGATACTCACAAAAATAAATGAATCCACAGTATTAAAAATATTAAACTTATGCAATGTTTATAAAGGAATTGATAAATACTTAAAGTTTTTGTTGGCTTATCTACAACAGCTGTTTTATGGTATACCATTGTTCATTCATGCACACATTCATCTGATCTTCTCGCTGAACAAAAAAAATGTTGCCTTGTCTTCCATATGAGGATGAAAAAAAGCAATGAAGAAGACAAACAAAATATGACTCCTGAGATTGTAGAAAACATTTCTGTCTCCTGCATTGTTTCACTATTTCATTCAAATAAAAATTGCTGTTATATCTGTTAAAAAAAAACTAACTTTTTTGGACTTTGATTTTACTGAATAATTTTTTTTTGCATGTTCTAAAAGCACAAAAGGATTCATAGCTGGAATCAAATTGACATGTAGAAGAAAATTTGTCGTGGAACTTCAAACAATAGATTTGGCATTGGTATATGTTGATAATGCAAAAAAGACTTTAATAGTCAAAATATGTGGGATAGATGTATCATGTGGTCATTGTCCTACTGTTTTATTTTAATATCAAACCTTTCCATTAAAAATTGTAATGGAATTTTGCTTCTTGCAGTTTCTGACATTGTTACGTATAAAATTGCATAAAAATTTGCAAAAAACATTTATACAGTGGCAGTTGTTTGGCAATTCAACAATGAGTAATCTAAAAATTGGGGATAAAATTTGACATAAATCAGTTCTATTAGGACTTGTGTGTGAAAAGAAATTGTTGACACATTATTTGAACACATGTGAAAGATTATCGTTTAATTAAATGAAACGTTCAATTTATCTTATAAATGACATTCAAATACTCTTGATAAAGTGCAAAATATATGTAAAGAAAACCTTCTTCAAGGAATGTGTTTGTGAATTAGACAGACTATGTACTTGGTTTGTTTGCCAAGGTTTTAATTTATTACGAAAGAAAGTTTTAAGTTCTTCATACATCATCTAATCCAATGAAATGACAATGATTATTTGTTTTTGTTTTAAAACTGTTAGTTTCATTATTTTATCAAAAGACCTATTATTACTTGTCTGCATGGAGATGAAAAGACTTCATTTGAAAATAATAGATAAGTTAAGGTTTAAACATATGAGAGTATAATTTATAAAGTTGTCAGTTTTGCTGTTTTTGCCAGTTAAGATGCATCATTTAAAACACAAATGCATTGGTTGAATCTTGTATCAATGGTTTGCACAAACGTCAACTAAAAATCATTTTAATTTGAATGAGAAATATAAGATACTACTATTTGATTAGGAACTACTTACTTCTATGGAGCACAGGAGTTCGTCCCTGGTTTCAAGTTGCTCACTTTATAGTTTTTAATAAAGTTTTTTTTTCTTTTTTTGTACGTCTTATCATCTTTTTTCTTTTTACTTGGTGTTGTCCGTCTTTCTTCAATTTATGATTTTTTATTACCACCTTCTTATGTTTTAATTTTCACATGTATAAAGGGACCATTCAGTAACTTTTAACCTTATTCCTTTGTATTTTTCAGCACTCAACTATTCAGGGAATTTAAATTATGTAAATTATTATTACGTCCACTGGACGACCGATACTCAGCAAGTCGTGGCTCTAGTCAACAAATCCGAGGGTATAGTCGGCAGTCAGAAAGTTATGTTTCTAGTTTAAGTAACAGTGCTGATAATAGTGCTCATGATGAGATTGACGATGATGACTTTGGCTTTGGAGAGGGACAGTATCGTTACTCTGCACTGTTCCCTTACCAGAGACCAGGAAGTAGAGCATATAGTGTTCCAAACAGAATTTATTTAGGTTCAGGTAAGAAATAATATATCACGAGGTAATTAACACCATATACAGATATTCTTTGCCAAAGGAAAAGACATGATATGGGGTATCTGTCCATGACACAAAATCAGTACATGTAAATTGAACAGTAAAAAAAACCCAAAAGAACAATCTTGTAATTAGAAGTGTTTGTCATATGAGTATTCTAAGTCATTGAAAACGTAAAACTTCAAGAAAAATAGTTTTTCTTTAAATCTAGCTTATACCACAAATTTCAAAAGACAATTGATATTTGTACAACAAGAATAATTACAGAACCCAAGGACCACATTCTTTTATATAAGATGTTAGAACTGAAAGACTCTTGAAATTTTTTAAGCTAGCATTTAAATGCTGATATAAGATTAATCATTAAAAGGCCTAATGAGTACATTTACATGTTGGTCCCCTAAACTAAGTAAGCACAACATACCAATTACTTATTGAAAATGGTTGACTTTTCAGAAACAACATACAGAGGAAGTACCAATACAGAAACACAACATTCTCAGGAAAAGGCTATAATTAAAAGTGCTACACATAGAAAGAAGAAACTGAAAGATGGAAAGTATGTACATATGTTATTTAGGTGACCAGATAACTATTTTTTTTTAATTATTGCTTGTTCAACATTATTCAATAGCTTTGTGTGCATTACAAATAAGATTTATAAAGAAATAGTGACTTCAATCTAGTACAAGTGAAATTTGTTAGGCAATAGTTTGCTATGAGATGTTAAAGAATAACAAAGACTATTCAAGCTTAACTCCATGCATTGGCATGGAAAATAGACACTTTTCTATCGTTGAATATTATATCTTGACCTCTAGATGTCTTTGTTGCATTGTGATGTTGGGTTGCTGTCTAATGTAATTTCAGAAATCTTAAGTCCAAGTTCATTTGTTACTTCATAATCAAAAACTTTAACTGATACAAGTTTTGACATTGAAAAAATTAATTACCGGTATGCCTTATAATGTCATGTAGAAAGAGCACAGTTTTTTTAGACCTTTAGTAAAGATCACCAAATATTTGTTAAATACTGTTACATACAATTTGAAAATTGCTATAGAAACAGATCCCCTCTCTTCATCAGTGTAGAATGTCATGATTAATCATCACTCAGTTATTTAAGTGTCATTTTTAAGATTTTACTGTGTACCATAAAGAAATGTTGTTTTCGAAACCGGTACCCGTATATTGATGTAATTTGTTTTTGTATAAATTATCTTCCTATATTTTACAGGCCAAATAGTGAAGCCAAAGAGGGTAAAGCCTCTGTGAAGTTTGAAAATCCTGGAGGTAAGATTTGTAAAGCTTTGTATGATTACTCATGGGCTGATTAGAGGCAGGGGCATTTTTAAGGATGTCCAAATATGCTTAAATTATTATAAAATGAATATGTAGACTGCCTTATTTAGAAATATTGGACCTTCCATTGCCATCATTGCATAATATAATAGATAACACTTTAAACTGAGAAATTTAATGAGATAAAATATTTCTTTTTAGGTAATTATCTTTTGAAAATAATAGTTCTGAATTACATGCATATTTATAAGTTTTGCATATAGCAGTGGTTTACTATCTTATTTCCAATATTAATATAAAATCGTAAAAACTAACAAATAAATCAATCATGAAAACAAATATTAAAAAATTGAATCAATAGTATCAGTGGCTTGTTCAAAATATTTGTGTAATTATTTGGGTATGTCACTTGATATGAATTTGTTCTTCATTTTATTTGTTTATATTCAAATTACAGATGATGTCAAAAAATTACAGTTGAAACAAAAAAAATATACCTCAGAAGCAGAAGAAGCATTTCTACGACATGCAAGGTATGTTCTGTGAAATGTAGTTCAATTGGTAAGAAATCTTGTTTACAAATTTATACGACACAGAAATACTGAAGCTTATCGGGTAATACTTATGTGAATTATGAAAATGAAATATGAATGTTGTAGCAGCTTGATTGTCGCTTATTTATCTCACAAATTTCCTTTAATTTCAAATTCAGTTTAAGGAATTTGAAATTCATATGTCAATTTGAATAAGGCAAAAATAAATTGACCATTCCTGAATATGGTTTACAGGACACTGTTAATTGCTTATTTCATCAGGTGTTTTCAACACATTTTACATATTTTTTTCTTCTTCATTTTCCCTTTTAGTTAGTAACAAAAGTAGTAAATCAATATACTTCTTACTTTGATTCATGTAGGGAGAGTTCCTGCAACATTATACAAACAACAACCAATCAATCATTATTATACCCCACGCAACGAGTTGCGGAGGGTATAATGTTTTTGACCCGTCGGTCCGTCTGTCCGTCTGTCCGTCAGTCCGTCAGTCCGTCAGTCCTGTTTCTTGTCATCGCAACTCCTCTCAAACCACACAACAGAATTTCACGAAACCTTTTTAGATAATAAGGACATACTATGTAGTTGTGCATATCGACAGGAAATTACGATTCGATTGTTTTTCTAGGAGTTACGCCCCTTTGAACTTATTTACTTTAATGTACTACAGCAACAGTTTGTCATCTCAACTCCTCTGAAACCACACAACAAAATTTCATGAAACTTTGTAGATAAGAAGGACATACTACATAGATGTGCATATCGACAGGAAATAACAATTCAATTTTTTTTCCAGGAGTTACACCCCTTTGAACTTGTTTGCCCAATATACTACTGCAACCTTTTGTCATCTCAACACCTCTGAAACCACACAACAGAATTTCATGAAACCTTTTCAGATAATAAGGATATACCACGTAGATGTGCATATCGACAGGAAATTACGATTCAATTTTTTTTCTAGGAGTTACGCCTCTTTGAACTTATTTGCTTCAATATACCTCTGCAACAGTTTGTCATCGCAACTCCTCTGAAACCACACAACAGAATTTCATGAAACTTTGTAGATAATAAGGACATACTATGTAGATGTGCATATCGACAGGAAATTATGATTCAATTTTATTTTCTTATACAATTTTTTTTTTCTTACAGTTATTTTATTTCTCCATTGACAACGTGGGGACGTGGGGTATGTGAGCGCGCTCACTAAGGTTCTTTAATTTACTTTAATTATCATTGACTTCAAGAAGTTGTAAAGGCAAAACAAAATCATTTCTGTTTCAAAGAAGAATGCTTTGTTTTTTTTTAGCTATTATAGGGTTGTTCCAGGGCACTGTATTATCTTTCACAACCAGTATTCACAAACTGATTAAGTAAATTGCATTTCACTTCACATTATTTTATGTGTTACAGGGTTTTGTCGGCCCCTGTTAACTATGAAGATTATATGAGACACCCACTGTTCGGAGATTTTGACTTCCTGTTTGGGGAAGAAGAACCTGATCCAAATGGTCAAGTTTATGTCACATTTGAGGATGAACGAGGGAGTGAAGAACAGACTGAAACAGATGTAAAGAACTTAGAAGGAAGGACAAGAATGTCTCTTCAACAGCTTAAAGAACAGATTTTGGGAACAGTAAGTCTTTGTTTTGAAGTTTTAATAACGGCATTTTATTTGTTATTTTTAAATCAGTAATGAAACCTCTTACAATGGAAAAATTTGTTATATTAACAGATTTACTATATCTGTATCAAAATCTTCCTCTTTACAAAATTCAATATCATGGATAGGCCACACCAGATATCTTTGACATGTTATTATTAATTTTGTCTGCAACTTGTCTTTGATAACATAATATTTGGTTTGACGTAAAAACCTCACATTGTAATTCACAGTTAATTGTTTATAACTTGAATTTGCAGAAAATAATTTGATATTTCCCACTTTAATTAATAAAGTAACATTATGTACCTCCATTTATGTGTTCATGTAGGAAAAATGATCATAATGAAATAAAAGAGTAAATAGACAACTGCTTATACTACTTATATGTATCAATCAACACCAAAGCAAGGCTTCCAAAACGGTCATATATTCCGGACATTTGTATAATGTCCGGTAAAAGTCCGGCTGGGTAAAGCATGAAACGGTCATCTACTTTTTAGTTTTCAAGGCTTTCTTAAGAGATGGTCATTTTAACATAATTCGCTATTTTTTTGACCCAACCTTTTGCCTTTAACAGCCACACATTTCCGGTCATAAAAGTGACATGATCATTAAGTACTATCAAAACAACCCCTACTTTAATACTTTCTCATTTTAATCAAGGCTAATTAGTTGTCGAACAGCTGAAATTTACCTGTTCAGGTGACAGGTAAACTATTTTGAACCGGACATTGATCGGTCTATTCAAAGTTATTTTCTTACATTTCAGCAGTTTGCATCTAATTAATTTAGTCAAAAAGATTTAAACTATCAGAAATACGTTTACAAATATGATTTGATGAAAAAATCAAAAAGGTGAAAATGAAAAATCGTCATAACCACGTTGTTTGAACCAGAGACATGTCTCTGTTTGAACTAGTACACGTGTGCGCAGGTGTGAAATTTAATTATGCATCCTAATTTCTTCAAAAAATGCTTAAATTGTCATTGATACCTTTATCTCACGTTTATTTCGAATATTTTCTTGAAGAAATAATGTAGAAAGAGCTACGTACACTCATTCATGCTTTGCAAACGTACACGGAATTTACGTATCCGTCTCTGGTCCATATTTTACCATTGTCAAGATAACATCCGGTATAAGATTTTAATGAATGTAAAGTTTTTGACAACGTTATTTTGCACAAATAAAGAGTCTAAGGCAGATATAAGTACGCTGATGTTGCACACTTCGAATGATGCACTGCCAATTTAACAGTTTACGTCAGAACTTCGAATTTGAATCAAAGAAAGTTTAATATCGTTTTTTTTTTAATGTCAATCATTGGGATGGCCAACTCAGCAACTGAATACCATAATTGCCTTTTGTTTATTTAGTCTTAAGGGATTAAAATCGGGATAATATATAAAATGTCCGGCTGGCTAAAAATAATTTTGGAAGCCCTGCACCAAAGGACTTGAAAGTGAATAAGTACTCATTTACAGGTTACTGTTTAGTCTTACAAAATGGGTATACATCCATATAGTAACATGAGCCATTAATGACGTATTAAAACAAATGAAAAAAATAAAGAAATTATTTACTTTGAAACATGAGCCATAAATGACATATTAAAACAAATGCAAAAATAAATAAGTTATTTATTTTGAAACATGAGCTATAAATGACAATTAAAACAAATGTAAAAATAAATGAATTGTTAACTTTGAAACATGAGCCTTAAATTACAGTTAAAACAAATGGTAAAATAAATAAATCATTTAACTTGAAACATGAGCTTTAAATGACCATGAAAACAAATGTAAAAATGAACAAAATATGCTATCTTTTTATATTTACTTTGAAACATGAGCTATAAATGGCAGTTAAAACAAATGTAAAAATGAATAAATTATTTACTTGGAACATGAGCTATAAATGGCTGTTAAAACAAATGTAAAAATGAATAAATTATAAACTTTGAAATAAGTTTAATAGAGAAATTTAATTGCTATATTGTAGCATGAAGGAATGGAAGGTTTTAAAGAATTCCTGAGTAACACAGCTGGTTATGCATTATTAAATTTCTGGCTGGACTGTGAATATTATAAAGATGCCATGGAAAACTTTGAAGATGAGAGCAGTAATGATATTAGAAATAGATTATTTAGGTTCGTATCCTTTTACCTTCCATTGATAGGGGACAGTGTGGGAAGGGGAGGGGAGGAGATATAAGAAATATATTGTTTAGGTTGGTAACTTCTCTTACATTGAATTGATGGGGGAATTTTGGGAGGGGTGGTCTGTTGATCTTACTTATCTAATCTTATCTCCTAAATCCCTCCCAGATAGTCATATCAGTATGCACCTTATCTTTTCCCATGCCCCACTTCTAGCCATTTGTATTTCATTTCTCTCAATGTTCATTTATCCATTCTTCTAACTTATTTATTAATTCCTAAGTGATTGGTTTTTGTTTCCTTATGATACTTACACAACAATTGACTCTTTTGTTGACTATAAGCAGACACATCAAGCTATTTCAATTAAAACTCCTCAAATGTTACTGTCAGTAATTAAGTCACTGTAGATGGTAATTGGAATTATGACAGTTCATACATGTTGTAAATCTAAATGTCTTGAAATTCAAGTAAGAATTTAATTTACAAGGAAAGAGTTTAAGAATTGCCGTAATAACCATCTAAAATTCAGAATGTACCACAAGCCTAATCAAACAAACCTTACCAAAGCCTTTATTTTTAAGTAACCAAATTTGATATATATTTTTTTCAGGGACATACAAGACAGATATAAAATGAATTTAACAATTGATGCCAAAAACAGTATAGCCAAAGCAGCAAGTAATGCTAATCTAAGCCATACAGTATTTATCCGAACTCAGTACGATGTGCTAAGGCGACTGAGGGCATACTGGGTACCAAGATACCTCATACATGTTGAGAGGGAACTTAGCCTTAGGTAAGCCTTTCACAAATATAACTCGGTATGATGTGCTACAGAGGCTGAGGACATACCAGGTACCTCCTTACATTATAAACATAAAACTTAGGCACACTATTATCTATTGGAGTTCATACAAATTTAGTATGATGTGTTAAAGTTGGCCAAAAAAGTCATCTGGATATTTTGATATTTTATACAATAGAGAGGAACATTTTCCTAATTAAAATATACTATAGTTGTACTGGCAGTACAATTTTTAAAGTTTCAGTACTTTTATTTATGGGGGACTATATTTTGTTGAATTCATGAATTAAAAAAAAATGATTATACACAATAAAATGTTGATTTGTCATGTGCATAGTCTGAAACCATAACCAAATGATATCACATGTACTAGCAACCACAAATATTGGACGCCACAAGCACATAGAAATAATTAACAGTATTGCTTCTGTTTATGTGCTACACTTGACTTAAATGGAGCTCTTCATCTATGCTCCAGGTTTTGATACAACATTGTTTATTTTTATATGTCATTTATACTTACATGCTTTTAAGAATTTCATGTTTACTGGTTTATTTTTTCAGCCCTTATGCCAACAGATTAGAAATACCTAAACAATCAGCGAAGACATTTACTCCATTTTTTCCTTCAATCTCATTGGTCAGTTCCATGCCAGTGTTACCTGATGATGTCCTAACCTTTTCCAAAACGAAAAATTGGGAGCATCTTAGTCAGGGTGGTCGCAGACTCGATTCCAGGATATCGTCTGCTAAATTTAAGATCGGACAAGCACCACCACCCACTTCACAGAGGTGAGGTTATAGTTTTACGTAAAAGTGGATTATTTTTTTAAAACTTTAATGTTTGATGGTGACACGAAAACTTACAAACAGAGGGTTATAAAATGTTTAAGTTGTAGTTTTTTTTTTTATAAAAGCAAGGTTTTGAAACCGAATAAAAAGATACATGCAGTGCTATTTCAGTACAGTGATATTTCCATTTGAGCATTTAATTAGTAATTTGGACATGACTTTCAGAAAAGGACTATGACATAACCTGGGTCAGTCCTTTGTCAAACATCAAGCTGTGTTAAAGTTATGACATCAGAAAATATATAAAGCTTATCTACATCTGCCTGTCAATCATCTTCACTTATGTGACAACAGTTGTAGTTAGCCTTGCAAGGAGATAAGTTCACCTTTCTGTATGAAAGAGATATAGTCTGACAAAGGAGAAAATAAATTTCTATTTATGAGATCAGAAAATTAAAGTTTTATATAAATGTAAAAAGGTTTATAAGATTTAACAACTTGTCTGTTTGATATTTTGCACAGACGTGTACTTGCACAGTTGAGGTTTGTATGGTGCAACATCCTAATACTTTTTGTGTGATTTCATCATAGCTAAAATAATCTACAAACATAAAATTCCTTCGTCAATCAGATTTGAATAAAAGCAAATCAGTAATCCACTTTTTCAAAATTTGGCTTGACTTAGTTCTTACAAAAGAACTGATAAAATAATTGCAAAAAGCACAGCAAATGAAATTTGACTTGTTCAAAAGAAATTGTTTATGTAATGAATATGAATGACATGAACAAGTCTTATTCCCGTCATTAACTGGACAAGAAAGAACTAATTTTTAGAAATACATACAATCAATTCTTAATGGATATTCTGATTGTACTCCACCTTCATATTTTTGTCCTCTTATGTTTTTGAAATAAACTGAGAGGTTTCTGTAGATCAGGAATATATTTGATATTCATATTTATATTTACGCTAAGAGAATAGAATTATTTTAGCTATGATATTATTTGACTTATACCTTCACTTATCACCTCTTAAATTGAAATTATTCATTAAATGAAAGCAGAAAACATGCTTACATTAACCATTTTGCAAGTGGCTAACTCTGTATAGAAAAAGAAAAGATTTGAAATTTGTTACCAATTGCAATCAGAATTGTCACACAAGTAAAATAAGTGAATAGGCTACTCTTTATAGATGGAAGGTAGGTAATTTTCTGTTTATAAAATTTATGATTTTCTGGCTAATTTGGTGTCATCTTTGGGTTGATTACCAAGTATTTCTCATTAGAGTTTAAATAAATCTCTTTGTTGGTAAAAAAATCTATAATAATCAATTAAAGATTTGATATGCAAGTTTGAGATCTTCTGGGTGCATTGGATTATGAAGATGTAAAGCATTTGATTAATTTAGGGATATATACATGCCTTATTATCAAACTATGAAATTTGAGGGAGAAACAAACGAAATATAGGTTAGGTATGACCTTTAAATCAAAATTTAGCTCCTAAAAGAGACAAAACTTTAATTTTAAGGCACTTTAAATATCACTGCACTTAACCTAACAGTTATACATTGTAAATATTCAACAACCTATGGTGGAGGACCGAAGCAGAGCAGTATTGCTTGATTTGATATAAGTGTTATCATTATATGATGATGTATTGTTTTGTATAATTATATTATAATAGATATTTTTAGAATCACAGATTTTAGCATTGCTTTCCCAGCTATTAAACAAACTTCTAGCCTTTCATTGATGTTATATACCTTCAAGACTTTGTAATTATTTTCTGTTACACTTTTCATGATTATATAAATCTTTCACTTTTTTTGAATGCAAAACACTTCTTCTTCAAAAAAAAAATCTTCTTGTCCTTCACTTTCCATTTTATGCTTTTATTATATTCAGAAATTATTTCCAAGCTAAGAATTCTTTTCTTCCAATTTTTTTTTAGTTCAATGGAAAGATTTTTTTATGCGTGTATGACTTTAAATGAATGTGAAAAGAGTTATGAGGGTCAGTTAAAATCACTTGTTATCATTCAAATTTTTTTTAATATTGTCTTTTAAATTGATACTTTGTTATACACTAATTAACATAATTTTTCTCCTTTTACAGATTTGGCTTAGATAGGTTTCAGATAGCACTGGCTACAGATAAACTTGCAGGCGGACCCTTTCAACATTTCTTAACAATGTAAGCTTTGCACACACTACAAGTTATTCAAAAGTTTTGTAGACTTTAGATCATTTAAAGTTTGACATTTGATATGGACAGTTTTGTTATTGCCCCTTTGTGGTTTTCTCTCATCCTTTATCCATGGGTTAAACAAAAGTTAACTGTAAAACAAAAAAAATCATAATAATCATCCTCTATTTTAATAAAAAGGAAAGAGAATGAAAAGGGTAAACAAGCACAAGCTTGAAACTTACACAAACTATTTCTGAAAACAACTATGACAACAGTAAATTCTGTTATCTGGTGCTTCAGAATAGTAAGATATCTGACTGTGCATATTGTTTCCTCAAATTGACAAAGTTGTATGAAAAATTACCCATTTTATCTCACTTTCTTTTATCCAGGCAAGATAACAAACTTTTGTTGTCTATGTTGCTGTTCTGGCAGAGTGTTACAGAATATGGTGCTGCAGAAGAGAGGTCAGCTGACAGATTATTACGCATGTGCCATGCCTGGACAATTTACAATAACCACATAGCTCCAAACAGTTATCATTATATAGGTAAGTGGAAAATACTTTGAAAAATACATGATTAAAGGTTTGTTGTAAGACAATATTGAATTCTTTTTGTGCTCATTTTAAAATCTTATACAGTGGATTTCGTGGGTAAAGATAAACCATGAATTCAAATATTCAATGAATTACAAAGTTTCTATTGGCTTTGTATGCGAATTAAAATATTCAATGAATTACAAAGTTTCTATAGGCTTTGTATGTGAATTCAAATATTCAATGAATTACAAAGTTTCTATTGGCTTTGTATGCGAATTCAAATATTCAATGAATTACAAAGTTTCTATAGGCTTTGTATGCGAATTCAAATATTCAATAGGCTTTGTATGCGAATTCAAATATTCAATGAATTACAAAGTTTCTATAGGCTTTGTATGCGAATTCAAATATTCAATGAATTACAAAGTTTCTAAAGGCTTTGTATGCGAATCCAATATTCAATGAATTACAAATTTTCTATAGGCTTTGTATGCCATTACTAATATTCAATGAATTACAAAGTTTCTATAGGCTTTGTATGCAGAGATTGGCAAAATCACGAAAAATCTTTATCAAGGAAAATGCAAGTTTTCCTCAATTCATGAAAATTGATACCCACGAAAATAAATGAATCCACAGTACAATGCTTAATTTGTTTTTTTTTCCTGTATAATGTCTATAACAGAAAAGCAAGATATCCTCCAAATGTTAGTAGCTACACTACTTAGAATTAAGGCAGATACAATAGCTTTGGATGTAACCAATGAACAGTTTGAGCTGAGGGAGTACTCCACTGGTAAAACTAATGGAGTGAAGTTATATACACTTAGTTTAGTTGGTAGATGAGGGGTTTGCCAAGAGCATATGTTCTTTTCCTGATAGTACAGCTACATGTATATATCATACGGTAAATAAAGTTTGAAGGTAGAAAGAGAGCAATTATAGAACACATGGCTAAAAGAAGAATAGCCAATAACATGGCTAAAAGAAGAAAAAAAGATTGGGAGGAAACAAATACACAGGAACTTGAAGGTTGAGCCAAATAACCCTCAGTGAAAGATTGGACAAACTCAGGTGCTCAGGAAGGGTTACTCTAAAAACAGAAATCATGGTCTACTGTTTCAAGTTTAACACTACAAAGACAATATGTCAGCAATATTACACCTGCTAAATCTGGTAAATGTTTATGTTTGCAGGTTTTTCTCCATCAGAACAGGATGAAATTCACAAACAGTTACTTAACGCTACAGACTTTATAGAGGCTTCAGTATTTAACAGTGCTAAACAATATGCTATGTCTAGGTTACAACAGGCCTGGATTAGATATCTCAAAGAGGACCTTAAAGGATTCTTAGAGTAAGTTTTTGAATGAAGTTAGAATTAATTTTGTATTCAGAAATGTTTGCCTTTCAATGCTTTCTCAAAGGAAAGAGGTAAACTTTCTGATAAGGAACATTAGTTTCTCCAGAAATTATCAAATTTATGAACTGACTTGTTTAAGTAGTGGATTATCTCCTTCATTTTTAAACTAATGTATTGACATTGAATTATTTTATTTCTGAAATGATTTTATCAATTTCTGTGTGATAATCTACCTATGGACATCGAAAACACTTGTTTGATACCATTTTTAGTACCCACATATTAGCTCTAGGGTTATCTCCCCTTCATACAACAGATGTAAACTTTATCTTTGTTATGATTTTCATTGCCTGTATATTATTTAAAAGGGTTTTTATCCCCTCCAATAGCAGATGTTTGCTTTTAACCTTTATTATTATTTTCAGTGCACATTTATCAGCTAGAGGGTTGTCTCCCCCTTATTCAACATATTTTGTATCATTTGCAGCACCCATTTGTTACCTAAAGGGTTATCTCCCCTCCTACAGCAGATGTTTACTTTAAACTGTGTGATCATTTTCAGTACCCATGTATAAGCTAGAAGGTAATCTCCCCCTCCTACTGCAGATGTTTTGAACTATAGCTTTATTATTTTCAGTGCCCATGTATTAGCTAGAGGGTTATCTCCCCCTCCTACAGCAGATGTGATAGAAATAACAGTATTAAATGACCAGTTAGTGATATCGAGACCTGACCCTTGGGTCAGAAGGTAATTGATTAATGTTTATGTTAGCAAATTGCATATTTTATATAATTTTTAATTAGATATAGTAGTTTCTTACCAAGTTATCTTCTATCTGTTCAACCCTGTTACTCATAAAGTATATAGCAGATATTTCAATTCAAAACTATATATCTTTTCTATCTCCAGTGTATTTTGTTTTAATATTTTTGTCTTCATTTGAAGATTTATTATATTTCATTAAATGGAGCAGGTTTATAATTGACAAACTTGTACACCTTCTAAGAAAAATGAAACATATTTATTTGGCAGTTTAGCAACATTATGCAAATGTATTCTATTGTTAAAGATTATTATAGAGAGTTCTAGTTATAGTATTGTAAGTACCAGGAAAATGGCAAAAATGAGTAAAAGACGAAAATTATACCTTGAACAGTATATATATGTATATATTTGTGTGTATGAGAATTTAGAAATTTATTTTATCTGGCTTTGAAGAGATGCAGGCTTTAAGGAAAAAAACAAAAATTTAATTGTTTTTATGGTTATACATTACAGCAGAAAGGATTCACCGTCTGTGTCAAACATTTTAAGCAGGTATAGGACAGTACCTATATCACATGTGTTCAGTTTCCACCCCAACACAGCTTGTGTCTAATTGTTATCACTAACTTACTTACATGTTTACTGAGTCCATAGATAAATTCTTATATCGCAGGATGGCATTTAGTCCTCTGTTTTCTGAAATGATTGTAGAAATATTGATCATATTTAGAATGTAGACAACTTTGCCAACAATGAGAAATTATAAAAGCATACTTCAGTAACATTGAGTTTTCAATAAAAAATTAGGAAGCTGAATATAGCATTTATATTGATTTAAAATACATCAGAAAAATAATATTACAATCCAATCCTGAAATGGGTAGAATTTATCTGTGGACATAACGACTAACACATTAAATACAGTCATGATGCACATTATCATTTCAGACTCCTTATTTGGGAGAAAATCTGAAATTTTGTACTGTAAGAAACATTGTACAATGTTTTTGAATCTTAGGCAATTACATGAAAAATATTGAGATTCTTTCTGGTAATATGTCCAGTGGATACACTGTATTTTTCTACTGTACGGAGTTACATAAAAAACCAATTACAGAATAATTCAGGTTCAAATAGCATGTTAAGGTACTGGAGTTTCAATGTTTTGTTTGAACAGTTTTGTCTTCAGAAGCCATCAAATTTGTTAAAAATATTTGTTGAAACAATGTATTAGTTAATAGAGTCTGAATTGTGGGTGGCCTTGGAGAAAGTGTCCATTGACTTTAACTGTCATTGGGGTATATTGGAAAGGCTCTGAAACTAGTTTTAATAAGATCACCTACAGATCTTTAAGAGATGCTGCTCTGGTTCTTCAAAATACGCCACCAGCTTGGGTCTCTCTTTTTTAGGAGGGATAACATTAATTCTTTTTGAAGTTTGATAAAAACTGTAAATTCAGTACATCCAAATGTGTTCATTCCTGGTAAAGACAGAAATTATTACTTAATCAAAATTAGGAATTATTGAAAACCTATTAAAAATATGTTATTAAATGTCCTCGGAATAGTTTACAATAAAAATCTTCATTTTATTGATACACTTTACCAACACCTATAACAAATAGATGCACTGATTTTGTTTCAGCTTTCACAACAACAACAAAATTGCTTACAACATTTTCCCCATTGACAACTTAACTGAACTGTTTTGTTTTGTACCATTCCTCACCTTTTGATTAATGCCTGTGTTAGCAGAAGTCACACAGTATTCATAGCTATTTAGCCAGTGGGAGATTTTGTCATTGGTTTGTGGATTTTATCCATCTATTATTCATAAACACTGGTTAACTTTTCAGTTTTTTATCCTCTAAACATTCCTGCAAACCAGCCAATGGCTGTTGTAACTATATATAGAACAAATATAAGCAAAATGGTAAACTTTTATGTCCAAATAAATATTTTGCTAATTTTTAATGTATAGTTGTGTAATGAATAGTTACAAGTGCCATTCTAAATTGCCAACTTTTAATCTAAAAATAGCTCATTTACTAAGCACCAAAAAGTAATTCAGTCTTTTCCCACGAAATTCGATAAGGGCATTTTTTGAATTAACATAATGGCTTGAAATTTTAATTTTGATTGTTTCACCTACAACTTATATCTCATTTATTACATAAGGTGTATTATTAATGATTTTATATTTAATTTCAGTTCCTTTTGAAACCCCTTGTCTTAAAATAATGTCTCAAATAACCTTGATATTTGGACCATGGTGCTTTTATAGCCTAAAGACTACATGTGTGTAACTTTAAATCATTGATGAAAAATCTTAATGTAGTATCAGATTTATAAAATTTCAATCAGCCTAATTGAGGCATATAACATTTCATTGTGAATAATTAAAACATCAATTTATTTAAAGTAATAAATTTTAGTTAATTGAACTAAATAGGTGGCCTATTTGTTTGCTTGAAACATTGGAATTTTAATTACTCTAAAAACAAAATGTTTATGTTAACAGAGTTCCAACCACTGAATCACAGAGAGCCAAACGTTTAAAAGATGCCTTTCAAGATGATATTGATTCAGAAAAGAGGGCTGAGCTTCGTATGTTAGCTAGACTACGAAGAAAAGACATGGAAAGAGAAAGGCGGAAAGCAATTAGAAATGCATACAGGAGAGTTAGAGAGGCAAAGAAAAAGAAAGGGTCTGCTGAGGTATTGTTTTACATAATTTTTAGGCCACTTCATTTAGGTTTTTTATTGATTCGAGAGCATCTTTTTTTGGAAGGATAAAATATAATTTTCACTTCAAGAAACAAAAATAGTTAAATTCTACTGAGTATTTTCTGTTTTGAATATTAAAGCAAAAAATTTCTTCTTTCCATTAAAGTTACCTGTCTTGTTTTTGCAGTGTCGTGAAATGTAGGTACTGTGTACGGTTAAACTTTAAGGTTTTGTCTTGTCTTAGAATGGGCAATGTTGAGCAGCCAGAAAATTATTTTTTTTAAGTGTGATTGTTTACTTTTGTTAATGGATTTTGGGGATATGATATACTGATATATTTTAACAGAAAGAAGAAGGGGAAGAAGAACTTGATGGAGACACAGAAAACAAAAGTCCTAAACCTCCACCACCATTTTCTGAAATGGTAGACAATAGAAGGTATGGATATGTTACATCACAATTTTACATCATCTATGAATGGAATTTACACAGATGAGGTTAAAAGAGATGTGTATTTTTTTAAGTTTTCATAAATGAAATTACTTGATTTACAACTTGAAAATCTTTCCACTGAAAACTTCTTCTAAAAAAAGGTTTTGTTAGACCCATATTTTACTGAACATGGAAATATGATAGTGCAAGACAGGCATTGTGTCCTATGAACACATATTCTTTTTGTGGATGTTAATGTAAGCAACCAATGATCAATCAATCATATTCTTGTTTGGAATGATATTTATTTTTGACATTCTGAAATTAACATATTATATATAAATATATTTTGTAAAGTAAAAATTACTCAGTGACAGAAAATAGTTTCAGAGAACACAAACTTTAAATTCAATATGAGCAATAACTGTTCATGGGAATGTTCATTTAACTCCAATCTTAAATAATTGACTAGGATTTTTGGCAAAAATAAGCTGTTTTCTCCAGTCATTTGGGCTTCCTTCACCAATGAAAACTGGCCACCATGATATAGCCAGAAGTGCTAAAAGTGGCATTAAACACTAACAATCAATCAATCAATCTATAAGAATATTTCATAATTTTATTTTTTTTCAGCATTATGAAAGCATTTAAGAAGCACTTACAAGAAGCAGATGACAAGGAAAGATTTTTTATGATCCAGTTATTTCATGATGTTGAAAAATATTTAAGTTATGGTGGCAGTAAAAGTGTGGCAAAAAAGAAAGATGCTCAGGCTACTTTAATTTATAAGTAAGTGATCACTTATTTAGGGCAATTTTTCATAATGTGGACTGAAAATTGGGGTGGGGGTGGGGGGGATCAAGAGCAAAAAAGCTTGTCTTATAGTCCTAGGAGATAGTTTGTTTCCTATTTCTCTTTTATTTTAAATGTTTTTTTAGGCTAAAAGGTGTGGGGCAATTGTTCCCCTGGTCCCTCTCCCTGGCTCTTATGCCGTTGTTCAATATGTATGAATGCTTCCTCTGAACAAGTTGATTTGTCATAGCCCTCCATTAGCTGTGCTAGTGGGGTACTCCTGAACTCAATTGGCAGAACAGTTTGATTCATAGTTATTACAGTGCTAATTTTGGAAGGAAACCAAATCGTTCTTCTGTTCTCTATGAAAATTCTAAGACATTTGCACAACTGTTTAACATATTTTGATGAATGTGATAAAACAGATAAATCAATCATAAATGAAATGACCTGAACAGATTTGCATCAATAAAACGTTTTTTGGGGAAAACTTGCGTATGGAGACATATTTATCAGTAACTTGAATAAATATTGAAAAGTTTGAATTACTTTGTATTTTGCAATCATTGCAGAACTTATGCAGATTCTCATGGGAAGAAGAAAATAACATTTAATGAGAAACTTCAGTCCAAGTTTTCAGAGAGACCGAAAACACCAACATTAAAAGAAATGCAGCATTATATTCTACCTAAAATAGATGAAGTTTTTAAACCTTATATTCAAGTAAGTATACTATAAATTAAATATCACTGAATTGAATTTAATGTGTTCAATTGTTTACCACAAAAAACCTGTACTGTTGACAATGAAATTTTGTTACAAAACACAATTTTTAATATTAATTCAGAACTTTTTTGAGTGAGGGTCTATTTGCATATTTCACAATCAAGTAAAATGCCTGAACAAATTCCCCAGTTTTATAGTTTGTAGATTTGATGTAAAGGGAAGTCTTATCTTTTGATATGTGCATTTAACTATCTTTGGAAGCAATCTGAGGAGTAAAGTTGTTCAGAAAAGTTCTTACAAAATTTGTCAATTTCATGAATAAAGAAATATATCAGTTTTTGAACTGAGTTCCATCAATAGTAAATGGATTGGTCTGGTTTAGAATGGTTTATCCCATGTATAAAAGTGAAGTCCATTGTGAAAATAGGTATATAACCTAGCTTAAAATGGAATATCCCCCAAAACAGTTCAGCCCATTTTATAATATAGGTAAATATAAGTGAATACTATTTTGTATTTTTCATTTATTGAATAATGATTGGAACTGAAAAGTTTTTGAAATGTATTAATTTATCATTGTAAACATAGGTGAACAACTTTCAGTACTGACTTGGTGCTCATATAACCCTTCCAGATTTATGTTCACTATCTTGAGTGATGTATCAAATCAGTACTCATATAGCAGGTTGTCTATTAAATTCAGATTTGTGTTCACTCAAGATTTAATATATTTACTGATGAAGCGAGTAGATGTAACTCATCATGAGTGATAAACCATACTATTCACTGATCTAATAACCAATCAGTAAAGGATTATTCCACAATGTAAGGGGGTGGGATAGGGTGATTTTGTTCAAGGCTTAGGAACAAAGAAAAATTTACAAAAAGATTAAAAGAGACCATAACTTATATAGACAATATGTTTTGGGAGTTTAAGACTTGAAAGCATCCATTTTAATGCTATGGATATGTGTACTGTAATAATATTTTATTTAGGAGGGGGAGATAATCCTCCATCTAGTGTAGCAGTCTTGTTCATTTTTAAAAGGCAATTTTGGATTAAAATGGTGTATTCCAAACAAGAATAGTCCATTTTTCAATACATTCCATTTTCAAAACAAGTTAAACTGACTTGGAATGGTATGGCCCATATTGTGGTCTAGTCCATTTTATATTATTCTTTGTATGAAGTGAGTGATAACAGTCAACTGATTTAAATGGTCCAGGAACAAAATTAGTGTAGTGTTGACTTTTGTGCTCATTTAACGTAATTTGAGCTCATTGAAGACTGCTACTGTGGACATATGATCAATATAGTTTACTGATTAAATGTAGGAAAGATAATTCCTCAGTCAGAGAAACTAAAAATAAATAAAAGATTACCCTTTAAACACAGTCTGTTGATTGGACAGTTGCAGATTACATATGTGAAAGGGGAGGTAATCAAAAGGAAATTATATTTTGTTGTAACCCATTCAAACAGTGCCAGCCAGTTTAAATCACTCTGAATTTATCACTCTAAACCAGTCTTTATTCCCCTTATTCAGTCCTATTGCAGAATTATAACTCACGACTTTAAACCAAGTAAGCTTTGCTGTTACACATACTAGGAGGGATCAGAAAATGTTTCCTATCAAATTTTTTATCTTCATGCAAACATCCAAGATGGCTGCCATCTATTGGCATATTTTCATAATGTATCTTGCCTGATCCAAATGTTAAGTGTGAGCTATTGTGATCAACAACAAAAAAACTAGTGAAAAGATCTGGAAAGTTCCTTTAAGTAACCAATTTTCTTGGAAATGACACATTAAGAGATGTAAAACTCATACCAGAAATGTCACATGGCATAGTATCACAAGCAGAACTATATAAAAGAATGAAATATGTCTTTCAGGATAAGGCAGCAGAAAATGGTATGGAACCAAGAGAATTTCTAAATCTATCTCAAGCAGAGCTTTCACTTAGGCTGGATACTAACTTAGCTGTGCCTAATTGGAAGAAAGGCAGAAAAGGAAAGGTAAGAACCAGTTCATATCAAATGTCATGGCATTGCTGTTTTATAAGCACATGTTTGAAGCTGTTTTATTTTGGTTTGTTTTATAATTTATTCTTGTGTCAATTTATAATCTTAATTTATATTATGATATTGTTATAATCTCAAGATTTATTTTATGATTTTATTTTTTGAAAATATTGAGTTTGTTATGGAAAATATAGGCATTGACTGTAGTTAACAGCAACACCAAAAATCTTCTGGATAATTTTAAGGAAAAGTGAATAGAGTAAATTGTTGTGCAGAAGAAATACTGTGTCCTGAAAATCTAAATACTAATCTATGAAGTATCACATGTATGTTTTGTTTATATGCATGTATTATTTCACTGTTTTGAATGTGGTCCATGTGAAACACAAATCTCATTTTCGATGAATTGATTTCTTGTTGAAGCATGAAGAAATTGATGATGAATTAAATTATCCTTCCTCAAAATTCAACAAGGTGCAGTATATAGTTATACATATCTTTGTAGAAAGATGGAGGTTTTTTGTTTATATTTTAGTATAGCACTTTTCTGAAAGTTGTTTACCATAAACTACTTGCTGGGAAGGGGAAAGCTTGTTTTTAATGCCAAATTATTGTTTTGAAATGACTTTCAGAAAAGTCTTATTGGGTATTGTGTTTATATTTACATTATTTGTAGGGAACATATTTTTTTCCATCTGACATTAATATACCAATGATAGAAATATTGAAAAAAGAAAAAAGTTTATTACATTCAGAAAAATTGTAATATTTCTATAGGCCTTTTTATTTTTATTTTTGTATATTGTAGTGTATTGTTATTATTTATATTGTATCTTATATTCAAGGTCTTTTAAAAAAAGTAATCTGCTTTGATTTAATATGAATCAGTTTTTGAACTTGAATAAGAAATACAAACTAATATATAAAGTATTTTAAAAAGTTTGAGAAATCAAAAAATAATGAAAGGATTTCTTTTAACATTTAACTTTTCTCTAATATATTAGTTACTAAGTAAAAATTTTCTAATTTGAAATGAAAAATATTTGCAGGCTAATAAAATTTAACTGAATATTATGAAAAATGTCAGAAAATCAACATGTCAGAAATATTTTGAAATGTGTTTTGATAACAGACAGAGGAAACTGAGGAAAGTCCAGATAAAGATAAATCCCCTGAGGGACCCCCTGACAAGCCTCCTGATGGGAAAGCCCCTAAAGACTGGAAATTTGTACAAAGAATGAGAGTGCCTCAGGATAAACCATGTATGACTGTTGATATGTATACTCATGGCGAATTACAAAAAATGGGTGGTCGTAAAGTTAGATTTGCTAAGGAAGCACAAGTTAAAACTGAGGAATCAGAGGATGATATATGGGGCGAGGTAACATGGAGTGGCATGGGATATCTTAACATTGTAACATACATGTGGCATGCTCTAAGTGGTGCTCCTAACTTGTGGAGTAATATGATATCTCAACAGTAACTTGACTTACAGTATGGGCTGAGCTAGGCTCTTTTTTGCTGCCTGTAAGTGTACGTCTAACATTTAACAGACATTGGGCATGATTTCAGTTTTGATCCTATCTTTGTAGAGTAACAGTAACGTAATATGCTTAATTGAAATTATTTTTTTTTCGTAAGAGTATTATGGTTTTGGACGAAATGATATTACATCATTTGTGCGTCTGTTGGGCATAAAAACTATGTCAATACAATGAGCAAAGAGATGAGTACTGTAAATTCAGAAATTATTGCTAGGTTTTTATTAATGTGAATAATGCGACCTGGTGAATATCACAATAATAATAACTCGCATTCCGATATCTGATACACATATCTGTATGCAGCTTTTCCTGAAATCGCAAAAATTAATCTTGCATTTTTGCCCATTCTTCAAAAATCACAATAATAAATGCAAGTATATTAATTTGGATTATTTCCATATTGGGGCTTCAATAAATATGATGAATGATAAAATCAATATATTTCTGTAGGTATTGTTGGATAATGTACATTATAGAGTACAGAGTAACTTGAAAAATTTCAAGGGGCAGAATGACCTTGTTCGTTCAAGGATGCAGGGATCCAGTTTTTCCCATAAAACCTGTAAATGACATAAAAATCAGTATATAGTTTTTTCTGGTAATGAAAATGATATTAATCAAACGTATGGACATACCGGGTGGTCAGGACTGGGTATTTTTTTTACTGTTGATTAATTAGAGTGGAATGTAAAACAAGTATGGACATACAGGGTCGTCAGGGCTGGGTATTTTTTTTTACTGTTGATTAATTAAGAGTGGAATGTAATACAAGTATAGACATACAAGGTGGTCAGGGCTGGGTATTTTTTTTACTGTTGATTAATTAGAGTGGAATGTAATACAAGTATGGACTTACAGGGTGGTCAGGACTGGGTATTTTTTACTGTTGATTGATTAGAGTGGAATGTAATACAAGTTTAAAATTGTACAGCATGTTTATTGTGATGTATTGTAATATGTAATGTGTATAACACAAAGTCATTGTCATTTGCAAGACCGATGTATGTAGAATTAATGCTAACCAAATAAAGCCATAAGAAATTATTTATTTGCTGTGAAATGTGAATTTTTTTATCAGTCCGTTCATTTTTTCTTCCACTATGCATCAGTTTTATATTTTGGTTTAAGATAGTTTATCTTGAAGTTTTGGTAACTTCATCAGCATGAAGTTAAAACTTAGTTCACATATTATTATTATGATTTGAACTTTTAGAAATATATACCAAATTAGGGTTTTGACCCAGATTTCATGGTTTACTGAACATGAAAAGATGTATGCAACATGATAGGATGTTGTATGGACACATATTCTTGTTTTGTGTATTTCCTTTTTAGCACAATTTCCCATGCCATCACAAAATGGTCTACATAATTTGGCGGTCTATTTTCCTTTGGGTCCCAGTGTTGTCTGCCTTTCTTTGATTTGTGGTTTTTAGTTTGCTCCCTTGGTATGTTCTTACTTTTTTATAAGTGAAGGTGAAAAAAAGATTCAGAAATATTGTTTAGATTTGTACTATTTCTTTTTTCTCATTGAATATATGGTTTAAAAAAGTTTTATTTCTTTAACTAACAAGCTTTCTGCAAAAGATGAGCAAAAAGGGACTCTTTTCTCTATCTCTATCTCCCCTTCCCTGTCAACTCTACTAGTATTTGAAAAAAAAACAAAAAAATGTGTAGGTCATGGAGTGAAGGGAGTAAAATACTGCTTCATGTAATATAAAATTAATTTAAATGCTTATTTTAAAGTGCTTTATTTTGGAACTTGCTGTTTGATTATGTCTAATGTGTTGTCTTTTATTGTTCAATTGGTTTTAATTTAGCTCTTTATGTTTGATTGTATTGATTTAGCTTTTTTTAATGTATTTATTGGGATCTTTTCAACTAATCATTAACTTATTAAATCTTCATTTTAATATAGAATATTTTATAAAACATTTCTGAAACTTAAATATAAAGCAATAATACCATCAAATATGCTTACATTTCAAATTTCTTTTTGTATATAGTAAAATGTATATGACATTTCCTTTTCCTCCACATGGCTTTTGCTTTGCCATTGAATTAGCATAGTTGGTGAAATTATTTTACAGAGCAGCTTTTACGTAAAAGAATTTAATTTTGATGCTATGTTTTATGATGTAAATCTAATTTGCATAAGCTTGATTCACAGGATGAGTCGCCTGTTCCACGACGTCCACAAAAGGTGGAATCACATTCTCAGATGACTGTTCGCAGGGTTGTACGGAAGTCGAAGGTAGCTCAGCATGGAGTGGTCTGAATATGTTTTGCTTTGCATGGCGATCATTCAGAGTACAAAATGACAATAGCTTAGCTTGCTTTTATTGCATGTCATGTGTTTTAATAAATCCCAGATAGCATTGTAGTGAACTTAAAAATGTGATGTTTACTGTATATGTTTTTCACTAACAAATATCTAGTTTTCAGAGAGAAAAATCATTGCAGAAGCAGTTTGGATGCTCTTTTACATAGGCAAAGACATTAGTTTCATGTCTCAAACTTTTAATACATAGACTATTTAGATAAGCAATAAGTAGTGTTTGGGAATAGGTTACAACCTATATGGCAGTTTTTGATATCTATGATATGTAGGTTGAAAAGTATTCTATAGAATATTATCCTTTCAAATATTTTTCATGATTTTAAAGAAATTGTAGGAAAAAATTACAGATAAAAACTATTAGATAAATACTACAGACGGCAAGCAGATACCTACAGGAACATCTATTGAAGTTTTACACATGGTAAAACCAAGTTGGAAAGGTCTACTTTTGTTTTTGAAAGGTTGAATGTAGATTAGGAGTCTCTCAGAGTTGATGCATGTGAAGTTATTATATTATTGCTTTAGTACTTTCAATGCTTTGTCTGTTGGTATTTATACTATTAATCCTGTAGATGTTTGAATTATCCCTTGTAGGTGAGTTACCCCCATGCACATGCAGACCTCACACAATTAGTCTTATATGAAATGTAGATATCAGAGCTTACTAATGAACTGAAATAAATATAGTTAATTTCAAAATGACTCATTGCTGGGAAAAAATACAAAAATTTGTAGAAGGAAATCTGAGTGATGTTGAGAAGAAAATGAATCTTGAAAAAAAAATTTGAATCAGTTAATGCCCCAAAAATGTAAACTTTGCCTTTTAAATGGAAAATACCTTGACACAGTTTATAAGTAATGGCAAGGTTTTTTTTTCTAGTTTTTGTTGTTATTGAACTTATTTGTGAAGAGTTAAAAATATATTGACAGTATTCAGTAAATGCAGGTTCTGTTTTAAACTTGAAGTGCAGGATGGTAATTTATTTTTGAGAGGACAGTTTCCAATACTGATTGGAGGTTACAACCTTACTTGTTGTTTGTCCTTGGCTCTTTTGAAGGTTAGGTTCTTTACATGAATTATGATTGCTGATGTTAGCTTACATTTATTGTGGGAAGGCAGCATACAATTATGAGATTATCTGTTTTGGAGATATCACAGTCCTGTCATATAAAAAGGAAAACTCTGATCTGTTATATTCTTTTTCTATTTGGTGAGATACTGAATAAAATGATGATTAATTATGGAATTTGTCATCTTAGTACAACCCATTGTGAAAAATTCCATTTCGAAAGTTGAATAAGTATTTCACACAGAAGTGGAGAGTTAGAATATCAAAATGATCTATAAGAATATTGTTTTTCAAGAATTTAAGGGGAGACTATTTGTACCTTTTTTCTTCTTTGATTTACAATAAGGCCGTTCAAAATAACTGTCTGCAAATTTTTTGCAAACTTCATGAAGCAGTTAATTTTAAAATTGTGTTTGTATTAGTAATTGAATTAATAAATATGAATTGGTAATAGGAGGATTTCATTCTAACATAGAACAAGAGTTTATAACTGTCATATAGAAATAATGTCAACTATTTATGTACATGTACTTACATTCTGTAACGATTTTTGATTTGTATTTTTTTTTTAAATGTCACAATGTGAATTGTTTTTTTGTAATTTTTGTTTGTATTGGTGAATTCAGTTCAAATTATCCTGTGCATGTTATAATGGTAGCTCTCGATGCACATGCTGGCTTAATGACCACCTGTTAAGGGAAATGGGATTTATTTAATCTTATATAGTTTATGACAAAGACCATTCATCTACTGTGAAAGAACCTTTATCAAGTTCTAAAGTTTGTGAATTTTGTTAAAAATAACCCAAGCAATGTTTTTTGCTTAAGTAAAAGTCTGAATCCAATTAAAAAATCTACAAAACAGGGATTTTTTTTTTGGAAACAAGGAGAGTTTCAAACTTTCTTATAAAAGCTGTCATTTTGTCTTAAACTTTTACAGGACCTATGGTAATTCCTGGGCAAAGTTGAGGGCATACGATACAGTTTTGATCCCATAATGAAATTTTGATGAAAATTTGCATATAGGCTATTTTTTACCTGATTAAATCAAATATGTAATACAAAATATACCATCATGTGCTACTTTTTGAGTAAATTGAGGTTGAAATTTCAGATATTTCCTCAAAATTCGGATTTGTGGATGTATTTTTCCTTTGGACAGAAATACATAACTTTTTTGTTTTAAAAGATAAACACAAGCTGTTTTTTGTTAAATTATTTGTAATTTCTGTTTTATATAAATGTTCTATAAATTTGTACATTTTATTTTTACAAATAACTCATATTTATCAAATGTTCATGAATGTAGAAAAAAACGTCATTTTTTGCTGTATATTTATCAAATTAAAAAAAATTGCACTATTGACTTTTACATGAAAATTGGTACACATAATCTTCCCACGTAATCAAACCAAATGTCATTTTAAAAAAGGGAGGTCCATGAACTCCTTTTCAAGTTAAATCAGTTTGAATGATAAAAATCAGTCGAAAACTGCATCTTTTTGACCAGTTTGACGTCGCGAAAATAACAATTTACGTTAGCAACGTCATTACCTCCCCTGTAACTGTATCGTATGCCCTTAATACATCAGGGTAAAATTTACAAGGCACAGTTTATATGTGAAGAGAAACTTATTTTGACTAGTAAGAGCTTTAATTAAATTTTAAATAGAATTAACCCCTCGCAAAAAAAAATTGTTCAATAGATGAATGGTCTTTCTAATTGTTTTTTTTTATTCACAATTTATTTTGATATTTACATATATATATACAATTTTCAGTGGATGGGGTTATCAGACATTTATATTTTCAAGGGAAAAGATTATTCATTCACCTTCTAACTGTAAATTATCACTTATTTTATAGACTGGTAGGGGTCATCCAACGAAAGAGGATAAAGAGGAGTTTAATAAAGGATTGAAACAGGCTGCTGCTGGAAACATGACGCTACACATGTTGTATTTCTATAAATATCTCCTAAAACACGGTGAAGATGATGGAAAAGATAAAGACAAAGACTTTTTCTTCTACATTGAAAGTCTTAAGTTTAAGGTAAAATTTTATACAAAAATTGGACCCTTCACCTAATTTACCTTTTATTTCATGAAATAATGATATTGGATTCATAATACAAATGTGCTTTGATATGAACAATGTACTTGTGTGGAAACACGGCTGCTTTATTAAAGAACCTTGAAGATCTATCTATACTGATACATGTTATTACTTCTTAATATGTAAAAGAATTACTACAACTATCAGACAATACAACAGACCAAACCAAAAAAAACACCTGACTTCACCAAAACATTTCATGTATAAAACACAAACAACCACTTACAACACATATTCCAGATAGTTTGACTTGGATCAGGCACAAAATGTGGTGGAGTTAAACAGTTTTATGTATGCAACCCCTTTTGCCTATTTAGATTATACATCTTAAAGTAAAACATTGTTAAGTATCTGTCAATATGGTGTGATTATGAAGGATGACTGTTTAATGTCCAGTGGCAAATTAAATGCATATTCTGGACGAGAACATTATAATGTGATATGAATATAAACCCTCCTTTTTTCTTGACCAACACACAATTCTGTTTTTAATTCTAATTTTGTCTTTAAAAAAAGGGGAGGGTGACTCTTCCTTTACTAGAGATATATCTTTCTCATATATAGTCTCTTTAATACCTGAATTTCATGAATACATTTAATGCTGTTTTCTTACCTCAATTTCAGGAATGTAGTCAACCATATGCTGATGAAGAATTGTTAAGAAGAAAGGTTCAGTCTATATTAGATTGTTTTCTAGAGTCAGCTATCACACCTACTTTGCAGGTAATAAAACAACAAATTATACTCCAGAGTATTCTCATATTGATGTCTTCTCCCTTTCAAGTCTGGCAACACATGGTACATATACCTTCTTATATGTGGCAACCATAACTATTTGAAAAAGAAGGGATATGGCCTAGATTTAATGAAGTTTATGTAAAGTTTGTTCATCTTGGGATAAAAACATACACCCATTTTTGAGAAAAATCAACTAGTACAGTGAAACTTACCTTGTTCGAAACATCATTCACTAGAAAAGAAAATACTTGCACCTATATATATAACAATATTTAAAAGATAAAAATAATTATCCAAAAAATTAAGAACTATTTCATGTAACAAGTCTTCTCTAATGGTTCTTTTTCAACTAATTTTATTATTTATTTCAGATTGATATATCATCAGCTTGTCATGAGAAAACACTTAAAGCAGCACAGAAATACCTCGCTGGGAAGGAGGTTGTAGCAAGTATATTTGATGAAGCTATGGTACAAGTTTATCCAGACCTACTTGGTTACTGGGCAGGATTTAAAAAGACCTTTACACCTCCTGAAGATCCAAACAAACGTCCAAGTAAGTATTGTATATGTTTTAACCTCCAATTAGTCCATCATGTCTTGTTTTTTTTTTCGAATTTAAAAAAAAAGATATATTGAAGAATAATAACAGTTAGTTTTATACATAATGCTTGTCTTTCAAATGTCTATTTCATTTCTTGTGTTTTCAAGTTGAAATATTATTATTCACTATGTTCCATGAAAGTAGAGAAAAATGCATTGTTGAAGTTTAAAATTATTGCCTTTGTGAAATGATACTTTAATTGCAATTTCTTCCGTGAAGATATCTCCATCCTTTTCAACCATCAATTATTCAACACAGCTAAACAAAAAAACCTAAATGGTCTAACCTTTGAAATACCATAAAATATTTTAAATGTTTTCATTTTTAGTAACAAAATATCAAAAATTACTGAAATCGAGATTAGAAAAAATAGATGGTTTCCAACTGCCATCACAGATATTTCCTCTTCCTGCTATACCAGAGGGCGCTATACAGGCATACAGTTTTTCTCTAGCAGATGGAGTCAAATGGAGGGTAAATATTTTTACAGAAATTTTCTTCACATGCACATTTTAAAATCACCATTTTTTTTTATTTGAAAATTCATTTTCTATATAATTTTTTATTTGTGATAAAATATCTTTTTAAGTATTTCTGCTGTTCATACTTAAAAATTGTATGTATTTTTTCTAGCAGTTTGAAACGTCACTCATTATTTTCACTTCCATATCCTTTAAAGTTTGGTTTAATAAAAATATGTAAAGGAGAAGGTCTTATTGGGCAGTTTTTTTGGCCTTATGAATTAAAAAAAATCAGTACCATTAATCTATCGTAATCATTCAGATATTCAAATTAGTAATAATATGTCTTCAAATTTGCTTTTGACCTTCAAACTTTTTGGGTTTTTTTCAGGTAAAAATGTCAAAATTACCAATATTTCCTCTTTTGTAATCTTCCCAATTTTTTAAGTATGAGCAGCAGAAATGCTCAAAAAAAAAAAATGTTTGTGAATGTGAGTCAAACATCTTTTGGTGTATAAAGCAGTTGCTTATACTCCATTTTACTAAAAGACTATAAGTAAAATGGCTATTTCTAGTCATGTATGACAGCTATTACATGTTTATAATGTCACAATTACATCATGAATGACATTTTTGTACTAAAGTGTTCTGATATTGTTTTATTAACCTATCACTGAAATTCGCATAATTTTGAAAGGATTGATGGAGTCAAATTATCTCCCTTATTTACACTTTCACTTATCTGAGAATTACTTTTGAATCATAACTTGAAAGATTATAAATTGAAATTCATGTTTTCAGGGTCAACGTACTTATTAAAATATCAAATAGGTAAAAATCTATTGTTAGGACATGATTTGACCTTTAGTTCAAGCAATTACTGTTAGATATTGATGTCCTTGTATAATATATTGTATCATAGGGTTCCTTACAGTATATCATATTTATATCCTTTACGATATAATATAATATATTGTATCTTGTTTTTATCTTATTTCAGTGTAATATTCTTTACTTTGAATTCTTAATTTTTTTTACTAATAAGCCTATTATACAATATAGTACATGTATAGGGTAATTGTGTCTTATAGTATTTGTGGTTTTTACCGATGTATCATATCTTGCGCCCTTATTTTATAGCCTGGATCTAGTCAATCTGATTCTGAAAATATGTCAAGAAAAAATAGCCGTTTTGGAAGTATTCAGAGTCTCCAAAGTGTTTTCTCAAAACAAAGTGGCACTGTACCAAGTATGACCTCAAGTCATACTGATGGGAACAGTGTATACAGTGAAAGCATAAAAAGTGAATAGGTAAAACAGGCTTTTTCTGTAGGCACAGAAAGAAAAGAACAGGTGCGGATCCAGGAATTTAAGTTAGAGAGGGCGTGCCATTTAAGTTTGACTGCAAAGTATAGGAAGGCAAAAAAAATAATGGAATATTTTTTGTTTTCAGAACAAAAATAATTTCATTTGATATATATTTTTGTTCATTTTTTAATGGTGTGCACGCCCGCTACATTCCCCTCTAAATCCGCCCCTGTAGTAGTTGGCTAGATGTATTTGCCAGAATATGATATCCAGGATATAGACAGTGATATTGTGATTTCTGCTCATCTTCATCTGTTTCTTTATTTGGTCTGCTAATGAACTCTTATTCTGAATGCTATCAGATAATCAGATAAGCTGTTATATGTATCAAAAGTTTCTTTTTCATAAGTCCCCTTTTCTGAAAAAAGATCATCTTTCCTTTCCTACTGATGTATAGTCTATTCTATATAATTCTTCATACAAATCAGTCAACATCATTCATGCTAGTATTTGTTCAGATGATATTTATATGAAACACACTATGCATAATATTACAGAAAGAATCGGTGTTTATGGGATCCATGGTAGGTCTTAGAATCTGCTTGTAACTTAGATATACATGTAGTTAACTAATTACTAAAATACAATTAAATGAACTTATTTTTGAAATTTTCTTAATTTTAAATAATGTGAATGAATTTCAGTTTTAGTAAATTTTTCATTATTTTTATGGTTAATTTTTAAGTGTTTTTTTTTTTTTTTTTTTCAAATACACAAATTTCAGTAAATCAAATTGGAAAATGAATCATTAATTTACATTACCAAAAACTGCAGAGTGAAAAAAACTGATTTGAAACTTTTTTTCCCTCATACATTTTGCATGGTAATCATGCATATACTCCTATTCAGTTGTGAAGCCTAGGTGAGTGCCTTAGTGCATGCCAAAAGGTATAATCATAAATAGAGTGTGTGTTGCAACTGTCCATTCAGCAAAATACTATAAAGCTTTATACTTCAAAAAGTATATACATAGAACTTATCACTAACCTCTTCAACGAAAAAATCTATCTTTTTAGCAACATTTATAATATGGATCAGAGTCTTTCTTGCTAAACGTATTCTTTATTCAGAATATGCTTTTTAGTTTTAAAAGTCGTGAACACAATCTGTATAGAGTATTCTATTATGATAACTGGCTATGGTTCAGTATTTATATATGTATCAATAAAAGGAGATTGGGGGTTATATGTCAATGAGCCAGCAACCCAATGACACAAAGAAAGCTTTAGAATTTAAGTGATTCAAGGATTTAATGGTTTAACGGTGTTCCATAATTGAAGACATGTTTTAGGTAGGCCTCTTGTTAGGTTTAGTTATTTGAAGCATGAGTTTGATCCTGAATTGTTTTCTATATACATGACCGAATTTTATATAGTAGATCATATTTTGGTTAATATTTTTTTCTTATGTTTAAAAATCAAAGCTTTCACCATAAAATGTCCAAAGGGTAATTTGCCAATGAAAGACATTACCTATATATAGTCCTTTATATTTTGAAACAGGAAATTTTATATGAAGTAAAAGATAAAATTACTGTTGGTTAATCAAAAAGAAAGCTGATATGATGCATGGTTTTTTTTTCTTGACAAAGTCATGCCATCTTGGTATTTTCAGACATATTCTGGAATAATGGTTTCATTTAAAATCTGATTATTTGGTGATTGAATGTGCACTGGTATTATTGCAACCTTTTTCCAAGTCGGTGTTTCCCTTTCTTTTTGATTTTTTTGCAAAATGAACTGTCCTAAATTAATCAATAAAAAATTTAATGCTCATTGAATGAACTCCACATTGAAAAATAGCTATAATGTTTTTTCAATGGGACAGTTCACTTTGCAAAAATTTAAATAGCCTGGTAAACATCAACTGATTCTTAGGGAAAGGTTTCATTACCTTCACAATAAACCTTATCATTTAAAGAAAAAAAAGTCTGAAATGAAGTAAAAGTTTGATTATGTTTTCTATAAAACAGGATGATGGGGTAAGTCTATTGGTCTGTTGTATTTATTTGTTGTGCTGATTTAAATCTTCACATGTTTTGATAGCTATCGAGAAAAAAACAACAATATTTGGGAATGATGCACAAAAAACAATACATGTATTGGGAGTGTTATCTTGCATTGTTTAAACAGTTTCAATTATAATAAAATATTTAAAATTAATAATTAATTAGCACGCTTTATCCGTCTCAAAGAACATTTTCATTTTTAGGATCAATTTATTTTGGGCAATTTTGTTAAGGTGTAAATGACATTTTTGAACCTAAGTATAACAAAAAAAATGGCTTTAAGGTTGGGAAATTATGAAAGTTAGGGAATTAGAATGCATGTTTTTAGAGGATAAAGACAAGAGTTAAAAGATTGAATGAAAGTATTTAACATCATTTAACATTTTCACAAATAGTTAGTTAAAATGATCTTTGTGTTAAAATGATCTTTATGTTAAAATGATCTTTGTATAAATTTGTTAAAAGCTTGGTTTTTTTTCTGTTTATCAGTCATTTCAAAGTCCTGCAAGCTGTTTTGTCCTTATTAATTATTTTACATGTATCTGAGAGTTTGTGAAGATTGACAGTGCATGCTGCATTACAACTGCATGTTGTTCTGTTTTTTGTTGAAATGTTCAAAATGTTAATGATATTTATAATAATGATTTATTATGAAATGTTAATGTATGTTATATTTAAGTATTTACTGTAAATTCATAAATTTTTGCCATATTTTTGTTATTAACAGGTCTAATAGGTTTTACTAGTATTTTAAATTTTGAAAGCATTTTCTGAAATCATTATCTTTTTCCTGCATTCAGTCGCATTAATAAGTGCTTGTATAAATTTCTGAATTTACAGTATTCTTTTTCATGAAAAATAAAACCAGCAGAAAAATTGCTCTTCAGACATAAACAGTGCATACTAACTTATTTTTTTTTGTTGCATGATTTTTTTTTTGTGAAAGGCTGCTACATGTACCAGTATCTTATTTCATATTTTGAAAACTATATTTTTACAAATTAAACATAAACGGTAATAGTATATGTGTATGTTTCTATACAGGAACCACCAGTTGTTAATTTGTCCAAAACAGGGAAAGGTAAACGTGGCATCTTTTAATTCAGATTAAAAGTAGATATTTTAAAACTTTTGGATTATCAATCATTTTAACATTATTTACATTGTAGTTTCAGTAGTACATAATACTTCAAAGTAGCAAACTAAAAGAAATTTATTTACTGGTAATAAAAGAAAAATTAACCATTCTTTTGTAGCCCCACCTATTTTCATCATTAAAATACACTTAAAATGTACAAGTAGATGGTGTAAATTTCAGACAATTTATTTGTCTATTATTTTAATTTTAATCGACTTTATCACATAGTTTTAACACAAAGCAGACAATTTTGCAATTTGATTTTTCAACAATATGATTTCCAGTTGGTCTTTTTGTGATACTGATAAACCACCTACCATTCCTGGGTTTTCTTAAAACTCTCAGTATATGCATGTTCTCTTGCAAATGGTTGTATCTGTTCAGATTGTTGTTTTGCTAAAACATGTTCCTTGTAGAAATGAGTATATCTTGAGGTTTGAATCAGTTTTCAAATAGCTCAACAGTCTAAATATATTTATTCAACTGCCACACAATATGCATTTATTTAAAAAAGTTGTTATTGAAAGTCAAGCAGGCTTTCTGTGTAATAATTGTGCAAAATAAATATCTTTTTATAATTGTTTCATCTAGGAGAAGTTTAGAGTAAGTATATCCCCTTGTTTATGGATAGATATACAGACCGTTGACTATTGTATCAATCTTGCAATCTATAAGCACTAGTGTTATCTTTCATTTTTTCAATGCTTGTCTCTTTTCTCTGCATGAATATTCATGACTATGAATTATTGTTAAACTGCATGAATATTCATGTTTTTTTGTTGCTTTTGATCAAAATCAGTTCTCAGTTCTTTAATTTTACATACAACAGGACTTTCTGTATTAGGACACAAACAAACAAATAATGTACATTCTATGGTGGTAACTCTGCAGGTCTTATTCTTAACTTTATCTGTTTCTGTTTTCAATAATCAAAATAACTAAATATGACTGAGAAAAAATAGGGGTGTGGATATAACAATAGCAAAAAATGAAATAAAATAATAATCTTGACGATAATTTCAATACCAGTATCTTTAACAAAAAAGTGGAAAACACCAAACTTATCAACTGATGGATCTAAGGAATAATGACTGACATGTAAATAAGGTGCACTATTATTGCTGCTCTTCATCTTAAATATTGCATGATAGTCTTCAGCAGTGAACTACAAGCTTATCCTCACAATGGAACAAGACTCTTTTGAATATTTATACATTGGTTCTTACCCGTTACATGCTGTTATCCTATAAATTCACCTTGAGATTAAACCACAAAGTCAAGCCTTCTGGGATTTCCATAACTGGATAAGTTTTATTTTGACAGAAACAAAACAGTTTTAGCAGTTTTGGTGAGGGTAGGTTCAAAGTGTGGACTATAATAGAAATTAGCATAAAGGAAACCTATCTAATCCAGTTTTATAAGCATAAATTCTAATTTGGATACCATTTTTCAAGGAAGACTCATAATGCATGATGCATGTCTTAAATTAATGTACTATAACCAAGTGTTTTTTCTAAAGAAATTTGCATGGAAGTGTCAATCATAATTGTATAATATTATTGACTATTTTATACAAATAATGAACACATTGTAATAAACATATGTATCTTGAATGCAATGACAAATTTAGAAATTCAACTTTGGTCCTGGTAAATTAACTTGCATAGTCTCCATGTCCTTGTAAATGATGGCTGGACCAATCAGAATGTGCAAAAGGGAGATTTTCATATAACTGAACATCATACCTGAATTGTTAATTTAAGTGTTTAGTGTAAAAGGAATAAAGATCAACATAATGCAAGGTTAATGTATTACAATGTTTTGGGTTATTATCATGTCGGGTTTTGTTCACAGTTTTAGCTTTCGAAGTGGCAGTTAAATATTAGCTATAATGTTCACTATTCCTGTTTCTTGGCCTTGTACAATGATTGCTTTGAATAAACAGTTGTCCCAGGCTAGGGGAGGGTTGGTGCCTTCAAACATGTTTAATCCCGCCACATTCTTTATATGCCTCTCCCAGTCAGGAGCCTGTAGTTCAGTGGTTATTGTTGGTTCATGTCTGTCTTATTTGTTTTTTTCGTAAATTGTTTTGTTACAAATTAAGTTGTTAGTTTTCTCAATTGAATTGTTTCATATTTTTCATGTGGGGGCTTTTTTAAAGCCAGCTATACTGTATGGTTTTTTCACATTGTTGAAGGCCGTACGGTTGCCTATAATTGCTTACATCCACTTTATTTGAACTTTGGTGGATAGTTGTCTCATTCAGGCAATCATACCACATCTCCTTATTTTTATAGTGAAGTATTTACATAAGGTAAATTTTGTCTCAGAATTTACCACTGAAAATTAGACACACAAACAAGTTTCTCAATATACAGTTGTTGAATTGATGAAAAATAAGTATTTTGAATTTAAAAAAATATATTTACATCTATTTAATTGCATATATAGATCACATGACCATTCAACACATTGGTCTCATTCATTTCATTGGTAGAGATATTCAATCAAACCTAGATGATAGCATCTTCTGATCAGTAGCTTTGTTTTATTTAGACTAGATCACAAAGAGGCAGCCTACCTGACCTTAAAAAGCCTATGTCCCAGGCAAATAGGTTTAGGACTAGGAGTGTGTCACAATTAAGTATGAGAGGTTCTACTCAAGAAAATTTAAAACGGGCAACTGTTGTCAGTTTTAAACATGATTTTAAAAAAGTTGCCAGTAATACAGAAAAGTTGTTTAGAGAAGGTACTAGTGTGAAAAGGCTTGTTGCAGAGGTCAAGGTGATGGTAGCACACAGAGATAAGTTGTTTAGAGAAGGTAGCAGTTTGGTGGTTTTAATAAGGGTCAAGGATATCTGAATCATTTTTTTGTAATTGTTTTTAAATCACATTGGACTTACTGTAGCACCAGATGTCACACATCCAATAGCAGAATTTTTACCAAATGGAGTCTGCAATTCCAAAGTGATATTGAAGGTAGCACATGAATGATATGTTTTGGAAACAGTTTTTTGTACTTTACTAGTTTGTTGTTGTTGTATATTTGTTGTTCACTGAACACAGGTGACATGATATTCACGGGTGCTAGGTATTTGCAGATTTCTTAATGTTAGGTTCTTCAGGCTTGCATAACATCTCTGATTTGTAATTTTTACTGTCGATTCGAGTAGCTCCCTCTGTATCCATTAGGCCACAGTATCATCTAATCCTGTGTGAATCCTTCTAGAGCCAGCTATCCTCTGGTTGTAATTAGTGTAATAGTACTTTAGGTTTTTGTAGAGTTACTGACATGTGTTACAAACTATTATATAATAGTCAAAATTGTGTGTTGTATTTGAAGTAGAAACGACTTTATAAATAGATGTGAAGCTTTTTTAACACATCCAAAGTGAAAGCTCAAGTATGATCTTGCATGCCTATGACAGTGTAAGATTGCTTTTAAGAAAAACTAATTTTATGTATCATGTATGGTCATAAGAAACTTAACTTTCAGTGCATGCTATTTTATGAAATGTGCGAAATGAAATATTTATTTAGGAAATGATTAAAAAATATTGTTATTTAAATGTATAAATGGTACATAACTGTACACAGGTTTACTTGGTGTGAACCAAGCTTGATTAGAAAAATCCTTTAAAACAACATTAAAATATTCTATAAGAGTAAAAATGATGATTTATTTACTCTCACATATTAATTGCAAGTTAATTTTTTACATAAATACTTGCTTATGAATATTTGTGTGCCTCATGTATTTTCAGTATCTCATTGCCAATCATTGTAACTAATGAAATCATTGTATTACCGTGGATTTATTTTTCTTCAAGGATATTAGTTTTGGTAGGCTTCGTGATTATATACAATTAAAATAAATACATATATGGTCTGCCCATGCACTTTTTGTATAACAGTTATTTTAAAGAAAGTATGGTATAATTAAAATATTTTTGTTAAATAAATTATTTATAATTTTACAGGAACTGTCTAATAGTGAAGCAGGAAGCTTAATGGGAAGTCCAACGGGAGACCATTCCGAGGTTAATACTGCAGTATCTATGCGCCGTCCAAGTATTGTTGGCACTAGAGAATCATCTCGCAGTAAAAAACAGAAAACTAACACTCGTTTACAATTACCTGGAATTCAACCTACAACAGCTGGAGAGAGTATAGCATCTTCTGGATTGTAGTAAAAATTGTTATATTATAGGAGAACTGTAATAATTTGTGAAAAAGTGTCCTTTAAACTTTAATACATGTATTTTTTTAGTCTTTAAGTAAAGAAGCACTTTGGAGGGGGAAAAAGTTTTTTTAGAGATCTAGGCCCACATTTAATCAAATGTTTAAAGACAAAAATCACAATTTTTCTTTGATTTATACTTGGTCATTTTCTTCCTTTTTATGGTTTTGTTAACTAAATAAACAAACAAGTGGATTTGTGCAAATCTGTTTTTGAAAAGCCTGTTATACAAAAAAGTGTGCTCAGTAGACTTGGTATTCAATACATATAGCATCCTGAAACATGACGCATTTTTTAATTCACATTTTAAATAAAGTGATGTTATAGTAAGGTGAAAATCGTGATGAAATGTGTCAGAGAAAATTGATGGTTTAATAGAAACCCACATATAGCTACATGAAACTCGAAACATTTTTTAATTCACATTTTCCATAAAGTGATGTTATAATAAGGTGAAAATCGTGATGAAATGTGGCAGAGAAAATTGATGGTTATTAGAAACCTACATATAGCTACATGAAACTCGAAACATTTTTTAATTCACATTTTCCATAAAGTGATGTTATAATAAGGTGAAAATTGTGATGAAATGTGGCAGAGAAAATTGATGGTTATTAGAAACCTACATATAGCTTCATGAAACTCGAAACATTTTTTAATTCACATTTTCCATAAAGTGATGTTATAGTAAGGTGAAAATTGTGATGAAATGTGCTGGAGAAAATTGATGGTTATTAGAGATCTATAGTAATTAAACAGTATCATTGTAAAAAAGTATTTGAAATTGATTGAGTTGATATTTTTTTTTTTACTGAATTCTCATATTTATTGCCATATTGATGAAGCTATTATTGGAATATATCTCCGACTTTATTTTACAACTACTGGTACCTTTTTTTTCTAAGACTGTCAAGGAACAATTCAAAGTTTATTAGGCTTTAATTTAGCAGTTTATTGAAAAGTGATCCTATTTTCTTTATATAGATACAATACTTCTTCATTAAATTTAATGTTTGAAATCCTTTTATAAGATGAGGGCAGGTTATTAACATTTTTTATTAGTTTTATGACCTGTACCACTTGTGATATGAAACGACTGTGATATTTTTTTTTTTATATACAATTGTGTTTTGTATAACTGCTAATTATTTGTATAATGTTATTGCTCAAAGCTGTATGTTTGTATAACAGAAGATTGTTAATTCTTATTTCAAATTTTAAATATCTGTTGGCTTCATATTAAAAAGTTAAAACTTGCTTTTATTCTGTTTTATATGATATACTTTGATTGATTGATTGTTTGTCTTACGCCACCTTAAGCACTCTTGTTTATATCATGGCGACCAGATTTTATTGGTAAGGGAAGCTGGCGTACCCAGAGAGAACCAGTGACCTTTAACAGGAAAACTGGCAATCCTCGACAAATAAGAAAGTCGAATGCATCTGCCATGAGTGGGTTCAAACGCAACAACCTCTGTGTGCACAGGTTAGTGATCACTGTAGATGAAATACTTTAGACAACTCAGTCAACCAAGCACCGCAGTCGAACACTCGGGTTCATTCTTAACCGTTTGTCTTTATTAATTGGTCATCCCAATATTAAGCCTTCAATAAACACTGGAACGTAAAAATTAAATAAAAAATGAGGTGAATACCAAATGACATGTCAAAACAGAAGTAAATAGAGAACATCATAAGGCTTTTTCAATTATATTGGTTGAGGTTTGATACGAAGTGTGATATTGAAAAAGCCATATCATATATACTTTATTAAATACATGTGCCTCAAGTACAACTAGTTTAGATGTTTTCACAAGACATGAATTTATCCATATGAGGATTTTTTGATAAAACCTTTGTAACAGTGACTGATATCGATTATGTGACGTCATACAGATTAGGGTTTGATAAAGCCTTTGCAACCGGGACTGATATCAATATCATCACAGATGGCTGATACAGCACAATTGCATTTGATTGTATTACATACAATTCACTTATTACTAAGTATCTAATAAATTACACATATCGAAGCCAGTCAACACTGAGGTTGTGAGTTCGAACCCCGCTTGTGCGAGTGCACTTGACTCCAATCTTAATTGACTAGGATTGTCAGTTTTCCTATCGAAGGTCGGTGGTTTTCTCCAGGCACTCCGGCTTCCTCCACCAATAAAAACTGGCCACCACGAAATAGCCCAAAAGCGGTGCTTAAAGTGGCGTTAAAACACTAAAAAATCAAAAATCAAATCGAGCACATATCGAATATTTTTGAATTATTATAGTTTCTGTTGAATTGTCATAGCTTCTGAAAAACAGAATTAATTAAAATAAATAAACAGGGGTAACCACTTACAAACATGTTTAACTCCACCACATTCTTTATATGCAAATAGTTTCTGAGTTCAATTACTATTTGGAATTGAACAATAAACGGATAAATATAAATATTCCAGAGAAACCCAAAACTATTTACCAATCTGAATCAATCAAGCGCTTATCTCTATGAGAATAACTGACAATAAAGCATTAAAACGAGAGTCCACACACTGAAATCTCTCGCCTGCTTTACTTATCATGATTGAATTTATATTGAAAGTGTATAATATGAGATCAAGGTCAGATGAACCATGCCAGACAACATGTACATCTTACAATCATTTCATACACCAAATATATTTGACTTATTGCTTATAATATCTGAAAAACAAACATAACCATTGAACTTTTACATTGACTAATGAACCATGAAAATGAGGTCAAGGTCAGATGAATCCTGTCAGACGGACATATACATGCTGCAATCATTCCATACACCAGAGATAGCTGACCTAGAATCTGAAAAATAGACCAAATCAGAAAAAATTAACATTGACCAATTAACTAGTAAAATAAGGTCAAGGTCAGATGAAACCTGCCATTTAGACATAAAATTGAGAATGAAAATGGGGAAATGTACACGTAGCAATTATTCCATACACCAAATATAGTTGACCTACTGCTTATAGTACCAAAGATTTGCACTTGACCATGTAAACTTACCCTTGATCAACGATCCATGAAATGAGGTTAAGTCAGGTGAACCTTGTCTGACAGACATGTAGACCTTACAAGGAACCCATATACCAAAATAGTTATCCTTTTACTCATAATAAGGGAGAAATGCACATGACAAAAAAAACTATTTTTTTTCAAGCAGTCACTGAACCATGAAAATGAGGTCAAGGACAATGGACATATGCCAGACGGAAACTTCGTAACAGAAGGCATCTGTATATTAAGTATGAAGCATCTAGGTCTTCTACCTTTTGAAATATAAAGCTTTAAACAAATAATTTACGCCGTCTCTGCTGCCACTGGATTGTAATTCCTATGTTTCATATTCTGCAACTTTCGTCACAGGCGATACAACGATCACAACAATATCTTAAATGGGAACTATTCCCATTTGATAATGAACACGAATCTGTAACAAGTGGACTATTGACCATAACATAGTAAATTATGTATTATTGACTTGCAAGTAAATAATTCAACTTCAGTTGAATACTATTCATGGGACCTTCAATTTGACCCCTTATCTGGAGATGGATTACGCATCAACTAGGGCTGCCCAGCTATTAAAAGGAAAAGAATGTCAACAGTGAAAGTGAAACAAAAGTGAACCATTTCAATGACTGATTTGATCCACAAAAAAATCATTCTTATACAGGTAATAAACAGCTGCGCCATGAGTGCATGATACGCCCGTCGTCTTGGGTGTGAATTTTTATGCAATAAGCATAAATAGTTTCTGACATACGGCGTGACATGCGAAAACCCCCCTTTTTTTTTACAAACTCAATATCTCTAAAATAAAATTTTGAATCAAAACCAAAAAGTATACAGATCTTTAGATTAATATAACTAAGAAGTGTGTAAAATTTTAAGCAATAATCATAAATCGTTTTTGAGATACGGCGCGACATGTGAAAACCCCCCTTTAAAAAAAAAAAAAATCAATATCTCAAAAATAAAATTTTGAATCAAAACCAAAAAGTATACAGATCTTTACATTAATATAACTAAGAAGTGTGTAAAATTTTAAGCAATAATCATAAATCGTTTTTGAGATACGGCGCGACATGTGAAAAACCCCTCCCCCTTTTTTTACAAAATACTCAATAACTCAAAAATAAAATTTTGAATAATCACCAAAAAGTATACAGATCTTAAGATTAATATAACTAAGAAGTGTGTAAAGTTTTAAGCCATAATCATAAATTGTTTTGAGATACGGCGCGACATGTGAAAAAAACATACACCTGTTTTAGTTACTAAGTCCCGTAACTCAAAAAGTTTTAATCTTATTTTAACCAAAAAGTATACAGATCGTTTGACCATCATAACAAACAACTATGTTAAGTTTCATGAAATTTGGATAAGTCATTCTCAAGTTACGGTGCGACATGTTTAAGCCGGACAGACAGACGGACGGACACCGGATATTTGTATGCCATAATACGTCCCGTCAAAAATTGACGGGCGTATAAAAACCATGATTTCCATATTTTTTAACCTAACTTAAGGATGTACTTAGGCCACACCAATTTGATTAATAGTTCTTCGGACAAAAACTCCAAAAAATATGGGGCGAGCGAGTGAAATTTTTTTGTTTTTATATATATCTTGAAAATGAGTTTTTTTGAGCAAGTGGTCTACAAGTGAAGCGAGTGGTATAATTTTTAAAAATAATTGTGTGATTTAGAAGTTGTACAATTTATGTACATGTTATAACTAGGTTATTTCATAGAAAAACGAGGAGCAACAGATGCTCTAATGCATACAATTTGATTTATTGGTGCCTGTACCATATCAGACTTTCATGTCTCACTGTGGTTTAGTTAATTTTGGTTATTTTCTTCAAGTAAGCTTTGTCTATGTGAATATTCATTTAAATCCATATATATATATTTAGGAAGCATAGCAGATAAAGTTTTACAAGAGGAAGTATGTTAGTTAAATGTAGGTAAATGACGCATGTTGAATAAAATAAGATATGTGTATGTATCCAAAAAAATGCCCCTGAAAGATATTTGATAGTTTTCATTATATGGTAATGATTGTTTATTGTTGTAGTTCAGTGTTTCTGTTGTTTTCCTCTTATAGTTGATGTGTTTCCCTCGGTTTTAGTTTGTTACCCAGATTTTTTTTTGCTTAATCGAATTATGACTATTGAACAGCGGTATACTACTGTTGCCTTTATTTATTGGCTGCTTGACATCCAGTTGGAACTATTTATGCATATTTAGGATCAAAATAATGAGTGAGGTGAATAGTTCTTGCTTTGTACTAAAAACAACATCCTGAGTAAGATAGTTATATTGCTATACATGTAGATCCAAATACTAAAATATTCCCTTAAAATACCTGTCACTCCATTCACATGCATTTTTCTTACTGAGCAAAATAATCTTTCCTTTTGCTCCTAAAAGCTGTAATGCATTTAATACTCTGTACAGACCCCTAATTATTATGAGCATGCCAATCACAATATGGCATCACCTTGTTCTCGTTGGAACTCTTTAAATTCCCCCCAACAAAAGAAGAATTCTGCTTGCATGCCAAAAGACTAAAGAGGGGATATGGGGTTTCATCAACATCAAATACTTCTGTGATTTTTTAAAAAGTTCTTGGGAATTTACAATTAATTTCATCCAAAAGATAGATAGGTCTATGCCTGTTGAAACAAGGATCAGGGGTGACGATGGTTCTAACAAATATTGATGTGTTTGTGGTCATCTAATGAAAGATTTTTAATTTTTGCATCCTAAAACAGGTCTTTACAGGTAAAATGAGAAGCATTTCTGATAACTGTGTGTTCAATAACTACTTGGCCAAGGCAATGAGCTGACACAACTGCATGTTGGCATCCCGATTTTGGACCTTTAATTTACAAATCGATTGATCACACGTGCGTTTAAAATGATAGGAGCATTATATGCAACAGAAAAGCATCTATGTAAAAAAAAAATATCAAGGAGAACTAATTTTTGAGGGGCATGCGGACCAAAAATTTGCGGAAGCGGTAATTTTTTTTTTTAATTGAATAGTCAATTTCTCCAAAACAGGAGCGGGAAAATCCAAAGAACTATTAATCAAATTGGTGTGGCCTGTTAGTTAATTAACTGGTGTCTAGACTAAAATACACACAAAATGCTGATACATATTATCGAGTCCATGCATTGTTAATTGTTTATTTCAGGCTTTTTGTAATTTGGGCATATGTTTTAGTGTGTTATAATTTAAATATGAAAATTTGAGTCAAATCGGTGAAGTGAATTTGACAGCTAATGCCCCTTTAATGCATGAACTTTGAAGTGTAAAGTTACATACATAGTTTTCACATTAATAACAAAATATACATGAACAAAACATTTTATTTTTACTATCACAGCATCTCACCAGCAGTACATAAATTTTGGACGGTTGAGTTATAAATATATTCACTTAACATTTAAACACTAAACATTCTGGTGTATCAACACCATAGATGTAAATATTTCATTTACTTTCAAAAGTTTTATAAATATTTTAAGAATGCATTAAAAAAATCAATTTCATATTAAATGCATAACAATTTCTTCATAACAAAATATAAATACAGATTGTTATGTGAACAACACAAACTTTAAAACATAGAATCGATAATATGATACTGAATTTGAAAGAAAAAAAATTAAATAAGCATGATGAAAGAATACTGCAGTTTTTCTCTAAAACATATCAGTTATAATGACTTGAATAGGCCAGTTTCTAATGCAAATATGACACCAAAAACAAGTTGATGGAAGATTTCAACTCACATGAAAACAGATACTAGAAAAACTATGAGCATTGATCACAAATACCCTCTATTACCAATTTGTATACACATGGAAAAGTCCAATTGTTTTGTAAAAAGAAATCCCAAACATTTGGATTAATAGCTACAAATAAGAGGTGCCTAATGGCACTTAATCCTACAGATTTTTGAAAGTTTCCTTGAAATCCAGTTGCAAAAACAAAATGCAGATGGACAAATGGAAAAAACACATAAACAAATGAATGAAAACAGAGAATCACAATAAAAATCTGCTTTTTCTTAGCTTGGGCATAATTATAACTTAGGTTTGGAATACTGATAATGTTGGTTGATATAATATAGTACTGAATTTATACAAAAAAAATAAAATTATAAAAAGAATCCTCATTATATTTACATATTTTTCTGTAAAAAATAATATTTACATTTATATCACAGATAAGTATAATAATAAAATCTTCATTTAAATAAATTAAATAAATCATAGAAAAATAAAATTTATTATCTTCAAAAATACATTAACAAAATCAAGAAATTAAACTTCAACAAAATAGTTCAACTGTACAAAATCAAACGTAAATTCTTAATTCTTAACTACAAAATAATGGACGGTTTTTATTACAATAGTAAAATAATGTAAAGTAAATTGTAGAAAAATAATGTTTATTATATTCACTAAATATTCAGCAGTAGTGTTATCAAATTGCTACATTCCATTATAAAATCTACTATCAAATGGAAAGACAAAGTTTCCCCAACTATTACTATGTCTGGTTAGCATCACAGTAAATTCCATCACTATTCATCTAGCTGACATAGTAAAGCGACACCCCTCATGACCCAGAATCTGGATTGCTGTTCAGAGGGAAGGGAAACAGCAGTAACAAAGTTTGTAGAATGTCCTGTAGAAGACAATGTCCCTGCCCTGGCTGAAGTTCTGTAAAGAGGACATTCATACACATGAGAATTTTCTTCATCTTCCTCTTCTTTTTCATCGTCCGACTCTATTGCCGTTGTTGTCTAAAAAAAATAAATCATATTTAACAAATACTGTACAGCTTACAGTTTGTTCCAGTAAATAATTGTCACACTAAAATGTATCACAGCTTTTTTGTGAAAATGTTAAAAAATAACTTTATTTTACAACTTGAGAATTAAATGTCCTGGCCTGTAATTTATTTTGTTGTTTTAACTTGATGAAAGAATATTAATACATAAAAAGAGCTCATGACATTGTCTTGAAAGTGGACACCTGATCATGATAAAGTTTGGGTATACAATTTACTGTGAAACAGTTAAAGTGTAATTATGTACCTCTTTCATATCAGTAATGAAAACTACAAATATAACGATATATGAAATTCATTAATCATTGCATTGGTATGTAAAATCTTATTTTTATACCCACCTGTACTGGTTGGAATAATATCTCAGGTAAATGTGCAAATCTAAATCCAGGTAACGAATCTTGTAAACATTCTGTTTTCGGATCCCATCTGGCTCCATCTAGATACAATCCAAAAATTATAATACCATCATCTGTGTGGGGTTTACCCTGAAAAAAAAAGCACAAACATTTGTAAAAACAAAGTTAATTTCTTTATGATAGACAAAGTATGGACTTCTCCTTATTTCCATAGTGTAAGCAACTTACTAAAAGCTTGATCTCTAATAGACGGTAAATCTCTTACAGTAAAAGCTTGTAAACAGTGTAAATTACAGTAAAACCTTGAACTTGGCTAAACAGTGTACTGATAGATGACTTACAGTAAAAGTTATATTTCTGATGGATTTTGTAAAAAACATTCATTTAGTAGGTACTGGTCTGATGGGCAGTGTAGTCGACTTTCATTAAAAGCTACTTTTCCAAAGGACAGTTTACAAAATTTACAGTAAAAGCTAGAGCATTTACAACTTACAGTAAAAGCTAGAGCATGAACAACTTACAGTAAAAGCTAGAGCATGAACAACTTACAGTAAAAGCTACTTCTCTGATGGACAATTTTTGCTTGAGGTCACCTAAACTGTCTTCAGTGTCAGTCTTAGAAGTCAGAACTTCAAAGTTGAAGACTAAAGAGTCAACAGATATTCCAACCTTCCTGGCATGATTCTGTAAAACTCCAGTTAAGAAACCTGCAAAAAACACCAATAAATTATAGCATTACATTGAAATATTGTTTCAGACTTGTTAGATATTCAACACAATAAGCTGTTAATATTCTTATTATTTCCAGTTACTTTTGTAATGAAAAAATCTTTCAGAACACGAGAATTAAATCTTGTATCACTCTGCTTCATGTAGATATACTTGTTTATACTCTCGTATTTGTCTGTTTATACTTTTAAAAAGAGTTATACCATTTCTACTGAGACCAGTGCACTACCTCAATATCTAACAATTATTTATGCACCTTAGACCAAGTTCAATTATGTTCACCTTTGAAAAAAGTAGCCAAACCTGCTAAAAAGGTTACCTTTAATAAGCTAAATCTTATCTTGTCAAGTTATCATCATGAACCTCAAATTAAAGGTCACCTCTTGTATAAGGTCTGTTGTCTTTATTCCTGATGGTGACCTTTATATGAAGGTCTGACTGTAAATTTTCCTGCAATTTTTTAGTAACACAACAGAAATCAGTTGACATCATAGACCATTTATAATTGCTTTGCAAACATCATAAACTCAACTAGAGTAAAATTGTGGCCATTCTTAGTAGTGGTTTATTAAACTATAGTTTTACCTTGAGGGAAGAAGAACCCTGACAACCAGAAAGCCCTTGGTAGATTTCTCATTAAATCTTCTCCTTCTACTTCTGTGGCACCTTTTGTTGAAACTGCTTGTTTGATCAACTTTTCTGTATTGGTAATGATCAGTTCTGCCCACATAGCAAAGAAATCTACTCTCAACTTCAGGTCATAAATCCAGGAGCCAAGTGGTTTACAGGATTCATAAGCAGCATTCTAGAAATAAACAAGAAAATGTTAGAACTTTCTCCTAAGTAAAACCTTTTGAAGTGGGTATTACTTGTTTTACTTGAAAACTATCCTTATACTTCTGAAAAAAAAAATGTTTCAAGTCCTGTTTAGGGAATACTTTTCTTAGATTTCCACAAGAACATTATACCATTTATAGGAGGAATTTTGAGAGTACATTGTACCTGTTCTAAGCCAACTTCTCTCTTATATATCTAAAATAAGAGCTGCTCATTAATTTGACACTGTAAACACTTCTTCTGTTAAATAGCAGACCTTATTTTACCATTAACTTAAGTGACTGCAAATTAACTATCACCATTTTTTTCTAGGTTTATAATTCATTTATGCTAGTTTCAAAATTTCTTTTAGTCTCTAGTCTAAGACCTGCAGAAAATGATATGACCACATTGAAAGTGTTTATTATCACTAATATATGATTTTTCAAACAAAGGGTTATTACGTAATTTTAATACTTTTTTCACTTCTAAACCATAACTCCAATTGAAAACACAGTATGGTACAGGTATGTAATAAGAAATGAGACTAGAAAGAATCATTGCATGGTCATAGTGACCAACACCAGGTTTTAATAAATAAAAATTATGAATGTTTTGTTTTGCTTACTCTGGATTTTTTTTTACTGAATTTTTTCATGATAAAAATGAATTTTCCATCCCAAAAGTTAAAGATTTTCTGTTACTGTCGATTTCCTGATGCATGCAGAGTAAGAGTCTGGTTGGCTTGCTTTGTTTGTATTAATGTTTGCTCAAGCATTGTAATTAAGATTGACATCTGCAAACAATATAAGTAGGCGGAGTTAAACCAGTATATAGGTAAATTTGTTTATTTGATAGTGTTCAATCAAATTTAAGTATAATGTATACAAGTTTAACTCTGCCTTTATATACTGATTTCAGATGTCAATCTTAATTACAATGCTTGAGCAAACATTAATACAAACAAAGCAAGCAAGCCAACCAAACCTTTAACTTGCTAGCATTATGATAACAGCTGTAATTTACCTTCCATCTCTGAGGGACTCTCTGTGCCAGGAAAGCACTGTAGGCCTCTTCTAATGCATCAGACATGATTATCTCCCCTTTGACTGCTTTTAAAAGTTCCTTAAGTGATACATGTATGAGTGATAATAAATTATTAAATCTGTCCACTTCCTGTCGTAGCACTGTCAACAATGCTGAATTTCCTACTACTGATTCTATACAGTCCTGTACAACTGAAAAATAAAAAGTAATATGACCCATTATAGTTAGAAAAATATTTCAGATCACATGCAGATCGAATCTTCATTCTAATTCAAAACAATCACATGTAGATACCATACTATCATTTCAAAGTCTAAAAGGTAGTGCCAGAGTTCCCAAAATCAGTTTTCCTTTTTTTGCCCAAGACCGTATACCTTAAAATTTTATAGAGATGGGTTAACCAGAATACAAGTAAATCCATGTAAAAAATTGTGTCTGCAAATTAGGACAAAAAAGGCATATATAACATAACAATGCCAAAAAAATTATCAACACAATATTTTCAATAACTTGACTTAAAAATCTTAAAAGTAGACATTTAAATTTTTGCATTTCCTGTACACTTCTGATGACACAATTCTTATGTTAAATTACATTCAAGTATATTGTTAAATGACGTCATTTACACAGATTGACCACGAGTCAACCTGTGTACATCATTCATAAAAAAAGAACTCAAAATTGGTCCATTGGGATAGTTTGAGAAAATTGCAGTTGCAACCAGTTTTCAGTGACATATATATTACACATACTCTTTGCTTTATCCTTGTCTTTCATTTCTGGTACTTCTTTAAACAAGATATTTTTCAGTGTTGGTCTGGGAACATTCTGGTGAATCATGGGATTGGCATCTTCATCACAAATGAATGCTTCAATGGACTCAGGTAATTCCTTCATGATGTTCTCAGAAATCTCCAGTACAATCTGATCATTACTCTTATCACTCCTAAAATGGAAAAAAATAATGTTTTTAGGCAAAAACAAAGATTTTGTTCATATTGCTTAAAACACGATTTAAGAAAGTTTGTCTATTTGGAAAATCTTTTAAAATTTTATCTTTGAGACTGCATAAATGTTGAAATATACTTCAATAGTTTTACACTAGTCATTTTTGGGGCCGTTTATAGCTTGCTGTTCGGTGTGAGCCAAGGCTCCGTGCTGAAGGCCGTACTTTGGCCTATAATGGTTTACTTTTACAAATTTTGACTTGGATGGAGAGTTGTCTCATTGGCACTCATACCACATCTTCTTATATCTATTCAGAGTTAAAAAAAAAAAAAGCTTGTTACAATTTGGATGTTCGCTTCCAATATAATTAAGGTAGATAGGGTGTCATCCTCCATCTTGGATTTTGAAATACCAGAAAATAATCGGTCTAGACCTTTAATAAAATGTGCAAATTTTGAGAGTAGTGGGTAATTCATGTGTAAGAATTTACATTTTAATATAGAAAATGACATGTTTAATTATATTTATGGTTGTATTTTACAAAAAACAGAATACTTTTGTTTGATTCAATTTTTTTCTAACTTTGCCACATAAGGGGAGGCAACTCAAATGTAAGGGCAGATAATTCAAATATTGTTACTTTTACAATAGAATGTGTTAGGAATTTATCTATTTTATTATGTAGCAAGAAAACGGGCCCGGTGACCCCATTTTTTCTTTTTCTTATCTGAAAGTATAATATTAGAGCTATCTTCTCATGTTTTATCTCAAAATTCTATGGTGCAGTTTTCGTTTTATGGCAGAAAATTGCGTTTTCCATGCATAATCTATACAAAATCTGTCAATTTTGCACAACCTGTAGCGTGAAAATAAGCCCCGTGACCCATTCTTTTTATTATTTTTTCCAAAAAAGCATGATATAAACTACATTTTGGCAAATTATTAAAAAATTCTATGGATTATAATTTAGACACCCCATCTACCTTAATAACATATATCCAGAGACAACCTTGGATGTACACTGACAGATTTTTATCTAGCAACAGTCTTTGTATGTAAATTGAAATTATAATTACCCCATAATATCTAGGGACAGCCTTGGTTGCACACTGACAATTGTTTCTATCATATCATCTGCCTGCAAGATTCTACAGGCTCTTTCAGCATTCTCTGTCATACCAAACACTTCTGGGGAATCATAGCTAGGTAATGTGTCCAAGTAGGTAACAATTTGAGGGAATGCACAGTTTGTCTTCAATGGCCGATATATCTGTAAAATAAGAATAAATTAAATTTCTGCGGAATCTAAAATGAATCTAAAATGAATATTAAGAGATAAATATAGGAATTTTCATTTTTAGAAATAACTGGAATCCAACTTTCCTACCTTGTCAGGTTTAGTTATTTTGAGAGAATGGACCCTTTTCTTCAAAAAAATTATTGTGTATGTGGGTAAAAACCAACTTTGAGTCTGAAAAACTAAATAATAGCATTTATTAAGCAGAAAAATGCCTGATCTTCCTATAATGTTTTCCATATATGATACATGCTTGCTCTCCAAAGCATGATGAACCTTTTACTACCATGCAGTTATCTCCCTTCATAAAAAAGAAGTTTATGAAATTTTGAAGTATATATTGTTGGAAAGTGTAGAAATGACATAAAGAGTGATAGAATAAAGGGATTTGTGTAAAGTGCCAACTAAAAAATGATGCTAAATTAATGCTATCTGAAACTGTCAACATAAATCTTATGTAAACGTTAAAAGGACTTATTTCTAAAATTTGAATAAAAATATGCATGTTTAGACATGTAATAAAAACTAAAGTTTATTTTCAAAAATCCCAATAATATTGGTTAAGGCCAATATGAAAAATTATAATAAAAAAATCACACAACTATTTCCCCTTATTAATTTAAATATGAATAATATGATAATACACCAAAACCAAGATTATAAACAGCTTTTTTATAATATCTGTACTGTTTTCCCATTTACTTTGTTAAGGACAAAGTCAGGATTCAAACTAATAATCCTTTTGCTACAATTTCAAAAATAATCTGTACTATAGGCCAGTACTGATCACTAATTGTAGCCTCTTGACTCTTGGATGGTAATGATCACTTAACTGTAGGTGCAGATGTCAAATGGTTGCTTAGGAAAACCATTTTGGACTCTTACATTTTATTTTATGTTTGAATCCAGACAGATAAAAGCACAATATTTACAATCATCAAAAAGATTAGAATTATCCTCCAACTCCACTCAAGCATATAAGATAGCTGAAGACATATTGGCTCTTTTCAAAATTATTATAATATCTGTATCAAACAAAAAAAATCTTTCAAAGATAAGCAAAGGCTAGTTTCAAACTATTTTTGTTTTCAGAAATAACATGCAATTCTCTAAGAATAAATATTGTTTTGAAACTACATCCTATTAAATACTTCATCTAGCTCTGTCATAATCCTGTGTATACTGAAAGAAAAATTTCATGCACAAGATTTCTATAAATTAAGTTTGTAACAAGCATTGTATAATCTCATGCGTGTTGAGACACTGTTCATATATTAAAAAACAAATTTTTTGGTTAAAAAATAAATGAAATCTCTTTTAAATTACTACTTTTTACTTATGCAATGCCCAAAATGAATTAACATTATATATATTTAAACTGACATGTTTTTATTTCTAAATCCTCCTAAGTTAGTAAAATATGTTAAAGACTTATTTTGAAAATGAATAAAACTGTAATTCTGACTTATAAAACAGGAAATTCAATTTTACATTTTTCAAGCTTTGACAATTATATTTGTTACTGTTACCTTAAATTAATAAACAGTGCCACAACATACATAGAGGATAAGCAAAGAATTTGATCCAGTGTATTACTCTTACCTCTTCTGGTACCTAATCAAAAGTGTTATTATTATTTACAATAACTCAAAGTACAGTGCATGGACATTAGTATTTGTCACCTACAAATGTTTGCTACAAATTTCATTTTAAAACATTTAAAAAAAAAAAAAAATTAAAGGCATTTTTGGATGGATTTTAACAAACTTTTGTGAAAAAGTTCACCAAAGGTCTTGAGGTTTCAATAAGAGAAAAGAAGACAGACACAACAACCTAAGTAAGAATTTTAACTCAGTAATCTTCAATTTGGGTCCCAGCACCAGCACACTGAAATGCCTGATTCTTATTTGGTTTTACAATAATCAAAGTTACCAAAGTTTGACTGTGGATGAAACAAGGAACAAAAATAAATGATGCAAGCTGCAAAATTTTAGTCAATTTCAAATTCCAGATGAACTAACCCTATAAATTACCTTTCAACTTACCCAACCTGTAGAATATAATAGAGTAAATGTGCCAGAAAACTCTTCCCTTCATTCACTTGTTTTGTGGCAACTGTAAGTAAACTACCTTGCTACCAATCTCAATTAACAGAGTTGGGCAAAAATAAAATAGAGCACTTTGACAGAAAAATCTTAACATTAATGAATTCTGTCACTTTGTTTTAAGTTCCATACTACAAATTCAATTCACACATCCAGTAGAATATTATGTACAGCACTTGGAAGAGTCTTTCCCTAATAGATATATGACACGGCAAATATAAGTAGACTTTTTTTTTAACAAACATATCTTATTTGAGGAAAAGTGAATATATCAGACAAACTACTTAAAAAAAATTGTTACAAGAACGTTATGAATAACCTTATAACATTGACAGATCATGTGTGTGTTCTAGTGGTTTGAACCCACCCCTTTATTTCGAATTTTGTTCTAAATTAATTAAAAATCTATTAGAACTAGACTGGAATACACACATTAATCCCCTTCCCCTTTTGAAAATTTCTGGATCTGTGCCTACCTGTTAGCTCTCTTACAGATATGATAGATAATGTTATAACATCTTATCAAAATTATATGTAACCATAGTCATCAGCACTTCCCAAAAGTCTTTCCTGTAATTTCTTGACATGGCCACAATGCATTGTTTTTGCTGCAAAAAACTAGAACTGGGAACTCAAAAAGGGATAAAACCCTGCCCACAATACTAATACCACAAATTGCATAATTGAAGTAAGTAAGTTCATCTTTCTCCCTTTAGGACAATCATTATATTCCTCAGGTAGTGCCCTACAACAGTTCAAAGTATAATCAATATCAGTCCACCCACTTAGGAGTTAGGCTTGCAATGCATATATCAATTTGAGAGAGACACCATACCGACCTTCTGACAAATGGACAGTCAGTGATTTCTATTCACCCTTCCTCCTCCCCAAAAAAATTTTTTTTGTGGTTGTATAATAAAACTTACCCCATCTGGAGAATAACTATAATCATCAGACAGAGCACTAGGACAGAAGAATCTTCCCAGTAAAGCATGTAAACATCTTCTATCCCATTCATCTGTGACACGCCCACCATAGGTTACCTCCCCTGTCAGGTATGCCAAAGCTTTCCATGGCACATTAGGGTGTTCTGTTAACAAGTTAGATAACTGCAGCATTGACACCTGTAGAAAAATAAATGTGTCCTTTATAATTCTGCAATCAATTATATAACTTGTAATGAAGAGAACATGCAATGCTTGGAGTTCTTGCTACATGTTTAAATTCAAAATTTAAACACTACTTTGATAATCTGTTGTAACACATAGAAGAGAATTTAATGAGAAAAATGGTTATATTCAAGTTTTAAGAATGTACAATCACTTGAAAGTTTCCTTACTTACTGTAAATGTAAATTATTTATTAGTTGTTATTCAGATTAAGAAAAGGCACATATTTTATTTGTATTGTAAAGAGTTGAATTTGATTTTTTTTAAATGTTCCAACAATATTGAAATACCTCTAAATCAGAGTCATTAAATCCATAAACAATATTCCATCCAAGTCTGCCATATTTTCTTCTTTCATGTATGACACTGTTAAATAGACAGAGACCAAAGAGAAGCTTGGGCCAGGCTGGTCCTGGGACTGCATCTTCATACATCTTCTCAGTAACAACACCAGTACCAGACCCACCAAAAGCCCTCAACATGTTGGCTTTTAGACCTTGTGGTGGCTCTACTGTCATCTAAGTAAAATTCATACATATTTTTTATAATGTAAGACAGAATTGTATTTGAAAGGATTCTGTAATTGGTGCTGGATCCAAGGAGAAAATTGTACCATGCTAAAGAAAATTAACAAATCGAAAAATTAAACAAGGAAACTGACATGTTTTCTGCTCTTTGGTCGGGTTGTTGTCTCTTTGACACCTTCCCGTTTCCATTCTCAATTTCATGTTAGCAAGGGCTTGTACATTTTGTTTGAGGCGCAGAAACATATAATTAATACTGATGCTAACAAAGCAATAATTTATCTAAAAATAAATTCAGGATATGTTCTATGTTGATATCAAGTTTCTTTTAATTCCTAGAACAAAAAGATGTGCTTTTCCAGTTTATCCCTCAAACTTTGACTTACCTTCATTCCTGTCTGTAGTATAGATATAGGGAAACAAGGATCTGGATTAGAACTTAACCATAGTCTAAACTGTTTATCTACTTCTTCTGTAGAGGCATTGAATCTATAATTAAATCATGATACATAAATTATACCATAAAAGAGGTTGTGTTCTAAAAATTTATTAAAAAACTTTTTTATTTCTGATTATGATTTTGGATGCTACCTTGATCAAGCTGCGAAATAAAAATCTGATCATTACATTGTCCATGGATATATTTTAAGCATATCAGATCTTGATGAGGAATAATATAATTAAGTCCATGGATAAATATTGACCCTTTTTTTTTACATGGATCAAAAGCCACAATCCGAAAATATCCTATTATAAACTTTCTCCCAAAAATTATGTTGTTGAAAATTAACAAATATCAAATCAGTCTAAAATCTAATACAGACTGATAATAACATTGTCAAAGTATCACTCAAAAGTAAACTAAAGTAATTTGATTAATTGATGACTGCTTGGTATTTAAAAGAAGCAAATATTACCTGTCCAAAAACAAGTTTAATGATTAATCAGGTGGTAAACTGTGAAAAAGGGTCAAAATTTAACTTTCACTTTATATTTCAACAATCAGAATTTCACATTGCTTACCAAGAGACCATCTTCTGTCATATAGAAAGTTGATGTAGGGGGTGGACGTTCACACTAAATGTCATGAATCTGATCAAATGAACTTTGTATGAAATGCCACTTAATGAATACATACTTTTCTACAATGGCCTGCAGTCTTGGCATCCATGACGAAGCAAGATGACAATTCTGTAAGAACACCCATCTTCCTTTCAGTATCTTTGCCTTATTGATGAGCTCTTCAGCTTTAGGTCCTTGACCTCGACCAAGAGATATCATATCTAAATGTACAGTACTACCTCTTTCTTCCTTGGCAAATCTGATTAACTGACTGGCAGGGTCAGTACCTGAAAAAAAAATGAATATCAATTTATTTGCATAAAAAATACAATAACATTCCTTTAATTTTAAATCTATTTTTGTTTATCATTATGGAGATTGTAATGTTTCATACCAGTTTGATGTAGCTTCAAAAATATATATTATTCTCTAAACCAACAATCTGGCATCACAAGATGCATAACTAGCTTAAAGCAGTGATGGTTGGTGAGTATCTGTCACGATTGTACCCAAGGATGATAGATTAATTGCTGCTTGCTATACCCATTGATAAAGATGCAGATGTGTACACTAAAAGAAATGATTCTCTATTAAATAATACCAAATTTTCTTCAAAATGTACAAAAGAAAATATATAAAAAAAAAGTAACAAAAAATAAACAGAGAACATTTAAATGTCATAAAAGACAATTCCATGCTAATATAACCAGAACTATTTACTTACCCGCTGTATTCAAATTAAAATAGTCCATTAAAAAAATAAGAAACAAGACTTGCATTTATTTTACAAGAAAGTGATGACTAGTGAAATGTAAATTTGCTAAAAAAACATGAAAAATCAGAAAAACCACTGAAGTTCATAAGTTCGTAAATTAGTATCTTTGAATGACAAAAATTGTGTCTTGTAATAATATCTATTATATAACAGATATATTTTAGTATCTAGTTTAATGCAGAAGCTTCATGGCTTAAAATATACTATACAATAGGAAATTTGAACTCCACATTAAAGAAAAACACTATTTTCTTATTTTTTGCATCATAAAAGCTTGAACACCTTTTAACAGTACAATAAAAGTAGCTTTCCTATACTTAAACTAACTGACAAAATCTTTTCCAACATTTAGAATAAAATTCAAGCTAGATATTTTAAAATACTATAATCTATGATCGAGAACAAACCTGGGGAAAGTATAAAGATCAGTGGAGTTTTAGATGAGGACTCGTCATATATTTCTTTCAAATCAAAAGATCCTGTGGATAGGTAACTGCTGCTCATCTGATCCTCAACAAACTTCTGAGCTGATTCCACCAACTGTCCAGGTCGTAGAACCTTGATTATCAACAGCCTGTGGAAACCATTTAGTTGTTCCCATGGGAAAACAATACCATGTTCTGTCACTTCACCTAAACCATTAAAATATCACAATATATAAACAAGGAATCAGTTGTCAAATTGATAGCAAACTAAGTTTTCTCTAATTTAAAAGGCGCATTCTGGCTTTTTTGACCTGCCACAGTCTATGCCTATTTTCCAATCTATCAAGAACCATAACTCCTGAACAGCAGTAATGAAAAATGAAAATCGACAATTTAAACTTAACCAACATTTTGTCATCAGAACATTGTATCAGCATATTCAAATTAAAAGAGTATTGGTAGAACGGTACATAAGTAATTGTGTTCAAACAACACAAAATGCCATTTTTCAATCTATCAAGAACCATAACTCATTTACAGCAAAGGTCAAAATCATTAACATCTAAATGAGTTTCATTTTCTCAACAGTAACAACATATCAAAATTTTAAAAGCATTGGTCAAATGGTTCATAAGTAATTGCACGGAAAAGACATAAAGTGTCATTTTTCAATAGATCAAGGACCATAAACTCCTGAACAGTAAAAGTGAAAATCATCCATATTGAACTTGACCTCAATTTTGTCATCAGTAACAACATATTATAATTTGAAAACCATTGGTAGAAGGGTTCATAAGTTATTGAAAAGAAACGACATAAAATGTCATTTTCCAATATATCAAGGACCATAACTCCTAAAAGGTAAAAGTGAAAATCATCAATATGGAACTTGACCTCTAGTTTGTCATAAGTATCAACATATTTAACTTTGAAAAGCATTGGTGGAACGGTTCACAAGTTATTGCACAGAAACTGATGACAACCAACCACTGTACTTCATCAAATTGGTAACTGCTTTTTTTCTTGGAAAAACCCAGTAGAAAAGATGTCAAATCTACCACGCATTTGCAAAAGTTTGGTAAAACTAAAATTTTATTGCAAGTGCAATAAAAAAATAATGACTTGCTTGATCTAGTCCATAAAAAATTCTTGAATGCATTAGTAACTTACAATTAAATTCAGAGCAGGGAAGTAAAGTTTTGGTTTAAGTACCTTTTGGATTTGTAAATGGCTCAGTCATTAATTTATAAGTATTTTCCAGCTTGTAAAATGTATTCCACTGTGTACTGTTTGACATAATACTACGGCAAAGTTTGTCCATCTCAGGTAAGGTAGCCTCTAAGTGTTGACATTGCTGCCACATAGCTTCAGATATCCACTTAGGAGGACTTTTTTGCTTTGATTTGTCTCCGTTCTGAGCTTCTAATCTTTCCATTGCAGTTAGTCCTGTAATTATATGCAAAACATTTTTTTTTCATTGTCATCAACCTTTTTTTAATTATAAAATTTATAACTAGTTATCTTCATTATTGAAGAATCAGATTGCTGAACTACACAAAATGATGACATTGAGAAGATTTACTGTGGATTCATTATTATTCGTTGGATACCAATTTTCATGGATTTCGTAGGTACAGGGGAACCACAAATTTGAATGTTCAACGAATTACAAATTTTCTAAAGGAATGTATGCAAACTTTGCCAAAGCCACGAAATCAAATATCCCCGGAAATGCAAGTTTTCCACAATCCACGAAAATTGGTACCCACGTAAAATATATATGAATCCACAGTATGTAAAAAAATAGTTAGGCCCTGTGGATTCATTATCATTCGTAGAGTAACCAATTTTCTTGGTTTCGTGGGTGAAGGTGAACCACGCATTTAATTGGTCAATGAAGCACAAATTTTCTATAAGCTTGTATTCAAACTTTGGCAAAACCACATAATCAAGTATCAACGAAATTATACAATGCTTCCTCAAATCATGTAAATTTGTATTAATGAAAACAAATAAATCCACAGTACCGAAATCAATACTGCTCAGGTGATATAACTCAATTCTGTAGACTTAATCCTTTATTTACCAGAGTTTCTCTAGAATGGTTTGGTTTCAACACTTTGACCTTTTTTGATATATAGCTTGGTCAAATAAGAAATTATTGCCTACAGATTTACACATTGTTTTATGTTGTAACCAATTAAGTGAAAATACAAATAAAAGTATTGCAGTCTTTACTATAATACATACAAATACATTGACAGTATCAAAACAATCAGGAATTTTACTGTGAATTCATTATTATTCGTGGGATGACAATTTTCATGGTTTTTGAGGGTATAGGTGAACCATGTTTAATCAAGTACAAATTTTCTATGGGCTTGTATGCAGACTTTAGTAAAACAATGAAATCAGTTATCCACGAAAATACAAATTTCCTTAATTAATCAACAGTACTAAATTTACCGTCATGTTCCTCTAATGTCTTTTCATCCATCATTTTGGCCATAATATTTCCCTGTAGGAACACCTGCCATTCCACATCCTCAATCTTGCCAACCTCAGCAATATCTGTATACTTTGCATTAGCTCTCATTATGCTAGAGCATAACATGAAGGAAAATGTCAACTGGTGTCTGGCAAAAAGTGCCACAGAAACAACTCTGTAGATACTGGATGTCAGCCTGAAATAGTGGTAATAAAACAAACAAATCAACAGAGACCACCCTGTAGATAGTGGATGTCCAGCTGAAACAGAGGAATAAATATCCGCTGATTTTTGCAACTAGTGCTGCATAAACTTTTCTATGGATACTAGGTGGATTTATTTGTTTACAACAAAAAAAATTAAAATGTCCACTGATGTTTTGCAAATAGATGATGATGATGATGATGATTGATGGATGCTTAATGTCCAGCGGCAAATTAATATGCATATTCAGGACCAGAACATGATATTAATAATGTAATATGAATATTAACCCTACTTTGTACTAGACCAACACGCTGGGCCAGTTTTTTAACGTGCTAGTTCACAAGGTAACAGTCTGGAGGAAGTTATGTCACCTTACCCAGACACTTTATTCTGACTCACGACCGACCAGTCTTTGCTCTTACTTTTGGTTAATGAATTGTATGAGCTTCTGGGTTTCTGTATACTATAACATAGAAAATTTTTGAAGGTGTTTATTTCTAACTAATTTAAAATCTCTAAATTCAAACTCTGTGAAAATAAACCCCTTTTACAGTAAAATTTTCTGGATTTTTAAACTAGTTAATACCATCCATGTACTAAACCGTAAAACTTAAATAAGAAACTGTTTCCACATGTACATAATGTATCAATTTAAAGCTTTCCTCAATCAATAATAATTTTATGTTTTTTTTTAATGCAAACCATAACATAAGATTATAAAATAAAAGGAAAAAAGAAATTCCACAAGATTCAACATCAATAGAGTCAAGCTGATCATGAAATCATCATACAAGGAAATCAATTTATTTTAAAATTGGAATGAATCAAATTTCACCTTATCACGCAAGATCTAAATTAAAGAAGCTACAATTCTGCTTGAGAAAATGTACAATTTGTTATGAAAATTTGAAGTACAAGACTTAATTTTTTGAATTTGTTGCTTATTGATTTTTACATTTTAAACCTAAAAAACTTGTAATTTCCTGGAAGCATATTAAATTTTCATAACAACACCAGCAATAAGATATCAATTACATATAAATAAAAAATCTAGCTGGTTGTTTATTTCACTTATGCATTAAGTGACATTTGAAATGTTCAGAAAAATAGAATTGATGTAAAAATTATTAAAGCTACATCAGATCATACCTGTCAACCTATGACAATGAAAATGCAGGTGATGACCTGCATAGAAGAATGAAATCTCAGGTCATAATGCGTACAAACTTTTTCGAGCTGAATTTCAGTATATAGGGGACATTGTTCTTATAATTTATATCAAAGTTTCCAATACATGTCCACATGGTTAAGTAATTTAAAAGTACATTTTATTATTTCATTGCACTTGGAGGCCATTGATAGATTTGTGTTACATTGCATTAATTCCTGTTCATATTCAGTCCATGACATACAATGTGCCAATATGTGTTTTCTTTACATACTTTTGTGCAGCTTTTGAACAGTTTAATAAAATTTGATATTAGGATATAATAAAATAAAGTTAAACAGTTAAAAGAGGTATAGATGAAAAAAGTAATTTTCAAAATTTTTATTTTTCAATTGTTCTAAGATAGAACAATAAGTAAAGTATTATTCTGATATGTTTTGGCATTCAATTCATTTTAGATTTAATCTTTTTACAAAAAAAAACATAAGTTTAAGGAGTATATTGTGAATTGACAAAAAAGGGGAAGTAACTCAAATTGTTTTTAAAACAACTTTGAAATACACAAATTATTTACGACCTAAAGCTAAGGTAATTGGTGTTAATTAACAGTGTGTTTGACACCAAAGCTGTCAAGTGAAGCCATGCACTGAAATGGGTCACTTGAGCTGAGTTTACACAGCTAGTTGAACTTCTTGTCCAGGAAGAATTACGAATTTGCCGGTATTTTAAAGAAATCAGTTTATATCTAATCAGTCTGAAGGCTTAGGAATCTGGGTGAAAACGGGTTATTTTCCGAAATTCCCGGGTTATTTGGTCACCCGGCGGGTGTTCCGGGTGACCCCTCAGAATTGTGAAAATCTAGGGTCACACCCCCAGGATCCGGGTCAGTTGACAGGTATGTATCAGATTGAATTTCATCCTTTTGAATTTCCTTCATTGATTTTGCAAAAAGAGTAATTGCCATAAACCTGTAAAATATGTTCCAAACAATTTTCTTTACGTTTCCATATTTTGGTGATCAATGATAAAAAACATAACCCCACAACATTGTTTATGTGTCTGTGCCAAGTCAGGAGCCTGTAGTTCAGTGGTTGTTGTTGGTTCAAGTCTGCCATATTTGTTTTTCGTAAATTGTTTTGTTATAAATGAGAACGTTAGTTTTCTTTTCTGAATTGTTTCACATTTTTCATGTCAGGGACTTTAATAGCCGACTATACGGTATGGGTTTTTCTCATTGTTGAAGGCCGGTACGGATGCCTGTAATTGCTTACATCCACTTCATTCGAACTTTATGGAATAGTTGTCTCATTGGCAATGATACCACATCTCCTTATTTATATATTGCACTTTTGGAATTGGATAGGAATAATGAATTTTGTCATCAAGCATCAATACTCTCTCGATTTGTTAACATTATCAACATGTAACTAAATACAAGCAAACAATATTCATTTTCTAATACGTGTACATGTATTTAAAAAAAAATTGAATGGTTTAACTGCGAGTCTTAAATAGTAAATGTCCTGTATCTTACAACTGTACTGAATTTGATGTAAATTTGAACCATGGGCAATCAAGCATAACCAGAAGGTCAAGCCTGCCTTTCTTTTGTCTAAATGTTGGGTTAGTCCCTCTAAAGCACCTGCATGCAAGTTTGAATGAGAATATATCAAACCTAGACATGAGTATTGATCTTGGATTTTAACTTACTGTAAATTTAACTTAACTTTAATCCATTGTTCTTCTCACATCATCAGATCAATTAGAGGCACACCATTTTATACTTGATTGGATAATTCTAGAAGTTTCCCATAATGCCAAAATCTTAGCTCATTGGACTACTTTTGTTTGAACATTAGGCATTTTCTCATTTGAATTGTTACACATTTTTCTTGTCAGGTCCTTATATAGCAGTATAACTATACATTATGAGCTTTTCTCATTTTTGAAGGTCGTACAGTCACCTATAATTGCTTTTATCTTTGTCATTTGAACTCTGGTGGATAGTTGTCTCTTTGGCAATCATACCAAATCTCCTTATCTGTATACAGTACTCCTAAGCTTGCTTTTTAGGCAATGCCTAATTCATCTCATTTAGATGAAGTCTTATGGTTTTTCAAAATTAGGTTAAAAAGGAAAGCTGTTCTTTTGTTAGTCACAAATAACTTATACTTCCTTTTCATCATATCAAGGGAGGGTGTCTGGATAGCATATCCGTTTCACAGATGATAGTGGATATGTTCCTAATGTCGTAACTACAATCCTGTGCCCCTTTTCCCGAAAGTGGCCTACCGAATTTGACTCATTACTGGGTTTGTAATAACATGAGCAACACGACGGGTGCCACATGTGGAGCAGGATCTGCTTACCCTTCCGGAGCACCTGAGATCACCCCCAGTTTTTGGTGGGGTTCCTGTTGCTCAGTCTTTAGTTTTCTATGTTGTGTTTTGTGTACTTTTGTTTGTCTGCTGGTCTTTTTCTTTTTTAGCCATGGCATTGTCAGTTTATTTTTTGACTTATGAGTTTGAATGTCCCTCTGGTATCTTTCGCCTCTCTTTTACGTAAATTATTATATTTACCTATTTATCATATCTAACATATGTTTTTTAAGCTCAGCAGGATCATCAGTGTTTACTGATGGCAAAGATTCCTTCAATTTTCCAAATAACTCAATGCTAGCTTTGTTATCCATGCTAACTCTGGTTACACTCTGTCGACTATCTGGTCTAATTACACCAGTCAGGTGAGGACTGATACTAGATTTTCTTTCCATCTCCTTCATGGCAACCAGATTCTGATTGGTTATACATGAAATGAACATGTCCTGCTGGAACCATTCTAGAGAGAACTGGTACATAACATCAATACCAGATAGATCAGCTAATACAAAGTATAATGTGGCACCTCTGGTAGCTACCTGTCAACATAAATTAGAACAGATTACTTCTAGGAATCAGTCAAAATAAAATTGGTACATAATTTCAATACCAGATAATCAAGCAGTCACCAATGTACAATGTGGCTTCTCTAGTAGATATTTGTCAACAAAAATTAGAACACATGACTTCACCATTTGAGAAAAACTGGTACATAATGATCAGTTGATTGAGTACTTGATGGCTCCACTAAAACCTTATAATCAGATATGTCTGTCTATCCACAATATGTTTCACTTAGAAGGAACTGATTGTTCATCTCTACATTTTAAGCTACTGTAAAATGATTGTTCATCTGTAAGTTTAATGTTAACCAACAATTAAATATTATAATAATGGCTCAAAAACAATTTACTGTAAATTCAGAAACAATTGACAGGTTTTTATCAATGCAAATAATGTGACTGGATGAATATCAAAATAATAAGAACTCACATTCTGATATCTGATACATATACTGTATGCAGATTTTCCTGAAATCGCAATACATGTATATAATTTCACATTTTTGTCCATTTTTCAATAATCACAATAACAAATGCATGCAATAATTTCTGAATTTACAGTATACAAATAAAAACAGACACTATGGCAAAACAGTTTTCAAAGCACAATACAAATAACTAAAGATTGAGCAACCAGAAGCCCACTAAATATCAGTTCAATTGGAGTATGAAATCAGGTGCTTCGGAAGGGTGGGACGTTCCCATCATGGCAATACTAAGATCAACTTACAGGCAGATATTTCTGTCTGGCCACACTGAGTTTTTTCTCTGTGTCTTCTGACTTTTGAATTCTTTTGTACATTGCTTCAGCCATTCCTTTACTTTTCTGTAGTGTATCAACCAGATCCTGATCATCAAGAATATGACCTGCAATAATCAGATGACAAATTCATTTTGTTCTAAAACAATCAATTGGTTGTATTATTCTACTGTGACTTGACTGTAAGTGTTGCTCTCCACTGAATTCCTAATATCATCAAAGTGTAAATAAAGTCTAATAGGATTGGAAGTATGTTTTATTTTATCACATTGCACTTTCACGACTTGACTGTGGTTTGCTACAGCAGTTCATTAAGATTACTGACCAGTTGAACAGTTTGGTTTGATAAAACAAACTGCAATTTGGTCAGAATTTTGAATATACTGCAATAGGTGGAAAGCAACACTTACAGTCAAGTCACAGTAAATAATTCAGAAAAGTACTACTACACTGTACCCTTCAGTTTAAACAATACAAAATGTACTACAACTAAATTGTTCAAATCAATTTCCTGTTTAAGCCAAAATATTGATTTCAAATGAAATTTTTAATCAATTCCTTTCGAAAAGTGAAAGAATATCTTCAAGATTTTTTCGACTTGTTTTTAGTGTATTGAACCTTTTGTTCTGTATTAAATAGTTTTCTTAGAGTTACTTATTAGAAAATGTTTAACTCTTGATTTGCATGACAATAAACATGAAAACAACTTAAATTTTCTAATCTTCTAAATTATATAATGTTGGTCCTTTTCCTGTTTTTACTAGATTTGTAAGTACACAGTATGACAGCACTTTGATTTTTTATTTGTAAGTACACAGTATGACAGCACTTTGATTTTTATCTGTTTTTGGTAATAACCATAATAACAGTAATCAATTTAAACTCACATCATATAATGACTAATGAATATTCAATACATTTGTTCTTTTTTGGTATTTTACAGATTATTGTCTAGAATATCTATTAATAACTATAACTGAACCGGATTTTCAAACAATTTACTTTGATTTTTCTTTGTTCTGATAATTACAATTATCAATTTCAACTAACATCAAATAATGTCATGAATATTCAACAAATTTGTTCTTTTATATATTACTTTTACAAACAATTGTCTAAAATATTAATTAATAACTATAAATGAACCGGATTTTCAAATAATTTTGCAATTTACTGATGTTTGCTAAACATCCTGCAGGTAAAATAAGTCATATTGAAGATAATTAAATTTTCTAAAAATCCATTGTAAAACAGGAAGCTTCTTGATATAAACTGTGTCAACCCAATAGAATAGGAAACATTCCAGGATTTATAGATTTAAAAAAAAAAGCTTATTAATCTATCTCCATCGTGAATAAAGCTAATGTGATCTTTGATCTTTGATGTCACAATAATACAAAGAAAGTAAAAGATTCAACAAGACAGTCTTTTTTTTTTTAACTAGAATAAAACATGCAAATTTCTGTATAATCTATGCTAATTAGGGATTGATTAATTGATGTTTGCCTCATGCCGCATTAGAAAAAAATAGCTAGTTAGGGAAATTACTTGACATGAAAATTGGACAAAATTTATGTTATGAGAAATGTTATTTTATAAAATGCAAAAAAGTTCTTTTGGGTCTTTGTTTCAAATGAATCTATGGTATGCAATTAAGCTTCTTTTCATATTGGTATCGGCAGATCCTGCTCCAGTTATGGCACCTATCATGTTGTTCACAGCATGTAAAGATTTAGCAATAAGTCAAGTGGTAATCTGTGATATAGATATTCCATAGTGGTCAAAACAAATCATGATGGTATTTGTAAAACTTTTGCAGGGATGACTTCAACTTTACCAAAAGGAACCCATGACTCAATAGCTTCCAAATGTAAGCAGCAACCCTCTATCAAGGAAATCATGATTTGATACATAAAAGTGTTTTACTGCATAATGGATATATCATATTGAAATATTACATATCCATGGGTTCTTAAGAAATGAACCCAAGCAAGAAAATTTAACAAAGTTACTCAAGCAAGAAATGTAGGTCAGGATGACTCAAATATTATTGACCACTACTGTACTTCATGTTTAGGATTGAAAATCATTGGTCTAATATCGTTTGTTCATTGAAACTGTTTAATCAAATCTATACTTACTGATGTACAAGTAGTAAGTTTGAATACAATACATTCTTTAATGGAAGATAAACAGGCTCAAAATTTTCTAATGAAAGGTAAATGATGGAGGATACATAAAGGTTAGGGAAACTTTTTAAATAATGACCTTCTGTTTTCTGTAGTAAACTTAAAGATTTATCTTCTAAATCTCTCAAGAACTGTAAATCAGCAGCTATACTCTCCAGAAGTTCACTTCTTTGGTTTTCAAGCTGTGGTTTTTCCTGGAAAACAAGAACTAAATGTATCCCTATTTATGACAAAAAGACAACATTACTTCATTGATTAACTAATAAAATATTTTCATAAAACTTAATATATTGTAATTATTGTAACTTCAAATATCTATAATTGTTTTATTGGTATTTATCTCTACAAGGACTATTAACTTACTGATACAAAATTGATCAACTTTCTTTGAGCCATTAAATGATAACTATTAATTCTAAACGATCATAAAATAATAACAAATAAAGTGTTTATGATAAACAAACAATACCATCAAATACATATGGCCTTTGTAAATAAACAGTTTTTGTGGCAATATTTTTATTTATAATATTCAGAGGAGGATTTAGAGGGGTGCTTGGGGTGCATCATTTATGATTACTGTAAATTCAGAAATTATTGCGAGGTTTTTATTAATGCGAATAATGCGACTCCACGAATATCGCAATAATAAGAACTCACATTCTGAAAAAAATTCGTCAAAAATCGCAATAATAAATGCATGCAATAATTTCTGAATTTACAGTAAATTTCCCACATGTTTGCTAGAAATGATATGTTATAAAAGACAGATAGGACATTTTGCTTCTTCAGTTGAATGTGCCTAGCACTGGTTTCATTTACATGCAAGCAATTCCATTTTGACAATATTAATTATGTACTATTCAATTACATGACTGACTGATATTTATAGATTATCAATGAATTTTCAAATGAGAGGGTGTTCCTTAGCTACAATCTCATCGAAGGGTGACAGCCCTGAGATGAAATGTTGCAAAGAAACATCCTTGAGTTTGAAAGACCATTGATAATTTGTTTATTGCTATTTTGCCTATGACGTCGTCCATGTTTACATTGACAATGTCACATGCCTCCTTATTTTCTGACGATAATTTTCCATCTCAAGCGAGTAGTATGATATGAAAAATTATAACAAAAAAAGATCAAAGGAAAAATACACAAAATAGCGATAAACTTTAGTCCCTAATGAGATGAATAATCATTAATCCTTGTCTGGTTGATAATCTAACAAGTCAACTAGGTCATTCATCATAACAAATCCTTAACACAATAAAGAGCAGGGCCATGAGCGCATGATACGCCCGTCACTTTTTCAACGAACAAAGTTCCATAACTCCTCAATGTCATATCAGAAATTTATAAAAAAACTAAAGGTAGCTTATTTCAATAAATATAAACCAGTCATCAAAGTTTCATGAAAACAGCTGAAAGCATTTTGAGTTATTGTCAGAAAACTAGAAAATCCCCCCTTTTTTATGAATAAAATCCCATAACTCGGAAACATAAAATCTAAAACTTATAAAAATCAAAAGGGAGCTTATATCAACAGATAAAAACAATTTACCTAAGTTTCATGAAAATTGGTTAAAGCGTTTTTGAGTGATTGTTTGACATGTTGACGACGGACGGACTGATAGACATGGTATACTATAATACGTCCTGTAAATGGGCATATAATAAGTGTTAACAAAGTTTGCCTTATTACTCTAACTGTCTGTTACACCTATAGCATAATAAACAGGTGAAAAGTTGGCATTCCCAACAGATGTTCCCTGAACCACACATTCATTGAAAATAAAATTAGTGCCATACATATTTGGTCTTATTAAATACAGTTGAAATAAATAAATATTAACCTTTTTTTTTTTAAATAGTTAACTCCATTTCAATTCAAAGAGATATTTTTAAATATAGACATTAATTTCCTTATTATTTTTCTCACTCTTTAAAAAATCGGTTGATGTACAGTTTTCTATATTAACACAACCAATGCTATCTTAAAACTTCCTCTATAGATGATATAATGAGCATTCTGTTCATTTAAATGATATATTTCATTATTGTCTCAATATAAATTATTCCGTTCATTATAATGGTGTGTTTAAATTAGATTACATAAAACTAGAAAATCACGACATAGCCCTAAACAGAATTAATTATCAAAGAATCACAACAAACTATGGAAAGTTATTGAATAAAGTCTCGTACAATTGTTCTTAAATTTCTTGAAGGTTCACTCATAAAATAATGGCGTGCAAAGTACATCCCCCACATGTCATTAGACATTGATGGAAAATTTCATGTTCAGCTAAAATAAAATAAAAGAAGAATGTGTCTGAGGACACGAATGCCCCCGCTCAACCTTGGCAATTTTCCAAGATAAAAAGAGGCATAACTCTAGAACAGTAAATGCCTCGCAACCCAAGTTTGAACCCTGTCTGTGTGTTGTAGTTCTTAGCATTGTGTATGAGTATTATAAAATTTGCATGAGGCAAACTTAAGTTAGAGTGCAGAAACGAAAATAGGAAAGACAGTTAAGGGTTACACTAAATGACCCTGTTGACTATGGCGGGGGCATAAAAAACCAACAAAAAATCTCTTACATGGTACAACTCAGATTTTAAAAGTTCGAGACCAAATATCAAATTATTCCATAATACAGAATCTGGGTAATATAATGAAAAATTTCATGCTCAGTGGGAATATAAAAATCAGAAGTCTTGTCTCACAGGAAGTGACAGGCAGACGGATCTGAATATTATGAAAATATATAAAAGGACAGTGAACCTAGTAAATCTTCAATACTATAGAATCCCTAAAGTGGATACCTCGGGTATGCAGGGTTGTTATGGCAAAAACATAAAATGTGAAGGCTGTTATAACAACAACACTTTAGGGATTACTGCAGGAATAATTTAATGAGATCAATATTTTTTGGTGTTTTTAAAAGTAAGAAATAGAAAACAGAAACCCTCTTGGTCATCTATATAACAAAAACTAATGTGGTCCAGAAAGCTTACGGTTGATTTTATAAGGCATAGATAAAATAATCAACAGCATGTTCTTACCTGTCTAACAACTGCCGATAAAAGCTGTTCCTGTAGTCCCTCAAATGTGACAGTAAAGTTTATGATATTAACTTGAATATAGACAGCAGGCAGGTAATGTGGATTGGACATAGATGTTGTCATGTATAGCCTGAAACAGAGGGTTTGTATATATAACAATACACTACTGTACTTCGTATGACTACTCAACAGTTAACAAAAATTTTATAATCTAAGCATTCTGCATTTTGTCTTAATGTCTGCAAATTTCCAAAGCATACATTATCAACTGAGAAAACAATGTTAACATCTAGTCTTCTACATCATTTGGTATCTGGTGGACAGTTGTTTCATTGGCAATCATTATACCACATCTTATTTTTATAAGAAACAAATCCAAGATGGTGGACCTCATAGATGTGTATTGAAATAATGTCTATCTACCTTATGTTTTTAATATAATCTCTGCTTTACCAATGTAAATATCTTACCTAAAATTATCATTAAATTCTATCTCTGTATCACCAAGTTTGATGACTGTGTGCCCACCCCTGGTAAATGTTTCTCTTAGAAGTACTGGTCTGAGAGCTGGATCTAGAGATTCTGTTACTTCCTATAAACACAAAAAAACACTTTTTCTGAAGAAATTAATTTCATTTTTTTTCAGTTTAATTACGACTACTGTGTTTTAATGAAAACTATCCTGTATTAAAGTCAAGTGACAATGGATTCATAGTTAGAATCAAATAGTCTGCATTCTTTCATAAAAAAGGGAAGGACCAGGACTGTCAAACTTCTAATAGTAAAGACTGTTCTCCCAATCAATCATATTTTTTCCCATACAATAAGGCTTGCACTGTAATAATGCATTTGTACAAAAGATTTTTAATACAAATATTCTCGTAAGGTTGGTAAAATTTAACTATTGCATATTTACCAACCAATTACATAAACAACATTTTGACCATCAGACCTTCTCATCAGATTCATATTTCCATGTTTACTTTACAGAGTAGATGTTGCCACATTAAAATCAATCAAAAAATAAAATCAAATTTTGAATTTATTACTCAGGTAAAATGTGAAAATCTTTATTACTTTTCAATAGGCAATAGAGTACATTACAAACAGTTCTGATTACAAAACAATTTGTGTCAGATTTAGCATATATCAAAAAACTAAGACATGCTGTTCGTCTCAGAGGTAACAAGATACCTAGCAAATTTTACTTTTTCGATGTATGAAAAATATTTTTATATAAGCAAACCTACAAACAAACAGTTTCTCCTAAATACCCACAAAAATATTAAAGTCAATTAATAGAAACACCAACAGTTTAATAATTAGCAAGACTGAAACAGATGTTGTCACTTCAAACATTTAAAAGTCAGCACAGAAGGCGAAGAAAATAATGAAAACAATGAATTTGATAAATAGAATCAATAAAGGTAAATATCGTAATTAATGAGTAATGACATTCTACCTTTATAGGAAACCTACCACAGATATCATTTCAATTCCAATCTATTTCATTCTAATAACAGGACAATGAAATGACAATGCATTATAATGTTAATAGATATTGAACAGTATAAGCAAAAACTGAACAATCATTACCTATAGTTCATAGAACTTGGTGATAATTGGAAAAATTATATACTGTCACAGAAAATTATCAACAAAATGTGATGAGGAAAATTAATGAACTGATTCTTAAATACCTGATATTCACAACCATAATTATTAATAAACCATCCAAAAAAAGTCATCTTTGAAGCAACCAATGGAATTTATTTCATGGAAAAAGTTCTAAAAACTGTCTTCCGCAAGGCAGACAATTCAGTATGCGACAATGAATGTATCAGAAGACAATAAAGAAGACATTTTATTCTATGTTCTCAATGGATATGGAGTTACAGTTTCCTACTTAATCATAAACATCGTTACAACAATTCTAGGTGTTATGATTTTATTTCTCAATTTTCTCGTCATCGACACGATACGACGAAAACATGAACTGACGAATACAGCAGATGTCCTTTTACTTAGTCTGGCATTAGCAGATTTTCTGACGGGAATTTTGGTGCTGTATAATACAGTATACACGATGTCAAATTTCCAGAATACTTTAGAGTGTAGATTTAGATACAGTCTTTTACTTACAGTGGCCATATCATCGGGTTTTCATCTGTTAGCGCTGACTGTTGACCGTTACATTAAAATCATAAAACCCTTACATTACAGCAGACTGTGTAAAAGATCAACGTTTCTGACAACGTGTATTTCTGTATGGATATTTGCTATACTTATAGGATTAGTACCAACATTTGGATGGAAAAACAATTTTGAGGAAACCAATGGGGATGATCTATTGTGTAGTTTCTTTGGCACCCTGCATGAAGATTATCTTCGAATGGTTGTAGTTTTATTTTTTATACCAGTCATTTTGATGCTTATTCTCTACAGCCACATTTTCAAAGTGGCACACAGACATTCCCGACAGATAGTCATACAGGAAAGAATGGTACATCCACATGCCAAGGATAAATTATCATGGAAATTTACCAAAACAATCAGTATTATTATAGGAGTATACCTTCTTATGTGGCTTCCTACAGGTAATTCATTAATAAAGTTCTTGCATTTTTCATGAAATTTTGAATTATTAAAAACTCTCAGGGTTTTCTAACCCCCAGGCAATAGATGACTTCAGTCTTATTTGGCACAACACATTAGATTTTTTTTGGGGCTTGCAATGCTCTCAATTAGGTGTTTGAATTGGCCTTCCACATTTTTTTTTATTAACAAGGGCTACTGATTAGTGATGTGTGGATGAAAAGTGTATTTGGTGTATAATAATAAACCTGGTATCTTTGGTGAGATTTTGTCCTTGTTATGCTAATTAAAAAACACTTCTTGAGTATTTTACAGAAAATATTCATTTCATATTTAGTTTCAAAAGGTTCAGCAGTTCTTATGAATTTTTTTTCCAACAGATTACATTTTAAAACCTAGTCCTTTGCTGGAAGCAATATTGGTTGTCCAGTCTACACTTCGGTAAAAACAAACCCTTAAGTACCTTACAAGGAACCCTCCTTCAATATTCAATGGCTTGAATTTGTATGGGTGTTGTAAGGAAGACTTTTTACTCATTTCCCATCAGGTAATGTAATCTGTAAAATTAATAATAAGCAGTCATTTAGGGGTCAAAAACCAACTGACTGTAAAACCTCATAAGAACATGTTCAATTTCAGAATCGACAATGAAACTCTTTAAAAAGCAAGATGTCCAAAACAAAATGATGACAAAAGTTCATAAGGATGTCTGTCTGCAATCTAAACATTGTAACCCAAAGCTATGACAGTGAAGTCAAGAAATTTACCTCAGTCATTTCTTAGTACTTTTTATCTCATTAGCCATAAGTTTTAAAATTACCATGCTTATTCAATAAATGTGTGACCTTTGCTGTAAAACTCGATTTTTAGCAGAAAAAAATTTAAACTGACAAAAAAACCCGATTAAAGTTCTGACCTATTATTGTACACTGCCCAACAATCCTAAAAAATCACAGATTTGATTAAAAGTCAAAGAAAGAAGAATTTACTGACAATGCTATAAAAAGATGATATTATTTCAGCTTGAAATTGGTTGCCAATGAATTAAGCTTATAATAACCTTTGAATTTTCTATAAATCCTCCAGCAGTGTGAATAATAATACCTTACTTAGCCAGCACTCTATACTTTGTCCTAGAAATGCTGACCAGTCAAAGGTTTATTGTTAATGCTCTATACTTTATCCTAGAAATGCTGACCAGACGAAGGTTTATTGTTAATACTGCTAGACAAGATATAATTAATTCATAACAGATTAAAGAGAAATCTATATAACTAATTGGTAAATGAACTATGATTGACATCTGAGCTGGTCTAGTGAAAAGGTATTTACTGCCAGGCATACAATAGTAGGGGGCATTATGTGTTCCTGTCTGTGCATTCTTTTGTCTGTTTGTTAATCCTCCGTCCATCCTGTATCAGGTTAAAGTTTTTAGTTTAAGGTAGTTTTCCATGATGTTGTGGTCACATCAACTTAAAACTTAGTACTAATTTGACCCAGATTTTACAGTTCACTGAGCAGGCATGGTGTGCAATGAAAGACACACATTTTGGTTTTATTTTTCTATCACTACTTAATAAACTATGTTATCTTACTGAAGGAATTTTTTACCAGAAGTGTGGCTGTATCTTAGGAACTTTTATATGGACCAACTGAATATAATTAAAAAACGAAACCCTTTTAATCTATATAAAGATAAGGAGATGAGGTAAGATTGCCAATGAGACAACTATCCACCAAAGTTCAATAAAGTGGATGTAAGCAATTATAGGCAACTGTACAGCCTTCAACAATGAGAAAAACCCATACTGTATAGTCAGCTATAAAAGGCCCCTTGCCAATAACTGGTCGCAGTATACAAGCTTTACTTGTAAATCTGAGAGTTTAAGCTCACTTATCTACCAAATTTTCTATCACAATGTTTGCCAAAACACAGAATTGTCGTCAATTACTTTCATGGATTATAATTTACTTTAAACTAAATTTTCCATTAAGAGAAATGAATTATTAAAAGGCGTTTCAATAAATCTACAAATATTTCTACAATTTTTTTGTTATAATGCACAATTGGGGAATATGAAATTGTAAGGAGCAAAACAAAATATGTAAAATAATCAGTAACTCCATTTAGTCTTATAAAGCTATAGTCACAGGAAATACATTTTCATAATAGATGTAAATTAATGATGATGTTCTCAGATTCCAATTGTTATTGTAAACAAAATATCATGTTTCACTTCATTAAACTAGAAAACTTACACGTCAGGAAGGGCCCAGCTTGCACATTTTTAATTTGCCGTTATCTATCTATTTATTAGAACTTATTGCTCATAGAAATGAACTAAGTGCAGTTAATCATCATTGATAGAAACAAATAATTAACACAGATGCAAACAAAGCATAAATATTCTTGTGGTTTCATTTTTTTTGTAGCAAATTTTGACACCAGAAAATAATTCAAGATTTTTTACGTAAATATCAAATTTCCTTAAAATCCGAGCACTATGAATTTTTCACATAATTCAGCAGCAATTCTAAAAAATAGTTGCTGACAGATTATTTTTGACACAGGGAATCAACTTGAAATAGCATATTATACCAATATATAAATTTTCACTGAAATCCAAGATCAAAAAGATATATTTGTTTTAATTCTATAATTAAAAAGTCAATATTTTGCATGACAACTGTGCAAAATTTCATCGTCCTCTTATCCACTTTTGAGGTTTTTTATTTTCAAACAATCATAGGCAGACAGACTAACAGACAGACAAAGTGAAATCTATAGAGCTTACACATCACTGATGCAGGCACTGATTAAATTTTCAAAATCTAGATCTTGTTCATCTTTTAATCTCATTAGTTGTCATTAACCCTCCAAACCTTCAAAGTGGCAGATTGAAAATATTCTGTAGAATATTTCTCTTTGATTCAATGATATTTTATTCTCATTTCTTATCTAAGAATATTTTTTATATTATGAACTTTGCAATTTTTGGAGACTGCAATTATACATTATATTTACTTTTAACAGGTATTTTGGTGATCTTGAATGTGGAGGGAAAACTGTACCATAAATCAAATTCAGACAAGGGAGTAATTCTAATATATACGTCAGGATTGGCTTTCTTCAACAGTCTATTAGATCCAATCATTTATGCCTTTCAAATATCATCAGTGAAAAGGAGATTCAAGTCAGTGTTTTGCTGCAAGAAACAGAATTCTGTCCAAGATCAAATTTGTACAGTTGGATACACAACAAATATGGTACTCATTAAAAGTGGTGTTCATGTCGAAACAATTAATACTTGATATTCCAAAGAATGTAAATCAGTCTTGTCTTTATAAAATTGATAAAAAATTGAAACTGTTTTTTTTTTGTACTGATGGCCATCTTGAATGTCATCCATTGTTAGGCAATATCATCAAGACACATGTCTACACAACACAGGTGTATTTAGAGTTTGATACAATGTATGGACACATGTTTACACAACACAAGTGTATTTAGAGTTTGATACAATGTATGGACACATGTCTACACAACACAGGTGTATTTAGAGTTTGATACAATGTATGGGCACATGTCTACACAACACAGGTGTATTAAGAGTTTGATACAATGTATGGACACATGTCTACACAACACAGGTGTATTTAGAGTTTGATACAATGTATGGACACATGTCTACACAACACAGGTGTATTTAGAGTTTGATACAATGTATGGACACATGTCTACACAACACAGGTGTATTTAGAGTTTGATACAATGTATGGACACATTGTTGAAGAGAATATGTTAACCTGTACATGTCTATTGTTGAAGAGAATATGTTGACCTGTACATGTCTATTGTTGAAGACAATATGTTGACCTGTACATGTCTATTGTTGAAGACAATATGTTGACCTGTAAATGTCTATTGTTGAAGACAATATGTTGACCTGTACATGTCTATTGTTGAAGACAATATGTTGACCTGTAAATGTCTTTTGATTATTTGTCCTTGAGGGGCTATTTAATTTGACCAACGTCCCACATGTCCTTAAATTTATCCACAAATATGACAAATACTAATTTAACAGGAACTTTGAAAGAATGCTTTCTACATCTAGTAAGAGTGGCTATCTTATAATCATTGGTTATCTGATAAAAGATTGATTGATTATTTTTGTTTTTATTGGTGCTTAACGCCACTTTCAGCCCTCTAAGTTTTTTTTGGGGTGGTCAGTTTTTATTGGTGGAGGAGGCAGGAGTGCCTGAAGAGAACCAGCAAACTTCAGAAGAAAAAAATGACTCCGACAAAAGAAGAACACCATGAAAATGAAGTCCATACTTGTGTTGTTCCAAAAGATGATATAGTATTTTACCCCTTTTTTCTATCTAAAGTAATAACTACCATGTTAGCTGGCTGACAGGGCAATCTGATAATTCCAATATATAAGACCCCACAAAGGAAGATTTAATATGAATAGCAGGTAATGTAAAGTAAAATATCAATGATACAGCAACTGAAAAACAAAACTAAGCCAAGACAGAAATCTTATCAAGCCATGTTTACACTACAAAGGTGAAGTAATTTCCTCATTAAAAAAAATTTATACATAAATTTCACTTAGATAAATCAATTGATTGATTATTGCTTAACCCCAATTCATCATGAATTTGATACATTCACAATAAGTTCTCCGATAGAAAATAAATTTAACAATATCCAACTTTTTTCGTCCCATTAATCTGATGAAATTAAGCCAAGGTTATAATGATCCTGATGAATTGTAAATATTGCATTGAGGATAATTATCAAAGGATAAAAGGCATTAATCAAACAACAGATATCTTCAGAAGTTATTGTTTGTAACTTGTACAGTGTTTTTAACTCGGGCAATAAACAGAACCATGATATTCAGCAAAAACAATGTTTATTATCAATAATATCTTGAGGAAAAAATAAACAGCAGCTAGTCCAATGAAATTCTTCAGGGAGATTATTTTCTTATATAAAATGCATTGGATCTCAAATAAAATATTTAATCGTCAATTTAAATTACTAGATGAGGCAAATGGAGAATGGTACCATATTAATTGACATATATATCTCAACATAAGGTTAACTAGATATTGATCTTTGTATGTATATAGCCTATGATACTAATAAAACACTTGAATAAAAGTGAAACATTCCAAATCATACAAGATTTAAAATCTTTTTCTGGATGAACGCCTAACAGAGCCACAAGTTTGGAAAAGACATGGGGATCAATAACATCAAAAGAAGCATAAAATCCATCATAGAGTTAATAATTGAGCCTTGAAACGCAGGTTAAACTATGGTCAAATTTTGCAGAATTCAAGTACTTTTCTGGATGACTGCACCAAATAAATTTGAAAAAACATATTGGGATTCATAACACTAATAAAATCCTAAAAACCTTACAAAGTTAATCAGAGAACCATGAAACTGAGGTCAAAGAAGAATGACTTCCTATCAAATATATTTGACCTATTGCATATACTACTTAGGATGAATCACTGAACCATAAAAATGAGGTCACAGTCAGGTATACCAGGTCAGACAGGCATGTTGTCTGCTCTTTGGTCGGGTTGTTGTCTCTTTGACATATTCCCCATTTCCATTCTCAATTTTATGAATACTTTACAACAAATGGACAAAAATATAAATAAACTTTCAAAAACTGAAAAAATTATTAAATATAGACAACTGAGTAGATTTTGTTTTTATTCCTGAAAATATCTTATTCAAACCTTCAACTGATATCATTTATCTAATATCCAAATGTTTAATTAATCCAACAAAACCCAAATGGGTTGCTAAGCATACCTCCACTCTTTATTCAGATAAATGTGGATAGTGTCCACATGTGTCCACAGATGATGCCCCCGCTTGCATAGCATATAGTTATAAAGGGGCATACCTGAAGAACAGTAAAAGTGACGCTTCCCAAATTTGAACTTGATCTGAGTTTTGTAGTAATAAGCATTGTGTGTAAGTCTCATAATATTTGGTTGAGGCTAACTTAAGTAGAGAACAGAAACTAAAAATTCAGCAATCTTTCTATTTGTAAACACGCATAACTCTAGAACGGTTGTGTATAAGTTTTATAACATTTGGTTGAGACAAACTAAAGTTAGAAAACGGAAACGAAAAATTCAGCAATTTTTATGATTATAATGGGACATAACTAAAGAATGGTAACAGTGTTCTCACCAAATTTCGTACTTAATCTGTATTATGTAGTAATAAGCATTGTGTATAAGTTTCATAACATTTGGTTGAGGCAAACTAAAGTTAGAAAACAGAAACAAAAAATTTGTACTTGATCTTAGTTTTGTGGTAATGAATATTGTGTATAGGTTTCATAATGTTTGGTTGGGGCAAACTTAAGTTACAGAATGGAAACTCAAAATTTTGCAATCTTTCGATTTATAAAGGGGCATAACTCAATAATGGTTAAAGTGACACGACCCAAATTCAACTTGATCTGTGTTTTATCAGTGGAAGTTAAAATTAAACATTGCATTGTATAAAGCATTGATTGTAGTTGATTCAACTATAATCATGGACAAAGGAAGATAACTCCAATTTTAAAAATTACTTGATATTTAGAAGAAAATAAAAATTTTGCAATTTTTCCATTTATAAAGGGGCATAACTCTAGAACGGTTAAAGTGATGCCACCAAAATTCAAACTTGATCTGTGTTTTGTGGCAATAAGCATTGTGTATAAGTTTCATAACATTTGGTTGAGGCAAACTCAAGTTATAGAACGGAAACCAATTTTGGGACATATGTACGTACGTACGTACGGACGGACAAGGGTAAAATTTAATGCCCCCAACGCTACGGCGGGGGCATAATTATCAGAAAATAGTAAGAAGGTGTCCCACAAATCCAAAAACCCTCACACTATGCAACTCATCATAGTCAAGCTGATAACCAAATATGAAGTAGCACTGAAGAAATGTGTGATGAAAATTTTTATGTTCATTCAACATACTGAAATAATTATCAATGAATCAGAAAACAAGGAGTAGGTGTCTGACAGATCTGAAAAGTGCACACACGCTACAACTAATCACTGTTAATCTGCAGACTAAATATGAAGTTGCTCTGTTTAGTAGTTCTTGACAAAAGTATAATGAAAATTTGTTGGACAAACAGACGGACAAGGTAATTGCAATATAGCCCCACTTTAAGAGCAAGGGTATTATAACAGAATGTAATCCATAAATACATAAAAGTTTTACAATTTATGAACTTACATTGTTAATGATTTAGACTAAGAGTTACCTCCCATCCCAACAAGTTTGTTACAATAAACTAATCATTTATGCCCTCAAATGCAAATATGTAATAAATCATAGTTACTACCGGGGTACATGTTAAAATAAGCAAAATAATCCATAAATACGTAAAAGTTTTATAATTCTGTCTCCAAAAGTTGATTTTAAATAGATTTCATTGTATTCTAAAAGACAAATCATTGAACTAAGTTTGATGAAGATTTGAAGCAAAAAGGCAGGGTTTACAGTGCCTATCGCCATAGATCACTATCAAGTGACCTTGAACCTTGACCTCAAATCTTGATATCAAATATTGTTTATCTTCTTCCATCTTAGCATTAAAAAGTACAAATGTATGTATATGGAATGAGAGAATTATTGAAGTCAATTTTATTAGAAATCAGATCACTAGATTTACTATGTCCATACCTTAATTGGGTATAATAGCATTAAAAAGATTAGGACACAGGTACAAAAATTATCACAGGGCTTTGGAATTCTTTTTGAAAACTTCATATTTCCCCAACTGACTTCAGAAACAGTATACCATTAGTGATGCTAGACATTCAAAGTGTTCTCCAAATATTTTTTAAAATTTTTATCAATGAACAACAACAAAAGACTAAAACGAGATATCTCAATGACTACAAGTCAACAATAAAATCTGACATTTCTAAATTAAACATCCTTAATTACCCTTTTTGTGTAAAATTACCAAACAGATAATATGATTGTCAATCAATGCTAAAGTCAACACAAAATATAACACTAAGGAGAACATATCCTGTTTAAACAGAGTACATGTTATTAATCGTGGAAAAATTAGCTATAAAGTATGCACAAACATTGCATGATAACTAATTAGAGAAGCAAATAATGATTAGGAATGAAAGGAGAAGTTTGGTATATGTCAATAAGACTGAAACCCCAGGACAAAAAAAACTAAAACACACCTAATAGTAATCATACAGTCTTACGCAATTGACCAAGTCTATACAATATGCCAAGTTCTAAATCACCCGAAAGGTAATATTCATCCCTGAACTTACATTGTTAATGATTTAGACTAAGAGTTACCTCCCATCCCAACAAGTTTGTTACAATAAACTAATCATTTATTCCCTCAAATGCAAATATGTAATAAATCATATTTACTACATGTTAAAATAAGCAAAATTGCACAACTTATATTTATCATTTGCCTGTTTGTGATATAGAAAGGGAAATGACTATTGCAAAAGGGAAGATAACTTGTACAAATGGCACAAATTATGAGGGTCAAGATTATTCTATAAAAGTTTTTAAGGAGTCTTATAATGACTCCAAACCTAAACATAAAACTGAAGAATACTTATCATATAATCATATCTAATAGCACACTATCTAAAACAAATGTTAGTACATGTATAATAGTAGATTCATTCCTCAGTTACACAGATCACAGAATAGACTACAAATTTCACATTGTTGGCAAAATAGTTTAGAATTCTAAATTATTCATCTGACTTCAATTTAATAATATTTATAAAAAATACAATATTTTGGCTTTATATTTTATATCTTATATCTTCTTTTGCAGCAAACAAATCAATTTAGTTATAGTAAAAAAAATAAGTGAACTGAAAGTCTTCTAATAAATCAGACATTAGTATTTGTGTTGATAAATTGAGTATAGAAAAATATAAATAACGCACTTAAAACCTCCAAATAAGTGTAGAAAGCTCACTAAACAATATCTTGTAGTAAAATTTCTAAAATTAATCAGTCTATAGGAGTTGAAGCACCTGAGAAAACACTAATAAGTAAAAAAAAAACAACAACATTGATTTTTTTCATGGTTTAGGTAGTCTCATATTTCAAACTTATTATATAAGCAAGCTTATCTAAGGTAAAGAAATTATTGACAATTTTTCAAGGTTAAGTTAGTGTCTTATTTCAAAATTTATATATATGCAAGCTAAATCTAGACGGATCTTAAAATAGATACTTCTTTTCAATAAAAGTAGAGAAATGTACATAAACATACATTTTCTTACATTCCTTTATAATTTGCTAAAAAATCATTGTACCATTTAAATTAACTTGCAGTAAAACTCCCAAAATATCAAGATTTTGTAAATCATTAAAGAAAAACTTAATTAAGTTAAGGTATACTTCCTTTAAATCATTTAGAGAGAAAACAAAATATTTCTGTTGTATTTTCTATGTTCTGGAAATTTCATATTTTCTGCATTTCTGCAAAGGACAAGGTTCACTTTGGCAACAAATAGCAATTTTTTCAACTTTGTCTTAAATTATCAAAAAAGATCACAATTTGGTTCTTCAATGGATTCAATTCAAAATCCCTAATGCCAAGTAAAACAAATCTCTTCATAAGATTAAATCATTAGACTCCAAAGTAAGCACATTTTTGAGATGTTGTCAAAATACAAATATTTTGATCATTTTTCAGACCTAAAGCTTTAAAGAACATTGACTGCAACCTACAATCCAAAATGCTCTGTGACCAAAAGGTGCCAATGTTTATATCTTATCCCTAAAAACAAACATCTGGATCATGGGTTGCCGCCAAAGTAAATTATGCTTAAAAGTGTTAAAATTATTGAAAAATTGGACTAAAAATGATGTTACAACACTAATATGCATAAATTTACATCCACTTCATTTGAACTCTAATGGATAGTTGTCTGATTAGCAATCATCTCCTTATTTTTATATGATTAAGGGATCCTAACTTCATAATTTGTGATGAGATGTGTGAATTTGTTTTGTATTTATAATAATATCACAAATATTTCTAAGCGAAATTTGTAGCATTTCTCCTGGTTAGAAAACATTAAAATCTGAAGGCCAATGTGTACCCATCTACCTACTTCTTTGGATCTCTATAATCAGATCCCTTTACAACTGGTACCAACACAGCACTTACTTTAAGCATTATACAAAGAGTTAACTCTTGATAGAAAAAAATGGGCCATAAGTATAATGGTTGTATCTTTTATAAAAATCTATTTATTTCCCTTTGGCAATAAGATTAATGGTAGATAAAGGGGCTATTTTCCAAAGGAACAAATCAGGTACAGACCTTCAGTAACATAGCCTCTCCAACTCTAATGGCACTCTCTAAAGTTCTCATATAATTAGGGTCGGATGCTGCTACTATCTTCAATCCTGCTCCTTCCATTTCCTTTATATAGCTGTGGGAATAAAATATTCAATGATAAGTTAAAATCTAGTATTATTTATACGAAATAGTGAATTAGGATATAACACAGACAAACAATCATTTTGAAGATACTTTATCCGAAAGCAGTGTGACTGTTTTCTCAAATTTGGTTTGTAACTGTATCATTGCAAAGATGTCATAGAAAATCAGTCACCGATAAATTATATATTTTTCCTACATCCTTCGATAAATATGGTAGAATTTCATATATAAATATTTGTTTAATTTGACAAACGTTAAATGTTATATACAAATAGAGGATTTATAAAATCTTTGGTGTTTAGAAATGTAAAATAAATTATATTTAAAGTAAAGTCTTTTTTTTTTCAAATAATAATCAATCATAGTTTTAATAAAACATTATTTCATTTACTGTAAAGAAAATTTCTAAATCTGTCTTTTTAACAATATAACAATAAAGGACTAAAAATAACACATACAGTAATCAAACTTAAAAAAAAAAAATTTTCCATCAAGAATTTTAGGTTTAAAATATCATCAAAGAAAAACAATCATGAGAACAGTAAAATCAATTATATAATGAAATAGAAATTATCCCATAAACATATTTTCATATCGGAATTTCTTTCTCAAAGGACATTACAAATTTTATCGTTTAAAACAAAGTGAAAATAAAAAATTCTAACATCATTCCAGTGGTCCCAGAAGACCTTGTAGGCAGTAATTCTCACAGATTTCTATGTGATATATTTCTTATTAGTTCCACTACCTTTTCCCAATACACAAGAGGAGATTAGGTATAAGATAATGATCAAATAAGTATTAAATTCAGAGAAAATATAATATGTGTAGCATAATCTATTATGTTTCTCTGTTAATTTTCTGTTCCAGGAATTAATCAATGATTTCATCTTTAATAAGTACTTTTATACAAATATAGTTTAAGGAGGGGTTTAAATAAAGGAATCAAAAGCAAGGAATATTTTTTTACAAACCTTTCATTTCAAGAATAAAATTTATTAATATTAAAGGAAATATAAAAACCCATGTCACAAAATTGGTATCTGGCTTTAATAGGGAGAAGCAGACACTAGGTATAAATATATAGATACTTTTTATCAAATCCAGCAACTGATATGATTTATCAATAATGTAAATTGAATAATTCTGTCTCAATATATACATTTTTCAGTATAACAAATAAACTTGAGCTAGGAACAAAATATTTGACTATTAGCCTTGGAAAAAAATCAACACCAATAACGGAAAAACTCACTTGAAAGCTTGTCCTTGTGGATCAATGAACAAAGGAAATTTCTGGGCTTTCTTAACTATTAAAGCATTCTCTGTAGAGTGGCTGTCATGTGGTAATCCCTCATTCTGCCACTTCAAAACCTGCAATATTTATACATTTGATTAGGTCCTATACCTATCTTTAACAATGTTATATATTCAACTTTTTTTTTTTAAATCTCCCCCCCCCCCCTTTTTCCCCCATTTTATTCCAGTTTTTCAAAAAGTTCTTTGTTACACTAAATACATGTAAAACAGATATATCAGAAAATGATCAACAACATGTCCTTAAAAAACCATAAAATAGGGTTATGAATGAAATAAATAACACATTTATGCAAAGAACAGAGCATTTGTGTAATGTAGAAATAAATAACACATTTATGCAAAGAACAGAGCATTTGTGTAATGTACATTTCTATGTGGTTTGGGCAATTGGCTTAGGTAATTGATCGTGAATATTGATAAGTTTGATGCGCATGCATTTCTTGTTGATCTTGAAGCACTTGACAAATTTGCTCACAAAGAATTATTCAATTAGGTTTATATCTTACCTGATGAGCGTCTACAGTACTTTTGACTAGATCAAACTTGTCAGTGATTGGAATCTGAGCAGATTTAGACATGTCTACCCATGACACCAACAGATCCTTTCTATATTTAGCTGTATATGGTCCAATGTAAGCTACAGAAGCAGCAGCAACTAATGTATCTCCTACCAGTCCTTGTAACTTTAGTTCTAATGTCTTCACAGACTCCTGCCATCTGACCTACACATAATACAGCAGAAGAGGTATTAGTTCATGTACACGAATTCTTTAAGACTAATTGATTGATTAATGGGTACTTTTAAAACATCACATTGCAAAATTATACACATATTTGGATGGACAACCTGCTTATTATATACAAATATACTTTGCTTTGAACAAGACAGACATGCTTAGTTGGATTTATAACTTGCCAGTTCACAAGTTATAAGTTAAAGGGATGGCATACCTAGATACATTATTTTGACTTGAAGCTGATGATATTTACTTGTGAATAGTGAATGTTAAGTAGGGAAGAGATATATACTTCAATATTTGAAGTACAACAATAGTCATACACAAACAGAATTTCCATTCAATTGCTTTGTGGGCCAAATTGATATTAATTGACCAACATCTAATGATTAAGTATGTAACACCAACATGTAAGTTTGGAAGAACTAAACATAATCATTCAATTTCCAGCCAATCTATCAAATAAATCTTTCCCTGAAAATGTATGCACATGTTTTTACATAAAGTTCATTTTTTGTGTTGCCAAAGTTACATTTTCATGCATCTAATGTTGATTTTGCACTGATATTCAAATTCTAGACTTGTAGATTTTAATAATAGTTTTCTCTATATGTTTTCTTTTATTAGTAAATACATTGCAAAGTCAGCTTTTCCTTCATTTGCATTGAGTCCTACTATGACACCAGGGAGTAAAAAATTACCTTTTCATTAGCCAAGGCATCAATCAGCACAGCAGCTCTCTGTAATCGTAGTCCAGTAGTTATTTTCTCTTGTTTTAATGATTCCCTCTGATTGACACTTTCTGTATATCTGTCTTGTAACATGTTCAAATGCTGCTGAATCTGAATTATAAAATGATTTAATGTTACAAATGAAGAAAGGACTAATATTGGAAACTGTAATATACTCTGTTTATGTTTTGCAATTTCTTAATTTTCTGACCAAAAAAATGACATGTCTTGAATTTTAAGCTGTTTTTAGGTGGGACAATGCTGAATGACCAAATGGACATCCTGTTATGTTATGTTTTTCTTAGTCTATGTGTCCATTAAGGAGTTGTCCATCCCTGGTGGTCTATGTTGAAGAAATTCAAAATTTGTAGAAAATTAAGGTCATTTAGAGCTTGACATATGGTATGGACAATTGTATATGACTACAGACCTTTTGTTGACCTTCAGATGTCATTTTTCATTGTTGGGTTGATGTCTTACTCAAATTAAAATAAAGCATACCTTCTGAAGACTAGCTTGTTTTTGTGCAAGACTACCTTCTGCAAGTTTAAGTGCTTCTTTTGCTTCTTCAACACGCTTTTGTTTAGGTTTTACCATCTGCAAAAAAACAAAGTTGTAAAGTAAACCTTACAACTTTCAATGAGAAAAATGCAACATAATTTAATTCACAGTTCAACAGAATATTTCATATGACTACTTTTTTTACTATGGGAATTTACACACCATAGCTTATTTTGTTTTCTTAATGTTTCCAAAGATTATTTCTATCAAGTTTCTGTTTCTTAAGAATACTTTTTTTAAGTGGATTTTTTTATTGAGCACTTTACATTTGTAAATCTTAAGAAAGCCCCAGGAAAGACAAACTTTTGTACAGTTACAGAATAATTTTCTTACGAAATGAATCAGAAATGCAAAATGTGAAGGTTCTTGCTTTACAATAATTGTGACATCTTCCAACTATTTGCATCAGCATTTAAAGTTTGTGTATATTACCTTGTTGACTTCATAATAATGTTCCAATGCCAGAACCCACAAACAGATAGATTCACAGGGTCCAGAGTTCTGTCCAACTGTCACTGGATTAAAGTCTTGATGTTTGGAGTATCTCTTCAGTTTATGAAAAACCTGTAAATATATGAAGTTCTCCATTGACAGTTTTTAAAGTACTTTGGATTCACTATTACTAACTTTTAAGAAATATGATAATGGATTAAAAAATTCGTAAGAGTTCCGTGGAACCCAGTGTCTCGCCTTCTTTTGCTGTTAGTCGCAGGCTCAACAAAAATGGGGAAATAATTATTAAAAATTTTCCTCTTGATACTATCTTTTGAATGTAAGAAGCTTCTGTTCAAGTTTGGTAAGAATCCAGGATGGTTTATGAATCTAACTAATGTTTTAAAAACTTTAACTACAGACTGTATGCAATGTTAACTGGAAGAAAAACTAAGTCCATTTATAAGTAATATACGGAAAAACAGGAAATTTTTTTTACAAAATTTCCTTCTAGATACTAGCTTTTGATCATAAACAAGCTTCTGTCCAAGTTTGGTACAAATCCAGGATAGATTAAGAAATTTATCAAAATTTGAAAAACTTTAACCACAGAGTGAATGTAATGTTAACTGGCAGAAAAACTAAGTCCATTTATGAGTAAAATACGGATAAACAGGATTTTTTTTTTTAGAAAATTTACTTCTGGATACTATCTTATGATCATAAACAAGCTTCTGTCAAAGTTTGGTAGAAATCCAGGATAGTTTAAGAAAGTTATTAAAATTTGAAAAACTTTAACAACAGAGTGAATATTTGTGGACGCCGCCGACGACGACGGAATGTAGGATCGCTATGTCTCGCTTTTGCGACAAAAGTCGCAGGCTTGACAAAAAAATAATAGGAAAAAATGTACAGTTTTAGGTTCATTAAGATTGTTTTCATATCCAAGTAAAAGTTTTTTGTACTAGTATGTCTGTTGTCTTGATGTTTCATTTTTCACAAAAAAGACAACAATTGGAATTGGATGGTAAAAAAATTTCCATAACAATGCACTTGCTTTATACCAAAAATTATTCCCTAGCAATGTGTTTTTAATTTTTCAACAGTTAATGACTTTAAATTGCAATATTATAAGTCTATTGATGCATTATTATTGTGATAGAGTAAATGCCTTTCATTTGAACATGCACAATAAATCAGCAGTGGTTTTATTGCTTCTCTTCAAGTTTAAAGGGTGTGCAGTACTTACCCTCCCTGGTAACTGATCTTTGTCAAGAGTCAGTAAATTTTTAAGAAAGTCTGGTTCTTTAACCATTTGTTTAGCATTAGCCCAATCATCTTTCTTCTGGAACAGCACACATACAGCTCTCAAAACACTCTTCACAAGTTCTGGGGGATTGGCATATGTCCTAGAAAAATTTACAAAATGCAACATACTCAAAATGTATAATCAGTAATTGTAAACACACTTAAAAAAAAATTATTACATCATACTTTCATCTTGGTGTTATCAATGCACTTTTCCTGTATAAATCAGTTTAAAATAAAGTTTAGCTATATTTTGTTAAGAACATAATTTGTGTTTCACTCTTCTGTATACAAGTTCGAAACAATATTTGTTTTACAAAATAAACCTTCTTTGTGTGTAAGGGGGACTGTCAGATACCATGAACCCTTAAATTTTTCTTTGCAGCTATTGGCAAGAGATATTCTGTGAAGTATTATTTCATGTGGGGTACCAATTTTTGCAGATTTTGTGGTTCCCTCATACTACAAAATTTAGTAGCCAACAAACCATGTACATTGATACCCAGGAAGACTAAGACATCATTGAGATGGGAGCCATCTCTGTGGGCCCCGTTGACCTAGGAAGTTGTACAAACATTATGACACACCCTCTGGTGTTGGTTAATATACATGTCAAGTATAAAGTATGAAATTATAACGGTTCTCTAGATATAGAGCGGACACAATCTGTTACAGACGGACGGACAGACTGATCACTATAGGGCGACCCGCCACTAGGCAGGGCCCTAATAAATACTTTCACACTATTTCTTCCAATGTATACAACCTACCTAACAACCCTGACATCAGATTTATCCAGTGATTTCAAAGCTTCTTCTGCTTTATCTAAAGCTGGTAATACCGTCGCTAAATCTCGCTCGCATTCCTGGATAAAAAAGTGAAAAATATGATAGAAAGCAGGAAAATAAAGTATATATAATATTGATGTAATGTGTTTGTTCTGTTATTGCTAATCATTTAATGTGAGAATAAACCACTCTATTCCCATGTGAATTTCATTATGTCATAAGATTTATTTTCTTTAAATTCTCAGAAATATCAAGACTTAGTGGCATAGTGTTATCTTAAAATCAAAAACAACTAAAAAAACAAATTATCATTAATTTATCTTTTATAAAATAAATGTATAATACCAATTCGATATCAATGCCAAAAAAATTGTTTCTGAAATAACCTACATCATGTATTTTAAGCAGCCTAAGGTCAACTACACCTGAAGAAGAATCAACCTAAGGTTACAATAAACAGATTAGGATCACGCTACGTCTTGAAGTAGACTAAATCGTACCTCAGCATATTCATGTACAATTTCTGTTTCTCGTTTCATGATCTCCTCCTCCTGTCTGACTATCTCCTGAACTTGTTCTACTGCATCCTGGTCTTTCTGTAGTTGTTCTAATAAAACCTCTGTATCCTGATCAAAAGTAAATCATAAAAGTTAGACATGAAATTTCGTGCAAAGTATATTCCCATATTTATTAGACAGTGACAAAAAATTCCTTTCTCGGTGGATATAACAAAAATTCAAAGTATTGTCAATCAGGAAGTGACTACCTGACAGACTGAAGGCGCTTACATGGTAAAACATTACATTGTTCCAATGAAAGATATGGACTGAGGAACAAACAGGAGGACAGACAAGGTATTTTCAATATACCAACCACTTTGTGAATGGTGGTTATAATATTACTCTGTGAGAGGATCAAATATGGTTAGAATACCAACATTTTTAAATAGTTCAACGGTCATGATTAATCATGTAAACAAGATAAAATTCTGCAATTTTGATTTTCAATTTTCACGACCTGTCTTTTTTATTTGAATAAATGGAGAATGTATCCATGGGCACAGATGATGCCCTGCTTGCATATAACGTTATAAAGGGGCATACAAAGTTTTTTTTTTTTTCAAAATAAGAAACAATGTCTATGAACTTTTAAACAAAAATTAGACAGACAAGTATAGTCTGAAGGTTTCATGCCGAATTGTGGGAAGAAAATCATTACCCTCTGTTTTTCTTCAATCTGAGGTCCAAGTGTTTTAAGTCTTTCTTGATAAGTTCCAACTAGATCATTAGCTTCTGATAGTTTTGACAGGCCATTCTCTAATCTCTCTCTGAAATTACATAGAAGGAATACACAATATTTTATTTTCGCATGTTGTCTTAACAGTACTTAAAAATACATGGAAATTATAATCCCCCCACTAAATGCTGTTGCAGACAAGACATATATGTTGTGTTTCCATTTTTTTGTCTATTTGGGAAACTGAAGTTATTTTAGATCTTCCAACATCACTGAATTTATTAACAACTGGTTTAGACTTTGGATGATTTGGAACTAAGCATTTGGCTATTGCTTGATCATTGATGACCTTATAGTGACCTCTAGATGTTTTTATTGTGTAATTACCTTGTTAAATTACCACCACATTGATTTTTTTATTAAAAAGATATTTCAATTTGTAGTCATAAAATTTTTGAACAACAAAACAATGATATTCACAAGGAGCTAACTTTATTTCTGTGGTAATTATCTTTATCTTTCAATAATTATCTATATCATGAGAATTATTTTTTTTATCCTTAATATCTATAATAATTATTTTTTTAATCCTTAAGATCTATAAGAATTATTTTTTTATCCTTGGTATCAATAAGAATTATTTTTTATCCTTAATATCAATAAGAATTATTTTTTTTTATTCACAACATTTTATGAATGACATACTTGTTATTAATGAAGGACTGTTTATTTTCTCTCAACATCTTAGAGTAAAGCCTGATGAACTCCATATAACTACTAGGAGTTGCGTAGTAATGTCGTCTCATCTCATCCCAGTATTTCAAAGCAGCTTTACCAATAGTGTTGTGGATATCTACACATACTCTTCCTACCCTTTCTTTTAAGATCTACAAAAAAAAATATTCACAATTAAAATCTTGAATTTCGAAAAAAAAAATCAATATAGTTTAATTCTACCATATAACAAATCAAACTTTGTCTAAGTTTTGAGTACAGTTTTGAGAAATTGAAGTCAGTATTTGGTAAGTAACTTATATTCTTGAATTACAACTTTAGATAGCCATCTTCTACAATATAATTATTATCCATCTCTGTTACATACTGCCTCATTATAATGTTGATATATTACAACCTAAACTAAACCCTTTATTTACACAATGGTTAGGTGTTGAAATCAATATTGCTTGATTGAAACTCAGTTGAGTCAGATGATTTTATGATAAATCAAACCCAGTCCTACCAAATCAGTTTTTGCTTTCACATCAAGAAAAATTTTAAATATATCTTGAAGAAACTAATATACAATTAATCCAATAATATGCAAGAAAGAACAGGATAACAAATAAATGTTTTCTGGTGTAAAATGTTGCTACTTGCCTTCAAGTCATAACTTTCATCAGCTATAAACTCTGCATTCTCAAAGAAAACCTCTGCCACACTCAACATAGCTTCCTCTTCCCATTCATCATACCAATCGATGGTACAACAATTAACAAAAGCTGGGTTCATTCGACATCTCTGGCGGAACTTTCCTCCAGCAGGGCTGAGCGTCAATACAATATGAAGGTTACGTGTGACACGGCTGGTAAAGAACTGATACACAGAATCTTTAGTGTCTGGTATGTCTGCCTGTGATGCTGCTTGTCTTAATTCCATTCTGATAGCATCTAGTTCTTCTGCATCAAACAGATCTGGTACCTCACCAGAATTCAGGATACAGTTGATATCCTCTAAGAATGATTCCTGCAAAAAAAAAAATATTTTTTTTACAAAGTTGCAGGTTTTATACATCCTTGACTTTCAAATTTTTGGCTTTGAGTGTTCCTGATGAAGGTAAATCAAGAAAAGCGCTTTAACACAAAAAAGTTATTAAGGGTTATATTCGTTAACACTTATTTGATCTTATTCAAGTACTGTTAATATAGAACTTGATATGTGCATTTATTGATGCAACTCAGAAACAAAGGATAATAATGCAGAGTTAGTTAATATGATCCTTGAACTTGTTATAGAAGAATGCAATGTTGATCTCAAAGCATGTTTGGTGCTGTTAAACCATTACACTAAATTTCTATTGTTATACAATGATTTATCCAGGGGAAATATTTAATTTTGTCAATAGACTTTTTTTATTTTAGCACCTGCCTGCATGAAAGTTATGTTTAGAATACACTCCCCTAATCATCATGTTTATATGAAATAAAGTTTTTAAGAAACATAAAATCCTGGGTCACATCAAATGTTCGGCATAAACTGAATTTTGTAGATATCCTTTTCTGTCAGGTATATATTACCACAATTCCCATTCTTGTTTCAAATCATTTCTGCTTACTTTAACGATATCAGCATCTGTTAATAGAAATACAATGGTAAGTCCTTTCACTCCACTAAGCTTAAAAACTTGCTTAAGATCATCTCTAAACTCAGTTATACCATATCCTCTGTGTAAAGAGAGTTTGAATAATTCAGATCCAGCAATATGACTAGCTAGCTGTACTACTGTCGACTTTCCTGTCCCATCCAGACCAACCTAAAATAGCAAACAGAATTTTCTACTGTCAAAGTCAAAATTTAATGATACCATTAAAAACATTAAACAAAATTTAAAAAAAAAAACAGATAAAAATCATGTTTAACAATATTTGATATTTACATTTCACGACATTTTATAATGTGTGATCTGTAAAACCTTCTGAATCATGACATGATGCAGTTTTTTTACAAGTTTGTATTTTTATAAGTGCAATTAAAATAATGGTAATGTTTTAAGAAAAGAGCAGAACAAATAAAATTCTGATAGCATATACCTGTTAATTTCAATATTATATGAATTAGCTATAATGCTTTAAATTGACATCAGCATAGAAAATGATAATAAAAATAGTTTCTAGTGTCGCTCATAATACTGTGACTTCATTCCTGAGATAATAATCATATAATTGCAGGTCTAATTCTGAAACTTACAAGTATCATGTGACCACCAGGTTGTCGGAACACTCTTGCAGCTCTTGTGACATGCTCTACTGCATCTTTGAAGAACACCATTTGACTTGCCTACAACAGCAAGAATAAACTAAAATAATTGTCCCTAAATTGCAGTATTTTTTTCTTTTTTAAATTAAAAAATATTTTTACATTTTTGTCTTGTTATCTCCCTTGCTGTGTTTTTCCAAAATGTCATGTGACATTAATTTCTTGCATGTATCTTATATTTATGATACTGGTGAATAACAATACCAATAAGTGACATAAAACTAGCAGTCAAAGGGTCAAAAAGAGCCATTTGTAGGATGGCATAAAATTCTAATAAAAGCTTGAAAATATCTGTTATGGTAGATCTGGTAAAATCAATGATAAATCGACTACAGATTTGACATATTTTTCACAGGACTGTCACACACACAAACACACTCACAAGACAAAACACACAAAGACAATCACAATGTGAGCACAAGATGGTAAACATTAATATTATAGAAACATCTATGAAAATTTATAAGGCAATAAATATAATGATACATGAATTGCCAAAATCAAAAAGTCACTTTTGTATTCCTGAGTTTTAAGAGTTCCATTACACTTAGGGGAGATAACTTTTAATGAGACAACAAATCATTTAAGCTGCAATGTTAGACAAGAGCGTAATATCAACACAGAGTAAAATCTTCAAAGCAGACAGGATCTGCTGTTTTGACTACTGGGTATCTAGTCACTCAATTTGATAAAATTATAAATTTTGTTTTGTCAAATTGTTGTTTCTCTCAAATGAAAATTTTGATTGTCAAATACATAATATTTTAGCATAAAATCATTTAAAATTTGTTTCCCCTATATTTACTTCTTTTTAGGCATTTACGTCCCCTTCAAAAATCATGGACCCCCTCCCTGATTCCTGTACTTTATTTTCAAGGATTTTGGTGATCAAACATTTCATGTGCATGCAACATGAATAATTTCATTTCCAAGTGATTCTGTTAAACATGTTACATATGTATTGATTTTAAAATATGTATGTGTTATGTTATTTGTGTATATTTTTAACACTGAAATTAAATTATTGACTTTAATATATATATATATGTGTGTTACATTATTTATTTATATTTTTAACACAAGTTAACTGTGAGTGTCAATTAATGTGACCGCAACAGAACTTACCAAAGACTGAAAAACAGACCATTTATAAATAAATTAATAATTACATATTTTTAACAATAATATCTTATAAATATGTCAAGTTGTATCTTATTTGTAACTTTATATGTTTATTTGAAATTCTATCAATTTCTATTCAAAAAGTATAGTTTAGAGTAAAATCTAGTATTTGATTTCCCATTTGCTAGTTGAAATACCTGCATACTCACCACACATATAAAAGTATAATTCCTTATGAATGATGAATCATTTTTTAATATCAGCATTTTTTTTTAAATAGTTTTCATATTCTAATTCAGTTATTCTAAATTTCTCACATCTAAGTAAATAAACATTTATCTGGAAAAAAATAAAAAAGATTGCACACAAATATCTTAAAAAATGAAAAATATAAACTAAGATAAAGCTATTCAACATTTCTGATTTCCATTTGACCTTAATAGCCAAAAGAACAATTAAAGCTTTTACTATCTGAGTCTATCTCTCCTCTTTTGAACTATTAAAAAACTGCAACAAAAATGTGGCTCTACATAAAAATCCTTGGTGCAGATAAAAACATGTCTTACCCTGATGTAAACACCAAACTGATGTTAGATAAAACACATGTATTAGTCAATGTAAATGGTAAACTCTGGTAATTTTGTTCATCAAGGCAGACTATTTACTTTGTTGACATAATGTCAATTGGACAGACTTATGGGATGATTGATTGATGTTTGCTTTACACCACATCATTGCAAAAGGCTTTATCATATACTTTTGTGATGAACAGAACTAAAGGCCAGCATCATACCCTTAAAGCTTTATACTTAAAAGTAAGGCAATCTATAAACCACCATTTAAGTTCTACCCCTACAGGTAGTTCTCTATTTCGGTCTGTTATTTAAGGAATGACTGTAATATTTTTTCTGTCTATGAAGAAATAACATCAAAAATGTGGTGCACACTGAATAACCCGTGTAGCGTGTTATTTTAAAGTGTGCACCACATTTTTTATGTGATTTCGAAAAGACAGAAGAAAAAATATTACAGTCATTTCTTATAATTCAATTCTAAATTCCATTTTAAACCGGAGTAAACCATGAAAAAACCTTGATGACGTCACGGTCACATGACAGAATTATGTCTATGAGCTGATAAACAAAACAACGTCAGCCAATCAGAAGACGCGTTACATCCAAAATTAAATTATTGATTAATATGTGAGAAACCAGAACCCTAAATTTTCTTCAAATTGTTTTTCCCCCACATAAGAATGGCAATGTCAAAATATCATGCTGGCAGTAGGTCAAGTGAAAGACAACAAAAGTCACACATTTTTATAAGACAACATTTTCTTGCATTCATATTCATATAAATGTGCACTTGTCACATGATAAATATGCACTTGTCACATGATAAATATGTACTTCGTCACATGATAAATGTGCACTTGTCCCATGATAAACATGCACTTGTCACATCATAAATATGTACTAGTCACATGATAAAAGTGCACAAAACAAATGCATGCTGCTTTTCAATGATTTTTTTAAAAATCTATTATCATCACATCACAATGAACACTATTAACTTTACCACACCAGCTAGACTAAGATAAACTATCTAAAACCATTGCTTCAGTCTCTGTAATCCTTAAGCAAGTATTAAATTCTACATATTAGAAAAGTTTAAGTTAAATTAGAAAAGCTCTACTGTTGTAAGTTTGTCAGTGAAATCACTGTTGACAAAGCAACCTTTAATTAACTTTTATCAATTGATCAAATATGAGACAGCAACCCAAGGACAGGTGAGAAGAAAACCAAGAGGTCATTTACACCTTGTCACAACCATACCAAAGTTTGTTAATAACTTTTCATCAACCTGATGCATCTCAATGGTTCAGAAAAATAACATGAAGTAAAGCCTAGTTTTTGTAGCTTTCTTTCATAAGAATTTTATGCTAATAACAAAGTTATTAAAAAATATTGACCTTTCAATATTGTTTTTTTTACTGTAAGAAAAAACAACAGACATTTCTCACGGTTAAACATCATATAATTACTGTAAATTCAGAAATTATTGCGTGCATTTATTATTACGATTTTTGTAAAACGAACAAAAATGCGAGATTAATTATTGCGATTTCAGGAAAAGCTGCATGCAGATGTATGTATGAGATATCAGAATGCAAGTTCTTATTATTGCGATGATCAACCACTCGCATTATTCGCATTAATAAAAACCTCGCAATAATTTCTGAATTTACAGTACTAAATGAAATTAACACTTTATAAATTTGGTCCATGTAAAGCCGTTTTCTGGATTAACTTTCATTAGGAACACTCAAACCAAAATAAAAAAAAACCTGGCCACCATTTCACAAAGCCTTCTTAACTTACGATCATCGTATCATTTTACGATCCGTTTACGTGTGGTTCTACGTTCACGTTACTTGTGTTTCACAAAGGCATCGTAAAGGACTACTAAGTTGATCGCAAGCTACGCACTGTGTATCATCGTAAGTGTATCGTAAAACGGAACTCTGTAAACAGGAGGTGTGAATCGTAGTTTATTTACATCAGAATATGGCACACTCTTCTTTTACAGATCGATGAGTCGAGCATGCCGATGAGAGCGGACGTGAAAATGTTTGCAGAGAGAATCCTTCAACATCATTGAAATTGTTTTGCCAAATTGGTTTCATGGATAAATATTGTTATCCTTACATCTTATATTTTATGTTTTGGATCTATTTTTTTGTTGAGGAAAGCTTCTGCAGATATTTTCAGGTTTGTTTGAGACATATAGTCAGATGGAATCCATTAGTAGTTTCCGTGTGGGAGACTATCAGACCAATTTATCTGATGTCTGAGGGTTTTAGCTGTTGTTCCCCTAATGGATCGGTAGTTTCTTTCCGAAATGCTTTATCGTAGGATTTTCGGCTTTCCTCTACCAGGAATACAGCTGGTCATTTAGTGGTATCAGTTTGGAATCCAAGTATGTCCTTTCCGGTTTCTCGTTCGTTGCCTTGGCATTTGTGCGGCATCTGGGGTGACCTGATCCTTTATTTTGTATATAATTGTTTTTATATTTATATTTTTGAGGACGAGCGAATCTGGTGAGTTGGTGTGTACGTATGTTTTTCATTTGTAGACGAAACACAAGCCTTGTATCTTTGATGGGTTACTTCCTTTGATGGGTTACTTCCTTTGATATTCAATAATACTTTTTTCTTTGTATCGGAAATTTGAAATAATAGGAGAGTGACGAGACGTGTTTATATCTGATCAAAGGATTAAACGAATTTTTTAACAATTATTTAATAATGTCTAAAGTTATTATAGTACTGCAACTTTAGAGGAGATATGATTGATTGATTGCTGTTTTCTGAACATACAGTGGCATATATTTCATGCAGATTTATGACCAAGAGAAGAATTTTCAAACAAGAAATAAGAAGTTGCATGCGTTGTCGTTGAAAAAGAATTAAATAAAAATGTCCAATAAAAATAAACAAAACCAGTGTATATAATGTGCGAATCCTGAAATACCATTTTCACTGTATCCGTTATGAATTTCTAATGTAGAATGATAAATGAACAGACGACAAATTCATGATTTTTGAATAGAATAAGAAATATGATATGATGTGTACTGTTTTTATAAATTCATGATATAGGTATGAGATGCGGACGAGTTTTCATCGCGCCTACAGCCATCCAGGTGTAAAATTGATACACAAATAGATAAATATTAAGAATAGTTCACGAACAGAGCGTGCAAGAGATTTAAAAGCAGCAGTTAAGTTTCATTTGCAGAAAAATGTACCTTTTAACATAATTATTAATGTTGTATAACTTAAAACAGGTTTTGTTATTCAGCTTGTTGATATTAAATTAAATTTCACTATGCTGTTTTCGATATGCGATTCATGTTTACTGTCGATTAATGATACTAGACTTTCATTTTTACTGTAGGGGCGATTCATTTCTATTGTACATGCGATGCATTTTCACGGAAGGAAATTAATTAATTTTCATCACATAACGTCTTAATTCAGCCGACTCTCTAACAAAATTTATGAAGTCAGAAGGATTGATTATATGTGACCCGCCACGACATTTCCAGGCTTATGGAGGTAGAACATCATTGTGAGAAAAACGCCGTTAACTATATGTGACTAGCCACTTCCAGGCTTATGAGGTAACATTGTCTAAAATTTGCTTTTTTTTATTCATCTAGAACATTCTGAAGCAAAAAAAAACTCATGTCATGTTATTATGACCTATTTTTTGTAATTACAATGAAACGAGTCATTTCGAATACCGACATGATAATGAGACTGTTCGATGAAGAATTTTTCATTATCGAAGACACTAATTAGTAATCTCCAACAGCGTATTTAAATAAAAATTTCAAACAAATTAAATTTACAACATTACAAACAGTTCTTAGCTCTATTTTAGAAAATGTAATTTTAACTTGTTAAAATGAAGTTAGTATAAAATTTGTCAAAGAAAGCTTTTAGAATTCCTTTTTTTTTTAATTTGTCTTTTAACTTAGATGTATGATGCATGTCTCTATACATAGTATTCGACGCGTAGCAGTTTATTAGTAGTTGTTCTCATATATGCATTTGATACGGTGCATTTATTATGGATATATTTTAGACTCCATTTATGAAAATCTATAGAGCAGAGAATTTTGATTTTTTGTATTAATCTAAAATGTAGATTCAAATATTTATATGTCGTTGATACAGACAAAAAGATCTATCATGTCAAAATCATGATACAATAGGAAATTTTCATATGCACGGTCTGAACACAAGAATTTACAGAATAAGCCTATTTCTTACTGAATAGAGAAAGATGGCCAAAAGAATTACAGAATACAGAAATGTAAACCCCCACCCCCTTTTTTCCCCTAATTCAGACCCCTCATATATCATTGTGACGGATAGTTTTGTTTGTTCTATTTAACTGTTTTTATTTTTCGAAAAGAATATTTGTACAAGGTGTTGTTAATAAATGTAACGGACAATATATACCATGCCCTCTAAGCCGATGTTGTAATTTCATTTTTAATGAAAGAAAGTATTTAAAAGCTTCTCTCCCTGTGCAATATGATTTATTAGACTCATTAGGCAGAGCAATTTTTATGACTACTTGCATAATTGTTTAATCGTATTAAATTCTGTATCAAATTTATATCAATAATGAAAGTTTCAGATCTTTAATATTGAAAACGGGTTAAAATTATTTACTTGCATTAATATTGATAAAAAAACATCCAGTTCGTTTTTTTTTTGTTTTTTTGTAGATCTAAGAAAAAAAGCAACTCTGTTAAACTAAAACAATTGACTGATTAAAATTGTGACATGGTGTCTTCTTATGTCGTCTGAATTACAATGTAAGATATTGATATGTAATTTATATATTCGCCATCCGTAATTATTATCTAAAATGTTTATTTGGCATGCCATACTCGATAGAAGTGCGGACGTGAAAGAAAGCACTCTTCACAAAAACGTGAACGGAGATTACAATTCGATGATTTCGTCATTTATAAAACATAATACGTGAATTTGAAGATAGAAGTTGTATTAAAATTGAATGTTGACACCGATATCGACCTGTTGGATGTAGAATTTATTTTCAAAATAGGTGTTTGTTTAGAATATACCATTCCACGGAGATTACATGCTTAACAAATCTCTGCAGTTTTCAACTTTGTTTAGTTTTCAAGACTGATATGATTTGGAATAAATGACCATTTAACAAAATTATTTATTGTAACCTTAAAAACAGAATTATTTATGGTAACCTTATAATCAAATTTAACTCATATCACACTCTATGTGTTGCTAAATATTTAGTCTTGCTTGGTCTTCTATCCGTTAACAGGAATTACAGGTTTACGAAGAAACATTATGACGGCCGGTACGATCACTATCGTTGTGCAATATGTACTAAACTCTATAAAAATATAGATAATAAAGAAATATAAAAATCTCAGATATAAGTATAACAAGCTACGGGTATATAACTTGAAGCCGTTAGTTTTGCTTTGTTACGATGGGACAAAACAGTGTCATAAAATAGGCGCTTTACCGGAGAACCAGTGAGTAGCGCAAAGCTAACAAAACCTGCGTTTCAGGAGTAAGTGCATGGGACCCATTTGTATCATGTTTTATATTATCTGGTTCTATTGCAAATATTATTTCATTGATACTGTGTCTATCTAGTCTGTATCTGGATATAATATCCATTTCATTTTCAAAATGATCAAATGAAGAAAGTGTGGTTCTAATATTGAAGATTCTTCTTCGTCTTCTAACATTTGCGGCATCTTGATCGAGAATAAAGCCATCTTAGATATGGTTTAATTCATATTCGCGGAAAAACTACGTTCGAGATACAACTGGGTATAGCTGTAGTAAGTTACGCCAGGATTTATGTACTATTTACGCTCATCTTAACTTACGACGGCTTTGTGAAACGGCTGTAAAACCTACGATTCATTTACGATGAACGTACAATGACACGTAGACTTATGAAGGCTTTGTGAAACGGTACCCAGGAAGGTATATGACCAAGAGGAACCTAAACAGTATAGCCAAAATCATCAAAGATCAACTTTGCCTGAAGGAGTTGGAATGTTGGATTCTGAATGATTTCTAAATTTATCAACAGGAAATTTCAGTCCAGCTCAAGAGTATTAAGTTGCTGTTTAGGACATTTAACACCCCCAAGATAGATAGAACAAAAAAATCATGAAATGTAAGTTTTAAATGATATCAGTGGAGATAGCATTAATAATTTGGCTTATGATAACCCCGGGACTAACATTTGACGAGCAGTGATATCCACCTAAGACAATAAAATGAAAATAACCCTTTATAAATTACAATTCAAAGTATAAATAAGAATAGACAATAATAAACAAATAAACCAAAATTTAAGGTATAACCAAAAAACATTGAGTCCATATTATCTGGTCTATTTTGGGAAACATCTCTTCAAACTCATTAGCATCATTGCAACAATTGCTGATAGACAGGTCCAGGCACTTTGATGGAATAGTTTGATAAATTAAAGGATGAAATGTGCATTTTTCTTTGGGGAACAAGGTGATTTTTTTTAAACTCTTTTAAGACACAGTGTGGTTGTACCGGAACTTTCTCTCTACAATTGTTAATGTCAGCCATGAAATGTTAATAAGGTAGACTTTCTGCACAAACCATTCTTGTTATTGTAGGGAGCAATATCACTTACTTCTTTAGCTAAAGTATTGTCCTGTGACTTCTAACCAAGCAAAATAGTAATATTAAGAAAAGTTAAAGTGTGGATTTTAAGGTGTAATGATGAATATAACACATTATAATGCAATGATCAAATTCCCCTTAAAAATGAATAAAAACCCCAGTGCTAAACCAGTCTGTATTGTTTCACAGTACAACCAAAAAATCCAATTTTGCTAAAATACATAAAAATTGTACAAAACCATGACCAATAAAAGTTTAGATTAAAATAGACTAGGCTTTATATACCATTTCTTCAGCAATATAGAAAAACTGAAATAAAATGTCATTAACATATAAAAGCAAAACAAGAAATACTTCTCAAGAGATGTGGATTTTCCATACCAACTTATTGAGAAGGAAATAAAACCTTTTTTTGTACAGCCAAATTAATCAATGAATAAATGGTTTGTTAAGGAGAAATTTAAAGTTTCCTTTGAATGAACTCCACATAGAACAATAGCTATTGTATTTATTAAATGGATAATCAACTTTGCAAAAATTTAAATGGCCAGGTAAACACCAACTGATTCTGGGGAAAGGTTTTATTTTCTTTGCAACAAAACAGAAAAAAGTTACCCCAAAGATAAAAAAAAAACGAAAATATATATTTTAAACGATTTCAATATATATGAAATTTGTAAGATTGACTGAGAGTGAAAATTAATTTAAACAAAAATACCAAATAGCAGGTTTCTGATTGAATCAGTCTAATAAACAAATTATAATTTATGAATAAAATTTATTCAATGCAAATGCTTAAATACAAAAGATGCCAAACATTTGTGTTTGTCTTTAGAAATGACTTGGTGAATAATTGCATAACTTAAAAAATTCTTCATCTGTGCACTAAATATTCTTCATGAGTACCTGAAGCCCTTTATCACTTATATTTATTTGCATATATCATGTATTTGATGAGAGCTGGTACTTTGCAAGAGATAAAACCATTCTATAATACCTTTGTGTTTCCAAAGCTCATCCTCATATAGTATTCCTCCAGAACTTGACGTAACTTCTTTCTATCGCTGATGGGTCTGTACACACGTGCAGAGGCCTTGTCACCGACATCAAAGAAATCTCCAAACAAAATCTGTTCTGACATCAGTTGTTCTGGTGTCCATTTAACCTGATTACATCAAAATATTGTTAAACTGTGGTCATTTGTATTTTATAAGATGAGATATTATTGAGTTCTGACAAAGTTAAAATATAAATTGACAATTCAAGGGAAATTAAAATAACAAATTAAGCTGCAGTATAATTGAAGCTATTTTATTTTTACTCTTGGATTTACGTTTTCATGAATTATGTGATAAAAATCTTTGTTCTGACTGAAAAAAAAATCAGGGTGCTTATTCAGTACTGTACTTTGCATTTGTAATGTGAGATCTCAAATTATCCCTATATAAGAACTGAAGTCATTTGGAATATGTTCTATCAGAGCAATGGCATCACAAGAAAAGTAGATAAAAAGGATGGAGAAGATACCAAGTCGTGAAGTCAAAAAAGCAAGATTTAAATTTTTCTATAAAATTCCTAGATTTTTGTATTAAGTTTTTTATCTATGATACCAGCACTTTTAAAAATCCCAAGTATGATTGTGTATCAGCTACGCTATGGTAACGATATAATACATGTACTTCCATTCTGCAGACTTGCATTAACTAATGAATCATTTATACCATCAACTATATGTCCATTGAATAAAATGCGTCAACCCATGAAGCTTATACAATAAGAAAATTTAAATTGAAACTAAAAAACTTAAATCACAATTGTAATAAATACATGCCAATAGAAATAAATACATGCTGAAACAATATAAGTTTGGAAGTCACAAACAAAGTATCATTCTCACCCTAACTTTATGTTCTGTATCATCCTTAAATTATGATCTTTATAGAGTTAATATTATTTGCTAATCCATCTTGCCACTACAGTGTGAATCATGAAGATTCGCATCATTTCTTCTTTAAATGTATATTATATTCAGAAAAACAAAGTAGAAAATTTCAGTTGGCTCCCAAATAACAGTTCATTAAATATAGAACTATCAACCTATATAATTATGTGTTTGAATTTATAAGAGGGTTAAAGATATTCTTTCTTGTTTAGATAGTACAACATGACTATACACACATCATCATACAAGCTCAGATGCTTTTTTGCTTTGTTTTTTTGTTTGTTTGTTTATTTTCTTCTTCTTTTGTGCCATTCAAATTTTCTGTCCAATTTATACAAATGTTGAAAAATCATTTAATGTAAACTACTCTTATATATTGAATTGTTAAATATGCTAAATGGAGAAGACTACATGTGTCTGTTTGACTTGTGTCTAATCCAATTTTTGTTTATGCCAATAAAATATGTTTAAACTAAATTTTCTTTTTAACCATTTTATTATTGTGGCATGTCTGCCTATATGAACAACATTTAGAAATATTTAAAACAATACTGAATATATCATGCTAATTTGATATGTTAAGCAAATTTAATAATATTAACATTATCAACATTCAGACTTAATCATGGAAGAGAACACTGGGAAAATTCAACAATCAAAGACTATTTCAATTAGATTAAATACTACTAACTAATTACCAGTACTGTTATAAAACAATAGGTTATCTAAAATAAAACCAGTCAACTATGAAATAAGGATCATGGTGATCTACAATAAAACCAGTCAACTATGAAATATGGATCATGAGGATCTACAATAAAACCAGTCAACTATGAAATATGGATCATGGTGATCTACAATAAAACCAGTCAACTATGAAATATGGATCATGGTGATCTACAATAAAACCAGCCAACTATGAAATATGGATCATGGTGATCTACAATAAAACCAGCCAACTATGAAATATGGATCATGGTGATCTACAATAAAACCAGCCAACTATGAAATATGGATCATGGTGATCTACAATAAAACCAGCCAACTATGAAATATGGATCATGGTGATCTATTTTGTGGTAAAAAGCTGATAGCCTCAAGTAGATTCATTTCCATACTGAAAAGGCCAATGTTTGCCTTCACATATTATTGTTGCATGCTGGGAGGAGAGGCAGCAACCAGTTTTTATACGACCGCAAAAAAATTTGAGGTCGTATATTGGTATGACGTTGGCGTCGTCGTCGTCCGAATACACAATGGTTTTCGCACTCTAACTTTAGTTTAAGTGAATGGATCTCTATGAAATTTTACCATAAGGTTCAATACCACAATAGGAAGGTGGGGATTGATTTTGGGGGTTATGGTACCAACAGTTAAGGAATTAGGGGCCAAAAAGGGGCCGAAAATAAGCATTTTTGTAACTTCCAGACATAACTTGTGTGTTAGCATATGGATCTCTTTGACATTGTACCACAAGATTCCATATCACAAAGGGTCAATGCTGGGATTGATTTTGGGGTTAATTGCCTCAAAATTTTAGGAATAAGGGGCCAAAAGGGGGCAAAAAACAAGCATTTTTCTAGTTTCATGACAATAACTTGTGTGTAAGTGTATGGATCTTTCTGAAATTTTACTACAAGGTTCCATTTCACAAAGGGAAAGCTGGAATTGAGTGTTGTGGTAATTGCCCAAAACGTTTAGTAATAAGGGGCCTAAAAAGGGGTTTAAAATAAGCATTTTTTAGTTTCTAGACAATAACTTGTGTTCAAGTGTATGGATCTCTCTAAAATTGTATTACAAGGTACCATACCACAAAGGCAAGGCTGTTATTGAGCTTGGTTTGGGGGGAAAGGGGGGTGGGGGTGATGAATCATAAGGGGGGCGGGGGTCAAAAAAGGGGTAATTTTTTGTTTTCCTTTTTTTTTTGTTTAAAATTTACATTTTAAGTTAGTTATTTTTTATCACGAAGAGAAAGTAGGAATTGAGTTTTGGGGTTAATTGCTCAAACATTTATGAATAAGGGGCCAAATATTGGTCGAAAATAAGGATTTTTTTAGTGTGCTCTAATGTTTAAGGAATAAGGGGAAAAAAGGTTAAAAAACAAGGGTTTCCATTTTAATAGACAAATAATTGAGTAAAGAACATTATTTAAAAGCAGTGTAAGGTTGGTAATTCAAACTCATTTAAATATCTCATCTACACTGCTTTTAAATTATGTAAATTGGAAATTTGCCAATAACTTTATTGTTAATAAATGCATTGGAAATTTGCCAACAATTTTAGTGTAATAAACTTCATTGGAAATTTGCCAATATAAAATTTTGCTGATGAAGGTTTTTTGTTTACCTTTAGCCTTGACTATGAAGTCATTTTCTATTTTTATAGCCTTATGATGTAGTTGAATTATTTAATACTTTTATGATGTGTTTAAATGGGGTTTTATCATGTTTATGGTTGCAAATTTATTGTTTTAGTATAATAAACTCCATTTAAAATTTGCCAATAAAAAAAAATTTTGTTTATTTTTAGCTATGATTATGATGTCATTTTCTATTTTACTTTTATGGTTGCAAAGAAATTTTTATTTTTAGATATTACTGTTAAATGATGCTGATTAAGGTTTTTGCTATGTTTAGCCATGACTATGATGTCATTTTCTATTTTAATATCTGTTATGATGTATTTAAATGGGCTTTTATGGTTACAAAGGAATTTTATTTTTAGATATTACTATAAAATGTTGCTGATGCTGATTAAGGATTTTGTTTATTTTTAGCCATGACTATGATGTCATTTTCTATTTTAATACCTTTATGATGTAATTTCCATTTTTAGATATTACTGTTAAATGATGCTGATTAAGGGTTTTTTGCTATGTTTAGCCATGACTATGATGTCATTTTCTATTTTAATATCTTTATGATGTATTTAAATGGGTTTTTATGGTTACAAAGGAATTTTATTTTTAGATATTACTTTAAATGTTGCTGATTAAGGATTTTTGTTTATTTTTAGCCATGACTATGATGTCACTTTCTATTTTAATACCTTTATGATGTATTTAAATGGGCTCCCATGTATTTAGATTTTTGATTATTTATACATGTTACCAAATTGGTCCACATTGAACAAAAACGGTCCAAATTTCAACTTTATTGCATTACATCAAACATTGAATTCTACATATTCTTTGATATATTGAAATTAACAAACAATTTAGTTTATGGAGATTCCACCATAATAGGTAAATTAAATATTTTCCAGTTCTTACACCACATTCATCCTGTGTCAGAAACCTATGCTGTGTCAAATATTTAATGACAATCCAAAGTCATAGCTGTATCAAGCTTGAATTTTGTGTCCATACTTGCCCCAACTGTTCAGGGTTCGACCTCTGCGGTCGTATCAAGCTGCGCCCCAGCGAAGCATTTTATTTGTTATGGATTTATGCCATTGTATACCAATACCACACTGCCTGTTGGTAGTTCATGAAGTATCAAACAATAAAATGTTACTAATTACATCAATATTCAGGCTGCCTCAGATGAGGTCCCATGTATTATTTAAGATAGAAATTCACAAAGTACCAGTACTGAACAGAGATATGGGTCACAGTCTTATCCAGATGATTCTATATATTTTAATCTTCTGATATTTGCAAGATTAAACAGATTCATGGGCTTGTAATAATCCTTGTATAACCTATGACAGTTGGATTAAATGTAATTTCTGTCACTTGTGGTAAAAGGAATGTTTCTTCAAAATGTATACCAATATCAATGTACACATAAGAGACGTGTGCTATTCATTAATGAGACAGCTACCCAGAGCCAAAGTAAAGAGGAATAGCAAATTTAGAGAGGCAAGCTAAATTGTATGGAAGGATCAAAATTGCCAAGTCTAAATAAGTTGTGCTAGTAAATGGGTATAGCAAATTCATACAGGGAAGCTAAATGTAATATTGACCAAAGTTTGTGATGTTTGAAAAGGAATAGCATGGCGAGCTTTTTGATGGAAGGATGACAAACATTCCTAGATGAACAATCATACCAATAAAATTACTGAAATCATTCAAATTTATCAGAAAACACCTCTAACCCCTTCAAACGTGTATTTTTTATCAGCTCTTTCCAAGTCCAGCAACTATCAGAAAAAATTTCATGAAGCAAAATAACCAAAACCAGTTAAATAACTGATTGAATCCACCTATGCAATTTACAAGAATGCAGATAATTATTAAAGACTTGATAAACCTTTAACTGTTTCTAAAGAAAATGAACATGCCAAATTCAACCAAGGCCAATGAAATCTGACTCCAAATGAGCTTCATTTTGTTGCAAATATCAGATTCACTTAGATGCATTTTGTTATCCAATAATATCATCTTAGACCACTAAGTAAGTATTTGGGAATTGCTTGCAAGGTATGTTCATGCATATGGTCAAAACAGTTACTCCTATAGTATTTCCTCTAAACAACAATTACTTCTATTATATTCCCTCTATATTCTAGGCATGAACATAAAGGTATACTAATTAGCAATGGATTATAACTACATTCCCTATCTATCCCTTTTTTACTTTTATCATACCTTTGCTCTCTGACCTTCACCTTTCTGCAGGAAAACAAAAAAAGTTCTACTGATATTTTTATTCATTTATACCATAAATTGTATACTTAAAATTTACAAGACGAGTGCCTATCATCTGTGTCACATGGTTCTATGACAACCAGCTGGGTTGTCCTATTAGTATATGAAGAATATTTTTTGTCGAAATCATTAGATTTGTTGTCTTTTCATCTTGGTAGTCAAAATAACTCAAAATTTTGGGGTTTGACCACAAAAACAAGAAGACTGCAGAATGTTTAAATGGACTGATACTATTTGTAATAAAAAAACATCTGTTTCTGCATTTTTTTCATATCTGATAAATGTAACCATTTTACTGCTTTTTGTACCTTGAAATAATCATGAAGGTTGTCAGACAAGAACTGGTAGAACATAACTCTATCTTCTGGACAAATCAGTCTATCGTGGAAAACTCTGGTCACTTCATGAGCAAATAATCCTGCAATATTGTCTTTACTGACTATAACAGATTCATGGGCTTGTAATAATCCTTGTATAACCTATGACAAAAAATAAAGTTAAAGAAATAATTGGAAATCATTATCAATTAGAGGACTAATTGCAATAGAGAGATTAATTTTATACTGACATATTATAATGAAAATGTATGACCTTTAAATGTGAATAATTCATTTGCTGGTGAAATAAGAAGTATCATTCTGTGCCTTACCTTAGACAAATCTCTCAAATTAAATGTATAATGTGACTTGGCTGGTGTGGGTAGCATGTTATTTCCCATCCTGTAGTATACAGCTATGCTGGCTGACACCAAGGGAAGTAACTGTTCCTTAACTTCTGAGGCAAATTCTCCTTCCTGGAAGAATCTTCCCAACTGGACTTGATAAATATGTTGTAGAGATCTGGTAGACGGTAACGGCATGGCAAATATACTACAATAGAAAATATTGTGAAGGTTATCTTGATATACAACATTTTCACACTTACAATTATCTAAGAAATGTGTAGGAAAAATAATTGGTAAACATGTTACAACATTCATATAATTGTGAATTTTTAGAAAGTTTGAACTATGGTAACTAAATAAAAGCAGCCAAAACGGAAAATTATATAAATAATTTCACATAAGCTAAGATTACATCTATAATATATTTTTTTATAGATGGTAGTTACGAATACTCAGAGGAACATAATTTCCGTTTCAGAATGCATTCTGGGTTATATTTTCAAAAGTGTACACCAGAACATTGTGATTGGCTAACAACGTCACAAACAATGACATGACGCTATTTTCATTTTTGTACAAACATTGAAATTAACCATTGGATAAACAGACAAATATTTTAAAATGCCACACCATTATATACTCTGTCCAGGGGAAGTAATTCTAATAAGGACAGTTATTTACCAGAAGTTCTTCAGAAGCCTTGGACTGATGGGATTTCTACCCCCACCTGGAGGGCCACAAGCAGCAACAACTGTTACATCAAATATTGTCTGCAATGGTAAAAAAACATAAATCAATCAAGTATAATGTCATAATAAACTAAAATCAATACATAGACCACATATACTCAAATAACTGATTCATACTGTTTGCTTAACATCCAGTGGCAAATATTTCAAGCATATTAAGGTCAATCTAAACAAATGAAAACTCAAATGTGTTCTTCATCTAAATAGCTTGTTCTTTACAATTTCATCAATATAAAGCTCCTTGAGAAGAGACACCCTTTTTTAGTAGAAGGAGTTTTCTTTCATCAATCCTAAAATCTTGAAAATATTTCACATTTTGGGTGAGTTGTCCGATTTTCAATAGTTCAGTTCTGTAACTATGATGCAACAAAAGTAGAAATCATCAAAATCAAAAGGATCTTGATCTTTTGTCAATCCTAAGATAAAGTCAAATTTTTACTTTGCCACTTTTACTATTACTCTTTTTGTTGGAACAAACTTGATTTTTTCTTTTTCCAATAACAGGGCTCCAAAACTGTGGAATATCAAAAGTGTGAACAATCTCAAAAACAAAAGAGAGAGCTTAGTTTAACCAATTATAAGATACTGTTAAAATCTTATGATTCAGTCAAAGCAAACATGCTTTTATTGATGGACTAATCAAAATGACTGCCACATTTTTAGTTCACTATACAAACTTGTCTTGAAAACAAAAATAATATGATTTACAACATAAAACAGAGCATACCTTCCATGAGAGGCTCTTTGTGTCATAGAATCCACCCGATTCCAAGAATTGTCTCAGAAGTTCTAGTGGAGGTTGAGCTCCATATTCCTCTGGCGCAGGCATATTGAGATCATCAACAAACACAAACTTTTTCCTTCCTCTGGGAGCTCCAAGTGTGTCCTTGCCCTTTTTCATCAGCTTCAGCATAATATTGTCCTGTAACCTGGCTGATGTTGTCTGAGCACTGCATTGTATCATAGAATACAGGATACCAGTTGACGCTTTGGGTTTAGAGGATCCCATGAGGACATCTAAATCTTTACCTTCCTCTTCTTCTCCAAACTTAGTGAGGCTAGCAATGTTATCCAGTAAAGAGGAATGTTTAGAGGAGTAATTGAGGACACTGCCAAGGATTGTATTACTTTTAGTTGTTGTACCTCCATCTTGTGACAATTTTCCTAACATGTAGTTAATCAAGGCTGATTTACCAACTCCAGAATCACCTACAAATATGAAAATTGTATATAATGAGTAAGAGTTTTTGTTACATTTTTGTATTCAATGTTTTTGGTTCTGCGTTTTTTATTCAAATTTTAATTTTACTATACATCAGGAAAACATTCTTCATTTTTTCTCATTTTTTGCCAAAAAAATAAACAATATATCTTTTACAGCCTATTTTACTTCTGCATACAAACCTATAGAAATTGTTTACTCCGCTGAATATTTAAATTCATGCTTCACTTGTACCCTTGAAATCCATATGAAATGATATTCCACGAATAATAATGAATCCACAACAACTTAAAATTAAAAGAACCCATTTTACCTGTCAATAACACAGCACGTCTATTAAGGAGCAGTAATCCTGACAGGAAGGAGAACCTGACGATGTCTACTGTTGGTGTAATCTCCTGTTCTTCTCTCTTCTTCTTTTGACCAGAGGATACACCCATTGTCTCCCCTATAGTAATTATAGCTCCTCTCTCTATCAACCATCGAGTGGTAGGGACCAGGGTATCCCAAGGCACAAAGTTACCAGATTCCATGTCAATAAAGTAACCATAGATACTTCTGTTTCCTGTTGGTAGTCTTACACCTAAAAATAAAAAGATAATTTGTTTTAATATTATAGCCATAGTATGTTATTTTTTGTTTTCGATCAAATTTCAAAGAAACATTTGGAAATCTGTATACATTTACATTCAAAGGTCATTTCCCTGATTAAAAATGAAACAGATTTGTTTTGTTGAATTTTCATTTAAATTCTTGCTTGTTGACTTGAATTTAAGATCTCAATAAGGTTTATCAGTTCCCTATATTCTATTATACACAAACAATAAATAGAATGTAAAAAAGAATTAAAATACCTAGTGGAGGTTCCACTTCAAACAGTTCTCTCATGAAGTTATCAAACTCATTACAGATGTTAATATCCTTCTCTACTTTATCTTGTCCGCGTCTGTTGACATTATCGTCTTCGTCAACGTCCTCCTGTCTGTGGAAGTTTCCTCCAATACTCCATGTGTAGGCAAAGACAAAAAGTTTCCCTAGTACGTTTAAAAACTGACTTGGATTCTTCATTAGATACAATATTCTGTCTGAATCTGGGTCTGGCCTGAAAGGGGGAAACAACTTTTTATTTTACACATCTATTTACATTGCAATCTACTCTTAAAACAGTAAAAGTGATCATGTTATATTTGTTGTATTTTAGTGTGGCAATGCTATCCCAAAATATCAATTTAGACTTTAAGAAAACACTTATATCTGGATGTCAGTAGACATTCTTTCAGTACATGCCTCTTCTAATTTTTTTAACACTTATTCAAATATGCTTTTATAAAAGTGATCTGCAAAGGAATATTTTAAGGTATAGAGATTTATTCTTCAATATAAACTAGAAATTTTTCATAAGGAAATAATAAATTGGAGCTATCCTACATTTATCGATTTTTCAAAATACAAGCAGATTCCACTCTTCTTATAAATCAACAATCATCTGAGACAAAATAAACATTAAACAAGAATGTGTACATAGTACATGGATGCCCCACTCGCACTATCATTTTCTATGTTCAGTGGACCGTGAAATTGGGGTCAAAACTCTAATTTGGAATTAAAATTAGAAAGTTCATATCATAGGGAACATGTGTACTAAGTTGCAAGTTGATTGGACTTCAACTTCATCAAAAACTACCTTGACCAAAAACTTTAATTGATAGCAGGACAGACAGACGGACCGGAAAACATAATGCCCCTCTACTATCGTAGGTGGGTCATAACAATTAACTATTATTTTTGTTCCAGTATTTTTAATTTTTCCTGAAATACAGTGAACAAGACATACTGCATGAATATCTGTGTGGCTTTAAAAAAGGTCAACTTCACTGCATCATACCTGTCCAGTTCTAAAAGAGACTATGCAGGATATGACCTCTGTTAACAGTGTAATATCTTATCATAAAATGTACACAGATGATTAAAAAATATGGGTTAGGTGTGATACTCAAAATTTAGGTCAGTGGACAAGAATGACCTGTGAACGTGTGCTAAAATTTATCATTTCACCATAAGTGCTCCAATATTGTTAACAATATTTTTCAACGATAAAAATAAAAATGTGATTTTGAGTGTATACATTATTACAGTGATTATGACACGTCACACAACTTACTCTGAACTGTACCCCGAAGAATAAACACTAAAATATAAACTACAACTGTATACTACAAGCATTACCTAATGCATCTACAATATCTAATAATGAGCAGGTGTGCATGAGTAATAAAAATTAAGTTAAAGATGAAATATGGTGATGTTGAAAATATGGGGAGGTGAATAATGTGTGATTGATTGGTTGTTGGTTTTATAAGGCCACTTTCAGCACACTCTTGGCTTTTTCATGGCATCCAGTTTTATTGTTAGAGGAAGCAGAGAGAACCATGACCTTTGGCAAGAAAACTGGCAATTATTGTCAGTTAAAATCGAAGTAAACGAATCTTGCCACAAGTGAGGTTTGGGACTCACAACCTCAGTTTTGAAAGGCTAGTAATATGGCAATGACTATTTAACAATAAAGACAAAAGATTTTCTGTTTTTTTTTTTACTAAAAAGAAATCAGATTAGTTTTGTAAAATTTTTACTGAACAGCTTAATGAGCCTATCCCTAGCAACTTTCAATTTATATATTCCATGAATAAGTTCCATAATTTTGGAACAAAAAATTCAAAAGGGAATGTTCATTTGTCAATCACAAACATTGAATAAGAGTTAATTAAAACTGTTGAGTGTGTTTGTCTACAATTTTATTTTCAGTCCTGTATATTTTTTTAACTTTTGAGATAGAAATACATGCCTTTTGAAGATATTATCTTGTAAAAGAAGAACTACAAACTTATACTACACTGAGCTATTCTCCCTTTAGACAAATCAAATTACCTTCCAGTCTTTGAAGTGGTTTGACTGCTTTCCTTTGTTATACTAGGAACACTAGGTGGTTTTTGGGTTCGTTTCCTTGAACCTCTCAGCTTAGATCTAGAGGAACTTCTACTTGAACCTCTACTTTCAGTTCTAAGGTCACTTTCTACCTTTTCTTCCTCCCTGTCTGTAAAATGATCAATATACTATATAATAAATTGCAATAATTAAACTCTGATTCTAAGGAATATCAGTTAATCAACTGTAAAGACTTATATTAGCATCCTAATGATGAAATATTCAAATGTTATACAATCTCAAACAAGATATTACATATAGTAATGTCAAAGGTATTTAAAAAAAAAAGCTGGAAATGTGATCCAATTCATATTTATAAGACAGAAATGAGTTTTTGTCTCAATAAAAATTCTCTCTGTAATGCTAGTATTGATGTCATGATATTCTTACAGCACAAACCATGCATGTGTTAACCATTTTTTCTTCCAACAAGTCAGTTGAATTTAGCTTTTATCATAAGATTTTTAAAGTAGTGGTATGTACTGAAATCAGAATTACTCAGTAAAGGCATAGCTAGATGCTTATAATAAGATTTTCTCATGATACACCTGGGCAAATTGTTTTCAATGCCTGACTTTTAAAAAAAATAATTCTTAGGAAAGTAGATAGAATTTTACAACTGGCAAAGAAATTGTTCACACTTGCATGGTTTACACTGTAAGCACAGACGAACAAATTATTTTAACAACCTGGGACTAATACATCTATTTTTTCCCATCAACAACACAGGAAAAATTCACATAACTTACAAAAATCAAACCAAAATATATCTAATAAAAACCTATGTTTTGATATATATCTAATATTATATAAGTAAAATGAAAAGATTATATCATTAAAAGATGTATATGTATAAAGCTTCATGCACAGGATTTTTAAATAATAAAACCAATGACATGCTCAACCTATAGTAAGATATGAAAATTATATTATATAGTATGAATGAATGAAATCTGATTGTTTGTCAAGTTTGTATATCTGCCATGTAAACTGGAGGCAATACAAAGGTGTGCTGAATATGGGTTACACTGTAGGGATAAGGACAGGAGGTTATAATGATGTAAACGATGTAAATTATGATGAAACTTTTATCTTTTTTTTTACTGTGAACCATTTTGTTTTCTATCTTGATGAATTTGTAAGCATAACTAAAGCCATAAGCAACAGGTGCATAGCATGGTTTATAAAAGGGTTATTTTCTGGGTTTTTTTTTAAAAGATTTTAATACAATAAATATGATGGTGTCATGTATAAGCAAATTAACATGCATAACATTCTATAATAAACTGCTAAAGCCTTAATATGTAATGTGAAGGCTATACTCAACAATGCCATCAACTTACCATCAGCTGCTGTTTATAGAGCAATGATAAAATTTTAAACATTACAGTGTTAAGTTTTGTACCTATTTCTGTTTAAACTTTAAACAAAATCATACAGGTTTTAATTACAATCAATTCAAAATTAAAACTTATTTTTATCTAGGTAGTCAACTTTATTTAAATGATGTCAAGAGCTGTCCTTGGAACCAAAATACTGATTTGTTCTGCCACAGGTTTTAAATCATGAATTTCAATAATCATTTGAACAAATATTCTCACAAAAAAGAGTACTAATACAGAATTTATTTTCTGCATGACTTTCAAAAATACTCCACATTAACTAAATCTAATGAACTCTTTTTGTTCTACGATCAAGGCATTTTTATCTTAAACTACATATTTTTATACTATCAAACTTGCACATAAAAAAATTTACCTAAACAATCATTCTCTAGATATTCATGACTGTTTTGATATTCATTCAAACGTTTACACACAATAACTTTCAGAAAGATAGTTCAAAAACAGAAGTTTTGAAAAACAGATTACAAAAAGACATATGTTTATTTGGTTGGCGTCAAGAACAGGTCATGCAAAAATGTTGGTTTTAGATTTTTATATAAACATACATGTGTTAATTTGTAAAAACCCAAACAATAACTTTTAATTATTGAATGGAGTATATAAAACGAACAATTTTGCTTTGGCCAATCAAATAACAGTGTCACACAGTTCTACATTAAACACTATACCTAATTTTCCAAATCTGACACGAAAACGCTTTGGTATGACTAGCAAAATAAACCTCTAATTTTAATTCAGGACAAAATATTTGTAATAACATTTGTTCACTAGTGAAGATCAAATAAGAAAATATTTGTCAGGGTTCCTTTAAGAATATACAGAAGAGAAACATATAGGTACTGGAAATAGATAGATATAAAATTCACACTTTTGGTATTGCCAATAAAACCCATAGTGTTATATATTACCATTCAAGTAAAATTATCCTTGAAAATACTATTCCATGTAGAAAAGTGATAATAAACCCTGATTCATTATGCAGTGAATTTCTTATAAAAATATTTGAAACTACTACAATACGACAAAATCTTATTACCTTTTGCCGGTTTGGGATCTGGTGAAAAAAACATAGTAATCTTGTAATCAAAATTATCTGTAAATATTTCTTATGTTCTTTTTGTTGTTAACTTATTTAGACAAATGACAAACCTAGTTTTGTAAAAATTGAAATAAATAAATAAAAATATAAAGACTTTAATTTATTACATGTACATTTGAAAATCTCTTATTATCGTTCAAAATGTTTTGGATAGTGAAAGCATGATATCCAATGATCGGATTTCATTCTATCTTTCTATCTTTCATTTTGCAGCATATTTTGCTTAATTTTATTTATTGTACACTAATATCAACTTTAATTTGGTAAAAAAAAATCAGCCAGTTACAACAATACCTGAAAGGATAAGATTTTTTGTTAACGGACAGCAACAAACAAATATGTTATATGAACATTACTACAACTGTAACAAACAAGTGAAACTGTGAGCTACTGCCCACTGATGATACCCCCGCCGCCCAATGTAAGTGTTCGGTAAACAGGAAGTTGTTGAGTGATGAATCTGAAAACGCATCACACGGTATAGCTGACTTATATAAACCCTGAAACCAAATTTCAGAAATCCTTGTAATGTAGTTCCTGAGAAAAATGTGACGAAAATTTTCAACTTGGATGTCATGTGTAAAATGATGTAAGTGTTCAGTAAACAAGAAGTTGTTGAGTGATGAATCTGAAAACGCATCACACAGTATAGCTGACTTATATAAACCCTGAAACCAAATTTCAGAAATCCTTGTAATGTAGTTCCTGAGAAAGATGCGACAAAAAATATTCATGGGACGGACAGACGGACAGACGGACTGACGGACAGACAGAGGTAAAACAGTATACCCCACTTTTTTAAAGCAGGTGTATAATAACCATTTCTTACAGACAGTTGAAGCATAAACATAAAAGCCTAATTATTGACTGCAATATATCACTTTACATATTTTATACCTGGATTTCCAAATCCTCCATGTTGTAACATAAAATCAAAGTAAGCAGTCAGGATGTTACACAGTGTCATTATGGTGGATAATGTCGGAGCTTCAATAGGTTGAAATCGTATATGCTTCTGTTTAAACTTCAGACCTTTCTCTATGGTGTAATCAAACAATGCCATTAGATGTTTCTTTGCACTCTCAGGGATGTCTTTAGGTAACTTTTGAAGCCATGTTTTCACATAAGGCTGCCATCCAAGATCTACTGGATCCTAAAAATATGGAAAAATTTAAAGTTAAAGGTTTAAATTATTAGAAAAGAAATACTCATTCTTTTCATTTAAATTTTACTTTAATATTGTACTAGGAAATATGAATGTAGTGGAACATACTGTTCTAAACATCAAAACTATTAACCAATCTGATTACCTCAACCTACCAACTTGGTTCAAGCATAAAAAGTAGGTCATAGTTACCAACTGATCTGAAAAAGAGTTGTTCTATAAAAGGAGACTGTAGGAGAATAACATCGCTGGTTTAACACCATGTGTTTACAAGTTATAATCCATATAGGGAAAGTAACTGAAACTACTCAAGTCACAGTGTCCTAAATTTTGCTGACAAATAATGTAAAGTATATGAATTTTAGTGTTAAAAAACATGGGTTTCTGACATGGATTTGAAAACAAAATTTGAACCTTAGTTGCTCAAGTGTGAAATGTAGGTCAAGCTGACCAAACTGCTACAGAAATTGACTGTACTGTATAAAGGGAATAAATAAGAAAAATCTTACCATATACACCATTGCACATCTACTGATAGTAGCAGGACTGGCTTGTGATAGATTGTCAACTTCAAATATCAGTCTCATTCCAGAAGCCAGATGAATTCTCTGACCATTGGCCAGACAGAGAACTTTAGAATCGTCCAGTACTGTGTTAAGATTCTCCACCCATAGAGTATCAACAGGGCCGTCTAACACTAACCATTTCCATTCTATATGTAGATTCTGTTCCTTCTTCTCTTCCTCCATATCACTCTCTGTTTCAGCTTCTTTTGGCTGTAAGAATATGTTGCATAATAAATGATACAAGGCAGAACATTTTCCATGCTGTATGAAGTCTTAACCTTTATTAGCCAATAACAAAAGCTTTAATAAGCTGAAAAAAAGCTTGTGATACTAGACATACATGTGATGGACTGTGAAACTCAGATCAGGAGATTTGGAAATTTTGGTCAGGAGATTAGGACTCAGATCAGGAGGTTTTTTATCGACAAAAATTTTGTCGTAAATGTAACCGTATGATGTAGAAATTGTCTTTTATTGATGTTTAAAGTGTTTTTTTCTTCAACCTTCCATCCGAATGTAATGTGTTTATAGTACCTTTGTAGCCTTTCTATTTGAATGATATCACATTGCAGAAGGAAATATTGAGAAGATTCTGTTTCTTGCTTTGTTTTTGATAATTGATTGTTGACTGCTTGTAAATATAGCGCTATGACCTTTTCTTTGTGTATAGATTTGTATTCATGTCTCCATCTCCTTTTATTTGTATTCAATATCATTCATTCATTGGTATAGATAAATAAGAAAGAAATATGCTATACATTTATAACATGATAAATAAATGGAAAAAAATAACAAACAATAACAATAGTAATGCATGGTTTTTAAGCATTAAGAAAGTCTTTTTTCTAGAAAACTTAAGACTCAAACAGTGTAAAGTATTTTACTATTTTTAGCTAAATCACTGTCTATATAGATCTATATACCATTGACATATATTATTTAATAACTGAATCACTGGTCTTTGACACTTGGTCATGTAAGACTAAAAAGTACAACTGTACAAGCTGACTTGGCTGCTTTCAATAAACTTGACTCTGCTCTAAATATATAAAGTAATCCTGATCCTGGTAACAGTTTGTTTATTTTTTATACTCAGGATGCTGTGAATTGTCTTTGAGTCAATGTTTTCTGCTGTCAGTTTGGATCTTGTTGAGCATGATGAAAATCCTTTAATGTACGCATTGGAGTGCGAAATAGGTTTTTTTTTTTTTTTTTTTTTTTTTTTTTTTAATGAGTTGAAAGTTAATTAAATGTTTTTTTTTCGGCTTCAAAACCTTCCAATATTGGCAATAATGTTTTGACAACAACATTCCACTTTTCTATCATCAGCTGATCATTGCCGGTATTTCCCTTTAATCATCCTTTGCGTGTGCCATAGACAGAAGCCATATTAATATTCTATCACCTGAGCTGACACCTGTTTATTATGCAATCAAACTATTATCACTTGTTACATGTAATTAACCGTTGGCCAGGTCAAATCTACATGTGTTGTGTACAGGTAATGTCAGTTACACCAGATATGTTCGGTACTCTCGGGTTTTTTCGTCTTCAATAACAAACATTTGGAAACATCGTAGTAAAAAACAAGAGTGCACACACTGAAATGTCTCGCCTTCTTTACTAACCATTGATTTTATATTGATAGTCCTAAATATAAAGCTTTACTACAAGTAACACATAAACTTAACATGATCCAAGAAAATGAGGTCAAGGTCAGATAAACCAAACGAGATATACATGTACACCTTACAATCATTCAATAAACCAAACATAGTTGACCTATTGCTTATAGTATAAAAGAAACAGTCTTAACCAAGAAAACTTAACATTGACCAATGAACCATGAAAATGAGGTCAAGGTCAGATGAACCATGCCAGGCAGACATGTACACCTTACAATAAATTTATGCATTAAATATAGTTGACCTATTGCTTATAGTATCTAAGAAACAAACTTAACCATGAAAACTTAACATTGACCAATGAACCATGAAAATGAGGTCAAGGTCAGATGATACCTACCAGACAGACATATACACCTTACAATCCTTCCATACAACAAATATAGTTGATCTATTGCTTATAGTTGAAGAAAAACAGACCAAAACACTAAAACTTAACACTGAGAAATCAACCGTGAAAATGAGGTCAAGGTCAAATAAAACCTGTGAGACTAACATGTACATCATAAAATATTTCCATACACCAAATATAGTTGACCTATTGCATATAGTATTAGAAAAAAAGACCAAAACTCAAAAACTTAACTTTGACCACTGAACCATGAAAATGAGGTCAAGGCCAGATGACACCTACCAGTTGGACATGTACACCTTACAATTATTACATATACCAAATATAGTAGACCTACTGCTTACAGTATCTGATATATGGACTTGACCACGAAAACTTAACCTTGTTCACTGATCCATGAAATGAGGTCGAGGTAAAATGAAAATTGTCTGACGGGCATGAGGACCTTGCAAGGTACGCACATACTAAATATAGTTATCCTATTACTCATAATAAGAAAGAAATTAACATTACAAAAAATTCGTAAGGGTTCTGCGGAACCCAGTGTCTCGCCTACTTTTTCTGTTAATCGCAGGCTCAACAAAAATGAGGAAGTAAATCAATAAAAATATTCCTCTTGATACTATCTTTTGATTGTAAGAAGCTTCTGTCCAAGGATAGTTTATGAATCTAATAAATGTTTAAAAACTTTAACTGCAGACTGAATGTAATGTTAACTGGAAGAAAACAAAATTTCCTTCTAGATACTAGCATTTGATCATAAACAAGCTTCTGTCCAAGTTTGGTACAAATCCAAAATAGTATAAGAAAGTTATTAAAATTTTCAAAACTTTAACCACAGAGTGAATGTGTTGTTTCCTGGCAGAAAATCTAAGTCCATTTAAAAATAAAATAAGGAAAAAATGGATTTATTTTTTTACAAAATTTACTTCTGGATACTATCTTATGATCATAAACAAGCTTCTGTCCAAGTTTGGTACAAACCCAGGATAGTTTAAGAAAGTTATTAAAATTTTAAAAACTTTAACCACAGAGTGAATGTTATATTTTCCGGCAGAAATACTAAGTCCATTTGTAAGTAAAATACGGAAAAAATAGAATTTTATTTTTACAAAATTTACTTCTGGATACTATCTTCTGATCATAAACAAGCTTCTGTCCAAGTTTGGTAGAAATCCAGGATAGTTTAAGAAAGTTATTAAAATTTCAAAAACTTTAACCACAGAGGGAATGTAGGATCGCTATGTCTCGCTTTTACGACTAAAGTCGAAGGCTCGGCAAAAATGTTGACTTTTTTTTCAAGTAGTCACTGAACCATGAAAATGCGGTCAAGGACAATGGACATATGACAAACGGAAACTTCGTAACATAAGGCATCTATATACAAAGTATGAAGCATCCAGGTCTTCTAGCTTCTAAAATATAAAGCTTTTAAGAATTTAGCTGCCGCCGCCGGATCACTATCCCTATGTCGAGCTTTCTGCGACAAAAGTCGCAGGCTCGACAAAAATGGCGCCTGAAAATTTTCATCCATGAAATATTTTATACACAGGATTTTTTTTCTTCAACAAGAGGATAGGAGGAGACCCCTGAAAACGGGATTATTGTACTCCCGTCGGGAGGTTCACATGTATGACTAGAGGAAGCTTTATAAAGCACATGATACATTTTTTTTTATAAAAGACGATTTGGGATGTATGTCAATGAGAGCAAATGAAAAGAGCATCTAATCATTCAAACATAACATGAATTTTTTCAAAGTCATGAAAATTTCTTCAAGAGAGAAACTTCAGACTTTTTTAAGGTATCTGTTATGAAGATAAGATTGTCATATTTTTAAAATTCAAAGCTTAATACAAATACTTTAGAACATAGCCACAGTCAGATTACCAGATGAATAACTGACAAAAATGTGAGGTTTATTGTTGCAATTTTCTGGAAATGTTGCACACTAATAATGCTATCATTTTCAAAATGTCAGTTTTTATTTTTGAGAAACCTAACCTGTTGCAAGTTTTAGAATATGAATATCACAAAAACTTTTAAATTTACAGTATTTAAATATTAACTTACTGGATTAGGTGTAGATAATGCTGTGAGTCGTGACACAGGTCTCGTTGATGTTCCATCTTCTGTTTTAAGTTGGCTTGGATCAGAGGAAAATTTACGAGTAGCAGAACCTATCAATCCATCATGCCATTCAAGAGTATTGGAATCTACCTCACCATACAATTCACCCAATGTCACACATTTAGGATTCACCTGAAACACTTCTACATGGCCTTTCTTGGATCTGTTGTGCTGCAAATTTCAACAAAATTCCATCAGTAACAATAATTTCATTTTAAAATTAACAACTTTAAATCAAAATATTTGCAGTAACACAATTTCATTAAATATTTCTTGAAGTGAATTTAGTAAAAGTTAATTGTTTGTAGAGAAAAATAATTTGTTTTACAAAAACTTAAATCAATGTTTCTTCAGTTGTACTAATTTTATTCACTAAATGCATAAAAGCTTTGTGTTACCCCTGTGAAAATATCTTTTGCACTAACACATGAAGGAAAATAAACTACTAGTAAGCAGAAGTATAACACAAGATGCTTTTTTGTCCCCTTAAAGTAATAAACTGTTAACACAGAGATATGTCTCGCCTTTTTGTAATTTGGATAATTCAAATGTTGAAATTAAAATAGCCATTCTTTAACATGTAAGTTATGCAAATATTAAAAGTCAATGAACCATGACTGAAGGTACATGGCAAAACAATCTCCATGGAAATCAGATGTGCCAATCCTAATACAACTGCATACCAAATGCCATAGACTTATCATAAGTCGTTCCCTTTCAATAAACGTATACACAACGTTGACTTGTAAACTATGTAAAAGTTTCAAAGTGAATGAACCATGATGAGGGGGTGGGGCTATATAATCTCCATGGAAATGAGAATTGCAAATGCCAATAACAGTGTTCCAGCTAGGTCGTTTTCACAGGGCAGTCCGCCCGCCCTTTACCGAGTGCCGCCCTGTGCCCTTTTTAAGACGCCCTGCCCTTTTTCGTAAGTCCATGCCTTTATTGCCGTAATATATTGATGAAAATACAATTATTCTACCTGTCTTCATATTTATGACAAGTTTATGACCCTCAGCTAATTAACATTTACAGCAGGTGTAATAAGTTGTGATTACAGATAATCCGCATATCGACATCAAATGGGTCATTAATCCGTTAATTAAACTTCATAATTGACCATTGTAATAATTTTTCTCATAAAATTCGGTCAGTCAGCATTTCAATTTTAATATTTCTCAAAAGATGACAATTTGTGTTTGATGTATCCGTAGATCGTAGGTTGTTTTATATGTCAAAAGATTTTGTTTTTAAATTGGTCTTTTAAACTAGTTATAATCCAGAAGAAAGTAAAAACAATGCTTGACTGTACCTTTCATTTAATATCTATATCCAAATCAAATTAATTAAAGCTGTAATCCATGATCACAAATTGACTGCTTTGATTACATTTGTTGAAAGCCATGTACTTTTTTGGCGGGAAAATTCAGAAAACCCCTTTAACAAGAAACAGTTACATTTCATTGTTATTTATAGACAGTAAGATTTTCATTTTGATTAACTGCTAAGATAATTTCATTAAAAATGAATACTTTCTTGGGGTGAAACTGATAATACTTTAATACTCTACATCTAGGGGTGTGTAAAATGGAAAAGGGGGGAGGATTTTTTATACATTTTTTTATATATAATATTACAAATATAAGTTTAATAGTCTGAAAAGACATGGTTAAATGGATTTTAATTCTGAAAAAATCAATGTGGTTTATTATAATTCATTTATTATTTCTACCATAATCAGAAACACTGGGCTACATGTACATGTATTAGGCATTTCAAACATATATTATTGCCTTTATAAGAACATTCAAGACTATTAATAAGTATGTACCTGTAGTAAAAATACCCTGGTAGGGCCTTAAAATTTCTACTGGGCCCTTGGAAAAAAGTATTGGGATCCAGGTTGGCCCCTGGAGAAAATGTAAGGTATTGTTCCTGACTGTATTGCAGATCTAGTGTAGTATTTTAACTGGCATGCACAATTCATTTCACTAATGAAATAAAAATAATTCTACAAAACGCCGCTGCGCTCTGCATTGAAACTTAACCTTAGACCTACTATGCATAAAAAATGTACTAGGGAAGACTGAGCTAGTAATATACGTCCTTGCATGGTCCCTTCAATACTGTTACCCAAAATAAGGTTGATTTTCATCTAGCGCAAAAGTGACTAAACCCCCTCAAAACTCCTAGCTGAAACCCCTGCAGTTAACATAAGACAATGTTTGACATGCCCTTTTTGAAATATCAATCATCGTGCTAAAGTGCCCTTTTCATGATTGGCTCACTGCCCTTTTGAAATCCTAGCTGGAACACTGAATAAATTTGCATACCAAATATCATTGACTTAACATTAGCGGTTCATCTTCAACTGATCTTATCACAAACTAATACATGTAAACTAAGCAAAAGTTTCAAAGTCAATAGACCATGACTGAGAGGGCAAGACCAAATATTCTCCATGGAAATGAGATGTGCTAATGCTTATACAATTGCATACCCATTAACATTGGCCTACCACTAATGGTTCCCCTTGAACTGACCTAATCACAAACTAATACATGTAAACTAAGCAAAAGATTCAAAGTTAATAGACCATGACTGCGGGGGCGGGACAAATATTCTCCATGGAAATGAGATATGCCAATGCTTATACAACTGCATACCAAATATCATTGACTTACCACTAGTGGTTCCCCTTGAACTGACCTAATCACAAACTAATACATGTAAACTAAGCAAAAGTTTTAAAGTCAATCGACCATAACCGAGGAGGCATAGCCAAATAATCTCCAAGGAAATGAGATATGCCAATGCTTATACAACTGCATACCAAATATTATTGACCAACCACTAGTGGTTCACCTTAAACTAGACCTAATCACAAACTAATACGCCGACGCCGGAAACAGCATACCTATGTCTCGCTTTTTGACTCCGTCAAGGCAAGACAATAAAATCAAGAATCAAATTTATGAAGTATCAACTTTCAGTAGATCCTTGATAAATCTGTCAATCCAATACCACTAATAACATATTTCTAATTTGCTTGGATACAAGCAACAGCCTAACCCAAAAAAGAAACTTTGCTATGTCCTTTAAATTGAACTTTTTTTTTGTCAAATAAGCAAGTTTGGACATTTATGGTGTCATTGTGGCATCATAATTGCTACATTTATTTTGAAACAGTCAGCTTGTGTTATCCCATTCCTTTCACAAAGAAAATAATTTTGACAGGATTTACATTTTTTTTTTCACTTCAGTTCCAAAATAATGGTTCTTACCATTCACTCTCCTTTTACTCCCAGAATGCACTTTTCACTTTCTGGAAAACTTTACACTTACCACATAATGTCCTTGTTTCTTGTTTGATTCTTGATCAGCTGGGGTGATAGTTGGGAGAAGTATCAATGCTTTCTGAAGAATACTTCTGATTGTTGTTTTACCTCCTCCTGTGGGCCCCACTAACATGATACCATGTCTGACCATGATCTGGTTATAAAACTGTTTCACTTTATCTACTTGGTTACTCCATGACTGGAAGCCATGGTCTCTAATAGCCATGTTGATTGCTCTCTGGAAAGGGATAAATTGTTATTGAAACTACACAAGCAAATTTGATTTTTTTAACTGACCTTGTTTTCTTTTCCAAGATTTATTATAATTGGTTTTAAGCCATTTTTATATAACAAATATAAAAAGAAGGCAAGGGCATACAAATCATTGTCTTGTATCTGAAGAAATAAATATTTCTCCCCAATCAAAAATCTGTTTCCCTGGATCAAATAAATCCCAACAAAAAGAATATTTAAATGCATGTAAAAATACAGCATTTCTCCAAATTTTTTCCTACTGGAAAAAAAAGCAAAAGTAGAAGTTATTCTCCCTAAAATACAGTTGGGTTGCTAACAATGGTCAAAACAGGTGAAACTTACTTCCAGTACTCCATAATCCCTGTCTGGAGGTGTAATTCCTGGGAACAAATCATCTAAAATACTCTTAAACAATGGAACGTCTTCAGCCAAGAACTTAGGTATGTTAGCATCTTGTAAGGAATGCATCAATATGTAGGATTCTTCATTCTCTGTCATCACTTTGTCCATGTGATCCTCTCTGTAAAACAAACATGTGGCATATTATTCAGGAGTTAATACTACTCTGGATTCATTTTTTAAACATTGAATATTAATTTTCATTGATTAACCAAAAAGTCTCAAACAGATAATTTTGCCCTTTTGAGTGTTTGGACTGTATTTTCAAAACTGATGACCATTTTTCTGAGAATTCAAAGTCAAACTACAATTGCAGATTCTTAAATCTTTTACAAATGTTAGTTTGTGCCTTTTAGACAACATATGCAGATTTGAATATAGGAAAACTGTATCTATTAGCCCTAATTACAAGAATAAGCTAGATTACAGTTTAAGGACATATGTACTTACTTATGTTGAGCATGTCTCCTTCCATGACCAGCCATAACCAGAACAGATTTAATTGCTCTCATACCAAAGTCATAATGATCTTGTTGTGACAGTTGTTTACTGGCTAAGTTATATAACTGTACTATCTTCCTCGACAGAGGCTTAGCTGATCTAAAGCCTTCAGAAAACAACATGATTTCTGCTATCTGTGCATAGTCTGGTACCATCATGGCTACCTGTCTAAACAAGGTCTTCAGATTGTCTGGTAGTTCTACACGGCCTGCATAGCTGTAAAGACAGAATAGGCACAGTTAGGCAACATTATGGCTAATTAGTTTACAAACTGAAATGTTACTCTGCAAGTTTTGCAAAATTACAAAGATAAAGGTATAATAAATCATTAAAGCATTGAACATATCCAGATTATTGTCAGGCAACTCCACTTGTTATGTATAGCTGTAAAAAAGAAAACATTTCATAGTAAAACAAGAGTGCACACACTGAAATGTCTCGCCTTCTTTACTAATCATTGATATTATGTTGATAGTCCTAAATATAAAGCTTTATTACAACTGTCACATAAACTTAACATTAACCAAGTAAACTAAACATTGACCAATGAACCATGAAAATGAGGTCAAGGTCAGATGAACCATGCTAGGCAGGCATGTACAGCTAACAATTCTTCCATACAACAAATATAGTTGACCTATTGCTTATAGTTTAAGAAAAACAGACGAAAACACAAAAACTTAACACTGAGCAATGAACCTTGAAAATGAGGTCACGGTCAAATAAAACCTGCGTGACTGACATATAGATCATAAAATATTTCCATACACCAAATATAGTTGAACTATTGCATATAGTATTAGAAAAAAAGACCAAAACTCAAAAACTTAACTTTGACCACTGAACCATGAAAATGAGGTCAAGGTAAGATGACACCTGCCAGCTAGACATGTACACCTTACAATCATTCCATACACCAAATATAGCTGACCTATTGCATGCAGTATTAGAAAGAAAGACCAAAACTCAAAAACTTAACTTTGACCACTGAACCATGAAAATGAGGTCAAGGTCAGATGACACCTGCCAGCTAGACATGTACACCTTACAATCATTCCATACACCAAATATACTAGACCTATTGCATACAGTATAAGAAAAACAGACCAAAACACAAAAACTTAACTATAACCACTGAACCATGAAAATGAGGTCAAGGTCAGATGACACCTGCCAGTTGGACATGTACACCTTACAGTCCTTCCATACACCGAATATACTAGACCTATTGCTTATAGTATCTGAGATATGGACTTGACCACGAAAACTTAACCTTGTTCACTGATCCATGAAATGAGGTCGAGGTCAAGTGAAAACTGTCTGACGGGCATGAGGACCTTGCAAGGTACGCACATACCAAATATAGTTATCCTATTACTAATAATAAGAGAGAATTTAACATTACAAAAAATCTGAACTTTTTTTTCAAGTAGTCACTGAACCATGAAAATGAGGTCAAGGACATTGGACATGTGACTGACGGAAACTTCGTAACATGAGGCATCCATATACAAAGTATGAAGCATCCAGGTCTTCCATCTTCTAAAATATAAAGCTTTTAAGAAGTTAGCTAACGCCGCCGCCGCATCGCTATCCCTATGTCGAGCTTTCTGCGACAAAAGTCGCAGGCTCGACAAAAACTATTATACAGGTCTATCATATATTTGGTAATGTGCCAATTAATTATGCATTAACTCAGAAAATGGATTTGCTTCCTTTACTGAAAAACAATGTAGATCCTAATACTTTAAGAGTTTATCTACTGTGCTTGAAAAATTCATTTTGTTCGTTGTAAATCTTAATAAGAACAGTAAGTAAAATGAAAATTCTAATATCCAGGATGCAGACATCCTTCTTGTACCTTACCAACATGAAAAGATCAGAATTCTAGTGTGTTAGGGATCTACTGTTTCAATTCTATGTCTAAAAAAACTTACGTGGGATTCATTGTAATAAAGTATCCACAACTCATATCAAGTTTGATGTCCTTTCCTTCAAATATAAATCTGGGAGCTTGAGCATCCTTGGCAGCTTTTATTGTGTGAATCTGTTGAGCGACAACAGATAATACCTCTATATCAATACGATTAAACTCGTCAAAACAACACCAACTACCAGACTGCGCCAATCCAGAGAAAAACTTCCCTAATGTCTTAAAATCAAGTCCTTCTGAACAATTGAACACAACACACAATTTACCCATAGCCTGTAAAAGAAGAAGGAAGCATCATTACATAGAGAGAATTATAAATGATTGTTTTCATGACCTGTGTTAACCTATTTTTACTAAATATTTTTTAATGCAAAAAGTACTTCTTTGATGTGTTTCAACTTGATCTATCTAATGAATAAAATAATTTTTCATTTATTATATAAAGACAATGATATTCCAATCCTTGGTGTACTTATCCCCATTTTACCAACTTCTTTATAGCAAACATGCAAATCAATAGCTATTCTTATATATATTTTTCTTCAAGGTTACAGAGCCACACGTTTCTATTCAATTTGAGAAAGAAGATGTACATATTGGGAGACTAATCTAACCGTAGCTAAATCTTCAAGGTCACAGAGCCACAAGTTTGAGCAAAAGACATAAGTAAAGGAAGATAATTATATCCTCAGCTAAATCTTCAAGGTCACAGAACCACAAGATAAATAAAGGGAGATAAGTATATCCTCAGCTAAATTTTCAAGGTTACAGAACCACAACTTTGAGAAAAAGACATAAGTAATGGGAGTTAAATCTTACCTTAGCTAAATCTTTAACTGTTTCAGTTTTACCAGTACCAGCAGGGCCAGCAGGAGATCCTCCAAGATGTAAATGCATAGCACCAGTTAATGTAAGGTAACATCTGTCTGTCAGCTGTGTAATAACCAGACGAGGGGAACATCCAAGGTACTCATACCCATATTTAAACTGTGCATTGGATTGTAGCACTTGACAGTGATTACTTTGTTCATCCCATTCATATCGCAGTTGTCTAAAAAGAAAATGTTTATGTTTTAAAAATTAAAAACTATCAATATTTTGTTCTCCAATGATAAGATGAATATGTATTTTTTTAATAAATTCAACAGCAGCTTCAACTTTAACCCCTTCAAGAGCAGATGGTCATGCTGAAAAATGTGAATTCACAATTTTTTATGTAATTTATTATAAATTTACAATGATTCTCATACTTTGATAAACTATTACAAATATTTGTATATTCATATATTCAATTACAGTATGAGTGCGGGTATTTGTGCCGACTGACATTTCTATGAAAACCATTGGATTTGAACCTTTTATTTTGGGTTGCTGTCTTATTAACATTACTCTATACCTCCTTTTACTGATAAACTATGTAAATTTTCATCTAATTTCTACTCACTTTTTCCAATCAAAGTCCTCCTTTGAGGTAACTTTATCTACTATCATAGTATGTAGTATATCTCTATTATGGACGTTGATGGTCAGTAAAGCCTCTATACTCATTCTCTGATATCCTTTGATATTCTGGGACACAACACCAGCTAGCTGTTCTAATGATTTGATAAGATTACTCTGTACCTCTGTGATAGCTGTGATTGGGTTAGGTTGTTCAAAGCATTTCACTACATCTTTGTTCAACATTATTTGAACCTGTGATTGTAAAATGTAATTGTCATCTGAGAAGAGTTTTCTTAATGAAAAAAACAAATGGAATTTTTCAAACAGAAATCTCAGAAAAAAAGTCTAAATCTTTTTTGGCAACTGTAGAGTGAGTGACCCATATTTTCCCGCATAATTCGTACATTCCCACTTACATCCGACCTACATTCGAATATTTGGAACTTTTTATGTAGGTTTCAGAAATTTAACTATATGAAAAAAAGTTTGATAAAGGAATCATCTTCAAAACATTGGTTAAATGTTCTAAAAACAAACGCAACTCAAGAGGAAATCAAGTTGTTCGTGTACCATGGGGGACACATTTTCGCCGCAATGTATGATATGACCATCCTCATTATCCTGGTATACTATAAAAACGAATGTTTGCAATAACATGAATTAGCTTGAGAGATCATTCCTATACGATTTTTCTCACAAATATTTACGTTAAGACTGCGCATGATTGCCATATAAATCTTACATTTATAATTGCCAAAATCGTTTAAAAACACCTGCGTATTTCTTTATATGTGTGAATAACCTTGGAAATGGGGTAAAGAGGAATATCAACAGTTGTAACATTACAAACAGCCTTTTCCATCTATTTAGGCAAGTATTGGGTAAAGGCACAAAAATTTTACAGAAGAAATAGCAAAACGGTGAAAATGTGTCCAAGGCCAATATGCGCCACCCACTCTAGCCATATTGCATTCTTCATCATCACAAAAAATAAACAAATCTTTTTAAATCCAACAGTCAAATGTTCTTTCAAATTAAGGGATTATTCAAAGATATTACAAAAAGTATCAACTAACCATTAAAAATTATAATATTGGAATATTTCAAATGTCAAACTACTAGTTATTTTTCATATATATCTGTGTTCTCTCCCTATGTAAAATGGATCTCATATTCACCTTTTACTGTTCAATATACTTACCACAGTTAAAACAACTTGTCCAGGATGTTCTAGAACCCATCTTGACAAATCTGAGTTGTCCCAATCACTTATTCCTTTCTTTAAATGTCTGTAAAAAAATACAAGGTGATGCGGAAAATTGTCTTAACACAATATTACAGTATTACCATTAAAAAAGGCTGTCCTAATTATACCTTGTTTTTGTATACTTTTATTTTTAAAGCATTGTTTTTTTTTAATCCATAATTTTATCATCTGGTTTGTTTCATCTTTCTAAAGTTTACTTGGATACACAGAAAGTCAAAGTTAGTATAGAAATTATGATCAATAATTGCTTCAACTAGACATCATTGAGATGGGAGCCATCTCTGTGGGCCCCGCTCACCTTGAACTTTGACCTAGGAAGTTGTACAAACATTATGACACACCCTCTGGTGTTGATTAATATACATGTCAAGTATAAAGTATGAAATTGTAACGGTTCTTTAGATATAGAGCGGACACAATTTGTTACGTGTGGACGGACGGACAAACTGATCACTATAGGGCAACCTGCCACTAGGCTGGGCCCTAATAAAGGTTTCCCTGATAATTATTTTAATACAAGAAGCAACAATGTTTGTTTTTTTTCTCCATGAAATAATTTTAAAGTGACAATGCACACAGCTCAAACAAGTTATGATATCATGAAAAAAATACTAAGTTATTTTCTATTAAAGCAACCTATCAAAAGTTGACCAAAAACTCAAAATTCAAGTTTAATAATTGACTGAAGGAAATTTGAAAGACTGATTGTTCCTATGGAAATGATTTCAGAATAATAATTAACTCATATTAATTTACAATATGAATAAACCTTAACTTTTTTTTTATCATCAAAATAAAGAGATACTCACTGAATTTACTCAGGGTTAAAAGATTGTGGAAAAATAACAATGGATCAGTGGTTCTGCTTTACATATTCAACTTACTTTTTCACAGTTTCAAACATGACTGTCTCAAAACTAACAAGCCACTGAGGAGTGTTTCCTGTTCTGATACGACTGAAAATGAAAAAAAAAGTTTATAATTCATTCTTGCTATTAATATTTTTTAAATCATAAAAAAGGTAAACAATGAAATAATATTTTCTACATGGAAAATGAGAGAATCATCATAGATTACATGGATATGTTCCAACGTTGTAGCTACACTCCTGTCCTATTTTCCTTGATTGTGTCATCACAGAATGAGACCTAACACCAAATTAGACCTTACCATGACCAACCTGACAGTTTACCTTTCTGAAACCCTACCCCATTTGAAAATATATTGCAAAGTCCATGTTTTGCTCTAACATATCCCATAATTCATTCAGATCAAAAATTACAACAGGTTTGTTCGTGTCACAGTCAAAGTTTTTGTAAAGGAAACACAAACACTATCTGGACTAAGAAATAAAAGATGTGCTGCATAATTCCTCAGTACATGAGTACTTTCTTACAGAATTTCAGGCAGACATAAAATGAAGACATTATACTTACTTTTTGGGCATTTCTATTTCTTCTCCTTCATCAGAAATCATCTTCCTTACAATTCCACCAGTAATTTCCAAAGATTTGACATTTCCAAAACATTTACCCAAATGGGGCTAAAATATAAGAAATATCTGATATACCAGTGTTTCTTACATATTCAAAATATAATCAAAACAATAAGCAGATATGAGCTTGAAACAAAAATTTTCTTTCACCTCAAAACAATGATGGAAATTACTACTGTTCAGTTAATTGTCAAAATTATTCTGTAACTAGAGTAAACAATCAATATTTAAATTCGAAACATTTTACAGTAATAAATTCATTTTCTGCAATCTATGCAAATTACCTGTACTAAATTAAAATCATTTTCTGATGTCTGTGTAAATAACCCGTACAGCATTTAAATCATTTTCTGATATCTATGTAAATTACCTGTACAGCATTTGGATTATCTGAGTTGGCCAGGATCTCCAACAACTCATCATTACTGAGAAAGTAAAATCTAGGGAAGGCAAATCTTTTGGTCTCAAGATGGTCCTTAATAAAAGATAAAATTAGATTTCCTTGAAATAAGACTTATTCTCTTCTAGTTTAAATTTCTTTTTTTTTCTCCAAATTTCTTTTTACAACTGTTTCTACTGCATAGGTATGTTATGATTTTTATTTGTTGTATGTTTTTTAATTACATAATTTCATATTCTAAACTTTTCTCGATTGTAATCTACAGATGAATTATTTGTGTTTTAAATGTACTATATATCAATTAATCTAAATATGCAACCATAAAATACAATCACAAAATACCTCTAGATTTTTCTGTATAATATTGAGTGTTAAGTTATTTTGTTGTAAAGTCTCAAGTGTTCCAGGTGTAAGGGCACTCTTAATAGCATTGGGGCGATCCTCTACTCTCCTCATTAAATCTTTCCAGGCTCTGTCTACTTGCATGAACATCTTAAATTCTCCTTTTAATTGTCTAAAACATAAAAATTTAACTGTTACTTCAAGTACAATCATATTTTGTTTGTTATGAAATATAGAATATCTTAAAATCTTATTTTGAACCCAAATAAAGATATCCTGTAAACTGACTTATTTTCGCAGATACTTTATTTCGCATTAAGCCCTATCTAGCTCACCTTGCTGCGATTTAATTACGTGATCTTTAAATTTACTTGATGTAGTTAACTAAGGAAAGATCCAAGTTTTACATATTGGCGACCATTTATATTCGCGTTATTTTTGAACTTGCAAAAGTCGCAAAAATTAGTTGGTTTACAGTATTTTGCATAGGTGGTATCATATAGCCAGAATACTATAAATTCAGAGATGTTTTCAATGTTTTCGATATAATGAAAACCCTTTTTTTTAAATTTTGGTTGCAGTATTTGTAGCAGCATTTCCTGAAATAGCAATAACTAATTTCGCATTTGCGTCCATTGTTCAATGATTGCATGGAAAAATATCTGAATTTAAAACAAACACTTTCTGATTTTTTTTCTCATAACTTTTATTTCAATGAGCAAGATAGATTAGACTCAGGTCTGACTCGAAAAATGAAAAAAAAATAATTGATCTGCTGAAATTAGTAGTAAACATCAGCTGGCTCTATGTAGTGTTTAATTGATCAAACTTGAATTAATCTCTTATTTGAAGCAAAAAAGAACTTAATTTTATTTAATGTGTCACCATTATAAGTATATAATATCTATCCAATGATACCTCTGTATGTCAGGAGCACGGAATATCTTCTCAATATACAACCATGTACGCTGACATGACAACCATTCATCTAAGGTACGTCCAAATACCAACAACTTTCTTTCCCATTCTTCTACTTGACCCTATGGTATAATTTTTTTTAATGAAGTTTTAAAACAACACATCTCTTACTGTTATCCTAAGTTAAAGTTATTACATTATAAATATAAAATAATAAATGAATCAAACTTTTAAGTTTAAACAAAAGATCAATATAAAAATATACTATTTATGCATCTGATGTAATCAAAATATATTGCTTCATAATTTCCAAATGAATTGCTGCAAATAAAACTGTCTTTAACTGTCTCTTAGAAAAACAATATATGTCAAACAATTGCCAATGATTTTATTGAAAATTGTGTATTTCACAAAAATAAATCAAATGTTTTCAGAACTAATAGATAACCAGCCTACCTTAATTGGTGATACATATCTAGATCCTCTAATTGTACCAATGGTTACTGCACTTTCTTCTAACTGTGCCATGATGTCATCAGCACCTCCAATAATATAAGTGTCTCTACTTGGCTGTGGTACAGTACGGAAGTCTGTTTTTTGCCATAATTGAATGATCTACAAATTCACAAATTTTCAATTTTTATTACTTTTTACTATATTGATAAAAGGTGCAAAAACAGGAGCTATTCTGTGTATACAAACTTTATTCTTATTAAGTCATGACAATTTGATGAAATACTGGAATTCTACAGTTCCTTCAAAGATATAATTGACAGACATTCAATATGTTTGCACAGATGGAAAGACCACAGCATTACAGTATCCCTTGGTCTTTTATGGGGATGATGATTTTACTTCAGCAAAACTTTACTTCAAAAAAAATTCAACCATTTCCTTTACAGATTTCTGATTTCAAATAAAGTTATACAGGTGAAAAATGGAAAGAAGTATTCATTTTTCAAATAAATACTATTGTATTCTATTAGACAGCTTACCCTTAATGATAATCAAAATAGTAAAAAATAAGATAAGATAAAATTACCTTATCCAACATCTTCTCTAATGTTTCTTCATTACTGGCTGTTGTAGATATATCCTGAATCTTATCTTTTAGTTTTATTATCTGGAAAACAGATTAATAATAAATGTCAATACTAAAGTCAAACTTTTTATTCAAAATTCAAAATATTCTTTATTTGTATTAAATGACTTTAAATTTTCAGTCATGAGTGTACTATAGCACTAAAATACCAAAATAATGTTATACTTGAAAGCACATATTTGGGCTCCAAAATATATACAAAGTCATAAATTAATGTACACATCTAGACAAGATTATTTTGCTTTAAAACATATTCTTTACTTTAAGTTGTACTAGCTAAGTGTTTATTACAGGGACTATAATTTGGAAATCAAATTTATTGCTTCTCAAATCAAACAGATGCAACATTTATCATTAAAACTTCATTAATTCCAAGCTCTCAGATGCATATGAAAGCTGGAACTGTCTGGAAATTTGCTTGAATATGAAACCTGAATGTCAAGCTTTGAAAAATAAGAAATTTGTGAAACAAAATTTCCCGACCCTCTATGTTAATCTATTTTCATGCAACTAGTCAGCTGTGTATACGCTATCAAAAGCTATGTAGATTTACCTTCATTTCTATTAAGTTTCCAAGTGTAAATGTCTTGTCTTTTACAATAGATTTTCCAATCATTCTTTCTATCTCATCCCAATGACGTTGTTTCAGTGATGGGTTTCTCAGACTGGTAATGATTGGCATACTCTGTTTAAATTCCATCACTTTCTCCTTAAGATGAGGGACAACCTCATTGTGTGGTAATCCTATGCAAAAATATAATTATTACTGTAAAACATGTACTTATATAAACAGGATTTGAATATATTTTTGTATGAAATTCCATTATGGTATTTGCCAAGTCTAGACCTTAAAATCTGGGTCAAAACCATAATTTGGGGTATACTTTTAAAAGTTCACATCATAACAAACATAGGTACATAGTTTCAAAGTGATTTGACCACAACTTCATGGTAAACTACCGTAACCAAAATATTATATGAGACAGGTGCACACACCAGAAAACATATAAATAGCCCTACTGTTGTAGGCAGAGCATAAAATTCCTATTCCCTTTAGATCTTAATGGGTGAGGGGATAGTAAATATTCATACTTCAAGCTCAGAAATATGAAATACTCACTCAAATAAAAAACATTACTTTTAATACAGTATGAATAATTTATCGCTTTGTTTTATTACAATGACTTGGTAAGATAAAATTACCTTTTTCTAACATATACACTGTTTGTGTAAACTTGCTGACATTTTTCTGTAGACTTTCTACTTGTAATGCATCAAATAAGGTATTAATCCATTGTTTCTCTAACTTGTTCCATTCCATTGTTGAAGTCCATAGTGCTTTTCTTAATGTAAGATCCCTTTCTACCTCTGGTAAAGCTGCTTGTATCTCCTTGGCACTGCTATCATCTGATCTGTCCATTAGCAGGTATTCTCTAGATAAAAAGACATGCAAAATGTAATATATTTGCAACAATGTTGACTACTTTTATACAGTGTATCCTATATGATTCCAACAATGTTGACTACTTTTATAAAGTGTATCCCATATCATTGTAATAATGTCGACTACTTTTATACAGTGTATCACATATCATTGTAAAATGTCGACTACTTTTATAGTGTATCCCATATCATTGTAATAATGTTGACTACTTTTATAGTGTATCCCATATCATTGCAATAGTGTTAACTATTATTATACAGTGTATCCCATATCATTGTAAAAGTGTCGACTACTTTTATACAGTGTATCACATATCATTGTAAAAATGTCGACTACTTTTATAGTGTATCCCATATCATTGTAATAATGTTGACTACTTTTATAGTGTATCCCATATCATTGTAATAATGTTGACTACTTTTATAGTGTATCCCATATCATTGTAATAATGTTGACTACTTTTATAGTGTATCCCATATCATTGTAATAATGTTGACTACTTTTATAGTGTATCCCATATCATTGCAATAGTGTTAACTATTATTATACAGTGTATCCCATATCATTGTAAAAGTGTCGACTACTTTTATACAGTGTATCCCATATCATTGCAATAATTAAAAAAGGGAAATTATAATTATTAAAGTTTCACCAACTTAGTATAGAATATAAAATTATGAGCTGGTAAATAAATTAAATAAAAACTATTTAAAAAAAATTAGGTTGTATTTTTCCACATTTATATCTGTAAACATTATTTATGCACCATTAAAAAAGAATCTTAAAATGAACTTTTACAGGTAACATGGATAAAAAAAAATTCTAATGGCATAGAATCAATCAAACTACACATTTTGCTGAAATATCTTGATGGTTGGAAATTGTACGGTTTGTTTAAACTTAAATATTTGATTTATGAAACGAGACCTGGAATAATAAGTTTGAAATTGATGCAGGCTGTACATATATTTAACATAATCTTTAATATGAAAAACAATAAAAAGTCAAACATTTGCAATCAAATTCAACATTAAGGAACAAAAAAAATACAACTTTATACATGATTTACCTCACAGATTGTCTGAAAAGAATAAATTTCTTCATATACGCAAGAAAATTTGAATGTTAAAATATAAATCTAATAGCCAGGAGTTTTGCTAATTCTTGTGTCCAACAGTGATGTTCAATCTCAATGCCAGTTCTGTTTTGTAGATATTGCAAATGTTCTTTAACATCAAATGAAGTAAGTAAGCACACAATAATTTCATAAATTGGAATGTTTTATAACTACATTTTAGATTGAACATGAAATAGGTTTTTTTAACTTTTTCTTCCATACAGCTGTATATTTTGTAACTAATATAGTCTTGAATTAACAAGAGTGCACACATTGAAATGTCACCTGCTTCACTTATCATGATTCTGTTGAAAGTCTGTAATATGAAGGTTTTACTACAAGAATCACGTTATCAATAATCAATGGAAATGAGGTTGAGGTCAGATGAACCCTGCCAGACAGACAAGTACACCAAGAAGATATTGATTTGTATAAGGGCTGTTTACCAATAAAGAAACAGAGTTTCAGTTTCATATGAGCAATTTTGATTTCAACATCAATCAATATTGAAAATAGACTATATCTGTGGAGAGTTGTCTCATTGGCAATCTTACCACATCTTCTTATTTTTATATCTGACCAGAATCAAGAAAATATGTATAACATTTGAGGATTTCTACTTCTGAACACTAATCCTTTAAGAAATTATTGAATTTCAAGTACTTACTCTCCAAACATGTTCTTCTTAGAGTTGGCAAGTGAGCTGCCAAATCTCTCTTGGTACGTGACATAACTATGTATCCGTTTAGACAGAGATTGCACATCTTCCTGAGCTACTTCTATAGTATTTATAGCTCTACCAGGATCTGTATCTATACTCAGTAGGTCAGGGTTCTTCACCTCTTCTTTCTTTTTATTCAGCTCTGAACGAATCTGTTGTATCAAGGTGTCTAAGTCTCGACTGAACTTACGGATATTCTCATCTTTCTTGGCTTCATTATACAGGATGGTATTCTAGAACAAAACATTTCTTTATATAACTTTGGCAAAATCATTCCAATTACAAATATTCAATATTACACTGTAATGTTTGGAATCAAAAATCTGGAAATTTATATTATTAGTAAAGATATCGGCTTCATGTAAACCAATACAGGATGGTATTCTAGAACAAACATTTCCTTATATAACTTTGACAAAATCATTCCAATTACAAATATTCAATATTACACTATAATGTTTGGACTCAAAAATCGTGAAATTTATATTATTAGTAAAGATATCGGCTTCTGGCAAACCAATCACCCTACTAGAGACAGAAGTATTTAGTACTGTACTTTTCTTTCAGTGACCAAATTATATTGGTAAAATTCTGTTCATTATCTGCATAGAAAATAAAAATTTCAAGCTTTTACCCTGTCTCATATTAAATTCAGCTATATTTTTCTTTTTTTCACTACCTGATGTTAATTATGTCACATACAGTGTGCCCCCACCACATTCTGTATGCGGCTGTCCCAAGTCAGGAGCCTGTAATTCAGTAATTGTCGTTTGTTGCTGTATATCATATTTGTTTTAGTTCATTGTTTTGTTTATAAATGAGGTCATTAGTTTCTCATTTGAATTGTTTTACAATTGTCATTTTAGGGCCTTTTATAGCTGACTATGCAGTGTGTGATTTGCTCATTGTTGAAGGCCATACAGTGACCTATAGTTGTTAACTTCTATGTCATTTGGTCTCTGGCGGAGAGTTAATTCATTGGCAATCAAACCACATCTTCTTATTCTTATAACCCTCTAAACTGAACCCCTTTTGGACTAGGACTTTTAGACTAAAAGAAGATAGTTGTTTGGTTCACATATTTAAATTACTAAATAATATTCAGTTTGTCCTCAGATAATAATTCATTTGTGACGGGTTTCAAGTTTCACTGTCAATGGTTTTGTTGTAATTTATTCTAATTGAACAAAGTATACCTTCAATCCCTGAAAACTTGGAGCCAATGTCTGGTATAAAGCCATTAACAAAGTATACCTTCAATCCCTGAAAACTTGGAGCCAATGTCTGGTATAAAGCCATTAACAAAGTATACCTTTAATCCCTGAAAACTTGGAGCCAATGTCTGGTATAAAGCCATTAACAAAGTATACCTTTAATCCCTGAAAACTTGGAGCCAATGTCTGGTATAAAGCCATTTCTTCTGGTAATATGTTAACCAAGTAATCCTTAGCTATTGTGAATAACTTGTTCACTAGTAGAAACTCATTCTCAAGTGCAGGTAACTCTGAACTAATCTTTGACAGAAAGGTCAAATGCTCTACAAATTGTTCAACAGATTTAGGATAGTTGTCCAATTTCCTTGCTGCACCCTGTAAATGTAAGATATTTAATTCTTTAAACTGACTAATAACTGTTCAAATATTCCATGAATAGATTATCATTTGGAATACGAAATATTTCAATTTTAACAGTGAAGAAATGTCGTATCACATGAGATACAGTTGTGGAATCTGTTTGTCTGATAATTTTAGACAATATGTAGGCAAATTCAATTTTCCCTTTCAATGATTTGCAAAAAGTTATGTTCTTTCTGCAAGATAGGGTCACCTTTTTTGGTAACACAACAATAGCAACATTGAAGGACAACTAAACAATTGAATTTTGACCAATAATGGACTGAGAAGAGCAAAACACTTGTTCATTATCAAAAAATCAATGAACCAGTTAGGGAAAGTTTAAATCAGATAAGAATTACAAACACAGTAATTTTGTTGAATTTAATAGTTAAATATTTCTGCATTAAAAAGTAAACCCCAATAATTTTACTGTGCATGCTGAAAGGTTATATTGCTGTTCTTTATCAGTCTGAATATGCGTTTAAATTTCAAGAGAGTAAATAAGCCAAAACCCAGAAATTTGCCTCCCAGTTTTGTATAATATCTTTTTGGTGCATTGGTTTTCCAGGAAAATATTTATTATTGACCTGAATATTTACAAATACAATTTAGTTTTAAGTTCACTTTCAATATATGCATTTTGAGTAATGAAAAAAAGACCCTAACAAAAAAAGTACAATATTATTTGAACAAACCTTGATAATAGTAAGTAAGTCTTCATTTCGTTTGTTAGCTATAAGTGGAAGTTTGATATGTACTGTATCCACAATGTTGGTAGGATAAGGTAGACAGGTCTCACGGTAGTTCTTACTCAGAACCTGTATCATATGTACTCTCTTTCTGATGGTCATTGCTTTCATTTTTCCAATCTGTAAAATGAAAAAAATAAAAAAAAATAAAGCTTTTAAAAACAAAAAGTAATCTCATCACTGTTTTACTTATATCAGTTTTGACTGCATGTGGATGCTAACATATCTAAAATATCTAACATATCAAAGATCTATGTTCAGAAAAAACATCATTGCTCTTTAACTTTTAGATTCTAAGACCAAGACCTCAATAAAAAACTAAGTAGAGGTTCATATAACTAACTTCCATTGTTATCATAAACAGGTAAATGATATAATCAACTCTATTGGGTGAGGAAATATTTAATCATTTATTGAATGCAACAAAAGGTCATAACTGTCGCTAAAAGACATTTTTTATAGTAATAATTCATTTGCTGTAATGGTTTTGCATGCTATAAACATCAACGTCACAGTACCCAAATTGCACCAAGTACCAAAATTGCACCCATTTTACAAAAAGAGCAGTGGAAATCTTACAAGTTCTCCTAGAGACTAAATAAATTGTAATTTCATAATTTGCCAATATGCACATCTTCCAACATAGCTAAATATATGATTCAGTATGGATTCAAAATTAATTTTATAATTAAGGATACATTTACAAAATAAACACAGAATGGAAACTTTTGTCTGGATCTTAAAAAAACGTTGGTTAGAAATCTGTCAAAATAGGTGCAATTTGGGTACCCTCACGTTATATATCTTACTTCACTGGTATGTTTGGCTAGAACACCACTAAACTGATCTGTTGACCAAGGCTTATAGGCCATCGATTCTTCTACATTCAACTTCCTGGAATCATCAACCATCAGACAATATTGATCAAACTCCTACAAGTGGAAAAAGTTACTTCTTCATATACATACAAATATACAAAAGATACTAACAATTGTAATTTCAAAGTAATACTCAAAGAACAAATGCAACTTCAATGTAATATTTAAAGAACAATTGTAATTTCAATGTAATATTAAAAGAACAATTGTAATTTCAATGAAATTTTTTTGGTATCATATTAAATGTGTGTGTACATACAACAATTCATATGCTAATTGAGATAGTCAGAATAACAAGTTCTAACTTTCAATGAATAAGCAGAATAACTACTGGTTTAGGCAAGAAATTTATAAGTCAGTCATACTACTAAAATTGTTCACAGAGTATAGCAAAGTAGGACAAGATTGGAAAATTTTCATCAAACTTTTCATGCAATCTGCCTTTCTGCAATTGTAAACTGTAAAACAAAACTAATTCCTATTTAGAAACTTCAAAGAATATTCCATTCCAGTTGTTTTATAACAAAGTTTACAGAAATACCAATCATTCAAAGTGCTTTCTGTTTTATTTGAAATTCAGCATTTTTAATTATAACCACCCTGTTTTCTTTGAAGTGAACAATGGTGGAAGTCATTCCTTGTCAGACCTATTGATTAAAAAATGAAGTGTCTATCATAAAAGTATCATAGCATTCAAACTGAAGAAAAGCAACTTACTTTAGCATACTGCTTGACAAGGTTCATCTCCATTTCTATATATTTATGTAATTCCTCTAATAAGTTGTTGTATTCATAGTCATCACTGAAGATAAACTGAAGGTCAGGCCAAGGTCGCTCATATTCACGTCTCTCTTCCTCCTCCTCTACATCAAAGTTTAACTTCAGATCCTGTATTGGTGCCGAGTAGAATACTTTTAATCTTGGTTCTCGTAACATGGATACAACTTGTACTGAAATGAAACAGTTTATCCAAAATTTAATAAAAACTTTCAAAAATAAATATGGAGTCACTGTATCTTTTTTGAAATAAAGACAGAGTGCACAGACTAAAATATCTTGCCTACTTTACTGATCATGATTAAATTTTATGTTGAAATTTTTTTTTCAGATTTTAGATAAAGGTTTCACTAAACATACCACAAAAACTTAACATTATCTATGATCCATTACTTGTAAACAGTGTTTCTAAATCCTTTACCAGATTTTCAGACTGAGTGCATTTCCAGAACTGATCATCATACTATGGCATGTATATATATTACCACTACTTTTAATTCTAAATACTGTATTCCCTGTTTCTGTATGAGACATTAACTTAAAGTAATGTTCCTAAATCCAACCACATGTTGATTTTTATACACATTTTTATAACTGTTTCAGATGTTATGATGTATCAAGTACTTACCAATACTTTTTTAAATCAACTAATAATTTGGTATATATATATATATATATAAGTCTAAATTGAAAACAACGTTCAAACCTATGATTACGTTGGATAAAAACCGCAATTTTTATACGTGTGCATGCAAAACAAATTTCTTGGTAGAGGGGTCTAAATACAGCACAAACAACATTTTCCAAAAGACAAAAAAAAAGTTAAAAATTATATTTAAAAAACGCATATGACTAACAGGTCGAACAACGGATGTTCTTAAACCCTGCTAACTGCCATTGGCGATTGCCAATAAACGGATCACAAGATGTAACAAAATGGATCTTTATTATTAATTTAATACCAAACAGAAAACAATAAACTTGCGGAAAAAATGGTATACCGCAAACATGAGGTGCAAAAATTTGTACACCATATCCGGATTTCGACAATTAATGTCTCTTCAGTGATGTTAGGAATAGAAAGGGTATTTGGAAGGCCATATAATTTACCTCAATTTAGGATAGACTCTTGCATTTCTGTAGAGTCGAAATAAGATGAACGGATCATATAAAACCGAAGGCAAATATAATACAAGCCCAAACGAAAAAATATAAATAAGTCTAAATTGAAAACAACGTTCAAACCTATGATTGCGTTGGATAAAAACTGCAATTTTTATACGTGTGCATGCAAAACAAATTTCTTGGTAGAGGAGGTCTAAATACAGCACAAACAACATTTTCCAAAAGACCAAAAAAGTGAAAAAGTATATCTAAACAAAACGCATCTGACTTAACAGGTAATAACGGATGTTCTTAAACCCTGCTGACTGGCATTAGCGATATAAATATATACATTAGAACCATTCCTTGCACAGTGATATATCAACTTAAAAACAAATTTCTATATCCAGCCACCATTTTAACTATGCCCTGTTTGAACTGTTTCTATCTCAAGGATTACTTACCAATGGTGTTCCTAAACCCAGCCACTATTTCATCTATGCCCTGTTTGAATTGTTCTTGATTTGGTGATATATCAACAACTGATTTGCTTGGTAGAGTTGGTTTCCTAAAAACACCACACACAATTATCACAAAAGCAAACTTATCTTCATAAATATAAGCTTTCACGTATTGTAAAATTCTTTTCTTAAATGCTTTTCCTGTCTTTTTTTTTTTTTAAATAAATATTTGAGCAAGAAACAGACAATTTTTCTCACTCCAGTTTTCTCAATAGGCAAATTAGTTTGAGTCAAAGAACATGTGGGGTATACATCAATGAGATAGCAACGAAACAACCAAAACAAAAGCAAAAGACATTTAGAAGTCAACTTTGGCCCTCAACAACAGACAAGTGACTAAATCGTCCAAAAGTCTTAAAATTCTAAAAAGTAGTGATTTAATTTAAAAGGTTCATCAAAGATCTGCCAATACCAAGTTCCCAAAAGACCAATAAATATAATACCAACTAGATGTGTGGAACTAAAAATCAGCTCAAAATGTGAAGGCGTTTAGAAAAAAAGTCTGCATAATTGTTCATTGCGGAATGACAGAATGAGAGAATGATTGAATGACTGACAAGGGTAAAACTATATGGCCCCAACCACATTGAGCAGGGCCATAAAAATTACATTAAGATATTGATAAGACAACCAGAGATGAGGTTCCTGACTTGGGACAGAAATATGAACATAAGACAGGTTTAAACTAGTTTTTTCACACTCAAATATCACCCACTTTTAATCTAAATCAGAGCCATAACAAAAAGTACAAACAAATCAGTTCAGAAGAACACGTAACTTTATAATATTGGTATAATAGGCAACAAGAAACAAAATTCATAATAACTGTATAAACTATAAAGAATGCTCACAGTTTTAATGAAAACAAGCTCAAAGTACTTAACCTGCTAATACAGAACTCATGCAGTCATTCACTCTAATATTGGTGACTGTACTTTGGAGTAGATTTTGTACAGCAGTGTCATAAACAGTGCAAGAAGTCACTTTCTTATGTAATGACCAAAGTAAAATTATACAGAATATCAGTACATTTTTCTGTAAGTTTTGTTTCAAACTATAAAAAGGTGAATGAATACTTTGAGACAGTGATTTTAAACAACAGTATAATTACAACCTTTATCAATATGTCTATAATACCAGAAAGAAATATTTGAAGGACTTCGTCTTTTAAATAGTATTACCATATTGAGTCATATGTAGCATCTTTCTTTTAGTGTTACTCACAATTTTTATTTTATTAATAGCAATTTTCCGTAGGTCTTGTATTCAATATTACAAACCTTTTTTCTGTGTAAGCATAAGTTAGCTGTTTGTCTCCCTTCTTTCCTTCATCATCCTCATCTTCTTCTCCTTCTTTAGATTCCTGTTGGTCTTCTCTCTCTCCATCAGTTTCTTCATCCGTATAATAATCAGATTCTGACTCAGAATTCTCTGTATCTAATAAAGAGATTACCATCTTATTGACATATATTGTGGATTAATTTATTTTCTTTGGTACCAATTTTCATAGATTGAGGAAAAATGATATTTTTGGTGGATATTTGAATTTGTGGTTTTGCCAAAGTTTGCATACTAGTTAATAGAAAATGTGAACTTCTATGCACATTTGATTTTGTGGTACATCTAAACCAACTAAATCCATGAAAATTAGTATAACCACAAATCATTACTCAGGATAACAAAATACTCTCAGAGATTTAATAAATGATAAAATGGATGAATATCTTGATTTTCAATTTTGAAAATAAGAAATGTTGGAAAGGGAGACAATCAAAAATAATTACAGACTTTCACACTTTCTCCATTACCTGTTGCAGAGTAGTGTTCATCAGTGAACTTGACCATCTTCTTTCCTGATCCTAATTCAGTTCTTTCCAGGGTTTTTCTTCTAGAGGATGTGGAAGATGCTGAATGTTTACTTGCACCTGATAGGGCAGTTCTTTCTTTAGGGGTATTCAACACCAGCTGTACATTAAATACTGCTGCCGCTATTTCTTCTACAACATCTTTTTGTTTAATTTCTTCCAGTACCTAAAATTGGTATGCGTAAACCCTCATTTTGTTTTGCGAAAAGTAAAATAACAAAAATACCGAACTCCAAGGGAAATTCAAAACGGAAAATCCTTTATAAAATGGCAAAATCAAAAGTTCAAACACAATTAACAAATGGAAAACAACTGTCATATTCCTGGCTTGGTACAGGCATTTCTGTATGTAAAAAATGGTGGATTAAACCTGGTTTTATAACTCAATGCAATAATTTTTAGACCATTTATAATTTAATAATTTTAAAACAATAAATGATGACATGTGAAAGCAAGACCTATGTCTTGCATTCCACAAGTTATGTAACAAAATATTCAATCATAAAACCACAAAATCAACTCTTTTGAATCAAGGAAACTGTTAACCATAATATTAAGTGAAATCATCAATAACTCTAACATGTTAACAAACCATATACTATTGATAGTAATTTTCTTTTTTTTTTGTGGGTAGAAAACAATTCAAATCTATGGATTTAAAGAAATATTCTATTTTTTGGATGATATAATATATTTTCAGTAGTGTGTTGCTCAAGACTACCATAACTGACCTAGATTCATTCATTTTTACAACAACAAAACAGATAACAACTCCTTCAGCTTTAGCCCAAATTTAACATACAATACATTTCACCTCGTGAATTGAATGCAGTAAAGGTTAATACCAGAAAATTTAGTAAGCATGAAAAAAAATAAATTTACACAAGTTTCCCCACTAGAAAATATTTATTACACACCTCATTGATATCAGGTGGACCATCAAACAGTTCTGGTTGATCAAAATCAAACTGTGGTATAACATAGCCTTCTTTTTTTTGTACCTGTCCAGGTTTCCCAAAACCACTGGCCCTATAAAACAAAAATTAAATCTGACTAACAATTGTTATAAAATATTAACATGTTCTTGTCCTGATATGAATGTAATATTTGCCACTGGATGTTTTTTCAACATCAATATCCATCATCATCCTCAACCATTAAGAAATAAACTAATTAACCCCGTATAATTCAATGTTGTTACATTAAAAAAGAGTTATAAAATATCATTCTCTTTCTTGATCTGCCTGATCTTCCTAATTACCTTGATTCAGGTCGACTGGCCATATAAACACTGCTTCTTCCTGACTGTGTTCCCATATCTGAATCCTGATATGAAAAACAATGAGAAAACAAGTATTAGCCCTTTCAAAAAGATAGTCTATTATTTTGAAATGCTTAAAAAAATCCTAATTCAATTTATGGGTTCTGTGGTGAAAAATTAACCATAAGTTTCGGTATTTAATAAATGACTTACCTCAATATAATAATGTTTTAATAAGCACTAAAGACCTTTAACAAAAATATCAACATTTTATTTTGTTCTACATTTTTCACTTATATGTAATGCCTAAGTATTATTGCAAAAATTGCATCTGACTTTTCGGTTGTTGTAAACTTTCTTCTGTTCAGGATGCAAAATCAAACAGAATTTAGTAGCTATCTTGGATGGAATAACATCTAAAACAGTTGTTTGTTAAGATATTTGGACATCTACAACTTTACCCTCTTACTGTAGACTTTGCCTCAGGATCATTATCATTTATTGCTAGATTGACCACACAATCTTGTCCTTAACTTGTTCCTGTTTCAAGTAACAGTGAAAGATAGAAACAATACTTTGAATTCAAGCTTACACAAATAAATAATTGTGAATTATAAATATGTATAACTCTTTTCAAGGTGACGATAGCTAGGTCAAAATTCAGTTACACGAATTTAGAAAATATGTCATTTAAAACTTTTCAAATTAGTTTTTGGATTGATACTTGGATATATAACTCAAAACCCAAATTTGGCATACATTTTAAAAATACTATATCATAATAAACATGCATACTAAGTTTCAAGGTGATGTGACCACAATTTCATGGTAAACTACCTTAAACTAAAACTTTAACCTGTTATTAGACTGATGAATTGACCGACAAACATGTCTATATCAGTGATAAAGTTTAACAGCATACATATTAAATAAGTTTAACAGAAAACTATAAACTAAATTCTTGTTTATATACCAATAACCATGCTGTTAGAAAAAGCAAAGAGAACATTTTTTTTAATTTACAATATTTAGTACATGGCAAAACAAACAAAGGACAAAATTAAACAACTAAGCATTTACTAGTAATTTGCTCAAAAATTTTGAAAAGTCTTACAAATTTAGAGTGAACAATTTAAAAAATATTAAAAGGAAAAAAATATTTATACAATAGTAGATAATGTTTTATTTGAACAAGGCCATTTTTTTTTAATTACTTGAAAAACAAAGCAATCACACACATATGCCATAAATGAAAAATAAAATTTAAAGGCACTTTCTTTTTTTTATTTTAATTCTTTTTCAATTATTTCAAATGAATATCTAAATTCAAAAAAAAGATTAGTTATGTCAAATTAATTCTGTTCAAAGATTATCATATCAAAGTTACATATGATACACATGATTATAATGTTGTGACTGAAAAGATATACATGTGAAAATATGTATGTTGACATATAAATGTATTACAGTAAAAAACAAAACTGTACATGAACAAAATAGAACAGTCAATAAACTGTAACAAAATGCTTACATAGTATGGAGACAAATATTTAGTATGCTGAAAATTATAAAATTATTACAGAGAAAACAATAACTAGTAGAGTAAATATTAAAGCAGATTTAACTATATATTATGCTGAAATAAAAACATGATCATACAAGCCAATCAGCAGAGAGAAATAAGCATCACGAACAAACCTTTTTCTTTTTCACTGGAATGTCATCATCATCAGATGAGCTACCATCCTCAGATGGAACGTATGTCGATGCCTAATATAAAACAGCACACAAAAATCGGTATAAATATATTGCACTTGGGATTATAATTGTGCTTAAATTTTCTTCTGGTATATACGTACTATACAGAAAAATGAAAATGTGGTATATATATTTCCCATATCTCAAAACTTATTTTTTAAATCATTAAACATACCAGTAAAATTTAACTACCTAAAGTGTTGCTATGTTCCATTGGCAGATTCTACGCTTACTTTAAATTTTATAAAATGCACCATTAAAATAGTTTAATTAATTGTTGAATTGTCATTGGAGTAGTGAGCAAAAGAAATTTAAGCTAGAAGATATTATAAGGATTTTACCAGGAGGAATATGTGATGAAAGTCTCAGGAAGACTGACAATGCTAGTGCTAAGGATGCTAAAGGTATTTAGGATTGCACAGTCTTATATAAATGAACTTTTATTTTGGCAATAATAAACAGATCTTCTGAAAGATAATCATTCTAAAATAATCATCAGAGGTCAGGGATAGACATTAGACAATGTGTCCTATTCCTCAAGAGGACAACCATTTTCTTAAATAAATTAGCCTCCCTATAATTTAACTCTTCCTAAATCACAATGGTAAAATTTAACTTGGTCACCTAGCAAGATACTTTTGGACCAGACTGGTCCATCATAGTCTGATTATCATAGGTCAATGGGAGAATTTTAACTTTGACCAATGAATGGGTCAACTAAAGAGACAGACAGACAGACAGACAGACAGACAGACAGACAGACAGACAGACTTAATAAAAACCAAACCTACTTTAAGGGTAATGTATTTTTTTAAATTCAAAAGTTATTTTTATCTATAAAAGTTATCAACTCCAGTAAACAAGAAAACTTTATAAATCTATTCATTTCAAAATGTTTCAAAGGGCTGCAAAAACTTTCAGAATGGCAAGAACCATAAAATTAACATTTGGCTTTAACTTCAATATAACAAAAACATAATTGCACAGAACAAATGATTTACCATAAACCATAACCTTTCTTAACACAGATTCACATAGTTGATTTATAGTAAAGAAATAAGTTAAGCATATACTGTAAACCAACTAATTTTTAATAGCAATTCATTTTCTTGATTTTTGCAAGTAGAAAAATAGCGCAAATATAAATTGTCGTGAATATGTCAATCTTGGATCTTCTTTTACATTAATACATAAACTTATATAGTAAATCGCCAAAATAAATCATTGGAAAGTCAGTTAGAACGGGCTAAATGTGAGAAAAAACTTCCGCAAAAAATAAGTTGGTTTACAGGACATGAAAGTACAAGAACTTATTGTTAATACTAATGTGTGTTCAAACTACTTATGTGAGAAAATGTTGTGAAACTGTTATTTCAAAGGACAATTTGCTGGTTCAAAGTTATCTGTCAAACTGAACATGGCACCAGAAGGAATAACAAATATGTATATACAATGCCCAAAGAAGAAAATAAATGTTTATATTTAAAATACAATTCAAATTCATTTCTTGGAAATTAAAAACCTAATTTACTGGAAACCTGTTGCTCAAATTCAGTTGGCCAGATAACTTCTATAACATGAAACCAGTCTTAAAGGAGCAGGGAACCAGAACTGTTGTACAGGAAGTTAATCTCTAAGAATTAACTCACCTCATCTGAATCATACTGATTCAGTCTCTTTACAGATTTTCTATACTGTTTTAAATATTATTTCAAAGATGAGATTTTATTAATAAAAAAATATGTATTCAGTTTCATCAAATTCTGATAAAAAAAAATTGTTAATATATGCTAAAAAAATCTTTTGACATCTATTATTTGTCAATATATAACAGAATATGTTTCATAAAATGAATGAAAGGTCTAAAATATATTTTTTTCAAGTGACAGGTAAATGATTGTGCTATTTACATAATGTGACCATTTTACAAACAATGATTAAGTTTCTTGAATATGGAAGAAAATTGTTCCGGATAAAACTTGTTAAACTGACATCTTACACAGCAGTTTATGAAAATTACACTAATTCACTTCAAGCACAACTACTCAGATTTTTGAACTACTAAGAGCCTGTTTTTGATTTAAGCTGTCATGAAATATCAAACCCTCATATAATTTATAAACTACCAATGTCTTCTCTACCCAATATCTATTTTATCTAGCCATATCGAAATGATATACTCCTTTGTATCATAGGCTACCATATTTTCACTACTTATACACTATTTCTTTGTGTATCTAGCCACTATGAATACCCCCATCATCAAATAAAATACAGACAATTATCAAAAACAAAGTTATACCTTTTCTTCATCTTCATCTGTGACATAATATGATGTAGACAGATGTTCCAGTAGTAATCTCATAGCAGTCACTACAAGCCGACGTAACATTTCTAAAATCAGGTAATCTATGGACCGCAGGAAGGCAGCCAACCTTGCCAAAATCTTCCTCCATTCAGCAATCTGAGCATAAAGGGGCTTAGAACCTAAAATACATAAAAGTATAATTATTAACAAAATTAAAAACTCTTTTCCAATTTGCTTACTTACTACAGTTCAACTGCACTTTTTTTTCATTTAATCCATATTTTGCATTTTTTTTGCATACTAAAGATAAATTCAAACTTCATCTATTTAGCAAAAACAAAAAAATGTAAGTTGCCTTCCAAGGGTCTCATATATGTTTTTATGGAACAGCTCTTACTTTTTTCTTCCTTTTTCTTTTCTTCCAAAGTCTTGATACCAAATTTCTTTTGTAATTTGGCTTTGCTATCTAACTTCTTGACTTCTTCTTTTGGCGGTGCTTGTATATGAACTTTTTTTGTACCCTCTGGTCTAATGCCATGTGTGATACCTTCCATTTCTGCAACCGTCTACAAAGATAAAAACTTAAAATAGAGTTCTCTCTACATATATGTTGATTTTAATTTTTATTGTGTTTTTGTTAAAAGTTAATTTACTATGAGACATGTCAGAAATTACTTACTGACACTTTAAACTCTGTGAAAATATAAAACTGTAATTTCAATCTACGGTAATACTGGAAACCAAGACATATTGATTATTATTGCTTAATTTTTTATGGCCTCTCTCAAATGAAAAATTCACTTTTTCTTTATATTTTTGAACAAATAACTGAACAAGAGTGCACACGCTGAAATGTCTCGCCTTCTTTACTAATCATTGATATTATGTTGATAGTCCTAAATATAAAGCTTTATTACAACTGTCACATAAACTTAACATTAACCAAGAAAACTAAACATTGACCAATGAACCATGAAAATGAGGTCAAGGTCAGATGAACCATGCCAGGCAGACATGTACAGTTAACAATTCTTCCATATAACAAATATAGTTGACCTATTGCTTATAGTTTAAGAAAAACAGACCAAAACACAAAAACTTAACACTGAGCAATGAACCGTGAAAATGAGGTCAAGGTCATATAAAACCTGCGTGACTAACATATAGATCATAAAATATTTCCATACACCAAATATAGTTGACCTATTGCATATAGTATTAGAAAAAAAGACCAAAACTCAAAAACTTAACTTTGACTACTGAACCATGAAAACGAGGTCAAGGTCAGATGACACCTGCCAGCTAGACATGTACACCTTACAATCATTCCATACACCAAATATAGTAGACCTATTGCATACAGTATAAGAAAAACAGACCAAAACACAAAAACTTAACTATAACCACTGAACCATGAAAATGAGGTCAAGGTCAGATGACACCTGCCAGTTGGACATGTACACGTTACAGTCCTTCCATACACCGAATATACTAGACCTATTGCTTATAGTATCTGAGATATGGACTTGACCACCAAAACTTAACCTTGTTCACTGATTCATGAATTGAGGTCGAGGTCAAGTGAAAACTGTCTGACGGGCATGAGGACCTTGCAAGGTACGCACATACCAAATATAGTTATCCTACTACTTATAATAAGAGAGAATTTAACATTACAAAAAATGTTAACTTTTTTTTCAAGTAGTCACTGAACCATGAAAATGAGGTCAAGGACATTGGACATGTGACTGACAGAAACTTCGTAACATGAGGCATCCATATACAAAGTATGAAGCATCCAGGTCTTCTAGCTTCTAAAATATAAAGCTTTTAAGAAGTTAGCTAACGCCGCCGCCGCCGCCGCCGGATCACTATCCCTATGTCGAGCTTTCTGCGACAAAAGTCGCAGGCTCGACAAAAATCATAAAAACATAATAGATCTTTTTAAATAATATATTCCAAATATAACATGGCACACATTTTATTTTTTGGTCTACTGTGGATTTAAATATTAAACCAAAAGTTTCATTTCATTGATTCAAGAACCAAAAATATCGGTAATAGTCCTATAAACAGCAACTTACTGCACATGACTCCCAAACAATGTCAATTATTTTATTTCTCAAGGTATTCAACTGTCCCAAAGCTTTCTCAGCCTGTACCACCTGGATGTCCTTGAATTCATCCAAGGTTAAAGTGGCAGACCTATCAACTACGATCAGAATAATAGCACTATCTTTCTCTCCTATACCATCTCTACTACCACTGGCAGCCTCCAGCAAACTTCTGACATGTATCAGACATCCCTGGAGTACCTCATTGGCTACAAACAACTGCTTGTACATTGTGTTTCTGGAAAACATGTTTAATAAATAGTCAATATGTCATACTTTTATTTATTTCTATCTTTATCTGTAAGTATAACAAACTTTAATTAAGCCCATTTTATTACTATTTATGATTTTTTTTGTAATATTAAAAAAGTCTTTTTGATTATATAAACACATTATTTGTGGTAATTGAAAAAGTGCTTTTCCATAAATTGAAGTTTTAGCCTCTGGATCTAAGGGTTCAAACAAAAAATAATTGATTGAATGATTGATTGTTTTTTAACATCCAGTGGTAAATAAAAATTTGTAAGGGTTCCGCGGAACCTAGTGTCTCGCCTACTTTTGCTGTTAATCGCAGGCTCAACAAAAATGAGGAAAAAAATTAATAAAAATATTCCTCTCTATACTATCTTTTGATTGTAAGTAGCTTCTGTCCAAGTTTGGTAAAAATCCAGGATAGTTTATGAATCTAATAAATGTTTTAAAAACTTAAACTGCAGACTGTATGTAATGTTAACTGGAAGAAAAACTAAGTCCATTTATAAGTAAAATACGGAAAAAATGGAACAAAATTTTAACAAAATTTCCTTCTAGATACTAGCTTTTAATCATAAACAAGTTTCTGTCCAAGTTTGGTACAAATCCAGGATAGTTTAAGAAAGTTATTAAAATTTCAAAAACTTTAACCACAGAGTGAATATTTGTGGACGCCGCCGCCGAGGACTTCGACGACGGAATGTAGGATCGCTATGTCTCGCTTTTTGGACAAAAGTCGAAGGCTCGACAAAAATGGTTTTCTAACACATTACATTCTGTAATTCCAAAGAACAATAGTCAAAACCCATCACCAGTATCACTTGAATAATAGAAATATTTAGTAATCAATTAATGAGTTTTTTTTTTATTTCAATGTATGTAGCTTTGACATGTAAAACAACAGCAATTAACAAACATATGGTTTCAAAGCAATTTTATGAATCTGAATAATATTTACATGTAAACAAGAGTTCACAATAAATCAGTTTCTATCAATAACATAACAAAATTACTAACTTGCTGCCAGATTTTTTCTGCATACGAACATTTCTCTTCCATTGTTTAAAAGTCTTCCATTTCCTATAAGATAAACATAATAAATGTATCATCAAAATTATTACTGGATTATTAACTTTTTACTTGAAGATTTTTAGTTTCCACCTCGCTTCCTATCATATTGAGAGTTTGTTTAATTTTTTTTTCTTTCCTGTTTTTCTTTTTCTATTTTCTGCAAAACAATTGTACTAATTTCATATTACAAAAATATTTCTGAGGAGCATCACGTGCACTTATTATCTTGAATTTATTTAATTACAATTCAATTTCTACCAAAATTAGACCATACACTTTAATATACAAGTATATGTTCTATTTCCATGAATAAATTCAACACAAAATAAATATTGTACTTATATGTTATATAAGTACTGTTTATACAAACAGCCATACCAGCTTACACTTAATAATTAATGTGTTAATAAAGATGCTGACTTTCTGGATACATTTAATTAACATACACAGACCACTTGTTATATCTTGAGGTTAATTTCCCTGGCATTTGACACTTTGAAGTTACAACTGGAATCTCACTAGGAGGCACACTAATCCTTTCTTAATCAGATACATGTCAAAATAATCTCTGTTGGTGAGGAAATGCAGATTATGATACCAGATCTTATAAAAAATTAATTACACAACAATTAGTATATTATCTAAAGGTCAGTGAGGTCAGACTCCTCCCACTGAATGATTGATGTACCCTATCTGTGTGTAAAGCCATATGCATGGTCTTTGTATAATCACTTTCTTGGTTCATAGCAGTCTTGACTAGTTGATATAGTTTTACAGTGCTATTATTTAATTTATTATTTTTTCAACTTTATAACTGGACTTCATTTTTCACAATGTGGCTGCATTAATTACTGAACCGCTACCATAATGATTTGTAAAACTTTGTACATGAACTTTGTTTTGTTTTCACCTTTGGATCTTATTAACTATACATAGCTGAGTTTTCATGTTTAAAAACTTGCGTAGTACATGCATGCATGTACACATTTTTATTTTGGATATATCTGAATTTGGATGACTTACATAAAGCAGCATTGCATTGTGTGTATTATACTTGTGGAGTTTATAACTTTGATAACTATGTCGGAGATTATTGTGTGAAAGAGCAGAATCTAACATCAACAGATCCATATGTATTAGTGACCATACAGAGATTTCCATCATTCCATCGAGTTCTTATGATACCTTCTATACAACTATTCTGGGCAAGTATTTTGTATTGAACTTTTATTTCTTATATACAGATGTATTGTGCTGGGGATTTTCTTCGAAAATTCTAAACTTACGGCAAACTAGAGACTAGATTTAACAAAATAGAATAAGGAGCCTAATATAGGGAGGATTTGGGGGGGGGGGGGGGGGGGGGGGGGGGGGGGGGGACTAATAATGTGGATTAATATATATCTTAACATGCATATTCAGAAAACAGCCTCATGAAATACTTAAGTATGGATTTTTTTCATCATCTATTTTGGAATAAAAGTGTTAAATTTTTTTTTATTTTTTATCTGTCTCTCTTATAAGATTTTTTGTTTTGTTGTCCTAATAACATACCCCACCTATGCAGAATATTAAGTAGTTTCATGATTTAAAGATAGCTAAGATAAAGAATTAAAGGGCCCTAGCTGCCATAATGAGCGAAGTAATTTTAATATTTTTTTTCTTTTTTCTTTCAATTTAGAATTCTGACAATCACATAGAATAGTATATTTTGTATATGCTGAATACTCCTAGTCTTTGCATCAAGTGGATATTTTAAATACATTTTACAGACGTTTTCCTCATATCACCTACTTTCTTAGTATATAAAACTTCAATAGGTCATAAAAGGTTACTTACCAAATTTAAACAGATCTAAGATTTCTTTTCTTACGATTTGAGACCCAAATAATGCAATGTTTTATATAAACTTTTAATTTTTTTTTTTCTCCCCCTTTACTAATGAGTTCTGGTTTATAGTATAAATTTTAAACTCCAGATCTTTTTAATTTCACCATACTACATCCTTATATCAGATTTCAAATGATTCTAAATGGATAAACAGTAACTGTTTGTTTTACATATAAATTTATATATATTTATAGTTTAACATAAATACACCAGCATTTGATATCGCCTATTATTGACACCTTCTTCTTTTCTTTATTTGCATATCTAAACACTGAGGAATGGAGACAGATTGCACCTCCTGTATGCACATTAGGTTCATCAGATTTTCAATCAAAGACATTAGACACTTATCAAGTTCTTCATTTTACCTAAGATGTGGCTACAGCTGGAATAATATGTCAATGGGACCTTATTATTAAACTTTACTTTTCTTCAACTGGAGCTCAGTCATACCTATATATTCTCATGAACATTTGCAGTATGCTAATCATAGTATCACCAGTTGGATAATCTTTACAATATTTCATCTTTCATCTGTGGTTTAAAGCACAATCAGCAACTAGTCTCACATTTATCAAGTTCAGAATTTCTCATGTGTACACAGGATTACAACAGACATGACTACCATATTTTGATACTAGAGCCTCTGTATTTCGACATGGACCCAAGAGTATGTTCAGATTTGTTATCTGTGTGGACATTATTTCTCCACTATTCAAACAGAGCATGTAGGATACACAGTTTTAGCATATTGACTACAAGGCAGCACTACAGCCTCAACAGTGCCGAACGAGTCCAGAAGTATTTGATTTCAAACCAAATTGTAACTTACTTGGGACATTGCTATTTCAAGCATACTTGAATCCGTAGAATCTGACAACTTACACTTTTTAAATAGACTACTTTGCATTTAAAATATGGCAAACCCAAGAATTAAGGAACCGTACAGTTTGCCTATTACTTTAAAGATATTATAGAGATTTTATTATGTTTTAGACAGGTATTTTTACAATAACAGAGACAGTATGTACATAGGTATTATTGCTCTATACACAGTGGAGTTTTATTGTTGAAACCTAATATGTTATCATGGTTATAGAGATTTATATTTGGGAATACAGTGATGTTTACCGTAGAGTATACATGCATTTCAAAATTTTGATATTTACACACCCATTGTTCACATTGGAGACAGCAGAATGTACAAACAGTCAATACCAACTCAGAATCTAACAGTTCTTTATAGCTGTACTTTGAACTTTAGACAAACACATTGAAAGAATTATTAAATATATATAACTGCATACAACATGTATTCAATGATGAGAGCTTCAGGCATTCGAAAGAATTATTTATTAACTGCATACTGAACAGTGGTATTTTCTTCAAAATCTTTTTAGGAAAATTTATCATATTTGAATACTAAATATAGTTTTATAGCATTAACATGCCTGTATTTCAGTACCAGTTATGATAGACATTGGCTAATCTACTAGCACATGGGATATCCCCCATACAGACCTAGCACACTAACAGTTACAGATGAGACACCAAGTCTCACTCCCTTGTGGAGACCCCTCGCTCCACATTCCCAAACTGGCATATTGTTGTACAGGCAGTTTCTTGCTCTCTGAATTACAATACTGAATGCATCTCTCATGATGTTCAAAATCTATATGAATCAATCTAGTGTAGCTCTCAGTTCAAAAACTTTGATATTGAATACCATTTTTATAGCATTCTCATCTCATTGAAATACTGATAATAATTTTTATTGCATTCTCATCATTGAATTATTGATAATCATATTTTACCTTTCTCAGCATTGAATTACTGATAATAATTTTTATAGCATTCTCATCATTGGATTACTGATATTCATTTTTATAGTAATCTCATCATTGAATTACTGAATATCTTGTTATAGCATTCTCATGTTAGAACTTTGAATATTGAATATAATTTTATAGTATTATCATGTAACCATTTGGTCAAAATACTAGGACGCTGGTCCTCTGATAGTTACTGCAGGTATATAAGAGTGTCATCGACTTCAATTAAGTATACACAAGAATTGTTAGGAAATATTAATTTAAAGCATTTTAATGTTTTAATACTGACTACTTTTAGTTACATAATTGTAAATTAGGATGTAGATCTACACATATATATATATCATGTATATATCATGTACGTACATATAATTATTTTCATTGTAATTTTATTTTTTATTTTTTTTTATTTTTCTCATGACTTTATTGAAGGTGAAAAAAATCTTAATCCTAAATCCTTGGGGGCACTCAGCTGTTTCCATCTGAGTTTTTGGACCTTGATGGAATTTTATCACTGGTTATTTCTAAAATTTCATTCATCCCCAAGCATTTCGGGGACAAATTTTATCAAATTTATTCCAGCGCCAGTTTGATCTCAGATGAGACGCCTAGTCTCATCACCGAAGTGGAGAACCCTCGCTTCACATTCCCTGGCCTCAGATGAGACGCCTAGTCTCATCACCGAAGTGGAGAACCCTCGCTTCACATTCCCCGGCCTCAGATGAGACGCCTAGTCTCATCACCAAAGTGGAGAACCCTCGCTTCACATTCCCCGGCTGGCGTATTGTCGGGCAGGCAGGTTCTTCCTCACACTGGAGGTTGCAAGCTGACTTGCTCAGGCAGGAACTCAAAAATTGTCTTGTATGCTGAGTGTTTCCCTAGGGCCAAAACCAGATTGATTAATTGTTTTTATAATAAAATTATTATTCATTCTAAAATATTTTTCTGCTTTAAGCCAGTATGATTTTGCTGAGACTATGTTTTTGTTTTACACACAGATACCCCTTTTGTGACATTTGGTATAGTTTTTCGGAGTTGGTATTTGTTCATTTACAAGGATGAGATCGGGACTTTAATTGAGATTTGCTCTATTAGGAGAGTTTTACTGTAAATAATTGTGGGATGTCAGGACTTGCCCATCAATACAAACAGAACATAATTTTACCTGAAAAGTTACATCAGTTAAATATAGATTGATGTGATCATTAAACATTTCATCTTATCAATGGAAGGCTTGCATATACCTACCTTGATCTTTGGAAAAGGTAAATAAAAATGTCTCTAGAAATTTAGTAAGCCTTCCACTGGTGACCTGGAATGTTTTGATCACTGACACTAGAGGCATAAACAAGGAGTTTTGCAGACCACTCTAACAACTATACAAGAATTAGACAACCTCACACAAAAAGTACAGAAACAATATTTCACTTTATGAGACTCAATAAATATACAACATTAGACTGGAGAAAAAATTAAAAATATGAGACTACAGAAAAATATTACTATACGAGACAACAGAATACAAACTTGGTTTGTTTGTATAAATATTGTACTTATATGTTATATAAGTACTGTTTATACAAACAGCCATACCAGCTTACACTTAATAATTAATGTGTTAATAAAGATGCTGACTTTCTGGATACATTTAATTAACATACACAGACCACTTGTTATATCTTGAGGTTAATTTCCCTGGCATTTGACACTTTGAAGTTACAACTGGAATCTCACTAGGAGGCACACTAATCCTTTCTTAATCAGATACATGTCAAAATAATCTCTGTTGGTGAGGAAATGCAGATTATGATACCAGATCTTATAAAAAATTAATTACACAACAATTAGTATATTATCTAAAGGTCAGTGAGGTCAGACTCCTCCCACTGAATGATTGATGTACCCTATCTGTGTGTAAAGCCATATGCATGGTCTTTGTATAATCACTTTCTTGGTTCATAGCAGTCTTGACTAGTTGATATAGTTTTACAGTGCTATTATTTAATTTACCGACCACCATCCACCTTCCTAACACCTTCAATAATGTTTCATGACAAGGGAAACTTTTCAGCTTTTACTAGTGATATATTTTTTTTTTTTAATTAATTTTAATTCCTTGATGGAATTTTATCACTGGTTATTTCTAAAATTTCATTCATCCCCAAGCATTTCGGGGACAAATTTTATCAAATTTATTCCAGCGCCAGTTTGATCTCAGATGAGACGCCTAGTCTCATCACCGAAGTGGAGAACCCTCGCTTCACATTCCCTGGCCTCAGATGAGACGCCTAGTCTCATCACCGAAGTGGAGAACCCTCGCTTCACATTCCCCGGCCTCAGATGAGACGCCTAGTCTCATCACCAAAGTGGAGAACCCTCGCTTCACATTCCCCGGCTGGCGTATTGTCGGGCAGGCAGGTTCTTCCTCACACTGGAGGTTGCAAGCTGACTTGCTCAGGCAGGAACTCAAAAATTGTCTTGTATGCTGAGTGTTTCCCTAGGGCCAAAACCAGATTGATTAATTGTTTTTATAATAAAATTATTATTCATTCTAAAATATTTTTCTGCTTTAAGCCAGTATGATTTTGCTGAGACTATGTTTTTGTTTTACACACAGATACCCCTTTTGTGACATTTGGTATAGTTTTTCGGAGTTGGTATTTGTTCATTTACAAGGATGAGATCGGGACTTTAATTGAGATTTGCTCTATTAGGAGAGTTTTACTGTAAATAATTGTGGGATGTCAGGACTTGCCCATCAATACAAACAGAACATAATTTTACCTGAAAAGTTACATCAGTTAAATATAGATTGATGTGATCATTAAACATTTCATCTTATCAATGGAAGGCTTGCATATACCTACCTTGATCTTTGGAAAAGGTAAATAAAAATGTCTCTAGAAATTTAGTAAGCCTTCCACTGGTGACCTGGAATGTTTTGATCACTGACACTAGAGGCATAAACAAGGAGTTTTGCAGACCACTCTAACAACTATACAAGAATTAGACAACCTCACACAAAAAGTACAGAAACAATATTTCACTTTATGAGACTCAATAAATATACAACATTAGACTGGAGAAAAAATTAAAAATATGAGACTACAGAAAAATATTACTATACGAGACAACAGAATACAAACTTGGTTTGTTTGTATAAACAGGTTTATAAATTAGAATTAGATAATAAACATCAGAAACATAATAATTTACCTAAATTGAACAAATACAGGTAGTTCATGTATCATGTAAAATAATCTTCGTTCCCACAACCACCATAAGACAGGTGTGTTGGTCGACAGTTCCTGACCATTTGGTCCTTGAGTACACTGCAATTTTAAAATCAATGATAGTTTTAAAATACCTCATCAGCAGAAAAAATCTGTATGTCATAAGATATTTAATAACAAACAATCATGTCATAATAAATATTCATAGATTCTCACATTTGTTTAAGGTTATTTCAAAATGTAAAATTCTTCAAGCAGAAATTAATCCTTTTTAACATAAAAAGGCATGAAATGCCCATCTAAAGACAATCATATTCTCTTACCCCCTTCCCTCCAACATAGTAACATACAGAGCATTGACAAACAAACAAGCAGACACAGATATATATCCCAAAGAAAATTGTTTATTTTTACCCTAGTTATATAGGATGCACTGATTGTCCAGTAGATTGGCTGACTTCTGGCTTCATTAGCAGAAACGATCTGTAAATCATATGGCATGTAGCGAGCTCTCTTATTCTTCCTATTCTTTGGTAAGCAGTACAAAAATTCTCCATCATCTTCCTTTATCGTTTTCTGTGACTTAATAAAAAATAAACATAATTTTACAGATAAAAGTAACTAATTGTGACTTGCTAGACTCACATTCACAAATAGTATTCAGGACAATGCAGCTATAACTATTTATCTCCCTTGAACATCTGTTGGGGTATTGAGATTGAAATACTTTTTTGCATCCGGTAATGTTTTGTGAGAGACAACTTACAAATATGTTTCCAAAATAAACTGTAAGTTATTCAAACTTGTGTATTACATTACAAAAAAAAGTAAAAGATTGTGATTTCTCAGGCAAATAAAAAATAATATTGCTGAGTTCCATGTCATTATTTCAAGAAGAAATAAATTGCTAGACTTATAAAATATCTATTTCATATTCTGTTAACCAACTTATTTTTCGCTGATACATTTGTCACATTTAGCTCTTTCTAGCTGACTTCTCCACGATTTATTGTCACATTTTTTTTTAACTTTGTTGATGTATTCATATAAGAGAAGATCAAAGTTTGGCATTTGTTTTGATGATTTATATTCACACTTTTTTCCTGCATGGGAAATTCACAAAAATAAATTGATCACGAAAATTAGATGGTTTATAAGAAAGCATTGATTTTTAACCTGTGGATTTAACTTTGGTATATCTGATATAGTTTCCATTGCCTTTCTACAATCAGGACCATGTCTTGGTAATGCTGTATTCCATCCTAGTTGACTTCTTAATTTCTCTACGTTGTAAAGGACATCATCATTCTCAGGTACTGCAATATGATAAATAATGTTTAGTCATGTCATTTAATGTTATATGGAACATATGTACACCCAGTGCATAATAGGATAATGTTTCCATCCCTTGAATTTTTTTGGATTAAGAAGATGTTCTCAGAAACATAGTATTATGTATAAATTACTCACCTTGTACAATAATTTTGTGAATGTTTTACATGCAAGTTTCCTAAAAATTACTTTTTCAAAAGTTTTAAACACTGATATTTAACATGCCTGCTTTCTTCCAGCAAGAGAGATCTATTTGGCAATATTTTAATTCCTTTCCCAGAGAGGAATTCTAACTTCAAACAATATATTCTATACAAAAAAGTTAATTTCTAAATTACTTTGTAGTTAAAATGTCCATGTGAATTTCAATTGAATTAGATAAAAAACAAGAATGTGTCCATAGTACATGGATGCCCCATTCGCACTTTCATTTTCTATGTTCAGTGGACCGTGAAATTGGGGTCAAAACTCTAATTTGGCATTAAAATTAGAAAGATCATGTCATAGGAAACATGTGTACTAAGTTTCAAGTTGATTGGACTTCAACTTCATCAAAAACTACCTTGACCAAAAACTTTAACCTGAAGCGGGACAGACGGACGGACAGAAGAATGAACGGATGAACGAACAGACGCACAGACTGAAAAACATAATGCCCCTAGTTGGGGCATAATAAACTGTTGACACAGAGATATGTCTCACCTGGCAGCGTAAAATCCAGAAAAAGACAATCTGATGGATAAGCAACATTGCTAATTAATTCAAAGTCCCTGGACTAGCTAGTATTTAGGGCCTCGAAATGGTTGACAAACTGAGATGTACAGACAGCAATTTAACATTATAGAAAATATTGTCCCTATCAAACTTACCTAATCAGAAAACTTAACATTGAAAATTGTAAATTGATTGAAAGTTATTGGACCATGTCCTAGGGGGCAGGGCCTTGAAATAGTTGTCAAACTGATATGTACTGATAGTAATGCAACTTTATAGAAAATACCATTGATCTATCGCAAGTAGTTCATATCAAACTAATTTAAGCAGAAAACTTCTCATTGAAAATTGCTAATTAATTGAAAGTCACTGAACCATGGCCTAGGGGGTAGGGCCTCAAAATAGTGGTCAAACTGCATCTTCACACAAAATATCAATGATCTATCACAAGTAGTTCCTATTAAACTAACTTAAGCAGAAAACTTAACAATTGTCGCCTCAGCCGTCGCTGGAAAAGCAATTGCTATGTCTCGCTTTCCGCGACAGGCAAGACAAAAATCTGGTAAAAAATCTAAGAGTTCAAAAAGGAATTTGAAATTGTTCCTTTAAAGATACAAATATGAAATTCATGCAAGAATATTTCAAATCTGTAAAACAAAAACTTCAGTTTGAATCATTAAATTTTCTTTTAAAAATTAAACCTCCTGAAACAATTAGTTTTGTATGTCAGTTAACAAAACCAAGACCACATAAAAGACTCATTAACAAAATCATATTATTAAATTACTATATAGAATGAAAATTTCATTTGCAACAGTTATGCAAAAAACAGTTCCGCTTTGCAGGCCCTGCCTCATCTACTATAAACCTTAAATGAACCATTCTTTCAACTCTTGAAAATACAGTTGTGTAATAACGAAAACAATTAATGATTTACTTCTATTTTTTTTTTTAATTAATAATGATTGATTGATGATTGATTGTTGCTTGATTGCTTTCAATGATTAAAAAAAATCAAAAAAATTGTTATCATGCAAAAAAATATTAACTATCAATTTTGTTTGAAATACAATACATATGTTGAATATTTTTCTTCGAAGGAGACTTTTTGCACTTTATAAATATAACCTATTTCTTGTTTATGAATATTCATGCATTGAATCTAAATTTTCATGCATAAAGTGACATGCAATAATTCATCAGAGTGTATGAGCTTACCTTCATCAACTGTAAATAAATAACATATATCATTAGAATTTAAAATTAAAAAAATCTTGTTTCAAGCTATATAGATGCAATGGCTAAGTCTCATCAGTAGTATTGACTGAATTCTATTAGAAGCAACTATACTATATATATATACTTGGTGCATGCAAATATCTTTTCTTTTGATTTTTGCAATTTCTATGGTTAAACTGTTTGCACAGGTATTAAATTTCTGCATCAACAATAAGTTGGCCCTATACATTAATATCATTGTTTTCTCCAAAACATTTGTGAAGAGGATATCCACCCTCCCCATTTTTACATGATCATGAAATAAGTGAACATAACACAAACATTTATGTATAACTTGATTCCTTTTCTAAAGTATCTTAACAGTAAAAAGGTCAAAGGACAAAATAATGACAAAATAAAAAATGAAAGTATCTGCACCCTATAGAAAATTAAAGCAATATGACAAAATAAGAAAAAACCAAGCATTTGGAGTGAATTGTATGTGCAATAGAAATTCCCTTACTGATAGTAATGTTTACCTTTGTTTGAGTTAGTACTTTTTTAAAATGGAACAAGCATTTGGCTGTTACTGATGTAGTTAGGAATTTCCATCTTATCATTAACTGGGTCAGAAAATTTATTATTTGTTATTTAAATATGTGGATATTGACATCAACTAAGAGCCAACCCAACAATTAATTTATCATGGTTATTTATTCTCTAACAGATTGTATATTAAAACAATTTATCTATGTTAAATGACCACAACTCCTGCACCAATCCCTCAGTCAAAACAAAACTCAAACTGGATCAGTTACTCCTAATGATATGACTACATACCAAATATGTAATCATTTTAGTCAGACATAACTGCAAAAGTATGTAAAACTGATACTTTCAAGAAATTTCCTATGTTCTAGGTCCACTTCTGCAAAAATTGGTCAACCAAAATGAAACTCAAATTCAATCTGAAAATGCTTATGGTTTGACAGTATAGCAAATATCTAATTAATTAATTCATGCTTTACAGAAAAGCGTGTAAAAAACTGTTATTATCAAGCAAATTTTCCATGTTCAAAGGTCTCAATTTCTGCACAAAACTTCCTACCCTAACAAATCTCAAACTTGATCTATAACTTCTTAAAATGTTACTACATATACATACTAAATATCTAATCAATAGATTGAAGCATTATAGAAAAAAATGTTATTTTAAAGCAAACTTGTTGTCCCTATCGGTTTCGTCAGTAGGGGACTAATAATTAGATATGATTAGAATATAACAAACGAGATTAAAATATATATACTTAAATTCAGAAATTAATGTGTGTATTTATTATTGCGAATTATTGACCACAGGCAAAAATGCACAATCTAATTAAAGCTACTGCGATTTTTATGGAGGAAATTAATCAAAGAAATAATGATTATAAGTTTTTATTATTGCAAACCTGATACTGTCACATTATTTGCATTAATAAAAACTTTCCAAATTTAAAGTGCATGTAGTGAAAATTACTAATTAAATGGGTTTTCCATATTTGTTGTGGGAATCCAATGTATACCAAAATTATGTCATCAATTTTTTTCTAACATCCTGGTCTTTTTAGACTTAAGTGATCATGTGGTCAACTATGGCACTGATTCTTTAAAGTCCAATATAATTTTTTGCAATACATTTTAATTTTTAAAGATTAGTACTTTAGATCATACTGTCTGAATTAGTTTGAAAACTTCCTCAAAGGCAATTTCAATTGAACTCAAAACATACCAGTTTAGTTATCATTTACAACATTATGCTATTAATCTGTTGAAATCATTCTTACCAGTATCGTCATATCTGTTCTTTTTCAAGTAGTTCAATATAACATTAGACTCCTTTTTCTTCGCTGAGTCTTTTCTGTCAGAACGCGCTGATGAACTGTTACTGGAAAGTGGCCTCCCCTTCAAGGGTCGTGTATCAATGATAGGAATTTCATCGGGAAAGTCTTTGTTCAGGATTTCATCATCATCTTCATCTTTAGCGACAGAGTATGGTGATTTTGTTGGTGACCTCTCTGCACTGACAGGTAAATCTGTTGACGATGGTTTTGATATTTCATCCATTCCCGATTCTAAATGCTGAGAAGAATGTGGACTAACTGTAATGAAAGTAAGAAAAAATCACAATGTTTTTCTCCTTTCCTTTGTCCAATTCGTACAAGAAGTAAGTCAAACTCATATTTTCCACTCAGAATAATAAATGAAGGTATATAACTAAAACTATTTTTCTGCTGTGTGGACAATAACAACATTATAACAAATGATATAAAATGTACCCTCCAACATGACCTGTATCTCATTAAATATTAGGCCCTTTATTTTGATTAAGATTTATCAGAAAAGTCTAAAATGGTTTACAACCTTTAAACTCTATGACTACAATCATGTACATTCCAAACCAATCATTTTTGATCATTTCTTTAAAGTATGAAATATGCACAGGCCAAAAAGATTTTCTCAAAAAAGCCATAACAAACATGACAGGGGTTCCACAAGTCAGTAATAGGATCAACATTCATCTCTGACTTCAATAGAACATGACAGGGGTCCCACAAGTCAGTAATAGGACTAACTTTCATCTCTTGACTTCAATTGAACATGACAGGGGTCCCACAAGTCAGTAATAGGACTAACATTCATCTCTTGACTTCAATTGAACATGACAGGGGTCCCACAAGTCAGTAATAGGACCAACATTCATCTCTGACTTCAATAGAACATGACAGGGGTCCCTCAAGTCAGTAATAGGACCAACATTCATCTCTTGACTTCAATTGAACGCGACAGGGGTCCCACAAGTCAGTAATAGGACCAACATTCATCTCTGACTTCAATAGAACATGACAGGGGTCCCACAAGTCAGTAATAGAAACAACATTCATCTCTTGACTTCAATTGAACATGACAGGGGTCCCACAAGTCAGTAATAGGACCAACAATCATCTCTGACTTCAATTGCACTTAATGAAGAGTTTAAAAGTAAAATAGAAATGTAATGAAATTGTACTGACTTGATTTGGCACCATTAGTACTGGGTTCAGTTCCAGGCCCCATTATCTCTGCTAGCTCTGCTAATACTTCTATTTCCTCTAACTCTTTGTCATCATCACCATCATCCATTGTCATGGGAGTTGCTGGAATTGGTTTAGGCTGTGGCTTGTGAAGCCTGAATATCAATAACAAATAATAAAAAAATATAATTTTATGCATATATCATCATAATAATATTAAAGACAATACTTTTTGGCATCATTTTCACCTAAATATTTTTCTCAACAATTTCTTCAGTCCCACATATTTGTCAAATTTCCCAAAATTTGTAAGTCCCAAATATGCGAGATAACATTGTATAAGCATAAAATTTCATTCAAATTTATGCAAAACTATATAAAATATTTGACTGAGATCTTTGTCATGTGTAATATTTATAACAATAGAAATTCAAGAGGGCACACGATGAAATGTATAGCCTGTTTTACTTATCCATGAATTCATGTTGAAAGTCTGTAATATGAAGGTTTTACTACACGTATTACACAAACTTAACATTATCAAATGTTCTATGAAAATGAGATCACATTCAGAGGAACCATGCCAGACAGACATGTACACCTAACAATCATTCCATGCACGAAAAATAGTGGTCCTATTGATAATAGTACCACAAAATCTTAACAATGATCAATGAACCATGAAAATGAGGTCAAGGTCATATAAACCCTACCAGACAGACATGTACACCTTACAATGGTTCCATACACCAAATATAATTGACCTATTGCTTAAAATATCTGAGAAATAGACCAAACAACAAAAAACTTAACATTGACCAATGAACCATGAAAATGATGTCAAGGTATGATGAAACCTGCCTGAGGGACATGTACACCTAACAATCATTCCATCCACCAAATATAGTGGCCCTATTGCTTATAATATCTGAGAAATAGATCAAACCACAATAACTAAACATTGTCCAATGAACCATAAAATTGAGGTCAAGGTCATATGACACCTGTCAGTCTGACATGTACAGCTCACAATCATACACCAAATATAGTTGACCTAATGCTTATAGTATCTGAAAAACGGACTTGACCACATAACTGTAACCTTGATCACTGGTCCATGAAATGAGTTTGAGGTCAGGTCAACCCTACCTGACAAACATGTAGATGATGCTAGGAACCTATATACCAATTATCATATTTCTATTACTCATAATAAGTGAGTGTTTCATTTGACAAAAAATCTGTAATTTTCAAGCAGTCATTGAACCATTAAAATGTGGTCAAGGGCAATGGACATATGACAGACGGAAACTTCGTAACATAAGGTATCTGTATACAAGGTATGAAGCGTCCATGTCTTTTACCTTCTGAAATATAAAGCTTATGGATGTAGTCATGTCAGGTTTAGGAATTTTTGTCAGATATTTGGATTCCTTGGTTTTTTTTTACAGAGATACAGGGTAAAATATTTTGCCCCACATCACCCACTTTCCTTTTCATATAAGATTTCAATAGCTCATAAAAGGTCATTTACTAAAATTTAAGCAGATTCTACATTTCTTTTCTTACGATTTGAGACCCAAACAAGCATTCTGAGAGTATTGCAGGGCAATACATAGTCCCCTACTGGTTAAAAATTCATTGTACTGTAACAAAATGCTAACTTGTTCTATAATTTGTCATGGTGTTAACTTTAAAACAAATATCAAGTCAATATCTTCAAGCATGATGAAAAAATTCGTAAGGGTTCCGCGGAACCCAGTGTCTCGCCTACTTTTGCTGTTAATCGCAGGCTAAACAAAAATGAGGGAAAAAATCAATAAAACAAGAAATGATTGTAACAGGATGCTGTTACTAAGTCTCCCAAACGAAGCTCCCATAATTCGTAATTCCCAGGGTCGCCTTTTGAAAATTGGTTTGGTCCAGTAAAGTTATATGCATAAGTGATGCCTGGGGACTAACCCTGTATATCATTCAAATCATCTTGGCATGACAAACCAGAAAATATATGGTTTAGGGGTGGGGATCTCGACCATTTACAAGATATAAGAACTTTCTCAAATGGCAGGGGGTCGGGATGACCCCTGAGGACTAACCCTGCATATCATTCAAACCATCTTAACATGACAAACCAGAATATATGTGGTTTAGGGGTGGGGATCTTGACCACTTACAAGATATTAGAACTTTCTTAAATGGCATAGGGTGGGGGTGACCCCTGGGGACTAACCCTGTATTTCATTTGATTTGCTTTATCATGACAAACCAGAATATATATGGTTTAGGGGTGGGGATCTCGACCATTTACAAGATATTAGAACTTTCTCAAATGGCAGGGGGTCGGGATGACCCCTGGGGACTAACCCTGTATATCATTCAAACCATCTTAGCATGACAAACCAGAATATATATGGTTTAGGGGTGGTACTCTTGACCACTTACAAGATATTAGAACTTTCTTAAATGGCATGGGGTGGGGGTGACCCCTGGGGACTAACCCTGTATTTCATTTGATTTGCTTAATAATGACAAACCAGAATATATATGGTTTAGGGGAGGGGATCTCGACCATTTACAAGATATTAGAACTTTCTCAAATGGCAGGGGGTCGGGATGACCCCTGGGGACTAACCCTGTATATCATTCAAACCATCTTAGCATGACAAACCAGAATATATATGGTTTAGGGGTGGGGATCTTGACCACTAACAAGATATTAGAACTTTCTTAAATGGCATGGGGTGGGGGTGACCCCTGGGGACTAACCCTGTATTTCATTTCATGTGCTTTATCATGACAAACCAGAATATATATGGTTTAGGGGTTGGGATCTCGACCATTTACAAGATATAAGAACTTTCTCAAATGGCAGGGGGTCTGGATGACCCCTGAGGACTAACCCTGCATATCATTCAAACCATCTTAACATGACAAACCAGAATATATGTGGTTTAGGGGTGGGGATCTTGACCACTTACAAGATATTAGAACTTTCTTAAATGGCATAGGGTGGGGGTGACCCCTGGGGACTAACCCTGTATTTCATTTGATTTGCTTTATCATGACAAACCAGAATATATATGGTTTAGGGGTGGGGATCTCGACCATTTACAAGATATTAGAACTTTCTCAAATGGCAGGGGGTCGGGATGACCCCTGGGGACTAACCCTGTATATCATTCAAACCATCTTAGCATGACAAACCAGAATATATATGGTTTAGGGGTGGGGATCTTGACCACTTACAAGATATTAGAACTTTCTTAAATGGCATGGGGTGGGGGTGACCCCTGGGGACTAACCCTGTATTTCATTTGATTTGCTTAATAATGACAAACCAGAATATATATGGTTTAGGGGAGGGGATCTCGACCATTTACAAGATATTAGAACTTTCTCAAATGGCAGGGGGTCGGGATGACCCCTGGGGACTAACCCTGTTTATCATTCAAACCATCTTAGCATGACAAACCAGAATATATATGGTTTAGGGGTGGGGATCTTGACCACTAACAAGATATTAGAACTTTCTTAAATGGCATGGGGTGGGGGTGACCCCTGGGGACTAACCCTGTATTTCATTTCATGTGCTTTATCATGACAAACCAGAATATATATGGTTTAGGGGTGGGGATCTCGACCATTTACAAGATATTAGAACTTTCTCAAATGGCAGGGGGTCGGGATGACCCCTGGGGACTAACCCTGTATATCATTCAAACCATCTTAGCATGACAAACCAGAATATATATGGTTTAGGGGTGGGGATCTTGACCACTTACAATATTAGAACTTTCTTAAATGGCATGGGGTGGGGGTGACCCCTGGGGACTAACCCTGTATTTCATTTGATTTGCTTAATAATGACAAACCAGAATATATGTGGTTTAGGGGAGGGGATCTCGACCATTTACAAGATATTAGAACTTTCTCAAATGGCAGGGGGTCGGGATGACCCCTGGGGACTAACCCTGTATATCATTCAAACCATCTTAGCATGACAAACCAGAATATATATGGTTTAGGGGTGGGGATCTGTACCACTAACAAGATATTAGAACTTTCTTAAATGGCATGGGGTGGGGGTGACCCCTGGGGACTAACCCTGTATTTCATTTCATGTGCTTTATCATGACAAACCAGAATATATATGGTTTAGGGGTGGGGATCTCGACCATTTACAAGATATAAGAACTTTCTCAAATGGCAGGGGGTCGGGATGACCCCTGGGGACTAACCCTGTATATCATTCAAACCATCTTAGAATGACAAACCAGAATATATATGGTTTAGGGGTGGGGATCTTGACCACTTACAAGATATTAGAACTTTCTTAAATGGCATGGGGTGGGGGTGACCCCTGGGGACTAACCCTGTATTTCATTTCATGTGCTTTATAATGACAAACCAGAATATATATGGTTTAGGGGTGGGGATCTTGACCACTAACAAGGTATTAGAACTTTCTTAAATGGCAGGGGGTGGGGATGACCCCTGGGGACTAACCCTGTATTTCATTTCATGTGCTTTATCATTTAGAACATTTTCAATTAAAAAGATTGTGTCTATCACAAATGGTTTTCAATTTATAATCATTTGAAAATTAAAAAAAATAAAATCCTATAGTAAAACCCTCTTTTCTTTTTGCCCCTCAAAGTACCCCTTTATATTCCCCATTGCACAAACAAAACCCTGATTGCACCACTAGACATGTTAGTCTAACATATTGTGAAACCCTAAGTTAATCTGACAAGCGGTTTTGGAGAACGGGTGCGGACAAGTTCAAATTTAAAAGCGGCGGAAGAGGAAGAGGAAGAAGAATAATGATAATAATAAGAACTGAGCAAAAACAATAAGTCTTCCTTTTAAAAATTCCTTTAGATACTATCTTTTGATTGTAAGAACTTCTGTCAAAGTTTGGTATAAATCCAGGATAGTTTATGAATCTAATAAATGTTTTAAAACTAACTGCAGACTGTATTTAATGTTAACTGGAAGAAAAACTAAGTCCATTTATAAGTAAAATACAGATAAACAGGTACAAAATTTTAACAAAATTTCCTTCTAGATACTAGCTTTTAATCATAAACAAGCTTCTGTCCAAGTTTGGTACAAATCCAGGATAGTTTAAGAAAGTTATTAAAATTTTAAAAACTTTAACCACAGAGTGAATGTATTGTTTCCTGGCAGAAAAACTAAGTCCATTTATAAGTAAAATACGGAAAAAATGATTTTTTTTTTTAACAAATTTACTTCTGGATACTATTTTATGATCATAAACAAGCTTCTGTCCAAGTTTGGTACAAATCCTGGATACCGGTAGTTTAAGAAAGTTATTAAAATTTTAAAAACTTTAACCACAGAGTGAATGTATTGTTTCCTGGCAGAAAAACTAAGTCCATTTATAAGTAAAATACGGCAAAAATGAAATTTTTTTTTTAACAAATTTACTTCTGGATACTATCTTATGATCATAAACAAGCTTCTGTCCAAGTTTGGGTACAAATCCAGAATAGTTTAAGAAAATTATTAAAATTTTAAAAACTTTAACCACAGAGTGAATGTAATGTTTCCCGGCAGAAAAACTAAGTCCATTTACAAGTAAAATACGGAAAAACAGGAATTTTATTTTTACAAAATTTACTTCTGGATACTATCTTATGATCATAAACAAGCTTCTATCCAAGTTTGGTAGAAATCCAGGATAATTAAGAAAGTTATTAAAATTTCAAAAACTTTAACCACAGAGTGAATATTTGTGGACGCCGCCGACGGAATGTAGGATCGCTATGTCTCGCTTTTTCGACTTAAGTCAAAGGCTCGACAAAAAGTGTGGAAAACTGATTATTTAAGTGAATTTTCTATGTCCAAGGACCATAACTCTGCACAAAATCATCAGACCGGAACAAAATTCGAATTTGATCTGTAACTTGTCATGATAAAGCTATATACCAATTATCAAATCAATATCTTCAAGCATGACGGAAAAAAGTGTGGAAAACTGATTATTTCAGTGAATTTTCTAAGTCCAAGGACCATAACTCTGCACAAAACCATCAGACCGGAACAAAATTCGAACTTGGTCTGTAACTTGTCATGATGAAACCATACACCAAATATCAAATCAAAAACTTGAAGGACGAAGAAAAAAAAGTGTGGAAAACTGATTTGCCGGACAGATAGACAGACAGACAGACAGAGTGCAAACCTAAAGTCCCCTTCGACTAATAATGCCAATGCTAAATATATGGTAAAAGTCTGAGTCAGCCTTTTCCCGCCATTTTTTTAAAATATCTTGGAAAGGAGTTCCATAACCTATCAATATTTTTAGCTTATTTTGTTCCGTTCCTTAAATAATGCTCTTCTGATTTATAGTATCAATTTTAAATTCCAGAATTATTTTAATTTCACCTGAATACATCCTTAATACAAATAGTTCAAGCTGTTGATGCTGCCGGATTGTAATCCCTAGGTCTCGCATTCTGCAACTTTCGTCGCAGGCGAGACAATAAAACCAAATTCCTCTACATGATTGTATTAATAAAGCAAACTGATATTTAAGTGAGTGACTGTTCTTTCTTATAGTACGAAAATGCATGTACATGTACTTACATGCCGACAGTTAGTACTGTTTTATCATCCCCCTGCTGGGTTTTAGCTTTAATCTGATGTTGTCTCTTTTCATAATCTCTTTTAAACATTGTGGTTCTGAAACTGGATTGCATTTGGTCAGTTTTACCAGATGGTGGACGTGGTATACCAGGACTCTAAAAAAAAATCTTTTTATGTCTACCATTTTTTATAATAAAAGACTGCAAACAATATAATCAAACATAAACTAAGTAAAAAGTATTTGTTTAAATAAATATTTTGTTCTTTTGTAAAAAAAACTTATTCGAGTCTTTGTTTATTTTTATCTAATGACAAATATAAGTGATACCAAAAGATTCTTTAAAATACCCTGAAATTAGTAATAAATTAATAAAAGCAGAGAATGTAATGGAAAGTCATCAAGAAATTAATAATAATACTAAGCCTTTTCACATCAAAATTTTCCAAACTTGGCTTTACAATTGAATCAAATTTATTTCATATTGAACTGTTTTAAATTCTACAATTTTGTATTCCAGTAGCATAATGTGTGTTAAAATGGTTGAACAATACAATCTAAGAAATAGACAGCAAACCCCACTGTCCTCTTTTATAACATCATCTGGAATCATAATCACCTACAAGTTTCTTGGAGGAAATAATCTATTAAAAAATCACCCTAATCATGCTCAAACCCGATATATAACGGTGGCATGCTGTAAAATAATTAAATCCTGTAGTGGGTTGATAAGAGTGAATTACCTGTGAAAGTCCCTGAGAAGCCTTTGGTTTTATAGGCAATCCTCTAACCATTCGCAAAACTTGCGAATTTTCTGGCTTATCAACCAGTCGAGCCATGAGATCAGCAGCTTTTCCATTTCTTTTCTGAGATGAGGATTCAAGTGTTAATTCTTCTATTGTTTTTGCCTTGGCTAAACTATGTCCTGGAGCAAATGTTACCACTTTGGTTTGTTGTGTTGGTGTCTTTGGTGTCCCATCTCTATCTGTCTGGAAGATATCTGGATCTCCCAAATCCTGGTTAATCACTGTAGATTCTGAATACTGAGATTGACTGAGGTAGCTAGTCCTAGATTCTCCTCTTACATCTGCCATGTTTGTTAATGCAATATTCTGTTAATCTTCTTTATAATTATTATATCTGAAACTTTACAGATAAAACATTTATATATCTTGGTAAAACTTTTTTCCCATATTTTCAAATTTTGTTTAACATGTACATTGTGTACATTGTATATGTTTGGTTAGATTTCAGATTTTTTTTTTTAAAACAGTTAAAAAAATGAATAAGCTGTCTATTAGCCATAAATAAAAGCATTGAGAAACATGCATATTGTATTGCATTATTGTGAAAGGTGTATCAATATCCATTACATTAGCCAATATAGTCTTGGTTCATTTCAGATAAATTTTGAATCAAAAACATGTCAGCTGCATGAAAATATCAACTTATGGGTAATGTCATTTGACCTTATAAGGGTTTCAGCAAGGTGAAAGGGTCCAATTAGAAATGTATGATTGAATTTGTCAAGTGGAAACCTGTTAAAATAATTCCATTTGCTTAATCTGCATTGAGAAAGACTAAAGACTATATATACAGATGCATAGAATATGTCTGACTTGAAACAATTTTTTGAACTGCACGGTTGAAACAGCCACTATCCCAGAAGACCCTTATTCTGTTGTGTTATCAGTGGCGGATCCAGGATTTTTAAAGGGGGATTCTCCAGAAAATGTAATATATATATATAATATCGATGAGCAATGCAAAATGTTTTTTTTAGATTTTATGCTTAAAAAAGGGTATATATTTTCGATCAAAGGGAACATATGCCCTTTATGTCTTCCCCTGAATCTGCCACTGTTTATAGTAATGTTGTATGAGGGTAGGAATGGGGTACCCCACATGAAGAATGATGGTAAGATATTTGTTAAAATAACCTTAAACGATAAACATTTTACTCCATCTGACCAGGGGTTCAAATTAACATTTGGTACTGGAAGGTCCAGGACCTTTGACACTCCAAACTGAAAGGTCCACAACCTAAATCCTAGGTCCTACTTTTACATGAAATATTTCATAACTCAGTAACTAAGATACAAAATTAATGTGCTTTTGGTGTTAGGTTATACTGAGCTTGTATCATCATATTTAAAGAACTGCATGTAATGTTTTGTTAAGTTTACAAATAATTTCCAGGCCACCATATACATAAAGCACTACACTGTCAGTGTCACTGTGGTATAACTTGTATAATAATAAATGTATTTGTCTTGTATATTATGAAGTCCAATAATCTTTTTTTTTTGTATTGGGGAGGGTGTCACTGTGGGTGGGTGTGTTGTCTCAATCATTGACAATTATACAATAAATTCAGGGCTCACACTACTTCAGAATCATAGGGAGAAGTGACTTCTCTTTTTGAAACTGATAGAGAGAAGTGACGAGATTTGAAAGAGGAGTGTTTAAAGTTGCTCGCGGCGCTACAATATTTGGTTTTAACTATGATATAAAGGGCTATATATGTATCTTTTTTTTTTTATATTTTTGTTAAATTTATTCCCGAGTATACAATTAAAGTAAGAGTTCCAATTCAAAGCTGTTTAAGTTTATCATATCTAGTTGCACAATGATTATATTAGTTGTCTTGTCAGAAACTACCAACTAAGTATCTAGCACTGATAAAAAGAGGACTTTTTTTTACACCAAAAAGGAAAAAAAAGTTGTTATATCAATTAAAGTTCAATTGAAAAACTACTCTGTTATCATGTTTATGAAATTCAGTGTTTCTCATTAAAAAAAACATAGAGATTTAACAAAGTTAAGCTCTGCTGGGACATAATAATGATATTAGTATAATAATAGTCCCAGAGTTGAGCAACTTTTATTAATATATTGAAACAATGCATATACATGAAAATATATTGATTGATTGTTGGTTGCTTAACGTCCAGTGGCAAATATTTCATGCATAATCAGGACGAGAACAAATTAACAATAAATACAATAGGTAGGTTCTGTAATAGAGGCGTCCGGGAGTAAAGTCGGAGAAATTTAGACTGCCACGAGAAATGAGGGAATATTGGATAGGGACAGAAATTTAGCCTTGCAACAGGCCACCTACGGACCCCTCAAAGAGTTGTTGCAAGGGTTCTTAACGTGCAAAGAGCGTGGCACTCTATTTACACGAGGCATCGGATTTAACGTCCCCATTCTGACCTGACGTGGCTGGAAATTTGTACATCCCGCACAGCCAAACGGACGCCCCACTTTAGCAAGGGTTTTACTGCCGGTCGGAGGAAGACCAATGGTGACCATACTTCTATTCCCCAGTCACCCTTGGGGGGCATGAAAATATATACATCATTCAAGTAGATCAAGTATTAAATGCGTGTGGAAAGCTTAATTTTTCCTTTTGGGATCAATATTCTTCTGAGGGGGTGGACAGTGGGTACCCTTCTCACACCTCCCGCCCCTATCTCCCACCTTCCAATTTTAGAATCTTTTTTCTTTCCCACCTCCTCCCACCTCCCTCAAAAGCTGTTCAACCCCTCTCTTCTGTCAGCTGCGCCATTCATGCGTCCGTAGTCATTATCGTAAGAATCCGGATTTCGTTCATATCTGGTCCGTTTCCGATGAATGCTGTACACATATTTCAATGGCCGACGAGAAAAATTACAAAAATAAACGATGTTTGAGACGCTTTTTGGAAGGGAATATGGCGTTTTTAATGCAATACATGGATTACAAATTTACTTAAGGCATCTTTCATCACGTTCTAATAAATTAACAAACTTATTTTGCCGACGTTAAAATGATTTGAAGTAAGCTCTCGAGGGGTATATAATAAAAATATGGCTTTGAAATGACGATACTGATAGTTAAAAAAGGTCAGCAAAGTTAATTTTCTTAAAATCAAAGGTCAGAGTTCACGAAAATGGTCGGTCCTGTCGGTCCTGTCGGTCAAAATGAGGCTCGGACCAGTATTTTGAAGGCTAGTGCCGGTCCCAATGACCGATGTAAAAACGGCCGTTGTAGTGCATATTTCGGCACTTTTTTACATCGGTTATTAGATGTACCGCAACTGTTTCCAATAGGTGTTTACATCGGTTATCAGATGTACCCGCTGCCAATTTCCGGTACTGGTTTACGGATTTATTATAAACAAACCAAAGCGGCGATCTACACGTGGCCTACTAAATTTGTTCATAGAGCCATCCCTGGCAAACAATCGGCAATTGAACCCTACAATGGAGCAAACAAATACTGTAACAGCCGAGAAAATGATTCAGATGATGAAGTGGATAGTGAAGATGACTTTAAATAAGAACAATCAGAAGACCTGAACTGGTCCTTCATTGTTAATTTGCCTGTGGGTGCGAAGAATAAAACTAATATTAATAAAGTTATTTTTCGATAAAATATGTAAATAATTTTATTTCAGGATAAAATTGACAGATTTTGTAGGACTGGCTAAAGTTTTGTAGGACTGACAAATAATCATGCTTTGTCGGTCCCATGACCGACGGGTCAAAATAAGTTTTCGCGAACTCTGAAAGGTCCGTCGGGCGTAGCTAGGAACCAAAACGAAAGTCCGATTGCAAAAGTGGAAGGTCACGGACCTCGGACCACCGCTAATTTGAACCCCTGCTGACTCTAATGGTTGCTACAAAATGAGATTTGACGAATGACGATAAAAAAATTAAGGCTCATTTGACGCTAACTGTAGGCTGTAGCACAAATAGCCGTTTGACGCTTGAATCAATGCAGATTTAAAGGTAACTCTAACTGGTTGAGTTAGAGAAGATCTTTTTTGGCTCAATAGGTTAGAGCTCTGCATTTAGATCCCATGATTGAGGGTTCGAGTTCCGCTGGTACCACCGTGTATTTTCACAATAGTAATCTCACATGTCTTGTAAGATTCCTTTTGAAAGTCCTCGACTGCACAATTATATTTCCATTACTACAAAACTGACAACCATTGGACATTGGTCTAAATGTCAAATGATGTGATAACTCCACATGACAATGTTTATATACTTTGGGTATTTGGATCTTTCAAATTTGACATCTAGATACTAAACTATAATTTCTACCCTATACAACATTATTCAACACATTTAAGCCCCAAAATAAACATTGTCTCTCAATAGAACCAATAAACATCAGGCGTCCTATAGTCTACAACGATAAAGTGAAAAAGAGCCAGTGTTTATAAAGTGGTGTGTGAAGTGCATTCCTTGGGTCTAGTTGGGATAAACAGTAATATTTTTACATGTTACAGCTAATGTAAATAAAGAGGATTTAATATCTAGATTGAATGACTATCTATTTTAAAGATAACGACTGTAAAGGTGGACCTCTTTTACGGAACTTGTTATACCTATTTACATTTTTCAGTGAATAACTGCAATGCCATAAGCATAAGCGTCGTTACTCCACTGCAAACACCGTTCGGTGTCCGCCATTATAGTTTATCTTGGCAATACCCATAATTCACTGCTTCTAGTTGAAACCGCGGGAAATTCAAAAATTTTAAAACATTAAACTTGAAGTGTGATATGTGATGTTGGGAGTTTGCGGTCTTCCCTTTTTAAACCCAACACCACGTGCTGATTGGAACTATTTTATTCACCTATGAAATTTTAGCGTCAATTTTGAATTTTCTAAAGTTACTTTTTATTGGTCAACTATTCTTTTTTTAATGTAAAAGATTAATATGATTGACATATATTTTATTTAGTTATGTAAAAGCAATTAATGGATTATCAAAATCTTTACTTAATTTTACAGGATTATTTAGTGGACAATAGAAACACTTTAGGATCATTTTCCTACGGCAAATTACATACACTTTTATTCTTTAAAAAGATGACAGTTTATTTAATTTATTTCTCAACGTCACATTAAAAGCTATGATCAAAAGAACTCTAGAAATGAGATTAACTATATTATTACCAAAAAGACGAAACTATTTATTACTTAATCTTACGTCACCTATTTTGTTTCAAAACTTTAGCAATGCAATATAATTCAATTTTATTTATTTATTCGTTTATTTATCTAAGTTTACTTTATGTTACTTTCATTTTTCATCATACAATATTCCATCATTATACTAACATATGGAGAGGCAGTATTATCAGTTTTGCCAGAGACATATAGATATATTTAGTACCCCTATATGTCTCTGGTTTTGCATTTGAATTGCATATATATACTCTTCTTTTTTGTTTTAATACCGATATGGTATTTTAAGACTCTGTTGAAATCGTTTGCTATTTGCCCTTAGTATACTGACTCAATATATTATGGCCCAGTATTTATCTGGTTTGTTTCACTCTTCTCTCTACCCCAGTACATTTAAACCATGGAAATACTGTATTGACACGAACTCTTTACTACGATACCCATGCACTCGAATTCGAACTAATGAAGACAAGTTGGAGTTGTATTTGTTTTGTTTTTGTCTTTGATTTTCTTCTCGTTTTTTTTTTTTTTTTGCAGTGTATTATGACAAAACTTTCTATATGGATTAAATATAAGTTATCTACGTTCATATCCGTAGATATGGATATTTTAACACCCTGAAGTATCCAAGTACACCCTGAGGCGCAGCCGAAGGGTGTACAGGGTACTGAAGGGTGTTAAAATATCCATATCTACGGATATGAACGTAGATAACGAATTTATCCCCGGTCTTAGTCTAAATCTGGCGATTTTTAGAGAAATTCGACCACAAAGTTAAACGTGAAAGCAACGTTTTTTTCATTTTTTTAAATATCTTTTATTGAAATTTGGGAATTTGACATATTTTTAACGGGGTGTATGGTACTACCTTTGGTAGAACCCTACATGTAGACAAATATAAGACGTTTTTAAACTAGAGACAGAGAAACTGGAATGGGTCGAATTTGGCGCGCAATGTTGTGAGAGTTACATCATAAACGGTGTGACGTCAACGTGGGTCATTTGCATAGCTAGGTCAGTAGTACCATTCATTGACAATGTGGCTGCATAGTGATGCATTTACTAAAATTAGTGCAAATAATCGATATAATAAGATAAAATCGTTAGTGGATTAAATATTTAATTATACAGACATCATGGAAAATCTACAGAATTCGATATTTCATAAGGAACAACCATGGAACTAAGGAAAACGCGCGTGTTATTCCCCGATGTAATGGGTAGCAACGTCCGGGGATATGGGTTAGCAACACCCAGGGGCTATGGGTTTTGTAACGACGTGCGTTAACCAATCAGAATCCTAGAAATATACTAAGCCGGGGATAATACATTTTATTGACCTTAGATTTCTTTTGCCTCTTTAATATTGACAGAAAGAGATAGAAAAACTTGTCAATACATGTATTCAATATATATCATGGACATGCTCCAAAGTATTTATGTGAACATTTTGACTTGAATAATCATAATACCAGAAGTGCTGCACATAATAATTACTTTGTACCAAATTTTATAATGCTATACAAGACATACAAGACTGGAACAATATACCAGCCAACATAAAAAATATATCAAATAGATCTGCTTTTAAGACTGCAGTTAAAGAACAGTTAAAAATAACAGCAAGAAATATAGAAACTGGAGATTTTTTATACGATTTTTAAGAAACAATTGATCTGTCTTTTTTTTTTTGGTGAAAGTCAAATTTTAACATATAATTTGTAATATTATTTTTATATATTTTCAAACAAGGGACCCCATTGGAAATAAGCTATACTATGTAAGCTTTTATGGGATATCCCAGGCTTGTATATGTGCTTGAATTTGCCTGAATAAAACTATACTAGTATACTATACTATAATACAAGTTTCCCCTTGCTGAAAGGTTTAATCCGTTATAAATAAAAGTAAGAATGTTTAACGATCCCAAATATGTGTTTTGATATGTTTTAATATGAACTCGTAACTGGATTGTTTCGCGATCGACGCAATTAATTCATTATTGTTTAACAGATACACATAAGCCGTTACGATTCTCCGTGTATGGTTGTGTCAGAAAAATATAACCGTTTGTAAGACCGCATTAAGAAGCCTATCGTAGACATATCATCACTGGGCAAGTTGAAAAAAATATTATTATCTTTTTTAACATGTTTTTCTGACCTAGGACCGATAGATAGTATATTAGTCCCAGTCATAACATAAGATGAAATAGCAATCTATGTCAGATATAAACGAAGTGCCTATCTAATTAAAATATTTATGCTACCATTTGATTTTCATTTAGTATGTGAATGATTGCAATGATCAACATAAATTAACAAAGGACTACTAGCAGTTACTGACATGCCAGCTCCAGACCGCAATTAAACTGATCCAAAGATTATGTCGTCATCATATGAAAATCAAGCACAATTCCTCCCGTTAGGGTTTTAGTATCATGCCATCATAAATTATACGAGAACATAACCCGTGTCATGCCAACATCTGGTTTTTAGAATAAATGTGTTTATTTCCGATGCAGAGACCCTATGAGTGAGTCAATATTAATTTTAAAAAGTGCCATCTTTAATGACTTGACAACAGTATCGCAACTATATCCCTTCTGAACAAGTCTGGTTAAAGGTTGGTTAGCTTTAGGGGGTGAATGATGACATTTTTGTGCTTTCTATAGAATATTACCATAAATGATGGGATGTGAAATACCTGAACGTATAAGATGTCTGCATGTTGATTTATATTTACGAATAATGTCCTTGTACCGATGATAAAATTTAGTAAAAGTTTTGACAAGTTTATGATATCGAAAACCCTGGTGTAATAATTTTTTCAGTATAATACAGAGATTTCTTTCGTTAAAATCAAATACGTTGTTACATACAAGAGCGAATCGAACAAGTTGGGATATATAAACACCATAAGATGGTGCCAAGGGAACGTCACCATCTAAAAATGGATACATAAACAATAGGAAATGAAAAATCATCTCTTTCATCCTTAATTTTAGTATTAAGCTTCCCGTTAGAGATATAGATATCAAGATCCAGGAAAGGTCATTGTTCATTGTTAGTATTAGCTTTATTCAAAGAAAGTTCAACAGGATAAATCTCTTTAGTGTACATACTGAAGTCGTGATTATTGAGAGCCAATATACTACCCAAATATCTAAAAGTGTTATCAAAGTTTTGTATCAGATGTTGTTTCGATGGGTCTTTGGTGATTTTAGTCATAAATTGTAATTCGTAACAATACAGAATCAGGTCCGCAATAAGTCGTGCACAGTTTGTCCCCATTGGAATCCCAATAACTTGACAATATACGGTATCTCCGTAGCGAACAAAAATGTTGCCTAGTAAACATTCAAGTACAGTTATCATATCAAAGCAGGTCCAATTGACATAATTCTTTTGTTTGTTGTTACTAAAAAATGACATAAAAGAGTTTGAACATATATATATTCACATTCTGACTTTTTAAATGCCCATTTAATTAGGTATGTGTGAATTTTTCTTAGTGAGATTAAGGGGCAAAGTGGTATAAAGGGTAGAAAAAGCAAAACTTTGAACATATTCAAAAGCACTAATATGACACAATATTCTTATTACTTTTATCATGGAAGTATTATACTGACGTCAATATAATACTTCAATGCTTTTACTTTATAATTGAAAACGTTTTCCCTTGTTTTCAAAGGGTTTTTTTTCTGTATGTATTTTTATGAGTTTTCAGGTTTGTTGTTTTTCCTGTTTGAATTATTTATACCAATATCATTATTAGTTCTTTTTTTTTAAAGAAACACTTTTACTTAACAATTGAACTATGCATTAAATCAACGAAGTTGTCATGTCAGCAATTGAACATATTTTGAACAATTTTCACAGCTTGTTTTGAATCAATACTTTAAATTTTGATTTGAGGCGTCAAAAACAAGACTTTAATTATCTGACACAACGTGTTTAAAAAAAAAGATGTGACGTTTTTCGGTAATAGTTGCTTATCACAGTCCTGACATAAACAAGCCCATTAGTTAGTTTGAATGTCTTCGTTACAACAAGTTTCCATTTAGCAAAAATTGCAAATTGAAATTGTAACTTTAGAGGAAAAATAACTAAACGATACCGAATGAGTACGTTTTAGATTTTCAAAAGTTACACACACATATATATATATATATATATATATATATAAAGAGTAACATAAAAAAAAAGACGAAGAAAAGGGCTAAACAAAATATGGATACAATTGATGAGAGTGACTTTGAGGAACATGAAGAATACACAGCTATATATAGAAAATCGAGAAGAAAACACAGACGGAGAAAACATCCTGCACCAACCACGTCATCTGAGGGAACACTACAAACAAAAACATTAAGTCCGTTTATAGTGGGAGCAAAACCAAAGACGGAAAAGGTGCACAAACATGATATCAACCAACTTGTTCGTGATACTCTTGGAGAAATAGGAAAATCTTCCCCCCATTTTCAGACAGAAATTATCCTTGAAGAGAAGAGGAATCGAGTTTTTCTTGGGGAGTGTACCTACGATGAAGATTTAAGCATATTGAAAACTACACGAATTTGGAAATGTAGAAAAACTGGAAGAAATGTATGTATTATTTCATTCGTATTTCTGTGGTCGATGAAAACAAATTTTGATTAAATGAAAGAAAAAAAAACAACTATGTAATTTTGCTTGCTACTACTAACAATTTATATATGAAAATATTTATTAGTCAACAAAAGAAGCGATAATTCAATTCTTGAGTTAGTTCTTTAGACATGTTAAACATCGATTCAATTTTGTTTCTTTTTAGAGTCTTGATACATTCCGTCGTGTGGTTGAGTTTATCACGTTTGCACAGAAAATGTTCAATTGGTACGTATTTTAATAAAACCCAAACGATGTTATCCGGACTATAAAGGAACAATTGTAAAAGTAGCTATCATGTCTCATATATATTATTTTTTTTTCATTTCAATCATGTGCAAGCAAGTAAGTAAATTTATTCAAATAAGTAAGTAAGTAAGTCAGTTAATTTAATGAATTAAGTAAGTAAGTTTATTGAAATAAGTAAGTAAGTAAATTTATTGAAACATAAGTAAGTAAAAGTAAGTAAGTAAGTAAATTTATTGAAATAATGGCCATCAAACATTGGTCTATCTTCAATTACAACATGAACATATAATTACATGTAACAAACAAAATTAGCAACTGTAGACTGTGCAATACAATGAAAAACACATTATCGCTGTTACCAAAACTGAGGATATTAGACGTATATTACAGTTTTTGTAACGATAAATTGATTTGTTTCTTTACTGCACATGTATATTTAGTCTTATACAGTTTTCCTTATTTACCTCGGAAATTCCTGACCTCCAGGAAGGAGTACCAGTACGTAACATCAAAACATAAAAGTTTTTCACAACTTGTTTACGAATCCCAAATTCAGTGACTGCTATGTATAATTGTACATTTCCATTGTTGTTATTTTCAATAATAAATACTGTAACTCAGTAGCGTAGGAGTAGACTGAAAAGTGTGTTGGGGACTTTTGAAAGTGACAAGCAAAACTTGTATCGTCTAGCAGTTAGCTAGTGTTCTCTACTGTTTTCGTTTTTTATTTTAAAAAAAAACAAAAAAAAGTGTGTGTCGGGGGGGGGGGGGGGGGGGAGGGGCTCAAAAACAGTCTGCCCCAACACCCGGCCTCCTACGCCAATGCTGTTTAAACTCTCCCCAAAACAGAATCTGCATTTACAGATAGTAACGAGAGAGAAAAAACTGGTACTAAGCCTTTTTTCAAACTCTTTCCAGCGACCGGACACCAAAGCTTTCACAACAGGAAACTATACTATTTTTCTTGGATACACAGACACTCGAGAAACATGATAAAGACTCGCCAAAGTTACTATTCGATATGACTCCCTTCAAGTCTATAGGACAGGTAAAGTGACTAGATATATTAGATATAGAACAACTATTGATATACAAATGTCTTAGTATCAGAGGCATGTTTCTGTTAGTATGTCTGCAAATGAAAAGTGCAAGCGCAAGACTTGGACAACATAAAGATACATTTAAGAAGTCTACAAATAATGAGTTCACTATTGCGAATTTACCTCAACGACTGTTTATCTTTTGATACCAGTAAAGATTTTTTTCAAACATTGGGTTTTCAGTGACTGGACATTCAAAATATGAAACGTAGTATTTTTACTTAGTAGGATACTAGTATACCAAATGAGTTTTCATTGTTATTACACATTTTCAAAAATCTTCCACGAAACCTACTCAATTGTTTTATTTCAGAGAAGCTTTGTGAATTCTGTAAAAGGCGTTCTCCAAAAAGTTCCAATAAAACGATCAGAGAAAGACATATCAACGGTATGTAAAATTAAATAATTTCATACACTCCAATGAAGGCCCGAGATACCTTTATAAAGTTTAATAGTGGTCTATAATTGCAGAACCAACAATAAATGCACAGGAAGACATGCAATTAGGAGCTTACGAAAAGTTTTTATCAGATTTTCAATTTGTTACTGTGACAATTTTATCTGTAGATTTTTCGTAGTTAAGTGTTAATTACCATATTTTCTTTTCCACAGCAAAATTATGAACCCTGCAAGTGATTGATATTATCGTTATACATGTAACACAATAATTGTATTCTATTTCAGTTACTACATGTTTTACGGAATTTTGGCAAATTTTCGAGTTACCCACAACATATACAACAAGGAATTTGTCGAAAGGGATGGTATTCCAAGTAAGTATCGCCCAGTTTAAACCTGATATAAAAGCCGATGTGTTGACTGTTTTTTTTAAACATTCTGAACCTTTCTTGTCATTTTATTCCCTTCAAATCCAAATGCCATGGTAACGAATTATTACACCTCTAGGAGTACGGGAAATCCAGTTGTGCGATAGATTTTTGTAAACTTACCCTCCGTTGAAAGTGGCGTAGCATGTTTGCTAGAGCATCCACTCACTCTAGCATAACTCGTACACCTTTGTATTTTGAAGAGAAACATCCTTTTACATTCAGGCTTTGCTATAGATAGCTGTTACTGGATCGATTCATTATAAAAATGTTCTAGTTAATATACAAACTGATTTCGATAGAGAATACAATGTAATATTTGCCGCTGTATGTCCAAACATTAAAACAGTTTATATACTCCTATTTTTAATTTTGTTCCAGAAAAGATACTTACCATTTACAAAACAGAAGCGAATTATATGATAACTGATCTAAGAATTTGCCTCGCTGGGGAGTAAGATATCGTCGAGAAGTCTGGGGCCACTCAAATTTAATTATCTATTAATTTTTCTTCAAGGATTTTGCCCATTTTTTAATTCTATTTTTTTGGGAGTGGGGACTCGGTTCCCTTTAAATCCACTCATGGATAAAACAAACAAATGCAATCTTTCTTTGGACTAATTGCTGGTTAAAAATATTATTCTCTTTTTTTAATTGTACAGATTTGAAAGTAACCATGTGATAGCCAGAGAAGGCAACAAAGCTGAATTTTACTATCTGATACTATCAGGCGTCGGTAAGTCTGCCGCTTTTACTGATTTAAATAAAAACTGGCTAGAATATTGTAGGCCGACCGTGATTATGTACATACTCTTACATGTACGACCTCTTGAGCTGGTGACAATAACTTGAGCAGATATAGGTATCAAAGGGTTGTAAGCTCAAAAATTTCTGTGTGAGCCTGTAATTCAGTTTTTATCGTTGGTTTCTGATCGCCTCACATTTTTGTTTTTTTAAGTACAAATTAGGCCGTTGGTTGATATGTTTGAATTGTTTCAGTTTTTAATGCGGGGCATTTTATAGCTTCCTATATATATATGTATATACGATAATACAGGGGTTATCTAATTGTTGAAGGCTGTACAGTGCCTGATATTGTTGTTTACACCTTCGTACTTTGGTCCCCGGTGGATAGTTGTCCTCCTTGGAATTCATACGTTTCCTTACTATTATAGAAAATACTATATTGCATCAATTTCAGCTGTGTCCCGTTGTCTTGGCACTACTATAGACCCAGAAGAGAGAAGAAAACAACTAGCTGAATTTCACAGACAAGGAGATATCATCGGTGTAAGAACGATTGTTGATTATATCACACTAGTTAGTGCTCTACACTTCAAAAATAATTATGTGGTTAAAATCACTTCAACTCTTATTTGAATATGTCTGGAAACATGCAGTCAACAAAACACAAATTTAAAGTCTACACCATAAAATGTTTGTGTGTCTCTAAAGTTGTAGTAGTTTTACCAAATAGCCAAAATATTGGGAAAATGTTGAGGTTTGAAGATAGAAGTTTGACTTATATGATTTTGGTTAGCATACTTGAAAGTAGTGTGTTGCCATTCTAACTGTTGTTGTGTCTGTAGTTTTCCAAAAAGAACAAGTAACATAACAGTCAAAAATCCATTATTTATTCTTTTTAGGAGAAAGAAATTTTAACCAACTCAGGAAGAAGTGCTACATATGTATCTAAAGAGCCATTAGAAGTACTAGGTCTAGACCGAGATGTAAGTTTGCCCTTGGTATTTTAAAGAACTTGTTAAAAATAATTGGGAGTTTTGATACTGTCAACAGAAACAATACCATATTACGAGCCTTTGCTTTCAATTTTAGATATGGTGAATATGCACATTTTGTATATAAAGACGATTGTGCTTACCTTTTGATACCTATTGCAAACGATATAAATAAAAGTATATTAGTAGAGAATATCGTATTTTTTCAGATATTTTTGGACATATTTAAGTCAGCAGGAGGAGCAGAATGTATCAGTTTTCTTAGGTAAGACTATAATTAAAAACAAGTAAAACTTAAAGCATATAAGTCAGATATGTGTTTTATTACAAATTACTTGTACCTTAGTCCTTACCGAACAATACTAGCAGAGCTTTGATAGCGTAACAACAGTTAAAATGTAACAGAGAACCACTGAAGCATATTTTGAACCTATTAATAAATTCATCTTTCTCTTGTGTAAAACTTTAAGATATGTAATATGCATATATATATATGCAGAGGTTATACAGAAGAATGATGCAAACAAAGACAGTTTTTAAATAGGGTCAAAGTATGCCTTAGCTGCTTTTTCTATACAAAAACTTTCGGTGTTTCAAGTAAGAATGATCTTATTTTAGTTTTGAATCCCCAAATGCCAACTGAATCAATATATATTTGTAGAACCATACCAGATTTACAAGACTTTCCATTAGAACTGCTACAGACGCATCATTTCTCCTGCTCTACACATTTCTACAAGTAAGTATACTCTTTAATGTAACTTAAGAAAACTTTTTATTTGTTTGGTAATTCTGCATATGATAACTTTAAATCAGATCAGTTTTAAATTCATAAATATACTGATATATTCATGGACACATTCAGCTGTAATGAAACTTATATTTTTTTAAAGTCAGTATAACCAAATGAATATGTAATCGTATGTAAATTTCAGGAGAGGAGCAGTAATTGTGAAGAACAGTAATGATGCAGAATGGGTGTATGTCATTAGATCTGTGAGTAAATGTTTCCACTTCAAGAGCTTGTTGCATTGTCAGTTTCCCGTGGCTGACTGTCATGCATTACTGTCAATGAGACATTCAGTGTCTTTATGTCCACCAAAACGTCTTGTATTACTGCTAAATTAGTTTTGCAAATGCTTTGTAGAAATGGAAATTAAAGACATTGGGATAATAACACAGGCTGCACAATTCCTTTGGACCCGTAGCCCGTGTATTTTGAGTCCAAACCACAGAGTCTAATCTGTGGAGCCCAGAACACTAGCAGCCAGTGGAGCCAAGAGTCATATCAGTAAAGCCCAAAGCCCTGGTCCTATCAGTAGAGCCAATAGTCCTATCAATGGAGCACAAAGCCCTTGGCCCTATCAGTGAAAACCTGAACCCAAATATTGCTCAAAGGAGCCTTGTGACCTTATGGGTAAGGATGGAGCCAAATGATAAAATTACGATGGACCCCGGGGCCCAAAGACATAAAACACCATAACGATAGATATTTTTAATGACATTGAATTTTATCTAGTCCTATTTAAAAATTTCAAAGTGTTATTGCTTTGTTTCAGGGGTCATGTCAAGCATTCAAGGCAGTACGAACCAATGAGAACCAAGATATCAAAAAGACCACAGAGAAAAGAAAACATTCAACAACCCTACCATCTTTACGATCGAACAGCATAGGTAAATAAACTAATCAGTAAAATTGGCACAGAAATCAACTTTAATTTCATATCTGACGATTTTGGAAATTTTGAAAGCAAAAAATAACGTCTGAATGGTCAAAGTTGACATTTGTTTTTAACACTGAATACCAATTGCTCTTGAAAATAAGCAACTCTTGGTTAAATGGGAACAAGTTAAACCACGGTGCTGGCAGAACAGTTGGCAGTGGTTTAGTGGTGATTCAACACAGCAATATTTCTGCCCAACCTTTAGGGAGCAACCATTTAACTTTAGGGGGGATTATGGTTTTTTGAGTGAGTCAGACATTTTTTTTCGTGCAAAGCGAACATTTTTTTTTAGTTTTTCGATGCTATCAATCAAATTATTTTTTTCAAAATTTAACACTATAAGGCATGGGGAAAATCTGGATTCAGAATATTTTTTTTTGTCACCTGCTTGACCACAATGTTTTTTTTTCATCAAATTGGGGATCAGAATATTTTTTAAGGAAAAAAACCACAATCCTCCTTAAAGTTAAATGGTCGTTCCCTTACCATTTAAAAAATTTTGACATTTGGAAATATTTCTTAGTGTAAACTAATAGATTTGAAAGAATAGATCACAATTCTGACAGGTAAGAAAGGACCTTACTCAGTGCAATGTAAGTGTTTGTATAGACTCAATAAATATGAATTTTAGAATAAAATTTATTCAGTCTGTAGAAGTATAAAACAAGTAGGAGAATCTTGTTTCCATATATAAATGTATGCAATGTTTAACAAGTGCATGTGTACCAAATTTTATATGCTGTACAACTTCATTTTTTACTTATTTCAGATTCCCTCAAAAGCAGATCATCAGAAGAAAACAAGTCATCAAACAGGGTAACTGTTGTATATCAGATTAAAGTATATAATCAGATTTTCTTTCTACATGGCAAAATATGTGTCCCTACAGTTTTCAGTAGTTTTAGTTTATTTGATTTTGGAAAACAACATAATGAAAAGTGTATAACAAGCATGGAACTAGAACTTTTGAAATGATTGAAGAATTTTACTATCAATTTCAGGAGCCAAATAATCTTAGCATACCTGTTCCTTTGTACAGAAAATTTAACTGTTAAAAAAAGTACCTTTTCATTGTAAAATTTAATAAATATAATCTATCTCAAATACTAGTGATTGTAAAGTATGCTCATTAAAATAGATCCATCTACCATAATAACAAATTATTTTACTTAATTTGTTCCATTAGCATTTCAATCCTAGGAGAGTTCTTTATTCTAAATTTAACCCTATAGCATTAACAATTGTCATATATTTTCAGGCCAAAACTTTGAATAAGAAACCCTCAAAAACACAACTGCCAACAATTAATAAAGCCAAGAATTCACTTGTATCACAAAGTTATGAAGACAACTTCAATACAATTAAAGAGGTAAGAAAATGCAGTTAAAAATATGTGTGTACTTCTTACGATCATGCTCTAAGGGCAACAGGGGTGTAGACATATGACCATTGCTTAGTGGTCTTCATTGGCTGTGTGGCATTTATAAATAATCTGTCATGATAAGACTGATTGGAGAGGTTAAGGCACATATTTGAATATTGCCATGTTCTCTTCATATTAAAGAAACAAGAAAAGTGTCTCTGGTAAGGGTTACCAAAGTAACCTAGTGTAAGCAATCTTGATTGTCCAACCTACTTGTTGTCTACCAATCTTAAAGATTCTACTGAAAGTATTAATTATTTTCTCAATTTGAATAAGCATAAATTCATATATTTGCCACTGGACATCAAGAATAGCAATTAACTAATCTTTATAACATTATAGAACTTTAAGAAGTAAATTGGAAACTTATACAAACTATTATTTTGCAGTGAATAATACTACAATATTTCATTAAATTTGTTATGAAAGTAGCCAAAGAACTTACAGAATTTGTTAAACATATTACACACATTGATGTATATTTCAGGAACATTGTAAGTTGGTTGTTGCTTCCTATTATGTATTTTGTCTATATTGAATATCAAAAACGCTAGTCCTTCTTTAAATGTCTCTGCTTGTTAAATGACATCTTTTAAATTCCATATAATAATTAAGAAATAATTCATGGGGGCTTGAATATATCGTGATTTTACCACGGGTTGGCCCTTTATGACAAATATTTGACCCTGAGCGTTAGGGGTAAAATATCGGCATAAAGGGACAACCCGTGGTAAAATCACAATATATTCAAGACCCCAAGAATTATTTCAATTCTAATAGGACAAATACTGCAACTGTTTTGGATCTGAGCGCTCTAGGTGAAGGCATTTTTTGCCGTTTCCATAAATAAACGCACTATTAAATTGACGTTAAAGAACTGAGCAAACTGAATAAGTGACATGCTTAAACTATTTACAATAACATATTTAGATAGGTTTGGATGAATCTAAATGATAATTGTACTTATATGTCTTATATGTTACAAAATATTGCTTATATAACACATTTTAGCATCGTTTGTTTACGTTTCCTTGTTGTGATGATTATCGGTCTCACAAGCGTGTATTTTCCTGTATAATGCTTAAATTCTTACGTCTTCGTTCTATGACGTCGGGTAGCTCATTCATAAAAAAAACATATGACGCGGGAGTAAGATCGGAACAGCCCAAACAATATATTCCTATTTTACCACGGGTGTGTACTCAAAGCGTTTGAAGAACGTCATGTTAGAATGACTATTAATAGTTTTGTGTATCAATCTCATTGTTCATCTAACACCTCTTTTCATTCATGTCCAGTCTGTAATTAAATTCCCAATCTAGGTCACACAGCTAACTTGCATCACTGAATTGAGACATGTAACCATGCTTTATTTTGATATTTTTTAAAAAGACAGTGCATATGCAATTCTTGGCAGTAACATAACCAAAATTTTTTTGTTTTTGTTTCAGGCACCAAAGAAATCAGTAAAGAAAACAAAGAAAGACACACAAACATCAATAGATAATCCAGTTCACTATGCCAAAATAGATCTAGTGACAGAAAGGGAATGCTTTGTAAGTAAAGATCTAGGTTACACGAATGCTGTTAAAAGTTGAACATTAAGTGTTCCCTCTAAAAAAACATAACAGATTTAATCAATACTTAAATTGAAACTAAGTCCTGATGTTACAGGAAACTTCATTGATTCTTAAGTTGTAGTATATAAAAGAAAAACTAACCTTAATATTAAGTCTAAAAAAAAACTTAGGCCAGTGAATCTAAATTAACATTGAAGATGATGGATTCAGTTTAACGTCAAGTGGCAACTTTTGCAAAATTTTGCATTGATAATGACTTCAAATCTGTATATCAGGGAATCTTATGAATTTATGAAACTGCACATATAACTTTTTACTTCTTTCATTGTTGTCTGCTTAACATAATGTGGCATAAATTTCTTACATAAAAATATCAAGTACTGAACTACTGGTATCAACTTAAATACAGTTTTTTTTCCTCATAAGATATGTTCATTTAAGTAGAATCCTTTGACAGATTGTTATGTAGGAGTTATTTAATTCAGTGGTTGTAACAAGAAATATGTATTTTTTGAAAACTTAAATTAATGAAATGTCCGTGAATTTATATGATGTATACCAATGTTTCATATTTTTGTTAGTGTAAAAAGGATCTGCATGCCCTTTCTTCACTATGCAACAGAAGCCATAGATCTAAAGCTAAGTTAAAGGATTATAATATTATTTGTCATTATATTGTAGGGTCTGCAGTCTCTTCTTTTTGATGATATGCCAAGTTTAAGTCTAGTAAGTATAATTTTCTCATAGGTATATAAAGGTTTTAAATTTTCTCTTGTTGTTTACTTTAAATATCGAAGTGCTATATTCCTATGTGCTTTTAATTTATGATGAATTAACATTCTGTTGTTTGATTTTCCGTTTAAAGGTTTACACCAAGGAGACAAAATAGACAGATGTCTACACAATAATGTCAAGCTTTAAATTGTATAGAGTTGAATTGGTCATCTCTTAATTTTTAAGACTCTGATTGTTGTTTGCAAGTCAGGATTCTACTCCTTGCGGATTTTCTGAAGCACAATTGCCAGAGGACGTATGTACATACTGAAAGTTTTCAGTAGGCTTTCAATATATATTTCCTTCAAACTGTTATTTATGGAACTGTCTGTAGCACTTATTTTGTTGTATATTTTTTGTAGGTCAGTAATGGTGCAGAATGTGTCCTCATTTCGAAACAATTCCTTAAGGAAAACATGGATACAGAAACTAAGAGAAGATTACAATCAAAGGTAAATTGTTCATGGTAACATACTGACCAATATCTAGTATACTGATGAGAATGTAGGTGGATGTTTCAACTGATTGGGACTTTCCTAACATTGGTTTTATGTCAATCAATCAAAATTGATTAATGATTGCTTAACATAATATCAAGCATTAAAGAACAACTGTTAAAGGATAGAGTTGAAACCCACTCGAATGAGTTAGAACAGTTGAATGGTCAACTTGAACCTCCCTCCAGGACTGAAGTTTTATTAGGAATATTCTCTGATTACACAGCTAAAATAACTAAAACAAGTGTTCATTTAATGTTCTGACAACAACCCTAGTTCCTGGTGGTTTGATTTTCTCAAAATATAAACATCAATTCAAATTAAATTTGATAACGTTTAAAAAGATATGGAAATTCAAAAATAAAAGAACCTTAGTGAGAGCGCTCACATACCCCACGTCCCCACATTGTCACTGGAGAAATAAAATAACTGTAAGAAAAAAAAATTGTATAAGAAAATAAAATGCTTCGCTGGGCGCAGCTTGATACGACCGCAGAGGTCGAACCCTGAACAGTTGGGGCAAGTATGGACACAACATTCAAGCTTGATACAGCTCTGAATTTGGATTGTGATTAAATATTTGACACAGCATAGGTTTCTGACACAGAGAGAAAGTGGTCTTAGAACTTCAATTTTTTTAATTTACCTATTATGGTCCAATGTCCAAAATCAAAATACATGGTTAGATTCAGCATATCAAAGAACCCCATATATTCAATTTTTGTTGAAATCAAACAAAGTTTAATTTTGGACCCCAACTTGGACCAACTTGAAAACTGGTCCCATAATCAAAAATCTAAACACATGTTTAGATTCAGCAGATCAAAGTACCCCAAGAATTCAATTTTTTTTTAAATCAAACTAAGTTTAATTTTGGACCCTTTGGACTTTAATGTAGACCAATTTAAAAAACGGGACCCAAAATTAAAAATCTAAAAACACGGTTAGATTTGGCATATCAAAGAACCCCAATAATTCAATTTTTGATGAAATCAAACAAAGTTTAATTTTGGACCCTTTTGACATCAATATGAACCAATTTGATAGCGGGCCCACAAATAAAAAATCTAAATACATGGTAAGATTCAGCATATCAAAGAACCCCATATATTCAATTTTTGTTGAAATCAAACAAAGTTTAATTTTGGACCCCAATTTGGACCAACTTGAAAACTGGGCCAAAAATCTAAAATCTAAATACATGTTTAGATTCAGCATATCAAAGAATCCCATATATTCAATTTTTGTTGAAATCAAACAAAGTTTAATTTTGGACCCCAACTTGGACCAACTTGAAAACTGGGCCCATAATCAAAAATCTAAACACATGTTTAGATTCAGCATATCAAAGAACCCCAAAAATTCAATTTTTGTTAAAATCAAACTTAGTTTAATTTTGGACCCTTTGGACCTTAATGTAGACCAATTTAAAAAACGGGACCCAAAATTAAAAATCTAAATACACGGTTAGATTTGGCATATCAAAGAACCCCAATAATTAAATTTTTGATGAAATCAAACAAAGTTTAATTTTGGACCCTTTTGACCTCAATATGAACCAATTTAATAGCGGGCCCACAAATAAAAAATCTAAATACATGGTAAGATTCAGCATATCAAAGAACCCCATATATTCAATTTTTGTTGAAATCAAACAAAGTTTAATTTTGGACCCCAATTTGGACCAACTTGAAAACTGGGCCAAAAATCTAAAATCTAAATACATGTTAAGATTCAGCATATCAAAGAACCCCATATATTCAATTTTTGTTGAAATCAAACAAAGTTTAATTTTGGACCCCAACTTGGACCAACTTGAAAACTGGGCCCATAATCAAAAATCTAAACACATGTTTAGATTCAGCATATCAAAGAACCCCAAGAATTCAATTTTTGTTAAAATCAAACTAAGTTTAATTTTGGACCCTTTGGACCTTAATGTAGACCAATTTAAAAAACGGGACCCAAAATTAAAAATCTAAATACACGGTTAGATTTGGCATATCAAAGAACCCCAATAATTCAATTTTTGATGAAATCAAACAAAGTTTAATTTTGGACCCTTTTGACCTCAATATGAACCAATTTGATAGCGGGGTCCACAAATAAAAAATCTAAATATATGGTTAGATTTAGCATATCAAAGAACCCCATATATTCAATTTTTGTTGAAATCAAACAAAGTTTAATTTTGGACCCCAATTTGGACCAACTTGAAAACTGGGCCAAAAATCAAAAATCTCAATAAATGTTTAGATTCAGCATATCAAAGAACCCCATATATTCAATTTTTGTTAAAATCAAACAAAGTTTAATTTTGGACCCTTTGGACCTTAATGTAGACCAATTTGAAAACTGGACCCAAAATTAAAAATCTAAATACACGGTTAGATTCGGCATAACAAATTAATAAATGTGGTCAAAGATTTTACAAATCTAATGCGCCATACTGGTCTTCCTTTATAAATATGCATTTCTTTAAACATAATTTAAAAGCAGTGTAAGGGAAGTAACCAAAACGTTGTATTTGGATTACCTCCCTTACACTGTTTTAAATTATCTTAATTGTTCATTAACCATTACTTTATACATAATTTAAAAGCAGTGTAAGGGAGATAATTTCAATGATGTATTTGATTTATCTCCCTTACACTGCTTTAAATTATGTTTTGAACTAAAGTATTTGTCCATTAATGAGGACAACCTTGTTTTTCCCCGTTTTTTGCCCCTAATTCTTAAACGGTTTGAGCAATAACCCCCCAAAGCAAATCCTAACCATCCCTTTGTGGTTTGGAAACTTGTAGTATAATTTCAGAGAGATCCATACACCGTTCCACAGTTATTGTCTGGAAACTAGAAAATGCTTATTTTTGGCCCCTTTTTGGCCCCTAATTCCTTAACTGTTGGTACCATAACCCCCACAATCAATCCCCACCTTCCTTTTGTGGTATTGAACCTTATGGTAAAATTTCATAGAGATCCATTCACTTAAACTAAAGTTAGAGTGCGAAAACTAATGCGTCTTCGGACGACGACGCCAACGTCATACCAATATACGACCACAAAATTTTTTTTGCGGTCGTATAAAAACGGGACCCAAAATTAAAAATCTAAATACACGGTTAGATTTGGCATATCAAAGAACCCCAATAATTCAATTTTTGATGAAATCAAACAAAGTTTAATTTTGGACCCTTTTGACCTCAATATGAACCAATTTGATAGCGGGCCCACAAATAAAAAATCTAAATACATGGTAAGATTCAGCATATCAAAGAACCCCATATATTCAATTTTTGTTGAAATCAAACAAAGTTTAATTTTGGACCCCAATTTGGACCAACTTGAAAACTGGGCCAAAAATCTAAAATCTAAATACATGTTTAGATTCAGCATATCAAAGAACCCCATATATTCAATTTTTGTTGAAATCAAACAAAGTTTTATTTTGGACCCCAACTTGGACCAACTTGAAAACTGGGCCCATAATCAAAAATCTAAACACATGTTTAGATTCAGCATATCAAAGAACCCCAAGAATTCAATTTTTGTTAAAATCAAACTAAGTTTAATTTTGGACCCTTTGGACCTTAATGTAGACCAATTTAAAAAACGGGACCCAAAATTAAAAATCTAAAAACACGGTTAGATTTGGCATATCAAAGAACCCCAATAATTCAATTTTTGATGAAATCAAACAAAGTTTAATTTTGGACCCTTTTGACATCAATATGAACCAATTTGATAGCGGGCCCACAAATAAAAAATCTAAATACATGGTAAGATTCAGCATATCAAAGAACCCCATATATTCAATTTTTGTTGAAATCAAACAAAGTTTAATTTTGGACCCCAATTTGGACCAACTTGAAAACTGGGCCAAAAATCTAAAATCTAAATACATGTTTAGATTCAGCATATCAAAGAATCCCATATATTCAATTTTTGTTGAAATCAAACAAAGTTTAATTTTGGACCCCAACTTGGACCAACTTGAAAACTGGGCCCATAATCAAAAATCTAAACACATGTTTAGATTCAGCATATCAAAGAACCCCAAAAATTCAATTTTTGTTAAAATCAAACTAAGTTTAATTTTGGACCCTTTGGACCTTAATGTAGACCAATTTAAAAAACGGGACCCAAAATTAAAAATCTAAATACACGGTTAGATTTGGCATATCAAAGAACCCCAATAATTCAATTTTTGATGAAATCAAACAAAGTTTAATTTTGGACCCTTTTGACCTCAATATGAACCAATTTGATAGCGGGGTCCACAAATAAAAAATCTAAATATATGGTTAGATTTAGCATATCAAAGAACCCCATATATTCAATTTTTGTTGAAATCAAACAAAGTTTAATTTTGGACCCCAATTTGGACCAACTTGAAAACTGGGCCAAAAATCTAAAATCTAAATACATGTTTAGATTCAGCATATCAAAGAACCCCATATATTCAATTTTTGTTGAAATCAAACAAAGTTTAACTTTGGACCCCAACTTGGACCAACTTGAAAACTGGGCCCATAATCAAAAATCTAAACACATGTTTAGATTCAGCATATCAAAGAACCCCAAGAATTCAATTTTTGTTAAAATCAAACTAAGTTTAATTTTGGACCCTTTGGACCTTAATGTAGACCAATTTAAAAAACGGGACCCAAAATTAAAAATCTAAATACACGGTTAGATTTGGCATATCAAAGAACCCCAATAATTCAATTTTTGATGAAATCAAACAAAGTTTAATTTTGGACCCTTTTGACCTCAATATGAACCAATTTGATAGCGGGGTCCACAAATAAAAAATCTAAATATATGGTTAGATTTAGCATATCAAAGAACCCCATATATTCAATTTTTGTTGAAATCAAACAAAGTTTAATTTTGGACCCCAATTTGGACCAACTTGAAAACTGGGCCAAAAATCAAAAATCTAAATAAATGTTTAGATTCAGCATATCAAAGAACCCCATATATTCAATTTTTGTTAAAATCAAACAAAGTTTAATTTTGGACCCTTTGGACCTTAATGTAGACCAATTTGAAAACTGGACCCAAAATTAAAAATCTAAATACACGGTTAGATTCGGCATAACAAATTAATAAATGTGGTCAAAGATTTTACAAATCTAATGCGCCATACTGGTCTTCCTTTATAAATATGCATTTCTTTAAACATAATTTAAAAGCAGTGTAAGGGAAGTAACCAAAACGTTGTATTTGGATTACCTCCCTTACACTGTTTTAAATTATCTTAATTGTTCATTAACCATTACTTTATACATAATTTAAAAGCAGTGTAAGGGAGATAATTTCAATGATGTATTTGATTTATCTCCCTTACACTGCTTTAAATTATGTTTTGAACTAAAGTATTTGTCCATTAATGAGGACAACCTTGTTTTTCCCCGTTTTTTGCCCCTAATTCTTAAACGGTTTGAGCAATAACCCCCCAAAGCAAATCCTAACCATCCCTTTGTGGTTTGGAAACTTGTAGTATAATTTCAGAGAGATCCATACACCGTTCCACAGTTATTGTCTGGAAACTAGAAAATGTTTATTTTTGGCCCCTTTTTGGCCCCTAATTCCTTAACTGTTGGTACCATAACCCCCACAATCAATCCCCACCTTCCTTTTGTGGTATTGAACCTTATGGTAAAATTTCATAGAGATCCATTCACTTAAACTAAAGTTAGAGTGTGAAAACTAATGCGTCTTCGGACGACGACGCCGGACGACGACGACGACGACGACGCCAACGTCATACCAATATACGACCACAAAATTTTTTTTGCGGTCGTATAAAAACGGGACCCAAAATTAAAAATCTAAATACACGGTTAGATTTGGCATATCAAAGAACCCCAATAATTCAATTTTTGATAAAATCAAACAAAGTTTAATTTTGGACCCTTTTGACCTCAATATGAACCAATTTGATAGCGGGCCCACAAATAAAAAATCTAAATACATGGTAAGATTCAGCATATCAAAGAACCCCATATATTCAATTTTTGTTGAAATCAAACAAAGTTTAATTTTGGACCCCAATTTGGACCAACTTGAAAACTGGGCCAAAAATCTAAAATCTAAATACATGTTTAGATTCAGCATATCAAAGAACCCCATATATTCAATTTTTGTTGAAATCAAACAAAGTTTTATTTTGGACCCCAACTTGGACCAACTTGAAAACTGGGCCCATAATCAAAAATCTAAACACATGTTTAGATTCAGCATATCAAAGAACCCCAAGAATTCAATTTTTGTTAAAATCAAACTAAGTTTAATTTTGGACCCTTTGGACCTTAATGTAGACCAATTTAAAAAACCGGACCCAAAATTAAAAATCTAAATACACGGTTAGATTTGGCATATCAAAGAACCCCAATAATTCAATTTTTGATGAAATCAAACAAAGTTTAATTTTGGACCCTTTTGACGTCAATATGTACCAATTTGATAGCGGGGTCCACAAATAAAAAATCTAAATACATGGTTAGATTCAGCATATCAAAGAACCCCATATATTCAATTTTTGTTGACATCAAACAAAGTTTAATTTTGGACCCCAATTTGGACCAACTTGAAAACTGGGCCAAAAATCAAAAATCTAAATACATGTTTAGATTCAGCATATCAAAGAACCCCATATATTCAATTTTTGTTAAAATCAAACAAAGTTTAATTTTGGACCCTTTGGACCTTAATGTAGACCAATTTAAAAACTGCACCCAAAATTAAAAATCTAAACACACGGTTAGATTCGGCATAACAAATAAATAAATTCGGTCAAAGATTTTACAAATAGTGCTAACTTAATCTATTTTATAATAGAATTTAAAATATAGTGTCAAATCTTTCATATGGATTTTTTTGTAAAAAAAAAAGATGCAACATTTGCAGATATTTTTACTGGTCTTCCTATATAAATATGCATTTCTTTAAACATAATTTAAAAGCAGTGTAAGGGAAGTAACCAAAACGTTGTATTTGGATTACCTCCCTTACACTGTTTTAAATTATCTTAATTGTTCATTAACCATTACTTTATACATAATTTAAAAGCAGTGTAAGGGAGATAATTTCAATGATGTATTTGATTTATCTCCCTTACACTGCTTTAAATTATGTTTTGTACTAAAGTATTTGTCCATTAATGAGGACAACCTTTTTTGCCCCTAATTCTTAAACGGTTTGAGCAATAACCCCCCAAAGCAAATCCTAACCATCCCTTTGTGGTATGGAAACTTGTAGTATAATTTCAGAGAGATCCATACACCGTTCCACAGTTATTGTCTGGAAACTAGAAAATGCTTATTTTTGGCCCCTTTTTGGCCCCAATTCCTTAACTGTTGGTACCACAACCCCCAAAATCAATCCCCACCTTCCTTTTGTGGTATTGAACCTTATGGTAAAATTTCATAGAGATCCATTCACTTAAACTAAAATTAGAGTGCGAAAACTAATGCGTCTTCGGACGACGACGCCGGACGACGACGACGCCGACGTCATACCAATATACGACCACAAAAATTTTTTTGCGGTCGTATAAAAAGATTGAATCATAATTTCCTGTCGATATGCACATCTTCCTAGTATGTCCTTATTATCTACACAGTTTCATGAAAATCTGTTGTGTGGTTTCAGAGAAGTTGCGATGACAAACTGTGGCAGAGGTATATTGAAGCAAATAAGTGCAAAGGGGCGTAACTCCTAGAAAAAAAATTGAATCATAATTTCCTGTCGATATGCACATCTACGTAGTATGTCCTTATTATCTGAAAAGGTTTCATGAAATTCTATTGTGTGGTTTGAGAGGAGTTGCGATGACAATAGGTTGCAGTAGTATATTGGGCAAATAAGTTCAAAGGGGCGTAACTCCTGGAAAAAAAAATTGAATCGTAATTTCCTGTCGATATGCACATCTACGTAGTATGCCCTTATTATCTACAAAGTTTCATGAAATTTTGTTGTGTGGTTTCAGAGGAGTTGAGATGACAAACTGTTGCAGCAGTACATGAAGTAAATAAGTTCAAAGGGGCATAACTCCTAGAAAAAAAATTGAATCATAATTTCCTGTCGATATGCACATCTACCTAGTATGTCCTTATTATCTACAAAGTTTCATGAAATTCTGTTGTGTGGTTTCAGAGAATTTGCGATGACAAACTGTTGCAGAGGTATATTGAAGCAAATAAGTTAAAACGGGCGTAACTCCTAGAAACAAAATTGAATCGTAATTTCCTGTCGATATGCACATCTACGTAGTATGTCCTTATTATCTGAAAAGGTTTCATGAAATTCTATTGTGTGGTTTGAGAGGAGTTGCGATGACAAAAGGTTGCAGTAATATATTGGGCAAATAAGTTCAAAGGGGCACAACTCCTGGAAAAAAAATCGAATCGTAATTTCCTGTCGATATGCACATCTACCTAGTATGTCCTTATTATCTACAAAGTTTCATGAAATTTTGTTGTGTGGTTTCAGAGGAGTTGAGATGACAAACTGTTGCAGTAGTACATTAAAGTAAATAAGTTCAAAAGGGGGTAACTCCTAGAATAAAAAATAGATCGTAATTTCCTGTCGATATGCACAACTACATAGTACGTCCTTATTATCTAAAAAAGGTTTCGTGAAATTCTGTTATGTGGTTTGAGAGGAGTTGCGATGACAAGAAACAGGACTGACGGACTGTCGGACGGACAGACAGACGGACAGGTCAAAAACATTATACCCTCCGCAACTCGTTGCGTGGGGTATAATAACCTAATGAATCACTGTATAAAGTACATTTTAATGAAAAACAGACAAACCATATATCATGTATAAAGAGAACATTTTTAAGAGAGAGAAAAAAACAAGACATTTTTAAATAACACAAAAACTAGTTCTAAAATGATGTGTTTTTTTTTCAACAGATAGCACCATATCCAAATTTAGTACAGATAAGGAATGCTTTAGATGACAAACTTGCCTGGAAGTCATACAGAGATCAAGTTTTATTTGACACAATAAGATAACAGCACTGAACTGACCTAGTTAAATGACACAAGTTTGTGGTTCTATTAAGATATGATTTTGTGGTTGTATGTACATTAATTTGTTAATTTTATCAATGTTTTTGTTTTGAATGATTAATATACATATTAAAGAATTTTTTATACAGCGTTTTGTTTTTTTGTGTAGAAATTAAAATAAACACATTAAATTAAAGAACAACTGTTAATAAAAGAAAAATGTGTTCATGGGACACAGATGTCCACTGCTTGTAAATATACAGCAAATTCATAGATTTTCCCATTTAGGGAATGACTTTAATATTTGTTCTGTCTATGAAGAAATAACATCAAAAATGTGGTGCACCCTGAATAACCTGTGTAGCCCATTATTTAAAAGTGTGCACATTTTTTTTAATTTTATTTCGAATAGACAGAAAAAATATTATAGTCATTCCTTATAATTTAATTCTAAATTCCATTTTTAAGGAGTAAATCGTTAATGATTTCACGATCACATGACAAAACTATGTCTATGATCTGATAGACAAAAACCTTCAGCCAATCAGAAGACGTGTTACATCCAAAATTAAATTATTTGTAAAGGAACATATCTAGTCAACAGTGAAAACGACTCCACCCATATTCGAACTCAATCTGTGTTTGGTGGTAATAAGCATTGTGTACAAGTTTCATAACATTTGGTTGCGGTAAACTAAAGTTAGAATGTGGAAACAGCAAATTTAGCAATTTTTCCATTTATAAAGGGATATAACTGGAGAGTGTTGGAAGTGACACCAACCAAATTCGAACTTGATATGTGTTTGGTGGTAAAAAGCATTGTGTACAAGTTTAACAACATTTGGTTGTGACAATCTTGAGTTAGAGAATGGAAACTAATTTTGAGAACGGAAAAGGACAAGGGAAAAACTAAATGCCCCTTCCAAAACATCAAAGGGCATAAAAAAGTTTTATGCAAATTGGTTAAAGCATTTTTGAGTTAATGTTCGACATGTTGACGATGGACGGACAGAGGGACAGAGGTATACCATAATACGTCCCGTAAACGGGCGTATAAAAAGAAACAACGAAATTTCTTTTTTGTAAGAAAACTATTGTATAAGGCTATATTAAAACACTAAAAGAAGCCATTGTCCTGTTAAATATCTGATTAATTGATGGCAGATTAATGCCACCTCAGCTCACATGGGCGATCTTCCAGCTCTTTAACACTTTCTTGACAGATTAATTTTTACAGGCACCATTTTGTACCCCCATATTACCTTAAGCTTTTATAGATTAGGTGAAGTTATAGTAATGATACATATATATCTACAGCATTATCAAAATAACAAACCAAATAATGGCAACAATCACATTTAATAATAAATTAAAATCTTTCTGATGATCTGGCTGCGACAGTTCGTAAGTTTCCATATACTTTTGATGGCGGACTTCCTACAATAAAAATTTTAATAAAATAGTTCAGATGTATTTTAATTTACTAAATGAAAATAGTTACACAATTGAGTAGGTATGTAATATTGGTAAAGACATATAAACCATAACAGACGAAATAGACTAAATTAATCCAGCAATTTCAGTAAACACCATTTTGTTTAGCAAACATTTTGAAATTTAACTGTTGTTTTTTTACTGTTTACAGAAAATCTGCTAAATGTTTGTGAATGTAAATGTTTTGTCAGACAAAGGACTGACAGAATGAACTTTTGAATGTCCTATATTTTATGATGCTTGAGAATTTGAAAACCTCAAAAGGGAAGCATCATTGTTCAGGTCTATCACTTGCTGCAATCAAAATAACTTCAACTGGTCCCAAAAGATTTCCAATAACAAATATCACAAGTAAAACCAACAAAAAAGGGCCTTAAAATTTGACCAACTACCCATACTGCGACAACATACCATATCAACACTTTTTGTTGGTAAGAACAAACAATCAGAATATCCTTAAACCTTACATGGATGACCTGATGATGGCAGTCAGAATAGAGAGAGCCAACAATTTTCAAGAAGTCTGTCTCATTTGCACTGGATTTATCACATTATCTTGAAAAATAACATTTGATATTTTCTGTAACTGATATTTTCTGTAACGAATAGCTAAAGTTCCTAGATAGAACACCGCAAGAGAATATACAGTGCCATCTACAGGTAGCTGTCATTTTTTATTTTATTGCATAGATGGTCTGCTTTCTCGTTAATAGTTTAAAATGTATATCCTCATTACCTTTTATTTATGCTCATTATTTCCAAGTCCACAAAATGCTCATTGAAATTTCCCTTTAGGTAAAAATGAAATGTCATAGCCTAGGTTAGTCTCAATCTTTCTTTTCATTTTTTTCGACATAGCATTTCTTTAAGGAAATCAGAAGAGAAACAAACCTTATATATTAATAATTGTAATCTACTTACCCAAAATTAAGTTACATATTGCTGTTCTTGCTACTTTTATATTTTGAAAAGATCCTAAGATGTGAATTTTACTGAAAAAAATAAAGCCTTAGTAAGTAAACTATATACATTTTTTAGATTAAATTATTTAGGTACACAAAAAATCTCTTTCCCTCCTAGGGGGACAGGTTCATGTTGAGAAAACTAGTTTAACCCCTGCACATAATCATGTGCCTGACCCAAATCGGGTGAAATATTACACTTAACAATAAATATATAAATCAAACATGTGCAGCGGTTGTCCTTGGTTGCCATCTGCCATGATTTTTTCCCTTAAATGTTATCAGTCCATCAGTTTTCTATTTTGAATCCATATATTTTGTTTTCTCTTGGCCTTTTCTTGCTCACAATACAGTATGTTTTTTTTTCATTGTTTAAGACCTTATGGTGAACAGTATTTGTTTACACTCATCATTTGGTCTGTGTGGAATAGTTGTTTCATTGGCAATCGTAACAAATTTTTACCTATATAAATGTCTCAAGACTTAATCTAAAGTAATACCTGGAGCAAGCTGCTTTACCTGAGCAATATAAGTGTCTATACTTAACAGTTCTAAATAGGATTCTACTTGACCAGACCAGTGTAGAAGAAAATTGGTTGTAAAATTGCTTTTATAATAATTAATAAAGCATTAATATATCACCATTTACAATTAATTACCTGTCTGCTAGAACTATTCTTGTTTTTGTAACATTTTCTATTGTGAATTTTGTTTTTCCATTTTTCCCTGCCAGTCTACCAATTGCTCTGGCTAAGTGATCACCTTTTAATGGCTTGACTGGAAAAGTAAAAAAAAAATTAAATCATAAAAATGCTTCTCAAATCAGTGTGGTCTTCAAATACATGTATGAGATAAACGTTTTTCTCATAGTTATGTACTTTTCATTGACAATTACGGGTAAATTTCATCTGATTTATATTATACAATACGAATTGTTAAGAATTAAATGAAAGATCTAAGCAAACTGAAATAAAAGAACAGAGTTCCAATGTCCCACGCATTGCACATATTTTATCTATCTAAGGTACAAGGGCAATAACTAAAAAAAGCACTTTTTTTGTTCTTTAAAACTTTTTATTAATATCTTGAGAGAAATGAAGGCTTCAGAGCAAATGCAATGTGATTTCCATTATAATTTATATTTCCAAGGGGCATAACTCGTTAAAAATATTTATCAGAACTTATTTTCGAAAGTGTCAAAGACATTGCTGATATAAACCTATGATATAAGTTTCATAACATTCTGGCAAGAATTGAACACATGAGAGCGATAACATTGCAATTTTCCATATAATCAATTTTTTCAAGGGGCATAACTCTTTTAATAAAATGCTTCGCTGGGGCGCAGCTTGATACGACCGCAGAGGTTGAACCCTGAACAGTTGGGGCAAGTATGGACACAACATTCAAGCTTGATACAGCTCTGAATTTGGATTGTTATTAAATATTTGACACAGCATAGGTTTCTGACACAGAAAGAATGTGGTCTAAGAACTTGAATTTTTTTAATTTACCTATTATGGTCCAATGTCCAAAATCAAAATACATGGTTAGATTCAGCATATCAAAGAACACCATATATTCAATTTTTGTTAAAATCAAACAAAGTTTAATTTTGGACCCCAACTTGGACAAACTTGAAAACTGGGCCCATAATCAAAAATCTAAACACATGTTTAGATTCAGCATATCAAAGAACCCCAAGAATTCAATTTTTGCTAAAATCAAACTAAGTTTAATTTTGGACCCTTTGGACCTTAATGTAGACCAATTTAAAAAACGGGACTTAAAATTAAAAATCTAAATACACGGTTAGATTTGGAATATCAAAGAACCCCGATAATTTAATTTTTGATGAAATCAAACAAAGTTTAATTTTGGACCCTTTTGACCTCAATATGAACCAATTTGATAGCGGGGCCCACAAATAAAAATTCTAAATTCATGGTTAGATTCAGCATATCAAAGAACCCCGTATATTCAATTTTTGTTGAAATCAAAAAAAGTTTAATTTTGGACCCCAACTTGGACCAACTCGAAAACTGGGCCCATAATCAAAAATCTAAATACATGTTTAGATTCAGCATATCAAAGAACCCCAAGAATTCAATTTTTGTTAAAATCAAACTAAGTTTAATTTTGGACCCTTTGGACCTCAATGAAGACCAATTTAAAAAACGGGACCCAAATTAAAAATTTAAAAACACGGTTAGATTTGGCATATCAAAGAACCCCAATAATTCAATTTTCGATGAAATCAAACAAAGTTTAATTTTGGACCCTTTTGACCTCAATAAGAACCAATTTGATAGCGGGGCCTACAAATAAAAAATCTAAATACATGGTTAGATTCAGCATATCAAAGAACATCATATATTCAATTTTTGTTGAAATCATACAAAGTTTAATTTTGGACCCCAATTTGGACCAACTTGAAAACTGGGCCCATAATCAAAAATCTAAATACATGTTTAGATTCAGCATATCAAAGAACCCCATATATTCAATTTTTGTTGAAATCAAACAAAGTTTAAATACTGGACCCTATCTTGGACCAACTTGAAAACTGGGCCCATAATCAAATATCTAAACACATGTTTAGATTCAGCAAATCAAAGAACCCCAAGAATTCAATTTTTGTTAAAATCAAACTAAGTTTAATTTTGGACCCTTTGGACCTCAATGTAGACCAATTTAAAAAACAGGACCCAAAATTAAGAACCTAAATACACGGTTAGATTTGGAATATCAAAGAACCCCAATAATTCAATTTTAGATGAAATCAAACAAAGTTTAATTTTGGACCCTTTTGACCTCAATATGAACCAATTAGATAACGGGGTCCACAAATAAAAAATCTAAATACATGGTTAGATTCAGCATATCAAAGAACCCCATATATTCAATTTTTGTTGAAATCAAACAAAGTTTAATTTTGGACCCCAACTTGAAAACTGGGCCAAAAATCAAAAATCTAAATACATGTTTAGATTCAGCATATCAAAGAACCTCATATATTCAATTTTTGCTAAAATCAAACAAAGTTTAATTTTGGACCCTTTGGACATTAATGTAGACCAATTTGAAAACTGGACCCAAAATTAAAAATCTAAATACACTGTTAGATTCGGCATAACAAATAAATAAATGTGATCAAAGATTTTACAAATCTAATGCGCCATACTGTGCAATTAAAGATTACTTCTTGAAATTTTTCAATATTTGAAATTTGAAAAAAAAAATAATATTTGAAGAATAATTCTTTTTAATTTCTGAAATTTGAAATGAGAAAAAATTGGCCCCCCACAATTTCTTTTTATCCCCCCCCCCCCTTTTTCCCCCAAAAAATTCTTTCCCTCAAGATATGGTCATAATCTCAATTCAAATTTCCAATGGAGTTGGCAACCATAATTACCCATTTAAATTTACCATAGTGCTAACTTAATCTATTTTATAATAGAATTAATAAAAATATAGTGTCAAATCTTTCATATGGATTTTTTTGTAAAAAAAAAAGATGAAAACATTTGCAGATATTTTTACTGGTCTTCCTTTATAAATATGCATTTCTTTAAACATAATTTAAAAGCAGAGTAAGGGAAGTAACCAAAACGTTGTATTTGGATTACCTCCCTTACACTGTTTTAGATTATCTTTATTGTTCATTAACCATTACTTTATACATAATTTAAAAGCAGTGTAAGGGAGATAATTTCAATGATGTATTTGATTTATCTCCCTTACACTGCTTTAAATTATGTTTTGTACTAAAGTATTTGTCCATTAACCAGGACAACCTTGTTTTTCCCCCTTTTTTGCCCCTAATTCCTAAACGGTTTGAGCCATAACCCCCCAAAGCAAATCCTAACCATCCCTTTGTGGTATGGAAACTTGTAGTATAATTTCAGAGAGATCCATACACGGTTCCACAGTTATTGTCTGGAAACTAGAAAATGCTCATTTTTGGCCCCTTTTTGGCCCCTAATTCCTTAACTGTTGGTACCATAACCCCCAAAATCAATCCCAACCTTCCTTTTGTGGTATTTAACCTTATGGTCAAATTTCAAAAAGATCCATTCACTTAAACTAAAGTTAGAGTGTGAAAACCAATATGTATTCGGACGACGACGCCGACGACGCCAAACCAATATACGACCACAAAATTTTTTTGCGGTCGTATAAAAATAATTGATCAGCACTGATTTTCCAACTCGTCCAAGACGTTGCTAATATAAACCTATGATATAGGTTTCATAAAAATCTGGCAAGAATTGTACAAATGAGAGTGCTAACAATGCAATTTTCCATAAAATTAATGTTTCCAAGGGACATAACTATTCTAAAAATAATTGATCAGCACTGATTTTCGGACTCATCCAAGACGTTGCTGATATAAACCTACATGTATGATATAAGTTTCATAACAATCTGGCTAGAACTGTACATGTGAGAGCCCTAACAAGACCTGACGGACGGACGCACAGACGCTCGGTATTTACATGTACCATGCAACGCATTGCAAGGGGGACAATAATCATCAAGACAGCATTGATAAATAGAAAATTAAGATTGTGAAGGGAAATAAGTCTTGAATAGTAACAGACGTCATTCAAAATTTAATGTATTTTATAATCAGTTAAATGACAATTGTCTAATATGTCAAGTCTTAATTTTTTACTAGTATCAGTAAGCAAACAATTCTGATGGATGATTCCTTTTTTACCAGGGGCTACAGATAAATGTGCCTAGCTCTTTCACATCAAAATTGTTGATTTGTTCAAACTTTTCTCCCATTTGAAAAATTTTCACCCATTTTACAAAATTGCTGAATAAGTGAAAGGACAAGGTACAATAAGGCCTGTTTTTGGCCCCCCTATTTTTCATTTTTCAAATTCTGTTTTGGAAAGCTACTTATTATGTTAAAATATTCCCTGAGGTTTGAAGTTTGTTTGGATGAACTTCAAAACCACTAATTTTAGCAACTGAGTGAGGTGAGGGGGGTAAACTTTTCTGTAATTATTCAAATATTGTAATTATTATTCACTTTGCAGGTGTTCCGTACAACAAATTTTTAGTTTTTTAGTGCCTGCGCCAATGTGACCCAGGAATTTTTTTATTCCAATGTCATGAGAATTGTTTTTGCTGTCTAAATCGCCATAATTTTCTCCGGGTCACGTAGGCGCACACTATTAAATCTTAAGAAACAATGGCCAAAAATCTTACTTTTTCCTTCTTTTGGCGTTTTTGATGCCCTTTTACCCCCTCACCTCACCCATTTTCTGAAAATAATGGTTTTGAAGTTCATCCAAACAAACTTCAAACCTAAAGGAATATTTTAACACGATAAGTAGCTTTCCAAAACAATTTAAATAAACTGCTTCGCTGAGCGCAGCTAGATACGCCCGCAGAGGTCCAACCCTGAACAGTTGGTGCAAAAATGGACACAATATTCAAGCTTGATTCAGGTCTGAATTTGGATTGTAATTAAATATTTGACATATTATAGGTTTCTGAATAAATGTAGTCAAAGATCTTGAAATTGGTTATATGAACTGAATATTCAATTAAAGATTTCTTGCTGTTGTGCAATACTTAGTAAACCTGTTGTCAGACTATAAACAAATATAAGAAATTTATGAAAATAAAAAGGGAGCTTACAACAATAGATATAAACAATTCACCAAAGTTTCATGAGAATTGGTGACAGCATTTTTGAGTTATTGTTGGAAAACTGGAAAATCACCCCTTTTTTTAATGAATAAAACCCCACAACTCAGAAATGTAAAATGTAAAATTTATAAAATTCTAAAGGGAGCTTACATCAATACATACAAACAATTCACCAAAGTTTCATAAGAATTGCTGAAAGCATTTTAGAGTTTTTGTCCGAAAACTGGAAACCCCCCCTTTTTTTATGAATAAAACCCTGTAACTCAGAAACGTAAAATCTAAAATTTATAAAAATCGAAAGGGAGCTCATGTCAATAGATATAAACAATTCACCACAATTTCTTGCAAGTTGGTGAAAGCATTCTTGACTTATTGTCCGGAAACTGGAAAATCCCCCTTTTTTTAATGAATAAAACCCCATAACTCGGAAACGTAAAATCTAAATTTTATAAAAAATGAAAGGGAGCTCACGTCAATAGATATAAACAATTCACCAAAGTTTTATGCAAAGTGGTTAAAGCATTTTTGAGTTAATGTCCGACATGTTGACGACGGACGGACAACGGTATACCATAATACGTCCCGTAAACGGGCGTATTAAAATGAGAAAATAGGGGGGCCAAAAACGGGCCTTATCGTACCTTGTCCTTTACTCTTGTTGAAAATTTTCATGTTTATATTATATTCTACTCAATAACACATGAAGCGAAAGTTAAAAGATAAAAGAAAATCTCAAATAGGAAATATAAATCATCATAAATTTCTTACCATCTTGTACCTGGAAGGATTCTAGGTATAAATCATCTAATCTTACAAGAGCTAAACTGTCCTGAAATTTAACATTCAATACATGCATTAATAATGTAAAACAATGTTTTTTAAATATTTCTTCTGAAAATTTGAGGTAAAACTAACATCACTACATACATGACATAGATTGTATTCTGTTCAATTTCATATGTCTTTGCTCATTGCTGAATGCTGTATTTCACCTTTAATTTTTCACATCTTTGTCCTTAGGTCTTTAAGGATTGTTGTCTCATTTGCTCTTCAACTTTATATTTGTTTTGGCCTTTTTAACTTTTTTGATTCGAGCGTCATTGATGAGTCTTTTGTTAACAAAACGTGTGTCTGGCATACAAAATTTTAATCCTGGTATCTATGATGTGAGTTTATTTGCAATGATACCACATCTTCTTATCTTTAAATTTACACTCCATTCCTTTCATTTCCAAAATAATAAAATCTGTGATGCAGAAATAAATGAAGAAGAGGAACTTAATGTTATATACCAGGTAAATTATTGAATAAAAGATAGGATAACAACTCTCACTTACATGTACTTGTTTTTGATATAGGAAACAGCCATTTAATTTTAAATATTTATAGATTATCCTCGGTCATCTCAACGAGATTGATTTTCTCGCTTGAACCGTACGGCAAAAGTGAGAAAAGCAATCGAGTTGAGATGACCAATGATAATCTGATTATCGCTATTTTACCTATGACAACGTTGTTAATTTCATTTTACAACGGCACATGCGCCCTTAGTTTCTAGCGATAATTTTTCATATCACTCTACTGTGCTGAGAAAGGAAATTATCAGTCAGTAAGATCAAAGGAAAATTTCGTAAAATAGCAATAATGTGGTATATTTATCATATATATGTAAATGTGATGGTACAATATGAATGTTCCCACCTGCAGCTTTATTATAAAAAGTTGAAAACTGGAAAATTCTAAGGGCTGTTATTGTGCAAAGGTAACCAAGTTATCGCCATACACTAGAGTAACAAAATCAATTCAATTTCAAGGAGAAAAAAAATCAGATTTTACAATGAACACACACAAAAAATACCTGTTACACCAATCCACTATATCTAAAATATTTGGTACCTTACAAATACTATCACAGAGTAATACTACTTAAGTACAAGTTAAATCTAAGTATTGAGAACTTATAACTTCTAATTTTCAATGTTAAAGTTTGTTCAAAATCTAAATCACTTACATCAACATCAAAACCAAGTGTGAATGCCCGTACAAAATCTGCAGCTTTCTGTAATGCCCCTATCTCTTTAGTTTCTTTACACGTCTGAAAAATAGAGAGATTTTATTTACAAATATTAATAATCATACTTATCATGCTTATATATACACTGTATCTTGCCTTTCTGCTACAAATCAGAATACAGCAAATTTACAGAGATATGTCTCTCCTGTTCTCATAATGACTGACAAATGAATATAAAGAACATATTGCTATGTTCTCTACATTACTGTGTTGAGGTATAAATAATAGATAATAATGATGAATTATTCCATATATTGTGTGCTTATATATCACTTGCCAATTTAAATCCATGTTTAAAATTAACATATTCAGAAAATGTAGGCTAAATATCAAAACCAACGGACCATTTATCAATCATGTAGATATCTTTTGTTTTTTTTGTTGTTGAGTTTGTGTCTCATTGACACACGGAATGATAAAAAAATAGTTATACATGCTTCCGTATTTTGTACTTTAATGTATAACCTTAAGAACAGCAAGGTTAAACAATTACTGTTATGAGGAATTGCAATACCTTTATTTCTACATTCCTTGATTTAAGATTGAATCTGACTTGTAAATGGAGATGTTCAACTATAGGTGTAAATATCTTCATCCAGTTATCTTTCAATGGTGTGTATCTGTTTGCTGGAACTGCAATCTTTCTTAGTTCTGTTTTCCCACCCTGAAGATATAAAAACAGAACATGTAAAAATGTGCATTATTAACAATCAATCAAAAATCTTTTGGGAAAAATTCAAATGAAGAAGTCTATATCAAAGCACTTAGGATTTTAACATTGCGGTGTTGTAGAATCATTACATGTACAAACCCCTTGTTTAGTGCATTAAGTTTGAAGGTGAATCTGAATTTAATGATTTTATAATAATGTTAAGAATCATCAAGAGTAATAAACTACATTTCACAAGTGGTGAGATTTGGTAGGCCCAAATTCAGCCAGATGTAAATCTTTTTCATGAGTGGGGTGAGTTTGCAGGCCTAAAATCAGCAGGATTTAAACCCTTTTTACAAATAAAATGAGTTGGTTAACATGATTGGTGCTTGTTGGTAGAAAGTTGGGGCGAGTGAAAAACACGGGAAAACATCATTGCAACAAAACTTGCTTGGAAACATGCATAGGTTTTCAGCACTTTCTTACTGTTTTCCCCTCCATTCAAAAGATCTGCTCCCTATTCAATATGGCTACAATAACCATGAAGTGGCCAATTGCACAATCTGATTAAAATTAGATTTTTAATTGCTCTTTTCTGCCGAAATCAAAAGTTTTATTTTGAAAAAGAGACCCCCAGATTGTGAAAGAAACATACAATTTCTCATTAAGAAACCTGGATTTATAATAAAAATGAATATTATAAAAGTATTTACTGTCAATTTGTCACCACTGATAGGGGGAAAGACTGGACGTTTAGGAGCAGACTCTGATGTTTCCATTGACTGTTGATCGTCTGATTGTTCTTTCTGTAATTTCCTTTTTCTTGATTTTGTCTTTCTTGGTATAAATCCATCGTCTTTTTCTTGTGAAACCGATTCCATTTCAGTGTTTTGATTTGTAGATGTTGCCATTTTCACGTGTTGTAATAAAGGAAGTAATCACGTGCGCATGCTTGTGTTTTCTACAAAATGAAAGTAGCCAGGGGAGATAATTTAACATATGACAAAAAAATAAAATAAATAACAGATTGGAGACCAAAGAGGCTCGATCAAATGGAAGAGAGTAAAATAAGTTACAAGAGTTGGAAATGGACAGATGCCCATTTTTGCAATCTACCAACACACACACTATTATATCCAGGGATGTCATGTGGAATCAGTACAACACCACAAACTAATGTTTATGGACATGCAAAAGTAATAGATCCAGATGGGTCCAATAAATTCTTGGTTGCATCTAGGGTTGGAAAGTTCATTTCATTGGAATACCAGATCACTATGGACAAATTGGCACCATCAGCAAAAATAATACCATTTTCATATATTCCAGGTACTGGTAATATAAGTTAACAGAAAAAACCCAAACTTTCTCTAGAACTTAAATGTTTTGGCTTATAAATTAAAAGAGTACATGTATTAAGCAACTGCCAACACAGTTTGTTTAAATAATTTTGATATGATTGCTGGTAATTTGCTTCATGTAAGTAAATTGATAAAATATTTACAAAACTAACAGCTTTAATACTGAGAAAGCACAGGAATCGGAAATTCTATCAATAAAATTCTGTAAATAATAAAGTCGACTATCAATAGAGCTTACGAGAAGCTCTATTGAGGGGGGGGGGGCGAGACCATTTTCGGTACGCTAGGATCGGCCGATTTTAGCAACGGGAAATCGGGATTGCCTTATTTAAAGATCGGGAATTCGGGATAGAAAAACATTGGGATACGGGGAAGCCACGTTTTTAGCCACGGGAAATCAGGATTTTTATGTTGAAATATAACGGGTTTGACAAAAAACTGTACCTTGGACAGATAAAAGTGCCATTTTCAATATACTTCAATCAGAATCGCATCTAGAAACAGAGTAGATCCAGATCAGAGTACATGTAACAGTAAGTTTAGAGATAAGCTTTGAGCTCGGATCAGGTCCTCAATTATACCGTTAAACGATTTTGATTTTGGTCGGTCGATCAACTTCTTGTTGGTGATCAGTTGTGTAGTTGCTTACAGCCCTAAGCATAATCATTTATCCTAACAAGTGTCTTAAAATCTGGTATTTTTTTAAATTTTATAATGTAAAGCAGCGTTTCGACTACTTTATAAATCTCTCAAGTGACATTTGTATTTCTTTTTATGTCTGTAACTTGGTTGATCCTTGGTTCAGTGGTTTTAGAATGGTGACTCAATAGATTCAAATTTCTCTCAGTTACAAAACGATTCCAGTGCTTGTCATATAGGTTTTTGTATTGACTTGAACTGGAATTTGGCCAATTTTCTGACCGGCTACTGAAGATTTATGAGAACAAAAATGCTTATATGCAGCCTGACGTCACACGGTAATATTGATAATACATATTCGGATTGGTTACGCTGAAAGACTTTGAACATCAATCATACCTGAGACGTTTAAATCGTAAGCATTGAAAATTTAAACTTTAAAATTGGGGAACAAATTTATCGGGATCGGGATTTTTAACAAAATATGTCCGGGATTTTGGGATTTTCTGATATTAAAACCGGGAAATCGGGATGAGACCCCCTCTTGCCCCCCCCCCCTCTATTGATAGTCAACTTTATTATTTACAGAATTTTATTGATAGAATTTCCGATTCCTGTGGATTACGAGAAGCTCTATTGATAGTCGACTTTATTATTTACAGAATTTTATTGATAGAATTTCCGATTCCTGTGGAGAAAGATACTGGCATGATACGGGTTATGTTCTTCTCATATATTTTATGATGGTATGGTACTAAACCCCTAACGGGAGGGATTGTACCTGATTTTCATATGATGAAGACATAATCTTTCAATCAGTTTAATTGAGGTCTGGAGCTGGCATGTCAGTAACTGCTAGTAGTCCTTTGTTAATTTATGTATCATTGTCATTTTGCTTAGTTTCTTTTGTTACCTATTCTGACATCGGACTCGGACTTCTTTTAAACTTAATTTTACTGAGTGTATTGCTATGTGTTTCTTTATTCTACATTGGCTAGAGGTATAGGGGGAGGGTTGAGATCTCACAAAACATGTTTAACCCCACCGCAGTTTTGCGCCTGTCCCAAGTCAGGAGCCTCTGGCCTTTGTTAGTCTTGTATGTTTTTTATATACTGGAGTTTAGTGTGACGTCCATTTTCACTGAACCAGTACACAATTTTATTTACGGGCCAGCTGAGGACCACCTCTGGGTGCAGGATTTTCTCGCTGCGTTGAAGACCCATTGGTGGCCTTCGGCTGTTATCTGCTCTTTGGTCGGGTTGTTGTCTCTTTGACATATTCCCCATTTCCATTTCCATTCTCAATTTTATATTTATCCAACACTTGCATTACACAAAGAGAGACAGTTTAATACAACATGATATAAAATATTATATATAAAAAAGAAGATGTGGTATGATTGCCAATGAGACAACTCTCCACAAGAGACCAAATGACACAGAAATTAACAACTATAGGTCACTGTACGGCCTTCAACAATGAACAAAGCCCATACTGGATAGTCTGCTATAAGAGGCCCCGAAATGACAAATGTAAAATAATTCAAACAAGAAAAATAACGGCCCAATTTATGTACAAAATAATGAATGAAAACAAATATGTAACACAGCAAAAAATGACAACCACTTAATTACGGGCTCCTGAACTTGGAACAGGCACATACAGAATGTGGCAGGGTTAAACTAGTTAGATGGCGCCAAACCCTCTAACAAATATAGTTTATATTGGAAATTAAGGTAAATGCCAAAGTGACAACAACCTAAAAACTCAAATCTACTTAAATAGTCACCATATGATCGTAATAATTATAGGCTTGATATCTTATGACAAGTTTAAGTCACCTGAGGTCTAGAAAAGGTTAAATAAATTCAACTTGTTTCTAATCGATTTATTAAAAAGTCATGTTATTATAATGTATGGTCAAAGTAATGAGGGTTTTGTTTGTTGTTTTTGTTATTTATAATTCAGAATGTGTCAATTTTATGGAGATGTTCATTATATAGGAAACCTCTGAAGGAATCCTTGAGTCTAAAGTTATACTCAATTTTTCTAGAATTTTTGATAAACTCAATATGTCTTTATTCTTATTTGTTGTTTTATAGATGTATGTGATCAAAGTTAATAAAGAGCATGCTATTTTTTTTACTAAGATGCCTCTTTATATTTATTATTGCTTGTAGATGTGTCCAGATCTTAAAAGTTTTGCTATTTAAGCAGTTTCAAGCCAGTATCCCAAACAAAAAATTATCCTGAATTTACATTTTGCAGAATTCACCAAATTGTTTAATATGTTTAAAGTATGCAATATACACATGACATTTTATGAAAGTTTTACTTTTACTATATATGGTTTTGAAATTTTTGATATACTCTAAATTTAGAAATTATTGCATGCATTTATTATTGCAATTTCAGAAGAAAGGTAAAAAATGTGAGATTAATTATTGCAATTTTAGGAAAGTTTGTCAACAGATGCATGTACTGGATATAAAAATGTTCTTATCATTGCGATACTCACCCAGTTGTATTATTCACATCAATAAAAACCTAGCAATAATTTCTGAAATTACAGTAGTTTAATGATTTAATCAGGATATCTGTTCATTTCAAAAGGATTGACAGTAAATGTATAACACTTTTGTATATTATATTGACAGCTGGAGCAGAGCTGGTGTCTTTAGATGTGATAAGTAAATCAGTTCATCATAAAAGAATTGTTGTTGGTGTAACATTTATAAAATTTGAAGAAGAGGTAAGAAAAAGAAAAATGACCCCAAAAATTAATTGTGCAGACACAGCATTGAAAACTAAATAAATGTACATTTTTTTACATTTAAATTATTCTAAATTTGTTTTACGAAACTTTTTATAGGTAAAATGGCATAGTTTAGACATATTCTTGTTATTGTTTATAGAAGACTTCAATAAGTCATAAAAGCCATTTGACAAAATTCTAGATTTCCTTTCTTATGATTTGAAGCCCAAATAATGCCAATGCTAAATATCAGGTAAACGTCCAAGAAAGCTATCAAATATCTCGAAAAGGAGTTCCATATCCTATTAATATTTTAGCTTATCTGTTCCTTATAAACTTATGCTGTTCTGATTTATAGTATCAATTTTAAATTCTAGATTTTTAAAATTTCACTTTTACAATCTTAAATGTCTGTTTTGTTGTATTATTGATCCTTTACATACTTAAACAACAATATTCAAAAACAGTTTTCATTTATTACTTCATCACTAAGGACATCCTATCACTTAGTGCCAGTTGTTCAGATAAAGTTAATAGGACACATACTTTTTTTCTGCATGCAAGTCATAGGACATTGAGTTTTTACATCCCAAATCAGCATAGGACATTCACTCTTTTTTTTGTCATAACCAGAATTTGCACCGGTCCCATCTACCTGATAAATATTGCACGGTCCCTTAGCTCACAAAGATCACATTTTGGTTGTTACTTTGGAGAGATATCTGTTTCATTGATTGCTTATTCCTTAATTTAAGACATTTTGAAATGGGACTGAAAAACATAGGTTAACTATGTATTGTTCATAAACTAAAGACCCTGTACAACAACTAAACAGTACTCATTCATGGGTTAGTCACTATTCGTCCACATTCTTGACAGTATAGATTATTGAATTTTCTCCAAAGTATGCTATCAAAATATGATTTAATAAAAGGAAATGCAGTGTCTCTCAGCAACGAAAAAACACCCAAAAAAGGTTAACATTTAGATATCAACAATAGACAAGTGTCTAAACAATGCCATATTTGATATTGCCTATATATTTCATATATAACCCATTCTATTTTTTTTATAGAGTGAAGATTCAGAGGGCACTTGTAAACAATATTTAAATTTGTACTCATTAAGAGAGGAATACTCAGGATTTGATAATATAGATGGTATGTTATACATTTTGTACATGTATTCT